GTAAAATCGTGCTGCAGTACCCATAGCGATATACTGATCCAAGCTTTCAGCTAATCGGATCGATCCAGTTAGTTTTAGGGTTTTGATTTAATTCGAAATGAAGTGGAAGATTTGATAGAGTGAGAAGGTGGAAGTGAAGAAGGAGGAGGAGGAAGAGGACTACACGTTATATGAAGTATTTGTTGTCGTGTGTTTTCTTGGTCCGGTGAATATCCTGATCTTAGTGAACATAATTAGGTGAGCGCGCGCCTACTTTAATAATTCCTGCGCTTTTTCATCTGATTTGGTATTGGCCTGTTTGTTGGGTATCTTCTCTTCTGATAAGGCCAAGCGTGGGCCTTCTTGGGCTGGGCGTGTGGCTTTTCATGAATTTTCTATTTCTTGCCTTTTGCTATTTTTAGACCATTTTGGTTCTTTTCTTTTTTTCTTTTTTGATCTTAGTTTAGCAATAGAATAGAATCCTATAGCACAAGTGAAAATGTTTGAAACTTCGACCTTAAACTTACTTTGTGTCACTCAGGACGTGTTTGAGATTGCTAATGAAATGGTTAAGAACAATAAAAAATGTCCTTAACAATGTTTGACAGAAAAACTTAAAAGTGTTTCTAAATTGTAATAGTGTTTTATCAACGAAGTAGTTCCAAATGCTTTTTGAAAAAATCGTTTTTATCTTTAATAAAAATTTCGACGTCTTTCTAGTTATGAGCCTAGGTACTTTCTACAAAAGCATTTGGCAACTTTTCTTGCTCACACGATTTCTCTCTATCCAATAATACAAATTTGGTAACCGAAGAACAGACTTCATCGGTAGACATCACCACCACCAGATATTTCATATCATGATTATGGGTAGATGCTCGGGTATCTGTGGCCATATGTGAATTGCTGAAATATTATAGGCAACTGGATGTTGATGCTGTTTTTGGAATTAGCAAAACCTTGTGGTGGTTTACCTGATTTTTACAACTACAAAAACTGCCCTCAAGGGCCTCAACCATCACTATATCTCTAAAGCTGGAACACAATCTCTCTCAAATTAATTTATTTGAGGGACACTTTTGTATGGCTCATTCTGTATTGTGTTTCACTAGTCCAAACCATCTATTTTGTAGATACTCATTCAAAGATCATCTCTACAAAAAAATCACTTGAATCCGATATCATTTAACCACTCAATTAAGTTATTGAAATTTTAATACTTTCTTGAAGCTCCGTGTTCATTGATTTTGTATGACACAATTGGATATCAAAACGGTTTCCAATTTGTCTATTTTTTTTTTGCAAGGAAGATCTATGAATGTAGACTTAAAAAATAGATGGTTTGGATCATTGAAAAAAATTCATAAATGACCCTAAAGGGTGTCTCTGAAATAAAATTATTTGAATAATCCCACAATAGAAGGAGGCTAAAAATGAAGAAGAACGATTAGGATATATGTGGGTTTGTTGAAAATGGAAAAGGTACCACATAATGTTTTAGGCATTAGGGTTTAGGATCATCTTTCAATAGGACATTGTTTGGAGTTGGAAAGAGAGCATGAACTTGTCATAAAATTAAATTAATTGTTATTATCCCTCCTCTCAAAAGAAAATGTACTTTAAAAAAAAAAAATTCGAGAAAATAAAATGCCTAGTTGGACTTTAAGAGCACTTCCAGCGGTGCTCCTCAGCTCGGCCAACAAGGGGCCCAAGCCCCAATTTGATGTTCCAGCGGGCTTCAGCAGCTTGGGCAGCTGGTGAGCTCCACAAGCCTGGGTAGGCTCGAAGGCAAGAACAGCCTGGACTGTTGCTTGAGTTTGCTGATGTCAGCAACGAATTTTTTTTAAAAAAATCTTTAAAAACACTAAAAATTTCAGAATTTTTTTTAAACAAATACTTAGTCATATTCTTCACTTCCAACACCAAAACTCTATAAAAATTCCTCATATCCTATTTGTATATAGTTTTGGCGTGGGAAGTGAAGAATATGACTAAGTATTTATTTTTTAAAAATTGGATTTGTTAGTTTTTTAGTTTTTTTTTAAATATAAAATTTTGTTGTTGACGTCAGCAAACTTAGGCAACAGCCCATGCTGTTTTTGCCTTTGGGCTGGCTCGGTTTGTTGGGACCCAGTTGCTGCCCATACAACTTAGGCCTTATGGAAAGCCAACCTGCAACTCCGGCTGTTGCCTTTGTTAGGGCAAGAGGGAGCCCAAATCACAGGTTGGCATTCCAGGGGGCCTAAGCTGCCAGGGCAGCAAATAGGTCTCAGCAAACCCAGCCAGTCCAAAGGCAAAAACAGCCTGGGTTGTTGCATGGGTTTGTTGATGTCAGCAATGACAACAACAACAAAAAAAAAAAAAAAAATAATCTAAAAAAAAAAAATCAGAAATTTAAAATGAATTTAATTTAAATATTTAGTCATATTCTTTCACTTCCCACACCAAAACTCTATACAAATTCCTCTCCTCATATCCTATGTGAATAGTGATTGTCATAGCAATGGGTGAAAACACCACAAGCCTTTGCAAGGGCTTGCCACTATTCAAGTAAATCGTAACAGCCCTTGCCTTACCCTTGCCATTGCCATAGCAAATGGTTGAAAGTGCTCTAAATAGTAAGATCGGGTAGGTTTTCTCTGATTGCAATACAATTAATTGAAAATTTGAGTAAGAAATTTTTCATTGATCATAACATGATATGGGCCATTGTTTAGCTTAACCACCAGAGTAGAGAAAGAAAGAAAACGTCATAGGGCATTTGACATATACATAATATATGCATGACATATGATGATCCCACTAATTAGATAATTAAGAACATCCTAGACTTGATTAGAATGCATAATTATATCTCCAAATCTGGATATATATTTCTTTCCAGAAGGGGAGAGAGTAATGCATATATTATATGGACTTGGAAGCAGCTAGCGTGTGGTGAAGGCAATGTACATTAAACAGAAAGAAGAAAAGAAAGTTCTAGCTAGCTAAAGCTTCAAGTGCTTTCAAACTTTCTTGACTTCAACTTCTAAATGATATTGCCTATTTGAAATTGATGATGACATTCATATCTTAATTATATACGTAATACATGTTCCCTCATATGAAGGTAAACATATACTTACTTACATATTCCAGAACTCTCTTGGTCTCTCATCAGATCACCAAGAACTTTAATTTGACTTAAAAAATAGCCACCCCAACTTACTCTATATTTCCATGACTTAAAAAATCCATTTTTCATTTTGGTGAGGATAAATTTGAAAGGCGTGTGTGTTGACACAAAAACGAGAGGAAAACGTATATGTAACAACACTTTCTCTTTCTCACTCGTTTCACTCATTATGTTAAGTGAGAAAGAAAGAGGGTACATATTCTGGATGCGAAATGTTTTTTCTTTTCTTTTTTCTTCCCATAAAAACCATTGCATGTTTACATATGTCTAGATGTACATGACAGTCTTTTAAATAGAATTAAATCTTATACTATATAATAAGTGGTCAAAAAAACAAGTGGAGCTTATAAGCTAGCAGCCTAAAAGGGATGGATGGTGATACTTTTCCAGTAAGCACTTGCCTTAAGCCGTTTATACTTTTTCCAACCGCGTTTAGTAGAAGCAACATCACCACGTTTTTCAAATGAGGCGTTTTGTACAGACTCTATAGTCATCCTTGATTTGATTAGAAGAAAGTCATAATTCAACATAGAATGTTTCTAGTAGTTTAGAAATTCAAGTTTGGCTAATTAGCAAGGATAGTCCAATCTTTTACACATCTAAATCTCCGTTAAGCTCGATTGGATTCAAATGATCCAAACTCAATTGGCAACAAAATTGTCAAAAATGTTAGTTAAATTTCGTCTCGAATTTGAGCTCATCCCAACCCTAGATGTTCCATCTAATCATTTCATACATACGAAAATTTTCAAATTGAATTCGGACGAGCTCGGTTGAATTAACTCATACAAGCATTACAAAATAAAACATGCGTCACCCACCTAACACACCTACCACAAAACAACACTCCTTTTTATCACATAAAATCGGATAATAATATGTAACGAACTTTTTAGGCTCCCCCTCTCAATAACCAGCTATTTTCGCTCCTTAATTTAAAATTCAGTTTAATTTTGCCACGTTCTTATTTTTGGTTGGACAATTATAATAAAATTAAGTTAAAACTTAGCTATCTGTTTGTGTTTGGTCATCTTTGTTGAGGAGTAATTAATCAGCCATTGTAATGGCTTTTCTACGTTGAGGTGGCAGAGGCAAGAACATACCATTTTAAGCAAAAGCCAAGTCAATAACCAAACCAACCCAAAAACAAAGAAAGAAAAAAACAATTGCAGATATTTTCATTGCCTTTGCCTACTCTGTGGAAATAAGGAAAATCTTCCAAGCTTCGTAGAAACTGCTTGTGGGCAGCGGTGGCCAATCAATTGGGCTCAAAAGCTCACAAAACCAACCCCACACCCTTGACTCTCTCTCTCTCTCTCTCTCTCTCTCATTGTTGAAAAATGGGTGATGGAAAATAAAATTTTAATTTTGCAGTGACGGGTTTTGTGGACGATTTATAGCCTGAACAAGGACGCTCGATTGTCAAAGCAGAAGCTTCTTATTAGTAATGGGTTTCTATTTCTCTTCTCTCTCTCACACATGTATTTGTAGCCAAAATTACTAATCTTTTTCTACAAAGGCAAAGACCTATATTTTCTTTCATCCACGAGCAAATATAGCTCTAATGGAAGAAAACAGGGCTTATTAGATAGAGAGAGAAAGAGAGAAAGCGACAGAGGGAGAGAGTTGTATGTCAAAGAGAAAAAAAAAGCTTTAAATGCGAGTTGGTTGATGTGGTTTTCCCGTCTTCTATCTCTTCTCTTAAGGACTAAGCATACCTATCCCTTCTTTTATATATACACGCAGATATTGGTGACCTCTTTAAAGGGTTTAAATTTCATTGCTTTAAGATCAACAACATCCAGCTACAAAGGCTTTTATAAACCCAACAGTTTCTGACCCAACAATGGATTTTATTGCACACCCATCTCGGTTTTCTTCATCTTCTTCGTTTTCATTTGGGAATTTCTTTGAGAGGATCAAGGAATTTTGCAACTTTGCGGTCTCTGCGATTCTTGGGAACATTTTCTCTGCGATCTTCACCTTCTTCTTTGCATTAGGTTCGTTTTTCTCTTTGTCTCATTTGCCTTTCGACGGTTCATTCTCAGCCTTTTGTTTTTGTTTTATGTTATTGGGTTCTGTTTGTTCATTGTTGTCTTTGATGAAAGTTTTTGTCTTTCTTTGTTAATGCCTTACATGGGTGTTGCCTCTTGATCTGTTTCTGTCTTTTTGACGTCGGTACTGCAATTAATTGGATTTGGCTCTTGAATAATTGATATCTGCAACCAAGATCAAATTGTTTTCTGGTACTGACAGAGGAAAGGAATTCAATTTCATGCATTGGAATTTGTAGATTTTGTTAACAGAATTGAATTTCATTTGGGAGCATGATGCATGGGCTGATATGCCATTGATTTGTTAAATTCTAGCTCTAATTAAAGTAAAAGCTTTCACTTATAGACAAGGGTTTTTTTTGTGAATTCTTGTCCTTTTACATTCATCCAAATATGTCTGGATCCTTGGAACAGAGAGCGTTTTGGTAATTAAGACGTGTTTTATCTTAACATTCTCACAAATGGAAATGACATTTTTGTGTGCAGTGGGCACCATGTTAGGAGCTATGACTGGAGCTTTGATAGGCCAAGAGACTGAGAGTGGATTTGTAAGAGGGGCTGCTGTTGGAGCCATATCAGGAGCTGTTTTCTCTATCGAAGTGTTTGAATCTTCCCTTATTCTTTGGCAATCAGATGAGTCCGGAATTGGGTGTCTTCTGTATTTGGTGAGATTATTTGTTAGGGGGTCACTGCAAATTTTTCTCTTTAGAATGCATGAGTTTGGTGAATTTTATCTTCAAGCTTTAATAGAGTTGCAATTAGCAAATGCCATTATGAGTGCCTAATTCATGTTTTCTCATAAACTATGCAGATTGATGTCATTGCAAGTCTCCTAAGCGGTAGACTAGTCCGCGAACGGATCGGTCCAGCCATGTTAAGTGCAGTGCAAAGTCAGGTAATTTCCATACCTAGATGCTAGTTCTTATGTGAGAATCAACTCCAAATGCTAATTTATGTGCTTACTAATTTATTGTTTATTTCCTTGTGTTTAACCAGATGGGTGCAGTTGAATCAAGCTTTGATGAGATCCCCAATATCTTTGACACTGGTGGGTCCAAAGGGTTGCCTGGAGATTCAGTTGAAAAGATCCCAAAGATCATTATTACTAGCAACAATAATGTGGATGCTTCTGGGGAGAAAGTCTCTTGTTCAGTTTGCCTTCAGGTTAAAATCTTAAAGCCATATTGTTTTCTTCTTTTTTTTCTTCTCTCACAGGCTCTTAGGGTTGCTGTTAAATTTGAAACTTACTGATTGAAATTATGAATTTTTACATTATCAGGACTTTCAGCTTGGAGAGACAGTTAGAAGTTTGCCCCACTGCCATCACATGTTTCATCTACCTTGTATAGATAAGTGGCTCCTGCGGCATGGTTCATGCCCACTATGCAGAAGGGATCTGTGATCTGTGATGTGTCTGTAAATTACCAAATGAGTAAAGTTCTTTTATTGATCATACAAATTTTGTACCTTTTTTCATCTGTATTGTTGGCTAAAGGCTGCTCCAGTAGTTTCATGCTCTACACTGTGAGTTGATGTATAAATTTTTTGATAGTTTTTATTGCACAGCAACCCCTACTTTCATGGCACCACATTTACTCTTTTGTACTGGCAAGGACAATTGTGCTTTTGGTTGGTTAATGGTGGCGTGGCAAGGCATTTATAATTCACCTCTAGCCTCAGCCTAGAGGTGGAGGGCCCTGCTTGACATCAAGGCTCTATCTGCCAAAACAGATTCCATTGAAGAATTAGAAACGTTTCTCTTTTGCTGAATTGAAGAAGTAAAGACACTGAAAGAAGAAATGTATTTTGGATCCTGAGTTACTGGTGATCAGAGGTTCTTTTTTCTCCAGCATATTGGGATCCAATGCCAGAATTTGTCTGCAGAAGTAAAAGATGTTAATAACTATTTTACAAGGATAACTTAAAGCTATCTTATCCATATTTCCACTTTAACCCAGATACCAATTGCTCCTAAATTTTCAAATAAGCATAATGCTATCCTCCTGACATGTAAATTCTTCTCCTTCTGCGAAGATGCCTATTTTTCTCATCTGATCTGTGTGCGCAAGGACTGCAATTACTTTTCTTCTGATGCAAGTGATGGAGAATTAGTTGCCCCCACAACTGGGATATCTCGGTGTAAATTTTGCTGATAAAGTTATCTAATCTGGTAGGTAGGAACATTATATCACAAATAGAAAACACTTTTCTTTTGGATATGGTGTGTTTTTTAACAAGCAAAGTACAAACTTTCCAACCAGACAAATAATTAGGTAAAATTTTCTTCCCGGTGCATCAGATTTTATCCCATCCCTTACCAGACTGGAGATGAATTCTGACTCAAGTCAGTACTTAAAAAAAGGAAATCAGTCATCTACCACTAAAGATTGGGAAATCAAGAAAAGAGATTACAAGACTGGGATGGGATTGTTTTTCAATAAAATAATTCAGGGAATGCTGAGTTAGGTGCTTGTTTTATTTTTGTATTCGTTTGAACAGTACGGACGACGGGCAAAGTCATTAAAGCAAGGCATAAAATATCTTTGTAGCCATTGAGCCAGAAATTGCCACAACCTCCCATTGCAGAGAACAAGTAGAGTACAGTCATAAGCACTTCAGCTACCACATGAATAATTTAGAAATCTCAAATTAACATGCGGGCCAGTGATAGTGTGCATCTATCTATGGAAGCTTTAATTTCTTACCCTACATCTCTCACATTTATGAAAGTATGCATCTTTCAGTATGAGTAATTAATAACATGATAAGATCGCATGAATAGTAATTAATGCGAGACCATTTTCATCAACTTAACTATCCAATTCAATACTTTGAGTGAAATGAGGTCTAAAGCGACCTATAAAGGTGTGAGGTTTTATCTCAAATCTATCGATGTGATTAATGATGAACAACCTACTTTTTAACTATAGATCATTACGGTATTTTTTCAGCGTGAAATCACAACTAATTCTACATTTATAATTTGTATCGAGCTACACAACCTCAACTGTATCAAACTGTGATCGAGTGATAATATATTTTCCCTCTTAATAAAATAACCTGAGGTTAATGGTTTACATCTATAATTTCTGGTGGGCACCTTTTCTTTTCCAAGTAGCTCCTTCTTTTCTTTTCTTTTACACTCTGAAATAAATGCGCCTAGCTGCCACCTCAGGTGAAACCACACTCATCAACATGCGTGTATATGTCACCTTCAACATCCTTCGTGTCTTTACTCTCTGTACTTGCGGCTGTATTTGGCTCCTTCTTCCCAGTATCGTGTGGATAATTTGTTGAATCATGTGATCTTCTCACATGAGACTTTGTTTTTGCCTAGGGCTTTTTGCAAATCACCTGTAAAGCCATGGTCTCAAAGTAATTAACGTGACTTTGAAGCATAATTACAAATGAATACACTTTCATTCCATGTCGTGCTTGATAAACGAGAGAAAACCTAAGATGCGTGCATCAATTGAACAAAAGAAAAAGTGCATCAAGTGGGGCGGAATTAGAAATTTTTTCAGAACTTGCCGTAATTATTATTATTTGCATATATTTATGTATGAGTGGTTGAATGACTTTGTATAAGTAATTGTTCGGATGTAACGGACGTATTTATGCAAGGGTTGAGTGGGCTAATTTCCATTTAGTGGGATGAATTAACACCAAATTGTTGCACTTCAAAAACATTACATTGGGTTGGAGCCCACCTCCGCCCTAGAATAAGATCCGAGTCATCTCTATAAGATTATTTTTGAGCATATATATATATATTCTTTGATCAATTAAACTTCATGTATATGCGTCTATGAAAATTTGAAGTAACATGTTATAATACTCACTATTTTTTTTAATCTTATTATAGGAACATGTCATAATTTGAAGGGAGCATTTTGTCTTATTTTTCACTATTATTCGGTTTTCTTAATTTGTCTTAATCATAGCTTATTTGAACTATTTTCGTAAATTTTCGCCATTGTTTCTCAATTTTTTGTGGTACACAGGTTCTCAATTTTCGCCGTCGTTTCTCTCCCCCTCCCCAATTGATAACACGTGAATTGCCTCATATTTTTTTTTGTGGTGGACAAATAAATAAGGGCAAAATGTATTTATATATACATATTGGGTGTAATGAGAAAGAAGTTGGGTGCAAATAAAGTTGGTTTTGTACATAAATTTGTAAATTTAATTATCGTTTTTGCTTAAAACACCCCCAATGCTTAAGGGCTTGTTTGAAAGTGATTCGGTGATAGAAAGCGGTTTTATTATGCTAGGATGATCTGTTTAATATGTCTTACAAATATACTAATTATAACTTCCTTTCTCAAAAGAATCTAATGCAAACCAAATACTAAGGACATGGTATCCAAAGCATCCAAAGCTAATCAGGTCAATACACAAAACCAATTGCACATAAAGACATCGTATAGCTTCAAATCATCAATACTGGACCCATGCAAATTATTATGTATACAATTTTTAAAGAAATAATTTCTAATATTTACCTGTCAAAGATTAATTTGTATAAATATAACAAATAGCATTCATGTCAATTTGTTTCTAGTTGGGTGGGGGAAATATTTTGCAATTAATTAAAAAGATGAATCAGTCGTTTTGGATGCATACTCTACCAATAAACAGTTTTTCTTCATTTGTTTTTTTTTCCTGCCATTGTCACTGGTGCTGTTTGCTTGCATAATAAACATTATTTTTCATTTGGGTTTTTTTTTCTTCCTTTGTCTAAGTCAAATATTTTTATTGATATTAATATTTCTTTTGTGGATTGTCACTGACATTTTTTTTTATGCCTAATTATCTTGTTTAGAGATTGCAGAAGCTTAGAAACACTTTAGGGGTTTCATGGTGAAATGACCAAAATGAAAAAAAAGTCACAAAGCATAAGGAAAGATAGTTTGGTCCGGGACACTAATTTACATAATGATATTGTCATCAAATTAACTATAATACCTTGGATGAGATAAGGCCACTCATCTAAGTGTGGGGTTTTATTTCGAAAAACCTCAGTGATCATAACCACTCTCATATCCATGATTTTTATCGAACCACACAATCCTAACACTCCATATCGTGTCGATATTTGATAATATATAATCAAATATTGTAAATTGATACCCTAACCAATCACTCCCCACTTTACATACTAATTTAATTTTTGAATCATTTAACTATAACAACCAATATACTTAGGAGCAAACACATGTCAGTTTTGAACTTAAGAAGCATGGGAATTCTATGCTTCTTATAGCAGGAAATGTACAGTCATGCAAACATCAATTCACATATACGTATAGATGCATATGTTATTTTTGGCTTATATGCCGTCTTAGCATGTAAGACCTAGTCATAAGTGATGACTAGAATACTGACTCTTTGAAACCATAGACTTGTTTTTATAAAAAAATTAAAGAAATAATAGACTTGTTATATATATTTGAAAACATTAATTAGCCGGCAGATGATCAGTTTGTGATCAGCTTATATGCACTAACACTTTCCAATATTCCTTCCTACCTCTCTCTCTCTCTCTCTCTCTCTCTCTCTCTTCAAGGAAGAAAAATTTATTAGTTTGATGCAGATGAGCAGATATAGAATGAGCAACATGTTTTAAGAACAATTTGAATTAATTTCTTATTTGGTGTGACAATGGCAATGCAGCGTTATTTGGCAGTGGCTTCACCACCATCTCCAAGTTCTGGTCATTCTCATCAAACTCATTTATTGGGAGGCTTTGTTGTTGGCATTTTGACAGTCTTGGTGGTTGCTTTGTTATTTTACTTGATCAAGACGAAGCTCTTACCAGCTCTCAGGCACAGGCAATTACCACAGAAGCTTGGGCAGAAAGGTGAGCAGAACCCTCAGTTTGCAGCAATTAACATTTTCCCGTTTCTAAGTAATTATAGGCCCCACCAAGTTAACTCAATTCTGCACACTCTTCTTGGAAAACCATGAAAGAAATAAGATTGCACGTTGTTCTAGCTTATTTGGCTAGGTAATATTCTCTTAATTATCAAATATTATCAAATGTACCACATGTTATGTTATTTGAGTGTCAAATTAAACATCGTGGATTAAAATTTAAAAATAAGAATTTACTAACGCTTCAAATTGTTTGATAAGAGAACATTAGTTACAATTTTTGTAAAATGCAAAGACCTTGAACTAAAATTTGGGGTGTGACTTCATTTGTTTGTCTATTAGGAAATTTGAAAGAAGAGAAAATATTGCTCAGGCGGTTCCAATTAGAGGAACTGGTGAAGGCCACCAAGAACTTCAGCAAAGATTGCTTGTTGGGTTGTGGTGCTTTTGGAAGTGTCTACCAGGGGACTTTTGATGATCTGCAGACACTAGCCATTAAGCGAACCCACGCTGATTCGTTTCAGAGTGCAGAAGAATTCAGAAATGGTGAGCCTGAACCAATATATAATAAATGTGTCACACATCAGAAGAGATTAAGATTCACAAGTTGCATATTAATCTGATTTCTGTGTAGTGTTTCCTTGAACAGAAGTGAGGCTACTTTCTAAGGTCAAGCACAGAAACCTTGTAGGTTTGGTTGGATTTTGTGAAGAACCATCTGGTACTTGCATGCATTGTGCAATTTTCAGGTCTTGCCCTCTCTGTTTCCATAAATACTTCCTGCATATTAATATGGCTGAATTGTGATTTGGGATAGGAGCAAGAGGAGGAAAAGTTTTGATCTATGAATATGTACCAAATGGTTCTCTACTTGATTACTTTATGGGTATGTTCCTTCGCTTACCTGAAAATTAAACATACTTTGTTACATGTTAATCTTCCTATTTAATTAGTAAATTTATATGTAGGAAGAAAATGGAGGAGCTTAACTTGGAGGCAAAGAGTGAACATAGCCATTGGAGCAGCAAAAGGTTGGTTGCATACAGATTTTATGCTACAATTAACCGGTTACGTTTACAGAAAGAAAAAAAAAATGATGATAATAATAAAGTTGGTTGTGAAATTATACAGGCATTGCTCATTTGCATGAAGGGGTCAGCCCAAGCATAATCCACCGTGACATAAAGCCGAGTAACATCTTGATAGGAGATGGATTTGAAGCCAAGGTTTCAGATTTTGGACTGGTGAGATCCGGGCCAACTGGGGATCAATCACATGTCAGTAGCCAAATCAAAGGAACTCCAGGATACCTTGACCCTGCCTATTGTTCAAGTTTCCATCTAACCCCATTCAGTGATGTCTATAGCTTTGGTGTCATACTTCTGCAACTTGTTTCTTCCCGGCCTGCAGTCGATCTAACGGGACATCGCCCTAAACAACATATCATTGACTGGGTAAAATAACTTAAACGTTGTTCATTGTTAGAATGTAAGAAACTTAAGATCTTTCTAATCCCAATAGGGTAAACCAACAAACTTCATCACTCATTGCTAAAAAGGACTGCAGAACATTAGCCTTTGTTTTGAGTTCTAGTGAATAAGTATTGTGTTCTTGAATGCAGGCAAGGCCTAGCATAGAGCGTGGTCGTGTTGAGGAGATTTTAGATGCTAATCTTTTAACAGAGCCATGCAACACAGAGATGATGCTAAAGATGGGACAACTTGGCCTACGATGTGTTGTAAAAGTACCCAAAAACCGTCCTACAATGTCCGAAGTGTGTCAAGAACTTGAAGAGGCCCTCTACAATGCAGACAACTTATTCATCAACAAACAGCCTTCAAGGGAGTCTCGAAGATCAACTGGCTCTCGTCGACCAACAGAGCCAGGGCATAAAAGATCGATCGACTACGATCAGTCTCAAAACTCCGTGAGCATAGATGGCATTGGATTTCAGAGGTTTCATGTGGACATAGATAGCCTCTCCTTTCAGAGCACAAGCTTAAGGTGTTTGGAGTTGGACAATAGTAGTATCAGTATCGACATTGATAATTTCGAAGATATACATGAGGAATCTAGTAGAGAAAAAGAATTAAACATGTAACAGATGTAAGTTGATGCCCATGTTTTTCTTTCCTTTGTGTGCGCCTCTGTGTGTGTGTGTGTGTGTGTGAGAGAGAGAGAGAGAGAGAGAGAGAGAGAGAGAAGTTCCAGTGTAACTGTGCTTCTGATTTGTGGGTATATTGTGAATTTGCTGAAGTGTGATATATCATCAATTCCTTAAGTTCCATTGTATCTGTGCAGATTGGGGGTACATTCTGAGTTGCTTGAGTGCAATATATTCTCATTCCTTTAAGAAGCACTATTATCTGTACTTTATATAAAAACATTTCGAAAACTATATATTGGCTCTACACAGCAAGGGCCTGCAATATATAATCATTTCAGTGAGCAAGTTTGATACAACCTATCATATGAATAAATTCTTAAAGGTTCCTAACATTCTCAAAAACCTTTGTGCATCCGCCACATCTATCATCGGCTTCTACAAGTCATTTTATGATGGGTTGTTATTTTTTTCATCGAATCCCATTGTGTTTTCACTGAATGCTATAAGGCCATCATACATTTTCATAGCACTCTTTGAAAACCCGGCCAAGGCTTCAAAAACTGAAGAAAACCCTGTCTGAAATCCATTCACAGCAATATGTTGTGTCTCATGCATACTGGAATGATGTTTCACCTTCTCTGCCTCTAGCCTCTTCCTAAACATGTCCAACTGGTCCTTCATCTCACTCAAATACTCGATGCGATTCCGTACATGCAGTTCTGTTTCCTGCTCAGAAAACTTCAACCCAAGAACCCTTCTCTCTGTCCTTTCAAATGCCAAAACCTTCCTGTCAAGTTCTCTGGCAAGTCCATCAACCTTCCTCTTTTGTTGATGCTCTTCACCTTGTTGAACCATCAGGGCTCGGACATCCTTCCCAAAGCTTTTCATGGCATAAGTCACTGCTTCATCAGGTAGCTTATCCAGGCAAGCTAGCCAATCATGACAGATTCCAAGTAATGTTGGCCCCTTGACTCTACACGTTTGAAGCGAAGACATACCCTTCAAGTGGAATTCAGTTTCAGGGGTAACAAACTTGAAGAGCCAACCAGCAAGAGCTTCAATATACGCCTTCTGTGAAGAAACATACGAAGCAAAGCAAGCACGCCAATTTTGAAGTTCTGCTTCAAGCTTAAGAGTAGCAAGCTGGTGTGAGTCATTGCAGAACATTCCATAGGATGGAAGGTTGAGAGATTTCACTTCAGACATGATTCTGTTTTGGGTTTCATGAGATTCTGACAGTATCTTCCAATTTCTCATTAGGCTGCAGAAAATGGGAACCGGAGGTTATAATAAAATTCAAAACAGGCTTCTTATACCTTACTAACAAAATTCTGACTTCTATCTTACCCATGTAGCAGATCAACAAGTTGTGGCTGCAGCTCTTCATCTCTGAGTTTTTGGATTCTTTTGGAGATTGATTCAGCACTTCTTATGGCAACCAAAATTCTGGTATACAAGTCTTGTACTTCAACTACAATTTTGTTCCCAGTGTTGAGGCCATCTCCTCTAGTATCTTGGTTTCTCAACTGGGAGCATTTTCTCTCATATATTCTCCTGGTTTCTTCTCCAGCCTGAATATATAAATTGAAAGATGGTGGTCATATATTCTCAAATTATTTTGTGTGTCCAAATGGAAAGGGAAACAAAGAACCCAAAAACTGATAGCTCGTCTGCATTTGTAAGCCTGGACCAATTTCATCTTATACAATTTAACTCATAAGAAGCAGAAGTCAAATACATTAATCTAATATCATTAGGCTACCAATGTAGATCATCCATCCCAAGAAATACGAACAATCATATAAAAGACTAAATGAAGCAAAGGAATGTTGGATTCGTATTCTACCTTCACCTCCTCAAAGAGTTTCTTCTCCCAAGCATATAGCCTTCCTAGTGTTAACGAATGACTCCCAGATCCCATAACTCCATTGTCATCAAAGAGATCATTATTGAATTGAGTCCACGTTGAAGAACTTTTGGAGCTAGATGTAAGGAGACTTTTACAGGAGGAAGACCAAGATAATGTGGATGAAGTGGAGCGGCTCCGTGTGATTGACCGCATGAGCTTACTTGAATTTTCTGCACCCAAAATCATAGATGAATTGATAGTAGAGCTAGAATATGATGGGAATCAGTAGGTCTGCAATTTGCTGCACACGACAACGATAACTGATTCAAGTAATTCATGGAATACCAAATAAAATGTTCATGGGACAACTTGACCAGAAGCCAAGTTACTGACCTGAAAGCCATCAAAGGTAAAAAAGGATGGGAAAAAGATCACAAAGAGATGTAATTTCAACAGTTCTACATATGCACAAGGGAAGTAAGTTGGTTTTTTTTCTTTTTTTTGGGGCATAAATAGGATGGATATATGTTGCTGGAAAAATTGCAACTTTTTTCTTATGCAATCAGTAATATATCTCAAAAGGTCTTATAATCAAACCCCACATATAGACATGAATTTACCATGAAAATAAAATAACAGACAATGCATTTGTTGAGGGAAGACAGATATAAAAGAGAAAGAACCCACCTTTAATTTCCTCCAAGGCAGATTGCATTTGAACCATGTTGGTCTCTAGCATCCTGGAAACATCCAAACCAGAATCATAGGCCCTAAGGAAATGGTCCTCAACATCTTTCAATGCTTCCAACAATTCCCTCCCATTTGTGGGTGTATCAATCACCCTGAGACCATTTTGCTCCCCTTGGCTCACATTAGCATCCTCTCTTTCTGTCACAGCCTCAGTCCCACCATTCTCTTCCTGACCCACATCACAATTACTTAAATCTCCAACCTTCTCATCACTTATTACTCTTTCTCCATCATCTTCCAACTCAGGAATCCCTTCTTTCTCTCTCACCAGTCTCAAATCCTCATCAGAGTTCTGACTCAACCCATTTCCCATCTCTGTTCTCACACCATCAAAGAATGGATTAAAGAAATCCCAACCAAAATCTCTCTGTGGTGATGCCATTGTTGGAGCCATCCCACTATAAAAATGCTCACAAGCCACTTCCTCCTCATCAGTCTCACTATCATCATCACCACCCTCTTCATCTTCTTCTCTGCCATTTGGGTTTTCTTGCAGTTGTTTTTCTTTATCTACCTTTGGAGGGCTTATAGAATTTGCAGAATCAGAAAATGGGCAACCAATGGTTTGGTAGTTGGGTTCAGATGGCCTCTGTTGAAGGAACATGGGGTTGTTGGAGATGATGGTCTCAGTGGTCTCAGAGGAATTAGTAGAAGGAAAAGTGATGAGAAATGGAGAAGAAGGAGAGGAATGTCTTGCTACAAACAACCTTATGGCAGCTGCTACTGCATAGAGAGAGTGATTGTACTTGCATTGTGCATCTGCAAACGCATACCTGCACTCTACAGCCAATTTCAACTGCCGTTTTCTCTCTTTACAAAGCAAAACTACATCTTCTTCTTCACCTTTCTTAGACACAACACAACCCATATCTCTGTTTCCTTGGAATTTAGAGATGTTCGTAGGTAAAAGGGGTTTGGTTCAGCTTGGTTCAGTGCAAAACAGAAGGTGGGTTATGCTAAACAGTAAAACTAAAGCTGAAAGCTGTGGCCTTTGGTAGCAGAGAGAGAGAGAGAGAGCGCCCGAAAGTGGTATTGGAAAAGCTGTTGAGAATCACATCATATCAATATAACCGATACACCACTGTATAAGTTTGTCCTCTGCCCCTGGCTGAAACATGGAGGTGGGTTTGGTTAAGTCTTTTAGCACAGGTTTTGGTGGGAAAGTAAGAGAAAAAAAAATATGGGTTTGTCAGAAAATGAGCCAAACTGATATGGCAACCAAAATCTCACATACCACTGCATATAATAAGAGGAAGTTACATAAAAATCTGAACCAAAAGTAGCCCACTTGCTTCCTTACCATTCTGAGAGTCATGTTTAGCTGTTCTGTTTAATGCAGTCTGAAAAAACTGAAAAAACTTTACTTCCCTGCCATATCTAGAGACATATTTAGATTCCCACATTAGCAATTTAGCACATAATTAAGGGTTAATTAATTAATTAACAAGGGTCTCTTGCTTAGTTGGTGTGTTTAATGTTCCATGAAGGCATGCATGCATGAATAGTTGCCATTTGTCAGTCAAAGACTGAAACTTGGTATAAAATGTTTTATGGGGTGGCTCATCTGTCTGTCACCCCATATAATTAAGAATTTTTATGAGAGGGTTAGTGAGTTCTCTGCACCTTCTTCTTACATTCCACAATATTCCTTGTTCAGCTGAATTAAATAAATCTATCTTAGAAAGAGAACAAGATAAGAAGATTTGTATATTGAGAAATTGTTGAGATGCCCATAAAACCATATCTCAGTAGAGAAGACCTAAAAAAACCCACCATTAAGCTAACTAATGGGGGGAGAATTGGTCTACCAAAAGTCATATTTAACTCTTCCCATTAAGGAACACTGGCTGCACGAATCAAACTTTTGACCATGGCAGGCTTACCCAAAAAAAAAACCTTGACCTTGGAAGAAGGCAAAATGTGTACGGATGTAAATAGCCCCACCCACCTCTTTTTTACCATCAATTGCTTGCATTCTACCCGGGTCAAACTTTTGAGTACTTATTAATGTTGGTTCCATGAGCTCGCATCACATGAATTGATTGGGATTTGTACTTGGAAGATCTGTTATACTTATGGTGGTGAGTTAGTCAAATGGATTGTGCCAGTTGATTAGGCTACTGTCTTTTTACATTTACGTTTGAATTTTCTTATCTGTAAGTTAAATTAATTTAAATTATCATTTGCATCAAAGCAAAAATATCAAAGAGCTCAAAATTATAATTGAGGGTAAGTAGAAGCCACATGACATGTTTAATTAGAGTGAGGTTAATAGAAGAGTTGAAGGGTTAAAATTTTATGGACAATACTTCCCTCCTTACCCATAAAGAGGAATTCCTTATGGCCTAGTGATGTGGCTCAATCACAAACTAACATGTGCTTTTTTTTTTCTTTAAAAATATTTTTCTTTCTTCTCTTTTATTATTCATAATTGAATTCTTTTTTTTTTAATTGCTTTCATCTATACCACAAACCATCTCTTTAGTTTTTCATAACTAGGCAAGGAGACATTATAGATGCATTTTAATTTCGTATTCTACGGTCTCTACAACTCAAAGTTTGCTTGATTAAAAATGTCTATATCCTTTCAAAAAAAAACCTCTATAAAGAAACTATGCCTACCAACATTGTCAATGGTAATTTGGATGAAGGTGAATTGTTGGGGTTGGAGTTAGAAAAGTCCACAACAAATGTAAAATTTAACTGAGGTATGAAATAAAAAAAGAAATTAGTTATGCTAATGAAAGAGAAGGGAAAAACACTTTTGAGACTACTAAAAAAAACATGTCAATTTGTGATTGAGCCACATTTCTAAGAGGTCCTCTTTATAGGTAAGGAGGGAAGTACTTCAGGGACTGCAAACAACTTTTTTGTTTCAACAAATACACAGAGATTAGCTTGGCAGATTGAAACAGGAAGGTATACCGCTCTAATATTATGGATAATTGTGCCTAGAAAGCTCTCTCTCTCTCTCTCTCTCTCTCTCATATAGTTTTATGTGAATATGCTATGTCACAGTCACAGTGATAAAAAGCCACTCTTGGAAATCTTAATCTATTTACTCTCTTTTAAGAGAGATTAATAGTAATACTGACTTAATTATGAATAATTATAGATGGACCACATCACATGGTAAACACTATATATTGTTTTAACGAATCCAGAAAACTCATGGTCCTGCACAGATATTGCCTGCACTCAAAAAGTTTCCATGATAGGTAGGTAGGTAGGCTGGCTTTTGTATATTCTGTTGTCCCCAGCCAGCCATCGTTTGTTCAGATTTGACTATTGGATTCTTGGGCTTGACAACAGACAAAAGGTAAAATAAAAAGGATTCTTGGGAATCACCAGACTGATATAAAGAAGTTCATCCAAAAGACAGAGTGCATCAGATCAAGTTCCAGCAAAAAGAAGGAAAAAAACACAAAGCATGAATCAATTCTTAAAATTTCCTCCAAAATAAAAATAAAAATAAAGTACCTAGCATTCTAAAAACCCTTTATGCAATTTTTTTTTGTTCATCAGTCATTTGTCATCTACCCTTATTGGATTCTCACTGAATCGCACGGAATGTCATTCTATCCTAAAAGCTCATCATAAATTTTCATGGAAGTCATGGAAAAATCGGCCAAGGATTTAAAAACTGACGAAAACCCACTTTGAAATCCATTCACATACATATCATGTGTCTCCTTCATGGCGGTATGATGTTTCGCCTTCTCTTGCTTTAGCTCGTTCTCTAAGCCATCCAAGTCGTTCTCCATCTTTTTCAAGGGCTTCATCTGCTTTTGCTCATGCGGTTTATCTTCTTGCACGCGAAATAACTTTAACTCACTCATCTGTTTATCTAGTTCTAGTTTCGAAGCCTGCATACGAAGTTTTTCAGCAAGCCCATCAACCTTCCTCTTTTGTTGATGCTCCTTACCTTGTTGAACCATCAAAGCTTGGACATGCCGCCAAAGCTTTCCATGGCACCAGCCACTGTTTTATATGGCAGCTTATCTATGCCGTCTAACCAATTATGACATATTTCTGTTGTTGGTAGGACGCTTACTCTACACAGTCGAAGCGAAGACCAATTCTCTGAGTAGGCTTCGGTTTCAGGAGCATCAAACTTAATCATCCAACCATCAAGAGCCTCAATGTATGCTTTCTGTGAACAAACATATTGAGCAAAGCAAGCACGCCATTTTTGAAGTTCTACTTGAAGCTTTTGAGTTGCAAATTGTTGTGACTTTCCATAAGATGACCACTTGAGCCATCTCACTTCGGACATGATTCTGTGTTGGGTTTCATGAGTTTCTGACATGATCTTCCAATTTTTCATCAGCCTGCAGAAAGTGGGAAAGAGAGGTTATAACAAAATAATTCAAAAAAATTCAGACTCGTCATGTATTACAAATAAATTTCTGACATCTATCTTACCCTTGTAACAACTCAATAAGTTGTGGTTGCAGCTCCTCATCTCTCAGTTTTCGAATTTCTTTAAATATTGATTCCGCATTTCGTTTGGCAACCAAAATTCTGGACTGCAATTCCTCGAATATTGGGAGCATTTTCGATCATATAATCTCCTGGTTTTCTCTCCAGCCTGCACATAAAAATTTAAAGATGATTCAAGTTATTCTCAAATTATCTAGGTTGACCATATGAAGGAGGGAACACACAAGCTAAAACAATCCTATAAATTAATGATCAAGTTATGAGAAATCCTTAAAACTGAATAAAGCAAATAATTCTTAGATTCATATTTTACCTTCACCTCCTCATAGAGTTTTTGCTCCCAAACATATAGCGTCCCTAGTGTTAACGAATGGCACTTGGATCCCATTGCTCCATTGTCATCAAAGAGACCACCATTCAAAGGGGTGATTGTTGAAGAACTTCTGGTGCTACATCTAAGTTTCGGGAGGAAGACGAAGATAATATAGATGAGACGGAGCGGCTTTTTTTGAGTTTACTTGAGTTTTCTGCACCCAAAATCATATAAACATGAATTATACACCATGACCAAGCAAATCAAAATAACAAAAAGGGCTTTAAAAGAGAAAAACCCACCTTCAGTTTCCTCCAAGGCAGATTGCTTTTGATCCATGTTGGTGCCTAGCATCCTGGAAATATCCAAACTGGAATTATAGGCCCTAAGGAATTGGACCTCAACCTCTTTCAATGCTTCCAACAATTCCCTCCCTTCTCTCACAGCCTCATCATTCAGCAAAACTAACCCCAATTCTTCCCCATCAGTCCCAGCATTATGATCCCTATTCTCTTCAACTTCTCTTTTTTTCTCTGTCTATCTCTGAAGAAGAGCTTCTAGAAATTCCAGAATCAGAAGAAGGGTAAGCATTGGTGTTTTTGGTTGGTTCAGAATCAGAATCAGATGGAGAGGAATGGCTTTTTACAAACGACCTTATAGCATTTGCCACTGCATACAGCGACAGGTTATAATTGCGCTGTGCCTCTGCAAACGCATACCTTATCTTCACAGCCAATTCAGCTGCCGCTTTCTCTCCCGACAAAGCAAAACCACATCGTCTTTTTTACTTTGCTTAGAGACCTTGCCACCCATGTCTCTGTTTCCTCTGAATTTCGCTTAATTCTTTAGAACGGGCTTTGGCGGGAAAGTAAGAAAGAAAAAGTTGGGTTTGCAGAACTCAACTGAAGTTACAGGCTTAGAGAGCTTCAAATATTGTCTTTGTTTGTTTCATGGAGGGGGTATATTTACACAAGTACGAAAGAAGTCCTTGTTTCAATGGGTGATTGTAACTTTAATTTTGGGCAACTCTTGTTCTTAGCCGTTATGGCAGTGTTTGGTCATCCCTTTCCTTGCAATCATGGGAGAGTGTTGAAAAGAAAAAGGGTAAGTTTCTGGGGTTCGAAACCAGAAACCTCTTTCCATGCAGAAAGTGAAAATTTACTTTCCTTTTTTACTTTTGAAGTTTTTGGGCACTGCAATCAACATCATACAGAGCTTTCCATTTCCAGGGCTGTCCTTCTACATGATTTACAAAACCCAATGCTCTGCATGAAGTACACAGAAAAATAGAACAGAAAACGAATTCGCAGAAAAGATTTCCTCAAGAAAGAATCTCGTGTTTGTCATCTTTGAAGCTCTACATCTTTGATTCTTTCCTTATACCTCTGCTCAAGATCTCAGAAACTAAAGTAACATACATGTTCAAGTTAATTGTTACATTGTACAGTGAAAAAAAATTGACTGCACCTTCCCTTATCTCTCTTGGATTTACAAGCTGATGGTTCACCGGAGCTCTCAGAAGGACTCAACAATAGGTACAATATTACATGAGCCGGCTTCATGAGGTTTCCATGGAAGGGGCAAGAGTTTTTGCAGGTATATTAATACCACGTCCTCTCACAGACAAACTAGGGCCTCTAGCTGAGCTGGCTCTGCTCACAAGGTTTGAGTCAAGAAATACGACTATGACTGTTATGTCATCATGGAAATGCCGGCGGACACCACGCTCTATTTTCTTCAAATCTGAGTATCTCATTTCTCTTTTCTTGGCTGCTTCCTGCAAGGCAGTTTTCACAAGCCTCCGAGCACTTCCCTGAAAAACAAGAAGAGAGTAAAGTCACATTCCGTCTCTTATTTACCAATCATAATATGATGTTTCAATTCTACACCATTATTTGCTGCTCCTGCATTGTTAATCATACACCTATCAATACAAGCATATATATCCCCCTCAAAGCCTGCTTGCCCATCTAACAACTTGTTTATTATCAGTAACAGCATGTATGGGCACACTGATCCTATCCTAGCCAGATAAAGCCCAAATATAGTACACCGCACAACTAGCTATTCCATTTAAATAAACATATTAAAGCAAAACAGAAATTGCATCCAACATTGAGACAAGTATGTTACGCTGCGTGGGTGATTTTGAACTATATCAACCGCTTCCTGGTTGCTAAGGTGCTCCCACAGCCCATCAGAAGCAAATATGACAAATTGATCATGTGTTTGAAGTTCATGTACAGAGATCGATGGTTCAGAGCTTAAAATTGGCCTTTTAAAAGGTTCACGTAAGCGAAATTTGGTATACAAAGGCTCCCTGTTAAATTCAGCCTTTTTCAGATATATGTCACCAATCGATCTAGAAACCTGCAAAAGACAAATATCCTTTTTCTTTAAAAACAACAATTATCAATAACAATAAAACATTCAATTATGAATCATAAATTTTGATCCATTAAACACCAAAAATAAAGAAATGTTTAAAATATTTCACCTCGAATAATAAATTTGATGCATTAAAAACCTTAAATAAATAGCTCTTTTAAAGGGACTTCTCCTAAATAATCAGAGATCTCCACACTATTCCATTAAAAATAGTTCTACAAAGTTCAAATTGTGCTTCTTTTTTCTGAAGGGATAATGTAATCAATCTGCTGAACACTGGTAACACCTGCATGTGCTCAATCATTTCTACTATTGAAGTATTAAAATAATAGCAGCTCTAAGTCAATCTAAGTCAACCCTGATAAAATCAAAATTTATCACTGCTTAAACCACTCTCAGGCCAGGTACTCACGGATAATGTCAATAATTACCCATATGACATCTTTATTCTTCAAGTAAAAGCAAAAATTAGCCTACAAGTCTATCTACTAGCTCAAAGGTCTAAGTACCCGACATGAAGCCAACATCTTAGCCTCCTGACATGTGAGATATTAATACCACTTTGTACTATTAAGGACCACAGTTCTCTTCCCAAGAATCCCAAACTGCTTAGTCATTTCAATCTTCTTGTTGAACCATTAAACAAGTCAATATCAGGAATACAAAATCTGTCATGTATAATTTAAGATGAAACTATAAAGAACATGCTTTCAGTGAGATGGAAACCCTTTACGCGTACTGAAGTACCTGTATCAATCCCTTTACGCGCCATACATTATGCTTTAAAACTACAATATGTGAGTCATCTGGGTGCAAAGAATGCATCTCCTGTCTGACAGATTCTATGGCCACATTGTGCTCTGATGACAGCTGGATGGCACGAACCTCCCCAGTAGCCTTCATAACTCTCCCCAGCACAGCTCGGGAGTCACCAACATTGGCAATGTAAAGGGTGCCACCACAGATCACACCAACAAGGCAACAAGACCCAACAGCTGCAATTTGGGGTTTCATAGGCCACTGTTTGGTAACAACAGAGAGGAATCCCTCTTCTGTCGCTTGATATGCTTTCCGTATCACATCAACTGACATGGACTGTTGCTCTGATGTGAATCCTAAAAAAAAACAAAGTCATCAGCAATGACTTCATTCCAATCTCAAGACTCATCACTGAAATATCGATAATACACATCCCCTGAATTGTAGTAAGGAGATTCATTTAATTCTGGTAAAATGAATCCTAACATGAACGAGTTTGAGCGAATCCAATTTATTCATGCAACAAAAACTTTTATACTAAAAAGCTCATCTGGATCTTAATGTAGCTTACTTTTTAGATTCTGGAATAGGTGATCATTGATGTATCGGGAGGTCTCAGGACCGCCATGACCATCATATATTCCAACAAAGGTGCCATATGGGCCAGACTCCAGCGTGCTCAAGGGACCAGACTCAACCTGACTCTGATCCTCAAGCAAACTGTTGGCCTGTACAACAGCCATTGAAAATTCACCATTCAAGTGTTGCCCGTTGTCTTTGTACCAAAGTAACCCATCTTGTCTGCCAACTGCATCCGAACCTGGCTGTACATATCGGTCCGAGGATGGCAGCCAGCAGGCCCTCAGAAAGTTCATCAACCTTGATAACATCCCTCATTTCACCTGGGCCAGCCTCCAATGCTTCCACATCCAAAATGGATGCAAAATCACTCCCAACCAAAGACCCCACCACCAGCCTCCTCTCCTGAAGAACAAAAAATCTACTATAAAAGGGAAAACAGCCAGTTAATATAGGCAATAAAATCCCTAGCTCACGAAATTTGATCATATACTTGACCACAGAATCAGCTTAATATGTAAATTCAGTTAACAGTCTCGTTCAACCACGATGATAAAATCAGGTACAAAACATCAACCCATCCACATTTCTGCTAACAGGCTCAGAGGGACCATGACCCACATGTTAATACTACCTTGAAATGAAGAAAGCAACATAAGCAACAGAGAGTTTTGGGAAACAGTGGTAGTCATATCTACCTCTCTATATCTCACACTTCAACCATACAATTATTCACACACTCAAAAAAAAATTCAGCGACTTTATAACATCCACTAACAAATTACTAACCTTTTTGATAAACCAATCACAAAAATAACAACCCAGAAGAGAAAAAATTTGAGGGAAAGAAACTCAGAGTGTAAAAGTAGGCAGTTTGATGAGTTGAGGTCAGCTACTGAATCGTGGCTGATGAAAACGATGGAGATCTAAATGAAACAGAGCAATACATGTGGGTATTAACGCGTTAGATCTGTAGATCCATCAAACCAAAAACTGTGGGCAAAAGGGTTTTTGGATAGGGATCACTTTTGTTTATCCTGGGATTAACTTGCTCGACTGGTGGTTGTTTTTTTTTCTTCTGAATTTGGGTTTTTCTTGTGGGTGACGCAGAAGGTAGAAGAAGATAGAGATGATTTAACAAAAGAGAGCTCTCAATCAGTGTGATTGAACGAACTGAAACTCTTTTGCTCTCTCTCTCTCTCTCTGTTGTGGTATTTTTCAGCAGACAAACCCCTATAAAGGAAAACGAACAAAGCGATGGCTGAAAGCCAGCAATGCATATGGGCAGCCATGGGCTCCACATATAACCAAAGAAAGAGAAAGTAGATAGAAAGAGAGAGAATAATTTAATAAATAATATTTTATGATAAAATCAAAATATAAAAATCTTTGATTTTCATTTGCTCATATTCTAAATTGGGTATATTTTCATCAATCTATAGTGAGAAAAGGATTAACATTTTTATTGTGGAGGAAAAAAAGTACTTTTCTTTGTAGTGGATTTTAAAAAAGTGCTTTTGTAAACCATTTTTTTCAAAAAGATTGCTAGAGTGATAACTATGACATGTTATATTTAAGTTGGTTGTTATATAAAGGATCTCAAATGATCATTTATGATTCAATTAGCAATATGGCATCTATTATCATTTGCTTATTGTCTTGACTTTTTTTAAAAGCAAAAGTTGACTTTTGCTGCAAAATAATTTTAATTGGAAATACAATACTTTATTTCTTAATAACTTTTTTATTTTTTTAATTGAAACACATTGCTTGTAGATTTTTGTTACGTGTTGTTTGAGTTAATGTTTAAGGTTTTCATAACCAATTTTGATTCTTGAAGATGGGTTGTGTTTGTGAGCCTGTGACTTCCTTGCATAGGTGTCCAAACGTCAAGGGTTTGGGGACACGTGTCTACACACAATCACGAGAAAGTGGCAATCATTTTATGGAGTTTTGGAGGGTTTAAAGTAAAATAATATTTATAAAAAAATCCAGATTTTTTATAAAATTTGTGCCCCCAGAAAATGAACAAGATCTATTCATTTAAAAACCATTGTCGCATTTTGTGGCGCCAATTCCTTTTTTTTTTTTTTTTTTTATTATTTTGTTAAATTATTGTTTTTTGATTGGCAAACGACAAAGTTAGGCTGTCGTTTGAGCATATGTGTCAATGAATATCCCAAAATAAACCAGTTGCAAAATATGATTTTTATCATATTGCATCTGTATGCAATGATGCATTTTAGTACACCTGTTTGACATAAGGGTTGACGTATTATTATTAGGTGCACATTTCATATAAATTTTACATGAAATTCTGAAGTTATGAGGTGCCACGATCACTTCGGATCAAGTGTGGTTCTGTTCTTTATAACATCTTATCGCACCTGACATGCAATTCATTTTTTGTTGTCGAGTCATACTTTATACACATACATACTCACTGAGGAGTGTAAGTTGAATCGAAAAGTTCATTATACCGAAATTTGAAGTCTTGCTTGCAAAACCCTAATTAAGGAAGTACTTGTGTGTCAAAACTCATTGTTGACTATGATTTATGCTTTGGTACTTTGGGATTTGAAGGATGTAGTTGAGTGGTTTTATGCCCACCGACATTAGAGGTAAGACCCTCTCTTGCATTGTTCACAGTCAACACAAGAAAACGACCAAACCGACCACTTGCTTTCTCTTTTTATCTTATTCATATTTTTAAACATGAAAATGGGTTTAAAATTCGTGAAACTACAGCATATCCTTTTTAGGACCATTGCAATCGTAATTCAATTCACACAAGAAAGGCAAAGACCAAGCCGACCAATTATTATTATTTTATTTAAAATTTAAATAAGTAAATATATTTATTGTTGTTGCCTTGTTGGGAAGGAGGTGCTTCTTGTGATTAAACTTTACAACTTTAAGAACATATGGATGCTCGCAGCTGAGATATCCCAAGCTTTGCATTATATGGAATCAACTTATCTATAAGTGAGTTCACATTTCCTCAAATTTAAATAATAATAATAATAATAATAATAATAATAATAATAATAATAATAATAATAATAATAATAATAATTAAAGAAAGCAAAAAGAAGCTTTAGTGTAGGTTCACATTGTTAATTTGTTTGGTAGCTTGGTTGGCCTAGACCTAAAGTTGTGTTTATACATAGCTTTGGTTTTCAGCAATTTACGAAAAATTTGGTTTTAGAAGGCTCGAGAACAATTAGAAAGCATTAAAAATTGGACAATACTTAAGTCGTGACTAATCCTGACATTCTCGTTCTTATCATCAATAATGTTGCTACATGTGTAATTATTTATAATATTTAAAAGGATGTTTAGTCGTTGAGGTAATAAATGTAAGAAACAAAATGAGTGTGTGTTTGATTGCATCTTTAATAAATTTGATCAAATTAAATTACAAATATATGTAATGATGTTATTTGGCCACATAGAACTATGAGAACGATAACGTCCAAATATAGACCCAAGTGAAAATTTGGGTGGGAACCCAATAATTGCAATCGCAATGCAGTTGATCGCTTTCAGGCTCAACAAACAACAGGTTGAGGTCAGGCAATCATAAAGTTTTTATATGGAGAGAGAGAGAGAGAGAGAGAGAGGGGGTCAATTAGAGGAAGGAAACAAATGCAGCACTCTAAAGTCCAAAAGCTATCAAACAAAAGCTAAAAGTCTAAAACGCGTATTTGGTGGAAAGTATCACTGCCAAGAATGATTGATATGTAAACGCTCTAAATCATCATAGAGTACAAAAAAAAAAAAAAAAAAAAAAAAAACAAAAAAAAAAAAAAAAAATAACGTACAGTATAGTGACGTGAATTGCATGCATTATGATGCACTTCATTAAGCCCAAAGGCAATAGAAGAAGGCCCCACATTATGAAGCTAGAAACCTCGAGAACAAACAAACCACACAAGAAATAAATATAGGCCCAAAATTCAGATCGATCCATAATAGCCCATGATCATTTGTCTAGGCTGCTAAATTTTCATTCTATTAGGAGGGGTTATGTGTTCAAATATGATGAAGGACGGTTACCATAAACGGTAAAATTCTACTTTTCTCGTAATGTTTTTCCTTTTTTGTTAAGGTTATAAGGATAGAAGTTATTTAGCTATTTCGAGCAAAGGAAAGATATTGTCTATCAAGTCATGAGTCGTAAACAAATATGATCATAACGTAAAAATATTGATCGAATTTCATGATTCGTTACGCTACCAAACTTGTTCCCATCACATCATTAACCCATGTAGAATTAAAGACCAAATCCATTGATGTCCTTTCTTTGTTCCATCTTCATTTGAATTAGAATTTGGTTATTTAGCATGTAGGGCTAGCTTACTAGTTAAAGCACCCAACTCATAATCAGAGTTTTATGTAGAAATGTAATAAATTAAAGCCCAACTTGTATTATATGATTTACCAAAAACAACCCAAAAATTGAAAAAGGAAAAAGAAAAGAGAAGGAAACTGCTCTAAATTTATTTTTGGGTTTTAGCGCAAAATTATTCCTTTGGAAACCCGGACACTTCACCTCAAAAAATCCAGCATCTTCCTCTTCTTCACCTCCACAAGACAACCCCCCAAAAACCCCTCAACCCAAACCCTAATTCATCTCCCACATGAAGAAAATTCCAATCCAATTCAGCGTCAATTACCTAAAATCCCACCAAAGGAACCCCAAATTCTGGCTCTTCAAACCCTAGATTTCCCGCCAATGGGCTCAACCATATTCCCAATCTCCTTCATGAACGATACTCTCTCTCCTCCACCGTCCCCTGGCGATGGCGACGATACCTTCGAGGCCTGGTACGGCAACATCCAGTACCTTATCAACATCTCCGCCATCGGTTCCTTCTTCTGTGTCTTCATCTTTATCTTCGTCAAGCTTCGCAGCGACCACCGCCGCATGCCTGGCCCGTCTGCCCTCGTCTCCAAGCTCCTCGCCGTGTGGCACGCCACGTGTCGCGAGATTGCGCGCCACTGCGGAGCTGACGCGGCCCAATTTCTCTTGATCGAGGGTGGCAGCTGCGGCTTGCTCTTGTCCATGGCGGTCTTGGCTGTGCTTGTGATGCTTCCGTTGAATCTATATGCTGGGAATGCTGTGCTTGGAGACCAATTCTCGAAGACGACCATCAATCACATTGAGAAAGGTTCGGCTTTGCTTTGGGTGCATTTTGTTTTCGTGGTGGTGGTTGTTGTTTTGGTGCATTTTGGTATATCTGCTATTGAGAGAAGGCTGAGGATCACTAGGATTAGGGATGGGAACGGGAATTTGAGTGACCCAACTGCGAATTCCACTGCTATTTTTACTATAATGGTGCAGGGGGTACCAAAAAATATAGGAAATGATAGGACTGTGTTGCATGAATATTTTCAACATAGGTATCCTGGAAAGGTTTATAGGGTCATAATGCCGATGGATTTGTGTGCATTGGATGATTTAGCCTCGGAATTGGTGAAGGTTAGGCATGAAATTTCTTGGTTGGTTGCACGAATTGACTCCCGGCTCTTGCCATATGAAAGTGAAGAGGAAGGATATCTTGGGGCTTCTTCAGAGGGAGTAAGGGGTCGGGCTTGTTATATGTGGGGAAAGGTGAAAGATTTCTGGTATCAAACTATGGCTAGGTTGGGTTACACGGATGAAAGGAAATTAGGAAAGTTGCAGGGATTGAGAGCTGAATTGGAGACTGAACTTGCAGCTTATAAAGAAGGGCGTGCACTGGGTGCTGGTGTTGCGTTTGTGGTGTTTAAGGATGTGTACACTGCTAATAAAGCGGTTCAGGACTTTCGACATGAGAAGAAGAGTCGGATAGGGAAGTTCTTTTCTCTCGTGGAGTTGCGTTTACAACGGAACCAATGGAAAGTTGAGCAGGCACCCTTGGCAACAGATATTTACTGGAATCATCTGGGATCGTCAAAAGTCTCACTGAAATTGCGGAGAGTGTTGGTGAACACATGCTTGCTGTTGATTCTCCTGTTCTTTAGCTCTCCTCTTGCAGTTGTTAGTGCTTTCAAGAATGCCTGGCGGATTATAAATGCAGAAGCTATGGATAACGCCCAGTTGTGGTTAGCTTGGATGCAAAGCTCAAGCTGGCTTGGGAGTCTTATCTTTCAGTTTTTACCCAATGTGTTCATTTTTATAAGCATGTATATAATAATCCCATCAGCACTTTCCTATCTCTCTAAGTTTGAGCGGCATCTTACAGTGTCAGGGGAGCAAAGAGCTGCTCTTCTTAAGATGGTTTGTTTCTTCCTGGTGAATCTTATTCTTCTTAAGGGTCTGGTTGAATCATCTTTAGAGAGTGCCATCCTAAAGATGGGAAGGTGCTATTTGGACGGAGAAGATTGCAAGAGGATTGAACAGTACATGAGTGCATCATTTTTGTCAAGATCATGCCTTTCCTCTCTTGCATTTTTGATAACAAGTACTTTTCTGGGAATATCGTATGATCTACTGGCTCCAATCCCTTGGATAAAAAGGAAGATTCAGAAGTTTCGGAAGAATGACATGCTGCAGCTGGTACCAGAACAAAGTGAAGAATATCCATTAGAAACTCAGGAAACTGATAGTCTAGAGAGGCCCTTGATTGTGGATCTCACATATGACTCTCCCAGACTGAATGGAATTGATCTCCCGGGACAAGATCTTTCTGAATATCCCATCAACAGAACCTCAACAGCCCCGAAGCAGACATTCGATTTCGCACAATATTATGCGTTTAATTTGACAATATTCGCCCTGACCTTTATATATTCTTCCTTTGCTCCACTAGTGGTTCCTGTTGGTGCGGTTTATTTTGGGTATAGGTATGTGGTTGATAAGTACAACTTTCTCTTTGTCTATAGGGTCCGGGGATTTCCTGCTGGGAATGATGGGAAGTTGATGGATACAGTATTGTGCATCATGCGTTTTTGTGTTGATTTGTTCCTGCTCGCAATGCTTTTGTTCTTTTCTGTCCATGGAGACTCAACAAAGCTGCAAGCCATATTCACACTTGGGTTATTAGTAATGTATAAACTCTTGCCTTCCCAGAATGATAGTTTTCATCCAGCCCTTTTGGAAGGCATACAAACCGTAGACAGTGTTGTTGTGGATGGAACCATCGATTATGAGGTCTATTCACAGCCCAAGTTTGATTGGGATATATATTATTCATAATTTGAGCTACAATACTTTTATTCACCAATTGTTTGACTTTGTAACTTGCACCGTAATTATTGTCCATATTGGCGTTATTATGAAGAAGAAGAAAAAAATTATGTGTTCGTTTGTGGCTATTTATGTGTTTATGACAATTTTTCATATTTTAAAGATTGCAAGTATTTGGCATCGGTCAGTTTTTTTTTATTTTTGATTACGGGGATTTGAATTCGGTATTTCTTCCAATATTCTTGCAATGCATTTTTGCAAGAAGAGAACAATAAGGTTCTAGATTGATGTGAGAATATTTAAAACATGCACTTGATGGTGATAAAATTTGGAAAAAAGAATGGTTCAATAATGGGATTAGTGCAACTTACCCGGACCAAAAAAATCGTAGGCGAAGATGGGAAATTGAGGAATATTAGGAGATCAAAAGCCAAGACTCATCCTAACTCCACTCTTGGCCAAGCAAATGCTTTGCTTCTTCAAGAGGCTCTTTCTACAATACTTGAACAGTTGAACAGGGTTACAACCAAAATGTGGCTCCACTTCTCACTAATTTCTCACTCTCATCTCTCTCTCTCTCTCTCTCTCTCTCTCTCTCTTAAATGTGTGGCTAATATTTAAATAAATTGGGCAGGTTTTATTATATTAATTACCATTTCAATGAGAGTAAAATAAATAGCAACAGTTGAATTGCCAGTCACAAGTTAATCGTTTCTTTTCTAGTACTTGTGACTTTGATTTCTTCTTCTTCTTCATTTTGTTGTTAAAAGAAAGGCAGAAGATATAGAAGATAAAAATTATGCACCATTTAGGTGTGAAGAAAAGCAATCTTCTTGATTTGGCTTCCGCAGAGACAAACAAGCTTGGCTCTGCAGGCAATCATGACCAGCCTCTCTGCCCCAGGCCCCGTAGAGTTGGCCCTGCCATACCTGAATTCCTCAAGCCTCAAAGATGTAACAAGCACAGGTCCTAATTAATTTTATTTTGTTGCTTTAACCTTTCTTTTTGGGTTCCATGATTTTTAACAAAAAAATGTTCCTGGGTTTTCATTTTCCCATAGATTACCAACTTATGAAGCTCTTTTCTGTTTCTTTTTTTTTTTTTAGTAACCAACAAAAATTCCGATGAAAGAAGTGGAATTCTGAATATGATCACTGAAAAGGTTAGCATTCACCCTTTCTGAATCATATTTACTTCTTATTATTCGAATCGAAACGATTGTCGTTTATAAAATTTGAACTCGGGACCCGGTGCAGGAAATATTTGATGGGAGGGAATATGTATGCACCAAGTGTTCACCAGCATGTTACTCAGGATCTCCACCAGGCAGAACAAATAACCCTCTGGTTCATGATGTGCAGTTTCTTCATCAGATGGAACTTCTTTCTCCATTCACAAGAACAAAGCTCTCAGATAAATTTGGTTTTAGTACCTCTGCCTCTCCAGTGTGATCAGCCTCAGAAATGGTGTCGTCTCCCGATTTGTTGGAAGAATGAGAGTTTTTGTTTCCCTGAATTTTCAGGGTTCTGTTTTTGTAGTGTTCATTTGTAAAAGTTTTGTAACCTTTTGAGTTCAATTGTGAGTATCAAATTGTATATATGATGAGTACCTCAAATTTGTCCTGTATATATGATTGTGATAATAATAACAAGGCCTCTACTTTCAATTCTTTATGTGTGGCCAGTTCAAATGAATATATATATATATATATATATATATTTTATCAGAATCCTAACAAATCAATAAAAGTAATCAGAAAATCAGTCAATATTTTCTCACGATCTTTTTTATTTTCCTTTTTATGAAAACGCAAAATTACACGAAATTTCCATTGGATCCCAATATTCTGAATATCGAAACAAATCTTAACACATGGTTGAGTGAAAGCATGTCCTAAATTTAGTAACGAGTTTGCAACCATATTTACTTATCCATAAACCTGTTGAAATTGAAATTGCTCAAGTTGAACTTGTGACAAAATATACCAAGGAAAATTATTAGTAGAACCAAAAGTTAAAATATCAATCAAAATTTTAATGTATGGTACTAAATAAATTTTGTTTTTTTGTTTTTTTTTTACACTTTGTTACTCAAATATGCAAGAGCTTTGAGTATTTTCATTCATGATTAATAAACCACGTTTTGATCCGGACCGTCGGATAAGGAAGTAGATTTTTTCCCTCCAAAAAAAAGTGACCGTTGAAAATCTCCCTAGGTAAAAAACACATTTGACACGCGTCGAATCGCAATTTGTCCTTTTTTACTTCGAAGTCAGGATTTCGCGCAATCCAATGTGTCACACTTCCGAGTTGAATAACTTCTTCAACTGTCAAATTAAAATCATGTTGCGGGACCCACCGCTACAAACGCCAAAAACTAACCAACAGTGCAGCAGAGCAAAGCAAACTCTCTCACTCACTCACTCCATTTCACCAAACGCACTTTCTTCTTCGTCTTCCAAGATCTTCTCTTCCATTCCACTGTTTCTCGATCCATTCGTTGCCTTCTTCTTTCCCCAATGCAAATCTTTCTAGGGTTCGAGAAAATTTCAAAGAGAGATGCTTACTGATCTCTGTAACTTCGTCGTCCTCCTTTTCTTTCTGTCAATCTTGGGCCTTCAGAGCTGCCATGGCCGCATCTTCAGCTTCAAGATGCACCACCGCTTCTCCGACCCCGTCAAGGAGTGGTCGGCCAGCGCCGGGAAACTCTCGCCGCCCCACAACCTTCCGGCGAAGGGAAGCTTCGAGTACTACGCGGAATTGGCCCGCCGCGATCGCTTTCTTCGCGGCCGCAAGCTCGCCCAGAGCGACCAGAGCGACACTACTACTCCGCTAGCTTTCTCTGATGGCAACTCGACTTTTCGGATCAGCTCCTTGGGATTGTACGTTTCTTTGTGTTACTATCAATGCCTGTCTCTAAAGCTTCAATTTTGTTTACTAAATTCTTGGAGTTTAATTGCGAATTTAATTATTTTATATTTGGGGAGGTTTTTGTAGCCTGCATTACACCACGGTGCAATTGGGTACGCCGGGAATGAAGTTTATGGTGGCGCTTGATACAGGGAGTGATCTGTTTTGGGTGCCTTGTGAAGGCACAGCTTATGCTCCTGTAAGTACTGCACTCATTATCATTTCCTATCAGTTTTTTGGACCTTTTCTTTTCTTTCTTTAATTATGTTAACAAAAGATAAGTTCTTTCTATTCCAATCCATGTGCACGTTCCAATTAGATGGTGGAACTGTTGATGACAGGGTCATTTGAATTTGGTGTCTGTTTGATTTGCTTTTAATATGCCGACTTGTTTCAGTTTTATCAAGAAAATGTAACTTGTATTTGAGTTGGTCACACACCGGCATCTGATTTCAAGACTAATCAAATAATTAGCAAATGAAAACTATGTATTCCTTTGTTTATCTATCTTTTTAGAGTTGGCAGAGAGAAATCAAATTCTAAGTTATGCAGATTATGTCATATTAGTTGGACAGTAGGAAAATGTAGCTACTAGTGTTCATTTTTGTATGCAAAAACGGGTAGGTAGTTTAGAATGGCACTCTGAGATCTTGTTATGATTTTGGGTGTAAAGGACAAGAATGGTGATATCAATTTCCTGATGCATTCATCTATTACTCTTTCTGCTTTAGCAGTTAGTAAATACATATGATTTACTGTGGCAGGATTTTGAGGTTAGCAAATATGACCCTGAAGGGTCGTCAACAAGCAAAAGAGTCAGTTGCAACAACAGTTTGTGTGCACACCGTAATAGATGTATGGGTTCATTCAACAATTGCCCTTACATGGTCTCTTATGTCTCAGCTGAAACTTCTACTTCTGGGATATTGGTAGAGGATGTTCTGCACCTAAAAACAGAAGATAGTCACCGGGAACTTGTTGAGGCATACGTTACCTTTGGGTGAGCTCTGTCATCATAATTTTTGGACTTCTTTTTGTTCCTTTTGTTTTAGTCTCATGTAGGTAGCTGAAAATGCGTTGTAAATTGTTCAGTTGTGGACAGGTGCAAAGTGGTTCTTTCCTGGATGTTGCAGCACCTAATGGTTTGTTTGGGCTTGGTATGGAGAAGATTTCTGTTCCTAGTATTTTGTCCCGGGAAGGCTTTACAGCCGATTCTTTTTCCATGTGTTTTGGACATGATGGGGTTGGGAGAATTAATTTTGGTGACAAGGGGAGTCCTGACCAGGAAGAGACCCCATTTAATGTCAACCCGTCACAGTAAGTGGTAACTTCTCAGATACTTGATGCTGATTTTTCATAATTAATTTTTCATGAAAGGAGGTTTTAATGTTGTTTTTATGTCATATAATGGGACGCATGTTACAGTCCAACCTATAACATCACCGTAACTCAAATTCGAGTGGGAACAGATCTTATGGACATTGACTTCACAGCTCTTTTTGATTCTGGGACGTCTTTCACATACTTGGGTGACCCAACTTATACAAGGCTTTCAGAGAGTGTAAGCATTTAAGTGTTGTAAATGATTTTACTTCTTTATGTTATCAGGCAGTCAATTGACAACACACACACACATGGACATACAATTCAATAGTTGATGCTTTATGAATTTTGCAGTTCAATTCAATGGCTCGAGATAAGCGTCGTCCACCTGACCCAAGGATCCCATTTGAATATTGTTATGATATGAGGTTTGTGTACTTATTTGTCTCCATTTCTACCTCCAGCTTTAAAATTTCTTCTATTCCTAAAAAAATTCTTTCAATGTGCAGTTCTGATGCAAATGCTAGTTTTATACCTAGTCTAAGTTTAACCATGAAAGGTGGGAGCCAGTTTGCAGTATATGATCCGATTATTGTCATCTCCACCCAGGTAATGCTTTGTTTTTTTGCCCCAGTTTTAGTTGTTGTTTTGCCAAGAATGGTCATAAATATCTTGCTTGCTGTTGATTTGCAGAGCGAGCTGGTATATTGCCTGGCTGTTGTCAAGAGTACGCAACTAAATATAATTGGACGTAAGTCTTTTGCATTGCAGTTGATTTTAATTCACAGTAAAGTGGCTGTGACTGCTCTAACTTTTGGACTAACTTAGCTGACCATTACTCAGTGTGTTGGGTTATTTTGTTGCCTGTTGTCAAGAGTGCGCAACTAAATATAATTGGACGTAAGTCTTTTGCATTGCAGTTGATTTTTAATTCACAGTAAAGTGGTTGTGACTGCTCTAACTTTTGGACTAACTTAGCTGACCATTACTCAGTGTGTTGGGTTATTTTGTTGCCTGGTACTCCATAATAATATACCAAGGAGGCTTTCGTAATGAATCAGCTTCTTCCTCTCAGATCAGTAGCCCACTTTAATCTAAATATCCTAGTTGCATTTGTTTTGCTATTACATGTTGGCTTATGCTTCAGTTATTGGTGTCTCTACAGAAAACTTTATGACTGGCTACAATGTTGTATTTGACCGAGAGAAATTCGTTTTGGGCTGGAAGAAGTTTGACTGTAGGTGTTAACTCTCATTTATTATGCACACAGCTATTCTCCATGCCTTGATGTATGAACTAATTGCATGACCAAATTTTTGGATCCCAATGCAGGTTATGACGTTGAGAACCATACTAGCTTGCCTTTTAAACCTAATTCTACCAATGTGCCTCCTGCTGTTGCTGTTGGACTAGGTAACCATTCTACTCCAGAATCAACGAAAAAGACCCGGAATAGTCAGACTTCAGCTGCATCTCTGCCTTACCATAGCCATTTTCCTCTGACTTGGTTTCGGTTTGTCATCCTTCTTTTCGTATTGTTATAGGCTATAGCTGTTATGCGGCCATCTTTTTTATCTGGTCATGCAGTTCCACAGGTTATAAGAATTTAGATCAAATCCCTTCATCGTGTATTAATGTAAATCCTCTCTAATCAGTCCCACTTATACTTCATGGTTGGGGGAATCTTGCAATACCTCTGTTCCTCAGCTCATGGGCAGGCCAGATTTTTGCTCCTTGCTGTGGATAAATGCCTCAATTTCCCCCATAATGTTTAGCCTTTCATCATAGGCATCTCTACATTATTGTTGTAATTGAAAATTTGACAGGGATCAAGAGATCCTGTTCTTTGGATAGACAGTTACACAATATATGATACTACATGTTTCAGTCATTATAATGTCTAAAGATATCAAGCTCATATTTTATGCATTTGGATGTCAGATTGTTATGTGAACACAAACCATTCGGGATTCTTAATATTTTTAGTTACATTGGAGGGAATCGAACCCTAAATTTATCTTAATTTTAATCACCCCGACCTCCCACACCACTTGGGCTAGTTCTGCAGTTGGGCCTTTACATTGCGGGAAGAGAGAGAGAGAGAGAGAGAGAGAGAGAGAGAGAGAGAGAGATCTCTAGACGACTTAGTCTGGTCTTGATCTAGGTCTATTTTTAATGGTCCGTCCATCATACACTGATGGCATTATTAATACAAAGAGGACTTTGAGCTGTTCTTGGAATCTTCTTGTTCGTGCATTTTTGTGCCATTAAACTAAGTAAATGGAATTTGATAATGCTCTCTCTGTAGGTGGACTTGACCAAATGGAAAGTTGCATAAAAACTCCAAGAGTAGGAGAGTGATTGGTGGTAAAAGGATGAATCAGTCAGCCAAAAAGCAAAATGATAACTTTTTCAATTTAATTTTTGTTTCCGTTCTTTGGTATATTCCATACCTTTTGGTTGAGGAGTCAAATTTGGAGAAGATGAAACTGAAATTTCCTTTGAAAAGATGGTGAAAGGTCTGAAACCTTGGGTCATCCCATACTTGAGTTTTAAGTTTTTTTCTTTCTTTTCTATTTCTTGGGTTCCTGAGTCTAAGTTCGAATGGTTTCGATTGTCAAAGATAGTTCATATATAATTCCAAATGTTATTGCCCAGAAGCCTACCAAAATTCTACAAGTAGAAAATTCAAGCACCTATTGCGGCCCTTTTTTCATGGTGTTTATTTCAAAGCTCTATGTATAAAACGAATCTTTACATAATTTACCTACCACCTTCTCAATTATTCATCTGCTTATTTGTACCCGTAAAAAAAGGGTTTTTCACAAGTAAGCCTACTTCAATATGATATATTATACAAGAATCCTTATAGAGTCTAATTAAAAAATAACAAGTGGCTAGTTTTGAGTTTTTAGGTTCTATATGAGCTTTTATATAATATGTCATAATAAAATGGATTTATTTATAAAAACCTAAGAAAAAAAAAATCCATTGTTGGTTTTGTTATTCAATTCTACATGTTATTATTGGTTTCCAATACTAAAAAATTGGGTTACTTATAATTATAATTAAATTGTGATGGTGGTTTGATACAATACTAAAAAATTCATGTGTTCTAGGTACCGTCCACACAATTTAATGGACAAAATTAGATTGGACAAAAGTTTGGTCGTAGGATGATGTTGATCCAATGAGACATTAAATTGAAGTAAGAACTAAGGTAAACCTATCCTCCAATACTATTCAATGCTTGATTTTCGACAAGTGGCTTGATGATAGTTGACATGGCGTGCGATTTATCTCACTCATTTCCAAGCTGAAGCTTTCCAAGTATGACTTCAAAGTCAATGTTTTTTAGTGTTTACCCAACTACCTTCAACTCCTCTTATTAATCACACTTTTCCTTTCACATCCTTTAACTCCAATGTTATTGTTTACTACTCCTTGCATTTTCTTTTTTGGTGAGAACAAGTAGAATTTCATTAGTAAAGGGGTAATTATAAGATATGTACAAGAAGAACAAATCCAAGATGGAGGTTTTTGCATATAATAAATTCAGTAAGGGAGTGAATAATAACTATTACAAATTCAAACCCAGCTCACTTAGAGTTGACAGATAGAGGATCAAGAAGAATCTTTACAGCACCAATACTACAGAGAGATCATGTGAATAACTTATTTTGCATAAACAGAGAACCAGAAGCACCAAAAGTGAAAAGGTCTTACCGCTCAACATCCACTTGGCCAAAGAAGGCCATAACACCTCCAACATCTCACATGATATCATAACACCCAATATGAAATATTTATCTAGATCTAGTAACTCTACCTCTTCAACATAAAGGATTTTAAAAGTCAATCTAAAAGGATTGAGAATAAACAAAACCCATCATAAAACTGGGGAGGAAAATCTCTCTACAACATGACGAGAGAGAGAGAGAGAGTCACCTGATTTATTAGCTGAAGGGGTTGATTCTAGGGGAAAATCCCTGGAACCATAATAATAAATAAAAGTACCGCAACACCCTACCCCCAAAGAACAGCCATGACTGCCTCTCTCTCTCTCTCTCCCTCCCTCCCTTGATTTGGGATTACTGACTCTCAACAAGGCCTAGGAAGAGATTTTATGAAATCTGAATCCTTTTAACAGAGTATTGCAATTAAATATGCAAATTCATAACCGAAAATCAATTGGCCTTAAACACTGCAGGTGAAAATCTTGTATGTGTCTGCCAACTATAGAACCAAGTAAAAATAAAAAGGTGTGTGTGAGGAAAAGAGAGTGAGGGGCGGCTGCCGTAGATGGCAGTGGGGTAGGTGGCTGGCTCGGGATCCTATCAGTAAGTATCATAAACCTCGCTTATATGAATTTATTGGTTAAACCACGCGTATTGGGTAGACAGGAATGTTTTTTTAATTAGAACATAAATTATAATCCAAGATTTACCTTGGATCATGATCCACAATTAGGAGAAAAGAAATGGACAGTTAAAAGCAATTCCCAACTTTCAAATATCATCCCAAGCTGAGAATACGCGAAAAATGGGACCCACGTACCCGCGATTTCGTCTATCACTGACCAAACTTAAACAACCAAGCACCTCTCCCAGCTTGCCATATCTCTCTCTCTCTCTCTCTCTCTCTCTCTCTCTCTCTCTCTCAACAATGACGACTTGGGCATGAGAACGCGTTACCGCCCCCCAATCTCAACCACCATATAAACCCATTTGCTCGCATTTCTCTGTTTCTAACTCATGCCCTCCAAAACCCAATTATCGAAAAGCTCTGCCTCTCACTCTGAATCAATAAAGCCATGGCCTTCACTTGCATCAGAGCTTCTTCTTCTTCTTTCACTGCCACGCGTCTTTTAGTGTCTGTTTTCATATTGGGTTGGGCTTCTCGGACCTGTTCCGGGTTCGGGTCATACGGGTTCGATATCCACCACCGATTCTCGGATCCCGTCAAGGCAATTCTGGGTTCCGATGAGCTGCCGGAGAAGGGGAGTGCAGAATACTTTGCTGCTATGGCGCACAGAGATCGCTTGATTCGAGGGCGTCATCTCTCCTCCGCCGACGGAACGACGCCGCTTACCTTCGTTTATGGCAACGAGACTTATCGGATTGGTGCTTTTGGACAGTATGGACTTTTTTCTATTTTTTGAAGTTCTCATATTTTTGTTGTTTTGGGTCATGTGGTCCTCACTTTTTCCAGCGTTTAATTTTTTTTGTTATTGTTGTTGTTGTTGAATTTCAGTTTGCATTATGCGAATGTTTCTGTGGGGACACCAAGCACATCATACCTTGTGGCCTTAGACACGGGCAGTGATTTGCTCTGGTTGCCATGTGATTGTAGCAGTTGCGTGCATGGCGTAAAGCTCTCAAATGGAGATGTAAGTGAGCTGAATTACTCAGTTTTTTTTCCTTGAATCTTATACAGCTTGGGAAATTGCTACCTTTTCTCCTGAAAATTTGGTTACTTGAAGTCTTTTGACTTGTAATTACTTCAAATGGACTTCAGTGTTATGTTGGTTTTTTTAATGTAAGGGCTAGGAGGAAGGATGACTTAAAACGATTAAATGTCTCTTTTTTTTTTGTGAAATTTGAACTGCAATAAATAAGTTCAAGTTCTCACCTTTAGGGTGAGAATTTCTTGATCATGAAGGAATGCAAATGTAAAAAACTTTAAAATGTGCAATAAGATAACATTGTTTTCTTATACCATAAAAAACTATTAAGCTGCTTCTTGCAGTATCCAAAACTTTCTACCAGACAGGTAAACATTGTTAGTGCATTTGGTTCAATGAAACATGCTCTGGTGGTTCATTTCATTGACAATTACTTTTTTGTATACTTTTTATCAACCAGGTAGTAGAATTTGAAATCTACAGCCCTAATACGTCGTCAACAAGCAAAAAGGTTTCTTGCAACAGCACATATTGTGAACAACCACAACACTGCGCTTCAGCAGCTAGTGATTGTCATTACAAGATTGAGTATCTGTCGAATGACACCTCATCTACGGGGGTCCTGGTAGAGGATGTTTTGCACCTAACCACTGACGATGCAAAACAAAAAGATGTTAATGCACGGATTGGTTTTGGGTGGGTAATTTTTTCATTGCTTTGCCAATAAAAGGATATTTGAAATCTGCATTAGAGAGTATGATGTTTATATTATTCCTAGATGTGCCACTTTTAACTTGTATAGGACACTTTTGATGTTGAGGTGCTACTCTTTTGCAGTTGTGGTAAGGAGCAGACTGGAATATTTTTGAGTGGTGCAGCTCCGAACGGTCTATTAGGGCTTGGTATGGATGATGTATCCGTTCCTAGCATTTTAGCGAAACAGGGGCTTGCTTCAAATTCTTTTTCCATGTGTTTCGGACTTGATGGATCTGGGAGAATTAGCTTTGGTGATAATGGAAGCTTAGACCAAGCTGAAACGCCATTCAATCTTAAAAATAGGAGTGCATAGTAAGTGGCCCCTTTAATATCCATATGTTGATGACAAGTTTACTAGTTTCGCAAGTGAACTGCATTGGTTTTGAATATCATGCAAGTTGTACTAATCTTCCCCTGTCGAACTTGTCACAGTCCAACTTACAACATTACCATTACTCAAATAGCTATTGGAGAAAGTGTTACCGATCTTGAATTCTATGCGATTTTTGACTCTGGTACCTCATTTACATACCTAAATGATCCAGCTTACACACAGATTACTGAGAATGTAAGTAGTTTCAGTTCATTGTTTCATAATGTTTTCTCGATTTTCTGATTTACTATATCAGTCCTTGTAATTGTTTCTCATTTTCCAGTTCAACAGCGCACTAAAAAACAAGCGGCGTTCGAAGGATTCTAGCATCCCTTTTGAATACTGTTATGATATAAGGTTATATTTCTATCAAACGACAAAAACTTTGTTTCGATTCTGTCTTTTCCGAACCGTCAGGCACTGACTTAAGCTTATGTGCAGGCCAAATCAAACAGTGAACTTGACGACGAAAGGTGGAAAGCAATATTCTCTGCTTGATCCGCTAGTGGTTATTGCTAATGAAGTAAGTTTCTACTTTTAGCATGTCTATTTTTCCTGGTCCCGCACCATGTCATGCTAAACTTTCCTTTTCTGATCCCCAGGATGGAACAACAATGTTTTATTGTCTGGGCATTGTCAAAAGTGGAGATGTAAATATCATTGGACGTAAGCATCCATCTCTTTCTAAATAACTTTTGATTATCTTTCCAGTTAAGGTTGTTTTTTTCCTTTTCTGTATTCCAAATGGTACGATAGTATGCAATTCTCTCTCATTCAAATATATTTGTTCATGTTTGAATTAACTTTTGCTCACAATGTGGATTTTTTCATGCAGAAAACTTCATGACGGGCTATCGTGTAATTTTTGACCGTGAGAGGATGGTATTGGGTTGGAAGGAGTCCGATTGTGAGTCCTAATTCCACATTTTGAATGAAATTTTGGCAAACAAATTTTCTTCATGATCTTTTTTGACAGTGTGCCCCCTTTTTTTTTTTTTTTTTTTTTTTTTTTTTTTTTTTTTTTTTTTTTTTTCTTTATAGGTTGAGTTGACACCGTCACTCTTCCTGTCACTAAATCCAAATCTCCGGCCGCATCCCCTAGCACTACCATCAATCCAGAAGCCACGGCAGGGAGTACCGACACTTCTCATATACCACCACCAAATCATTCACCCAAGTTGAACTCTTTTGCTTGTGCACTCACCATGGTTCTTTTTGTATTCTTTGCCATAGTTTGATTATTCTTTCTTGTTGCTGAGGTTTTCTCAGCCCTGTATCATATGTATCCATAGGCATTTGTTTGAGGTATACTATACAGAAAATTGGCAGATGTCGACTTCCTATTTTTGGTACACAATTGATACTGATGGAAACATGGGGTTGTACATATGATTTTAGTTATGACCATAGGGAACAAATATTTTTTTTCCTACAGAAATAAATAAATATCGTTTTTGGTCTCTTATTTAATGTGCTAGTCATTTTCAACCAATGGAATTATGGAAGTACGAATAAGAAAAACAAATTTTTTCAGGCAGTCTTATACGTATAACAATGCAAATTGAACCAAAACTCACATTTACCTTCACCCAAAAACAAACATAACACAAAAAAAAGAACTGTCTTCTACAGAGAATAAATTTAGTTCCTCAAACCAACGCCTATATAAAAACCTTCACAGTTGACAATATTCTTCAATTTGAAGAAAAAGAATTTGACAATAATTAGAACAACAACAACTCAACTGTCTCATGGGTCGGACCCGAGCAGGCATGGTTGGTTATGGCCTCCACCCGTTCAAAGATCCACTCATTTGCATGATGTTTCAGGCAGCAATAAGACTCCTCTCAATTTTAACAATGCCTTCATTTTCGTTAAGCTTTGGTCTTTTTCTTTTTCTTAACTGGTTCAACCAAGCTTGGGGCCTCCTGCTTATCTTTCTTTTCCTTTCTCCCTTTGGATGGCAAATTTTCTTCTTTCTTTGACATCTTACCATCAAAGGGGTTGGCTTTCATCTTTATTGATCTGATTAATGACGATTTCTCTATCTTTGACCACAAGACATCAGATTTTACTTCCCTTTCTACCACTTCTTCTTGGTCACCCTTCTGCTGTCTCAATGCCAACTGCCGAGCATATGCTGCACTCCTGCAACACCAAACCACAAATGTATATAAGTGACACATATTAGGGCAACTACTGGAGCCCTCTTTTGGGAGTACGGAAAACAAAGGAGAGCAATAATTTGGATTTTGTTAAGATATCAACATATATGATAGAAACAAATGTTTTGTCAAATAATAAGTAAAACAAGAGGTAGATACCTTTTGAACTGTGGATCTGTTGGATCCAGAGCAAAACGGGGAGACGTGAAGAGGGCTGAAAACCGTGGATCTTCGTAATCAACAGCTGGTATATTGTCCTCTTCTTGAACTTCTTTACCCTTCTTTCCCTTAGTCTTTTTACGTTTCAAATTGTAGCCCTTAAGACCTGTATCTGCTCCCTTGTCATCAGCAAGTAATAACTCAAGCTCGTTTCTGCTTGCTTCTGCTTCCCTATCCGTATCTTGGTTTTCTTTATCTCCTTTTTTACCTTTACCTTGAGAACCCTTTTTACTTTTTTTGACTGAAGGCTCTTCAATAAAGAAATCATCTGCATCTTCTGTTGCCTCTCGATCAGTGTCGCTACTCTCATCCTCTGATGAATCCTTAGATCTGTTTTTCCTAGCCTTCTTTTTCTCACGTCTTTTTCTGAGATAGGCCTCCCAAACTGTTTCTGATTCCTTATCTCTCTTTTCTTGAATGCGCTTGCTTATATCCTCTAAGCCCGTATTAAATGTGATCTCCATGTCCTTGTCATCGTCTTCACCTTCACCATCTCCTTCTGAAGCATCTCCCTCTCCATTTCCAGACAGGATTAAAGTGCGGTACATATCTCGTTTTTTACTCTTTTTATCGGACTTGTCCTCTGTAGCATCATCATTCTCATCCTCATCACTTTCACTCTCATCAGATGCCAAAAACTCCTTCAGTTCCAATTCAGAAAGCTAGAAACAAACCAAAGATCAAATCAGTTAGAAGCAAAAAGTACACGAAGTAGTTACTTATTATTATTTTTATACAAATTGGAGTTGATAGTTCTTCAGTTGCTCTTCCCATCATCTTTGCAATTCCTATTGTTTATTCAGATCAGCGTAACATAACGCCCATTCAGATAAGTGTAGCAAATGTTTATTCAGGTCCTCAAGCATGGAGCAAGATATGAACCCTACTAACAAATTACATAAAATGCAAGCATTTCTACCACTCAGATAAAATCTACTGACCTGATCGTCAGTGAATTTCCGTTTCAAGGTCTTACGTCCTGGGTCATCCTCATCCCAAGAAATATCAATTTTACTCTGTTGCAGAGCCTGAGTCTGGAAATCCAAACCCACATAGTTTGCAGGTACCTAACAAAAGCCAAAGACTTCACAATCACTGCTACATTTTACAAAAAAAATTCAATTCATTTCCTTTTGTTAAAAAAAAAGTTTCAGACTCCATAAAGAAGCATGAAGAGCCATCATTTGCACATAATCCCTACTTCTCTTACGACAGACAGATTAGCATATAAAAATCTATTGCTCAAACTCTATATAAACTTATAAGTAAATGGTTGGAACATATACCTCTGTTGCAACGTCACGGGGTGGGTGTTGAAATTCCATTGAATCAGGGATAAACCTTAAATCAAGTTTATTTGATGACCGTTCAAACTCAACTCCATCACAATTTTTGTATAGGTAATCTGCTGTGGCACTTGAATCACATTCCACTACAGCATAATAGTACCTAAGAAAAAAATAAGGTATATATAAGTAAACATATAATTTAAAAACATAAAACAAACAATAACTATGAAATACGCACAATTAACCACCTTAGCTTGCTTTTCTCATAAGCACGCAATTTCTGAGCATCAAGCTCATCATCATCCTCATCCTCATCTTCATCACTTTTCTCATTTTCATCATCAAATAGGCCAACAGGACCATGAAGTTCTTCCTCTTTCATACGCTGGAGTCCAAACTCAGATGGATAGACAGCCACAGACTTCATTTCTCCATCTTTCGGGAGAAAAGACCTCAACACCGCATACAAGTCAACAGCCTACACGAAACGCAACAAAACACTCAGTTACCAGCAAATCTCCACAAAGAGGAAGCTTACACAAAAATTAACAGTCTTCAACTCAAAAGACTCTTACTCAAACAACTTAACACAAAGTATATTATATGACAATTCATTTGGTACTCAGATTTCTTCGAATAATAAAAATGGTCAGTACTGACAACACAATCTCCATCTCCAGACCCAATTACAGAAAACTAACAAATTTAAATTTTGATGCTTTTACTATGTGCCACTTGAATACATATATAATGAAAATGAATTCGATGCCAAGTTTAAAAAATGCAACCTTAACATGCCTCCAATCCAGGTTAACAATAGCAAGCCTGTGAGTTTCCTTATCAATTTCTGGTACATCTTCCGCCTGCCCGCACAAAGAGGAATCAAGTAACCAAAATTAACCAACATTTTCTACTCAATGATCTCTTTTCTTCCAAATTTCAATTAATTAAATCTTAATAATAATAAATACCTCCATTCCAGGCTCACCGTCCTCGAAAACCACTTCTTCTTCATATTCAGCATCCGTGTCTGTGTCCGTCGTCGTATCCGAGTCACCACTCGCCACGTCATCCTCCGATTCCTCTCCACCGAGTTCCTCCAACTCCTCACTCTCTTCTTCTTCCTCAATCTTTTTCTCTTTCTTTTTCACTTCGGAATTTACCTTATCTTCGTCCTCTTCGATTTTATAGTAATGGCGCAGCGAATTCCCTTGGTCGAGCTTCTTCGGCTTGCCTCGTTTGTCTAGCGGGACCGAGGAAGAGCCGAATCGCTTGTCCGAGAACATGCGATCGAATCGCGAGTCGATCTCCACCTTCGCCTTGTGCTTCGGAACGTTCTGGAACCTAGGGTCCCAGTGTACGGACGAAAACCGAGAGTCAGTGATGAGGTTCTCATCGCTGCCTTTGGATTTTTCATTCTTGTTCTTGCTCTTCTTGTTCTTCTTATTGGATCCCATGGTATAGGCTAAGCTTTCGCCGTTGCTCGGTTTCAGTTCAGCGGTATGGTGGCGTTGCAGGGGCTTAACGTCCTTCTTCTTCCTTAGGGTTTAACATCGCGGGTTTTTTTCCAACAAAAATTAGAAACAGTTCTGAGGTGGACCTTGGATATCTGCTGAGCCCAATGTCATATAAGCCCAACTCCAACTCCAAATTCTAATTTTTCCTTTTTCATTAATTGATTGTGTTAAGATGAATGGTTCACATTCATAGTCTGACAACATAAAATGTTTACACTACTAAACTGTGAATCTAGACATAATATAAAATGTTTACACTACTAAACTGTGAATCTAGACATAATGATAAAACCGCTCGACCAATTGCCGACTTAACAATTTCACTCATGGACACAACATCAGAGTTTCAAGCTAAGCATTTGACGATTTGGTACAAGTTTTGTTTAAGGTTTCCAAATATTTTTCTATGAGAACACAATTCAATCTCTAACTTGACCCAAGAGAGGCCAGGAGGTATGTTTTTATTTATTCAAGTTCATTTGGTCAATGGTCGATTATGTTTGCTATTTTAAAAGATAAGCCTGCAAGACTGCTACAGAAAAAAACAGTGTCTGCCGGTTTACTACTATTATATATATATATATATATATATTCACAGAAGCGTGTGACTAAACTCAACCCACCAAACCAGATAAACGCTAACTAATTTGAATGGAATATAATAATTGGATTAAGTTTGGCACAAGTTGTTAGGATGTCTACTAACCTCTAAGCCCTAGTTTTATAGCCTGCTGTACTTCAAGCCTCAAAATTATAAAATATAGTCAAATCTCCGTTGACCAAAATGCTGCAACCAATCATGCCAGACTTAAAGGATTTCTGGGAATTAGGTTGGCTAAGAAATCCAGCATTCGCCTAAAGTACCCTTATTTATATTATGAGAAAATGAAAATATTTTGGGGCATGGTTGTTGGGGGCAACTGAAGTTAGTTAATTATGTCTGGAACATGACAGGCTGAGGCTCACGTACAAATTAGCAAGCATGAATGAATGAGATAAGCCAGCACCCACTATAACTAATAAAGCATGAGACTTTGAGAGCAAACTTGACCATAAAAATAACAACTTTTGATTGCTCAACCCTACCCACTTCAGATCAGAGACGTTCCTTTTTCTGCTAAAGCAGCAGAATTATTGGTTCTCTTTGTCTCACATCAAGAGTTGAAAAAAGGTTTAATAATACAGAAATTCCCCTGTGCGGACGTCCAATGTTATATTTATATATATATATATATATGTGAAAGAGAGAACTGTTTGCTATAACTTGCTGATGCATGCATAGCCTTTAAAAAAGGGAAAGATACTGAATTAGGAGCACCTACCATCCCATGCAGAAGGGTTTTATAATCTATTTTTTTATTTGAGAATATTTGTTGTAATTGTTGGATTGGAATAATGCTTCCAATGCAGAATCTTCTGCTTCTTTTTGGTATTGAGAATCCTCTCTGTTTTCAAGTATTAAAATCATAATGTTCAGAGGAAAGTTTTAACTTCATCCTTTTAAATGATTGACTCATTGAAACTGCATTTCAATAATATAGCCTAGCTAGCAAGAGGTAATTATAGAGAGACATGAGCCATGCTTGATGATGAACACCTTGAAATTAATATCAAGAAATTATTGAGATCACTTTTGCTGTCTGATGGTAACTTTCTTAGTAAAAAAAATTAAAATAAATAAAGAGAGATTTCAAGGTGCAAGGACAGATGGAATGGTGATTGTCTTGTAGTGAAGGTGCATATGCATTGCCTTCATTATTACTTCTAAGCATACTTTCTTAACTAATTCATTATATGGGGCCAACATTGTACCAGTAAACAATCTCTCTCCCTCTCCATCTATAAATACCACTCTAATCCATTGTTAGTTCCCACACTTAAACAAAGTTACAAAGAGTTAAGAAAGAGAGTTGTAAGGATGGCTTTTAATCTTGCATTCTTGAGCTCAATCCTCATCATCCTTTCAGCCTTTTCCCCAGTGATTACTGCACTGAGCTCGAATTATTACGATAAGAGCTGTCCTAACGTTGAGCAAATCGTTTCAAATGCTGTCAAGAAAGCGGCAGCTAATGACAGAACTGTCCCGGCTGCTCTGCTCAGGATGCATTTCCATGACTGTTTCATAAGGGTACATATGTATATTTTTTCTGTACAAGTTGTTTTGACAGTTTAAATGCACTGGTTGAGTTAGCTGAAACTTTTTCCTTTGTTTTTGCAGGGTTGTGATGCCTCTGTGTTGTTAAATTCCAAAGGGAGCAACCAAGCAGAGAAAAATGGGCCACCAAATATTTCTTTGCATGCATTTTACGTCATTGACAATGCAAAGAAACAAGTGGAGGCTTCCTGCCCTGGTGTGGTCTCATGTGCCGATATCTTGGCTCTAGCTGCAAGGGATGCTGTTGTGCAAGTAAGCAGGAAAAAGTCCTCACAACTGGTTTTAAACAAAAATGACAAGAAAAAGTTCTTGCTGTTTCTGATTGTACTATTAATCTTTGCAGTCTGGAGGTCCAAACTGGGATGTGCCAAAAGGAAGAAAAGATGGAAGAACATCAAAGGCTACTGAAACCAGACAATTGCCAGCTCCAACCTTCAACATATCTCAACTGCAGCAGAGCTTCTCTCAGAGAGGTCTGTCCTTGAATGACCTGGTGGCTCTTTCAGGTAAACTAACTTCAATTTCCCAATTGCAATTTCATAATTTTCATTTATCTCAAGAAGAAATGGAGAGCTTAACTATTGACACATCTGCAGGAGGTCACACTCTAGGGTTCTCTCACTGCTCATCTTTCCAAAACAGAATCCACAACTTCAATGCCACGCACGACATCGATCCTTCACTGCAACCATCCTTTGCAGCAAGCTTAAAGAATACATGTCCCATCAATAACAGGCCGAAAAACGCTGGCGCTACCATGGATCCTTCTTCAACAACTTTTGATAACGCATACTTCAAGTTGATCCTCCAGGGGAAGAGCTTGTTTTCTTCAGACCAAGCTCTGCTTAGTTTTCCAAAGACCAAAAATTTGGTTACGAAGTTTGCTACTTCAAAGGAAGCTTTCTTAGATGCTTTTGTGAATTCTATGATTAAGATGAGTAGCATTACAGGTGGACAAGAGGTCAGGAAAGACTGCAGGATAGTAAATTAATTGAGGGCCTCCAATCTTAGTTGTAGTCAAATTTAAAACCAGAGAGCTGAAAAATCCATCAAATAAGATGGTTCTCTGTTATTATCTTTATTTGTTTGAGAGATTTCAGAGAGAAATTGTTTGTCTGCTGTAATTCATAATGTTTGTAAGGATCTTGTTACAACAAAAGCTATTATAAATACGAAGCTATTATAAATATTGGTTTGAAGGGAAACAATACTTTCTTTTGTGAAACTTGAAATCTGTCTATGTTGACCCAACTCTTAATAAAGATGAACAAATGATGTCCTCCATTACAGTGCGCTCAATCAACTGGACTACTGAACTTGCTGCAGCAGAGTTCCAACGGTGACGAGCAGACTTAATGCAAGTCCGAGTGACGGCATTACTGCATTGCCACACTGCTAATGCAAAACCGGTATCTCAGCCCGTTGACTATCCAGAACAATCTCTGCCAACTGAAGGTTGCCGCTTAGCCCGGATGCCTTGTGGGATGGCATAAATGAAAAGGCATCAAGAAGCTTCACACACTTCAACCCCCATTTGACCATCAAAAACTCAATCAGATGATGTCCACTGCACATTATACATACGAAGTGTTTTCAGAGAGAAAGATAATAAGTGAGAGTGTTTCCAGCGCTATGCGCATACTACATGTGCACATGTTATAGAGTTGAAATAACATTAGAAACCAAAGCAGGTGAAAATACCTCCGATTATGGTAAGTTGTTATGAACACTGACCCCGGAGAACTTTGGAGCAGGAATGTAACAGTGGCAAAGAGGTCATCAAAGGCTTAACAACGCAAAAAAATCCACATTTCAGCTCAAGTTAAGTGATCGAGATGGTAAGAGGGAAAAATGAGAAAAAACAAAAACAAAAAACTAGTAGATAATAATAACCCTACCACTAGCATCATATAAAACATCAGCCCCAAGAATAAATTTTGGATGTAAACTGAATGTAGATGCATCCCAAACTCCCCATGTCAATCCCAGTACCTGAAAACAGAACTAGATCTCCTAACAAGATAAACATGGTCATGGTGACACAAAAGGAAGATACAATTAACATCATCTTATTAGGCGATACGCAAATAAGAAACGGAGTTTAGTCTGTTGATGGAAATTACATTGCACTCAAGTTTATTAAGGTCAAGCACTCGTTTCATGTTGTCTAGCACCTGCAGATGCAAAACAACAATGCCGTAAATCGCTAATTATAGCCATTTAAAACAGAGACGTTGTTTGGAGAAGAAATAACAAGTCTGAACTAAGTAACTGAAGTAGCAAAGAAAATGAAGATTCTTTATCAACTTTAAGGGTCAATTGGGACCAAAGCAGGCAGTTCATAGCAAAATTATACTTCTGAATCAAAAAAATTGAAATTTGGCAACGTACCAAAACTCAAATGCATTCCTTGATTAAAATTAAAATTATTTCAGTGGGATTTTTAAGCAAAAAGTAACATAAATCATAACATTTCCCAACATATATTCTAACCAATGGCCATCATAAAGATAATTGAGCTTTCAAGCAAATAAGAAAGAAAAAACTGATTTAAGATTTGAACAGAAATGAAAAAAAAAAATTTAATTGAAATTCAACACCTCTAATCTACTCGAGTCATCAGTGAGAGTGACGTCAGCACCAACTTTGGCTGCAACCAAACCTGGCAAGGAAGTTCCAGCACCAAGCTGCAAACTAACCCAGTAATTATTAATAATTAATTAACAAGTAAAGAATAAGATTAAACACGGATAAGGATAACATGTGCATTTTACCACCTCTACCACGCCGGCTCCGGAAAAGCGCAATCTCTGTTGCCAAACATACTCCGCTAGGACCACGCTACAGGGCCACACGAACAGACCATAGTCTTCCTTCATGTTCTCGATGATAGAGATGGAGAAGGCCGGTTCGTCCATTTCATCCCCGAAATGATGACGAGACACCGTCGTCATAAGAGTATCGGCCGAGTCACTGCGTTCCATAGATTCGCTGCCTGCGAAAAGTCGTAAGTTCGCAACAGAGGAACGAAGTGAGCTGTGAAGGCAAGTTATGGGTACACTGAAGGTCCAATGGGCCGAAGCCAACAAGGCCCAATTAAAATTATCCAAAACCAACATCAATTTTGAAGTTTTTTTTTTTTTTTTGTTTTTTTTTTTTGAACTTTGATAGAGCTTTCTGGAAGCACCCCTAATCTTCATCATCTTCTTTCCTCTGCTTCACTGAGTGAACTCGTCAACTCGGAGCTCGCCTAGTTCTCCAATGGCTTTTGCTCACTACCCAGTAACCATTCCTGTCGAAACCACAAAGCACGCAAAGACTTCGATTCTGAAACCACCTTCTTCTTCTGAGTCTCTCTCTCTTTCTCTTCCTCCTCCTCTCAAACCTCGCAATCTCTCCATATTTTCCAGATTCAAACGGTTGGGGCATAATGGTAAATACTTTCACTCTCCATCAGCACAGGCTGAGCCGCAAGAGCCTCAAGTCAGTACAGCTGCAGATGCCATTACCCATTTCAAGCATCTGCTTCTGCCCATCGTCGATGGGAACCCATATCTCTCCGAGGGAACAAGACAGGTAATTTTGACCCACATAATTTCCATGGCTGCTTCTGTGTGTGATGCATGCAAAAAAGTTGAATTTTTATTTTTCTACAGGCTATAGCTACTGCTGCTGCTTTGGCAAACAAGTATGGAGCTGACATTACAGTTGTGGGTATGTTTACTGATTGACCACTGACCTCTCTGCTTTTACATTGTTTATATATGGTGTGGAAATCAAGCACAAGGTATAGCCTTTTTCACTGTACAGACCCTTTTTGAATTTTGATACGATATGCCTAGTCTAGAAATATAGGATTTTGTGTTGTTTGCAGTTATCGATGAGAAGGAGAAGGAGTCTCTACCGCAACATGAAACCCAACTTTCTACTATCCGCTGGCATCTCTCTGAAGGTTTGTGTGCTGTATATATGCTCTTACATTTTTATGTGCAATAGGGAAGGTTTCAACTTTCAATCGATATGTTTTGAAATGTGAGGACTGATTGGAGATGTGAATTAACAAAGGAACGAAAGCGTACACGCTATGTTTGCATGTACAGATGTGCCGATTGGGTTTTCCGGGGGTGTTATTTTGATTGTATGCAGTTTTTCACAATAAGTTAAATATTTAAATTCTACTGACTGAATCAAAACATGCATAGAGAAGAATGGCAATGGAAAAGGAGCCACATTGTCATATTTCATTAGAAAACCGAAGGGGTGATTTGCTAGTTGATAACTCTGATATTGAAAGGGAAGTTTTTGGCAAAAAGGGCCAAAATTTAGCCCCCTAATATATCCAATTTTTAGTAAAAGTACAACCTTAGGTGAAAGTTTGATGCTTGAAGGGAGTTCAAGTACTAGAAAAGGGTTGAAGCATCAAATCTTGATTCAAGTTGCATTTTTTCTTAGAAAGAAGTGACTATAATACTGTATTATTGGGGGCTATGCTAATTTGTCAAAAACTCTTGAATGTAGAAGAGGATCTAGGCATCATGTTTTTATTATTGTGTTGTAAGAATATCGTATGCAGTTGTTGGCAAAATTTACTACTTCGAAGAATAGGGTTTGTGAAATTTTTTAAGTATGTTTGTAAAATAATTGATTGTTTATCTACTTATGATTTGTATATGTTTAGAGCAGCATCTTTAACACTAACATTACTTGTAACCCCTTTAAAAAATTATTGATAGGTGGGTTCAAAGAATACAAGCTGCTAGAGCGACTTGGGGAAGGGAACAAGCCGACAGCCATCATCGGCGAGGTTGCTGATGACCTGAATTTGGATTTAGTTGTTATAAGCATGGAAGCAATTCATTCCAAGCATGTTGATGCAAACCTGCTTGCAGAGTTCATTCCTTGCCCGGTCATCCTTTTGCCATTGTAACTTTCCATTATAACTTGTAAAGTAATCACTTCAAACTCAAACTCCCTCCCATTTACAAATGCCAGTTTCTTGCGTGTTGGTTCTTTCTTTGACCTTTTATTCTTGTGTTGAGAAGAAAAAAAATCAATATATAATTGAATTTTTTCGCTGATGTGTGTTGGGGACCATTCGCATTCATTGGGAATGCTTATTTTGTAGGCACCTTATCATACAAAGATAGAAGACAGCAGCTGAGGTTGATATTTTTCAAATGGTCTTGAGTTAACATCGTTTGAATTGAATTTTAGAGCTTGAGTCATGGAACGAACAGGTTTGTTCACTTGGAATTACAGGCTCTGTCATCGGTTGCTCAGGTTTTTGCTCCTGAGAAGTAGAACCATTTAACAAATCAATATACTTAGAACCAGACAGATTTGCAGACTCATCGAAACCTTCATCTTTTCTTTCTTTTTTTTAATAAGGTTGGTCCAAATTTACCACAATTTAGTTCAACGTGATGGGACTGTTTTTTTGTTTGTTGGTCAGACAAAATGATGGAACTTTGATGTAGAATTAGTGGAAGTTTAGTTTGTTTGACCGACTTACAAGAATAACGAGATTTGAACACGGAATTTCATGTTTAGGTTTTTTTAGAGGAATTAATTTATAAATGAATGATAGTAGTTAATAGTCGTGATGGCATTGTTTTTTCTATTTTTGTTTACTCTTTAGATTTCTATTTAGATAAAATTTAAAGTCATAATTTTTTATCTCTAAATCCCAAGTTTTTTTAACTTTTTCCACCTGAAGTTTTTAGATTTCTTCATTTTTATAAATCCAAAGAAGGTAAGTGATGTATGTCAATTTATAAATATGGAAAAATATTTTTTCGATGAACTAAAAATTTGGAAAGACATTGAAGTAGGATATGCTACCAATTTTGATAGATAAGAGAAATTACCATATGGTCGCGTAATATATCTTGTACACGTATTATAATATGTGTGGATGACATGATTTATTTTCCCCATTTTAGGAAATAGTATCAATAAAGATTCACTTATATTATCATTTATGACACGTATACAAAATGTACCACATGACCATACTAATGTAGTATTCTATAATCAGATCTAATCACTCTATAACTTGGTCGAATGCGTTTTAAAAGCACTAATCTCCAATATGAATGAGACACACCAAAAGAATATCCATCACATTGTGCATTCGATGATGTGTCCTAATCCTATTGGGTCAAGAAGTTGCCTCCACGTAGAGCTGTAATTAGGCAAGTAATGGTATAAAAAAAATATATATATATTTAAAAAAATAGATCAAGTCTAGTAAAAAGTTAAAAGGAGAGTCCTAGTCGTATTTGCACTCCTGATCCTGAATCCCATGTAACTCAGGTGTTGTGTGGATGACCTAAACAAACACAGGAAGGCAAAGCTGCCCCGCGGGTACGCTAGAAGGGGTATTTAAGTAATCTTATACGTATAAAACCTGGGCGTCCAGGAAATCTCACAGCGCAAAGCCCAAAGGCTAAGCAACTACGAGAACAAGAAGAAACACACAAACACACGCCCCAAAGAGAGAGAAATCAGAGAGCACTCGCTCGCTCGCTCCTCTTCTTCACCTCTCTCTCTGCTCTCTCCTTCTTCTCTGCGATCCGATCGCCCCCAAATCTTTGGAACCCTAATTTATGCCTCACATTGCTCTGAAACCCTAATCACTTCTCCATTATCGCTCTAAGTCCGCTGAAATTTTGATCACTCTATCCCCATTTTGCCCCTCCCCTCCTCGTCGATCAACTCGTCGACTCTCTCTCGCGCTCGCTAACCCTAGCTTTTGCTTGTTATGGCCATGATTAACTCCGCGAATAAGAGCAGCAATCCAGAAACGGCGTCGTACCCGGCCGTACAATCGCCGCGTCACGCCGGCGAGAGTGTCAGCAGCCCCACCACCCAATCGCGCCGCGCCGCCAGGGCGGTCTCATCTCCGTGGACCCAAATCGTGCGGGGAGAATCTGAACCGATCGCGGTCGCTCCTTCGTCGCCGTCGACGGCTGTGACTGAGCCAGCTGTCGCTGCTGCGCCTCCTCCTCCCCCTCCTTCTTCTTCTTCGTCTTCTCAGTCTCAGTCTAACTCTGCTCCTCAGTCGAATTCGTCTTCGCCTCCTCCGGCGGAGGAGTCAGTGGGTGAGGGCTCCGAGAACGGCAATGCGGGTAAGAGGCCAGCTTGGAACAAGCCCTCGAATGGGGCCGTCGAGGTTGGGCCCGTAATGGGAGCTGTTTCTTGGCCAGCCCTGTCCGAGTCGGCTCGGGCATCGACGAAATTGTCTCCGGAACCACTCAAAGGTGTATCGGAACCACCTTTGTCTGTCTCCGTGTCGCAGGTTTCTTCCTTGAATCTCTCTGATATTGTTTGGTTGCTGAGAAGAACATAAAAAGCTATACGATTTAAGCTGATATGCTATTTTTTAGTTGATTTTACCATAATCAAGCAATGCATTATACTTCTCTGCATTTGAATGGTGCTATTTTATAGTGAGCATGTTCGTTTGTGAGAAAATTTGGGTAATTGCATAAGTGACAATTTTTCTTATGCATTGAGAAAGAAGGAAAGTAAGTGGAAAGTATATCTTGAATTACTGGTTCTGATCGTTTGAGTCATTGAAAAATTATATTTTTAAAGCAAATTTCATTAACCTTAATGGAGGGTATTGTATTTGGTTTTTGTACTATAGTTTATGTTCCCTATATCAGTTAATTAGGTTATTTCTATGTGCATATGTACATTCATATTCCTTGATGTGTGTGGTATAGGGGACTGGAACCACACCTACCTCATCACCGAAACAAGTGAATTCATCTTCAACTCCAAACCATACTGGACCTGCGCGCCAGAGACCTATGAAACGAAATAATGCAAGTGCCTCCTCTAATGGAGGTCTTCCCCAGCATCAATCCTCAGCTGGTCAAGGTGTTGAAATAGTTCCAAATAACCCTTCTCCTAAGGAGCATACACATAGGAGTGCAATCGGCTCACAATCTCACAGCAATAATGATCATCCACAGCAGCGTAACTCCTTCAGGGGCCGAAATGGCGGTTCACATCCTCGTGGAGATGGCTCTCACCATCACAACTATAGGCGGGATCAGGACCGCGGCGGCCAAGATTGGAACACTCATCGAAATTTTAACAATAGAGACAACCACATGCATCCTCAAAGGAGTGTCCCTAGGATGATGAGGCCCCACCAAACACCACCACCACCACCTCCTAATGCAGCCCAATTTATCCACCAACCACAGATGAGGGCTTTTGGTGGGCCCATAGGGTTTGGTAAGCACTTAGGCATAATGGAACTTGGATGCTTTTAACAGGCGACTTCATTCTAATATCTTTCTATTTTTCAGAAATGCAACCTCAACTGGTTTATGTTACACATACACCACATGAGCCACTTGGAGTGCCTTTCGTTGCACCAATGCGACATCCCATGGTTTTTCCTGCTCCTGATCCTCAGCTGCATACTAAGATCATTAATCAGATAGAGTATTATTTCAGGTACTTCTTTTCTTATTTGTTTGTTATCATAAGATCAGTGATCACGATTTTCCTTTTTAAGTCCTTTGAAACTTTAACTGGTGTTGCCCTTCATACTCGTTTATTGCAGTAATGACAATTTAATTAAAGATACATTCTTGAGGCGGAACATGGATGACCAGGGATGGGTTCGTATTAAATTAATAGCAGGCTTCAATAAAGTGAGTTTTTCGGGAAATTTTCTTTTGTGGATTACTTATGGTGTTAGTGATCTGGTCTTCTGTGCATATATGCATATATTTTTATATATTCTACATTCACTTGTCTCTTAGGTTTTTCAGTTGTTGCAATTCTTGGTGATGATTAGGTTATCTTCGACACTGGAATTAGTCAATTAAGCACTTCAATTTATGCATTAAAAGAAGTAACTGAATAAATAAATAAATGTAAATAATGGATAGAAACACATTAAGGAAAATGACTTGTGATTTATACCAAGTATAATAGCATTTTGTTTACTATCCTGTGGTGCTGTATGGGATGGTATTATGGCATGTCATGCTCAGGAGAGCCCTTCAGATTCTGTACTTCTGTGATTCTTTTGTTATCTTTTACATCGACATGGGATGATATTTACATGTTCTGAAGAAAGTGATTCTTATGACTTAGATATATACAAATAGGTATATGAATGCTGAAGTGTCGTCAGTCTTCTGGTTAAGGTTTTTGTCCTCTTCTTGCTTGATTTCTCTTTGTATTCTTTGGGTTCCCTAAAGTTCTGTTTGCTTATGCATTGTGAATGTGCAATCTATAAGTGTTTTGAGTTTAGTAGGTCCAAATGTACTACTTTAGGTATTTTATACCTAATGTAGCATTTGTACCCATTGCTTGCGAATTAAAAGTATTTTGCATTTAACTCCACAAAACATGTTGCACACCAAACCACATGGACTTTCCATGTGAACCATTTCACACCCTTCGGCTTAGTACGAGTCTTGTTTCCTATGAAATTATTGGACATCTTGTCCTTCTGAGGCCAACATACCTTGATTCCTTTTGGCTTTGTCAGATGCATTTACTTAGTGGTGAAGTTACTTATCTTCATTGGCATGCCAAAATATTTCCTTATCTTGCTGTATAGGATACTAGGTTTCCAATCCATTTTGATGACACTGCTTAATCTTTCGCGGTTTACTAATCATGTTTCATTTTCTATAAGACTGTAATTCTTTTTGTGGGATTTTTGTCCCTAGATTGCATATTATTTCTGTCTTGAACACAGCCTATCTTATAGCTGTCTCATAGTGTCTAATCTTTTCTTTCAAATTTTAATGAAAAAAAAACATTGGAGAAGTATTAATTGTGTTTGTTTACTCCAGCTATGCAATAGCATTTATGAGATGGTCAACAGGGTCAATTTGGGCATAATACTCCTTGGTCTGTACTTTACTAGTTTGATGCAATACATTTCATGTCTTACACCCATATCTTACTCTCTTGTCCCAATTTATCTATGTAAAACTCCCATTGCCTTTATTTTTGGTGCCTAGACTATACAATCTGTTTTTTTCGTAGCTATCTTGCTACAAAGTTTAGGTAGTATGGGTGAAAATAATGAATCAAAGTTGACAATTACAAACTTCACTAATAAGTATTATGACCTTCAGTGATTTACTTTATGCTCTCTCCTTATACTTTAGTTGTATATCACCTCGTATAAAATTGTTTTTTTTCTTCCCCATAGCTATCTTGCTAGAGAGTTTTAGGAGTATAAATGGGTAAAAGTAATGAATCAAAGTTAACAATTAAAACCTCAGTAATAAATATTTTGCCCTTTGGTGATTTACTTTAGTCTGTCACTCCCTATACTTTAGGCGTTTGTCTTTTAACAGTGAGGTAGTCTTTTTCTTTTTGGTAGTATTTTCCTCCCATAGAAGCATGGGTGTTATTGTGCACATAGCTATATATAGTTAATTGTTACAGTTTAAGAAAATACATTTTAATCTTGTTTTATGATATACTCATCTGAAAAATATCTTTTTGGGGTTGACTATCATCAGATTCAGATTATATAATTTGTCATTGATACATTTTAATATTATTTAGAAAAAGTTGTGTCTATCTATGTCATGTGGAGAAATGATACATTGATGGCAAATTTCTGCTTCTTTTTTTTTGGGTGGGGGGAAATAATATTGGTCTTATTTTGTGCTTCTGTTTTTTTTCTTCATCCTTTTCTATTTTAAGTGTTTGTTGGTGACATCAGATGTGCAATTTCCAAAATACATAAGCATTAAACATATTTCTTTACAGAAATGAAACAGTTTTCTGCTGCTTGTACTGTAAACTGTTATCAATGTCTTTGTATATAAACTTTAACAAAGATATGTGTTGCCGTTTTTTCAATAAATCTACTCAGAATAGTTTAGAATCAAGTCCTTTACCTTCTGTACCAGTTTGATTTCATTCTCATCTTTGTACTGTTGAGCAAACTAAGAGTGAGTGTGCCAGAGATTTCATGGAAGTAGTGAGAATGTCAATTTTTGCGCATCTCTATACTCATAAAATTCGCTGATTCTTTTGCTTTTGTCAGAGATTTCTTTTTTCTTTTTAATATGATCAATTCAAACACAATTTCTGTATCTCCTTTTCAGGTTATGAATTTGACAGACAACATTCAGCTTATACTGGATGCTATGAGAATGTCAACTGTTGTGGAAGTACAGGTAATTCTGGAATCCATAATTTAAGGTCTGATGTAATCATGGAATCAAGAATTTAATGTTACTTGTTGATTTAGTATTGAATCTCCTTTCTTCTCTAACTTTTCCTTCCCACCCCCCTCTTTCCTCCTATCCCGTAATATACAGTTAAAAGCGTTACTTGTTTGAGTTCTATAGCTTTTCTAATAACATGCCAAATCTTGTGATATGTAATGTTTGCCTTGTGTTTAGGGTGATAAAATAAGGAGGCGCAATGATTGGATGAGATGGGTAATGCCAACTGCCCAGCCTCCTAATGCCTCAGGCTCTCAGGCCCTTGGAAAGTCCGGTCAAGATATACTGTCAGCTCAGATCCAAAGTATTGCACTGGATGAGAAGACTGCTAGCAACATCAATATTGAGAACAGTAGTCAGCCGCAGCCGTCTAGTGGCGAGGGAGCAGGTCAATTTGGTGTTCAAGCAGGTTCAGATCGCTCTATTTCAGCAAGAAATTAGAGTTCAGAGGGATGTGCACTGACTATGCACACTCTTGGAGAAAAATGAACTGTGGGAAAAGGTGTTTAAAAGACGCGATGGTGAATATCTTGTTTTCTCTTTTTTTTTTTCTTCTTCTTTTTGAAAATAGTACTGGTGCCTTGGCATGATGAAACATGGTTTCTCGCCAGGCAAATAGAAAGAAACTAAAAATGGGGAAAAGAGAACCATCTAGGAACAGAAGAAAAGACTAGTTGGGGAAAAAAAAGCCAAACGTTTGATGACTCGAGCTAGTTGCATGAGTTTATTGGGATTTCTGTACTTTTTTTTTATGTTTCCTCTTTCTCTCCATTTAAATTTTATGGTGGCATGGTTGGTGCTTTCTTCTGGGGAATTTTTGCTGTCTTTTCCCCATACTGCCCCTCAGCTGGTTTTTACAATCTTTGGGGTCAGCCAACCTCCAATTTCAAGAGATTATGTGATTTTGAGCGTGATGGAGAGAGGGAGAGAGGGAGGGATGGATGGATGGTGTTTGGGTGTCTGAGGGGAGAGGTTGGTCTTCGCTGGATTCTGCTGGGCGGTGCTACAGTAAATTCTTCTACTATTGATGGCATGAGGATCATCTTTTATTATTTTCTCACATTTAATATAATATTTAGAATTAAATTGACATATATGTATACCTTCTTCTATGATCTTCACCATTTGAGGATTTACGGCATAAATGGTTCCTGGTGGAACGAACTGATGTATCCAGGTCGGAACTGGATGTGGTTGGTACTTCATGTTGATTGCACTTTGGAACTTTCCCTGCTCAGGATCATTGGATTAAGCTTTTGTTTGATATTTTAATTAAATGTAGCGGATCATATTTATTTATTCTATTATTTTCTAATCTGTTTTTATTTATTTATATATATATATTTCAGTTTCTCCATATTTTAAAAAGTTCTTTGTGTCCCTTGTTGGAACAAAATTTCCCAAGGTTCTCACGTTATATTTATTAGTTTGAGTCTCACATTTTGTTTGCTAACTTCAAAACGATACTAATTTTTCGTCAAACAACGTATGTTTTTGCATTATGTATGTAAATCACAAATCAATTTTCTGCACGTAAACGTGTACAATACGAAAAGGAAAAAAATTGTAAAGAAAAGATTTTTCTTCGTAGAATGTTCTTTTGTTTGTAGTTTGTGCAAAATGGGGTATGACAAAGGCAGGCTTGGAGTTAACCCTTTTAAAGATTGTTGTCATCTTGGTTGGGCCATATCTAATAGTTTTTGTACGACTACAACAAAGTGACAAATAATTCATGCTTCACCCAATAAGAAAAAAAAAGAAAAAAGGGGCTTGTCAATGTCATGGTGGATAAAAGCCGATGATCTTGGATTTTCCTCCCAAACTGAAGTGCTGGAAACATTTTGGAGGTAAAGTGAAGCAAATCATATCATGTGAAGAGAGTTGGTTGCATTTCATGATATCATTTTGTATTAGGATGGATCCACCACTCTTTTCCCACTAATATTAGCTAGACATCAAATAATATACCTCATATAAGGTGAGAGGATGCGTAATCGAGTAGTTATTAATCTAGTGATAATTTTCTTCCTAATATTGAAATAATTCTCGAGTTAGAATTCTTTCTCCTCCGTTGATTTCGGAAGAAGAAAAAAGCCCTGATTACAATCACGCATCTCATGCTTGCCATAATTAGTCAGTTTTGGTGCATGGATGTTACTCAGTTTTATTAACTTTTCTGGGCCATGGCATCTCCCGCTTGTCCTAATTAGTCATCTCATCTCCGGCCCATTTGAATAAAAACCAAAACCAAAAAAGGGATAGACACCAGTCATCTGCTGCCCCAAGTGTGCTCTATTGCCCCCACAACACATGTACCTACCTACAAACAAAGCCATATAATAGAGTCACATCTTATATAAATATATGTATTAGTTTGTTTAGCAGATGACATCTTGGTCGGGGGATTTTGGACAAATGGCCATACTTTCCTTCCCCCCCAACCTCCAAACCTTTTTAGGTGTCAAATTTAGACATTCTGATTGAGCTTGTGGTATTTTCTTTTGCATAAATGGTTATAAAGTCCAGACCAGAGGCTCCAAGCACATCCCAAACACACAGAAAAAACGCAAGAACAAGAAGAGTGCAAAGGTTATCATGGACTTGGTTGGCTAGAATTAGAACCTCATTCACAACTTCAAGTGGCCAAAAAGAAACCCATAAAGCAGAAAAAGGAGCTCAAAGAGCAATAAGTGTTTTTTTTGCCACCATACCTACAGATTTTCCTTGAGATTTGAGCCTACTGGATTTTAAACAGCATCATCCTAAAATCCAAAGGTTAAAAGACTGCTCCTCTGTTACCACCCCATGGTTTTTAGACTGAGAAAAGCAGACAAATCAATCACATTGGGTATTAAAAATAATATCAGAATATCAGAACCTTGCTTAAATTTGTTTGTTTATTCATTTTAATTTTCTGGGTTTCTCTGGTAACTCAGTTATGGAAAGCCATTTAGCCTCAATCAAATCAAACCGCATCCCATCAATATAGACAGCAACAAGGCGCCCTCCTTTTTTATTGCTTTGTTTGTATTAATAAACCATAAAAGAAAGTTGGTTGACCCAAAAAAAAACAACCATAAAAGAAAGTTTCTTATTATTGTTTGCATATGCATCAAACAGTAACTAATAATGGTACAATACCATGCATATTTCTAGGCCATTAGGAAAAGAAAAAGAAAAACTGACACATAACTCCACCCATAAGGGCTAAGTCAAGGACAAAGACAAGAAAAAATATATATATATATTCAACAAAATATAAAATTGTTATGTATTTATAGGGAAAGTGAATAAAATTATTATGTATTTACAGGGAAAATATCCATAATTTTTTGGTTTTTATAAAAAAAATTTTGATTTTTTTAATATTTTTTTTGCTCGCTGACATCAGCATAATGTCAGTGCTGACGTCAGCACCTTCAAGCTAAAGCCCAAACAAAATCTGTCCTTGGGCTTGTGGGACCCAGGGCTTGCCCGGGCTGCATTCTTTGCGCTGAAGGTCCAAACCTCACCTGGGGGGGCTTGTTGCCCTGGCTGGCCTGCAGCGGTGGACTTGCTCTAATAGGTTGAATATGATAATCTTCCTTTTCTTTATAATTTCATTTTAATTTTAAGGCTTAAGTGTACCAATAGTCCTTGAATTATACATGGGGTAACATTTTGGTCACTCAATTTCAAAAATAGTTACAGAGATCATCTAATTAGGTGCCGTGTTGCATTACTAGTCTTTTCTGGTAAATCTGTCTATTTTCCCAATGATGCAACACGACAAAAAATTTAACAGAATTTGACAGAAATATCAATAATACAACACAACACCTAATTAGATGGCATTTGTAACTATTTCTGGAGTTCTCTGCTGGTTCAGTGTGGCAACAGAGAGAGAGAAGCATAAAGTGTGTGAAAGAGTTTGGGACAGAGCAATACTGTGGTGACAGATGGCTATAGCTCCAAGACTAGACTGTCTGCATTATTTTGATCAATCTCTCATATCCCTGACCAACTTGCCATGCTTTCCCTTGACAGCACAAGTAAATGGTTAACAAATTTACTGTTTCTAATTTGGTTGGTTGGGAAAATAAATTTAAAAAAGCTAAAATTTTCAACAACTGGTCAACAGTGTATGGTCCTACGGTTGTCTTGTGTCAAATTCAGAGTGCCAAAATTTCATCGTACATAATGGGCCAACTGTCAATGTACGGCATTTGTAAATGAGAGCAAATCAAAAGAACACTGCAAATCAAAAGAAATCACATCCCATTAAAGTATAAGTAATTTTTTTAATATATTCCTATGCAGGGCCAAATGTAGCACTGCATTCCTGGCTGGCATTCACGGATGGTCTACAATATGATTAGTGATTTTCCACACTTCTTTTGTAGCCTCTTTATATAGGTTGAGACTCGAAATTGGAAATTACGATTTCATTTCAGTTTTCATTTTCGTACCGTATGTGTCCTAATTAAGGATTTATGAGCAATTTTTCTATCAATTGAGAAATCCGGCCCTCGATGTTGAAAAGAGGAATGCCAAAATTGCTAACATAAATTATATTGCTTAGCTTATTCACCAAGAAATCATATTGTAATTATAAAGAGAACGTATACACATGATCATGTTCATTTCATTTCCTTTCCTGATTTAAGCAAAGTTTGCAACATAAAATAAATACCAGAAACACTATTGACCTGGTGAGACACACACAGACAAACAGAACTACTGGCCAAAATAATGATTGAAGACGAGATAAATTATCCATTCTCCAATTGAAGTGAGTCGGGAGGAAAAGGGCACCAGGCAAGCCCACCTGCAAGTGCAGGAAATTATCCCATGAATAATACAGGTGTGTAAATCCGGTAAGTGGTTTCGACTAAAATATATATATATATATCTCTGGTAAGTGGTTACCCTTTTTAAATGAAATGAAAATGGTAACAAGTGAGAAACAAATCTCAAGTGTGACTGAATTTATGAGAGAGAGAGAGAGAGGAGGCAGAAGCTGCCATGCTTCCTTGGAGTTGGTGGGTGTGGTGCAAATCAAAGTATTAAATATTAAACATGAAATAAATTGAGCTTCATAGAAATATCAAGGCACATAAAATATTATTTGCCAAATCAAAAAGTACATAAAATATCTATCAAACTGTCAACTGCGTAGCTCAAGTATGAGTTTGATCACCAATTGCCCTTTCACTTTTATGTCGATGCTGCTGCCACCAAAAGTCTTTGGGGGCCGTACGTAACGTTTGCTATGTATGATAGAATTATATTTGCCAATAGTAACTCGTTGTATTTCTAATGCAAAATCCGAAAATGTAAACTCTTTTACAACAAAAGATCAAAACTTTTTTCAATCTAGGGTTTAGATGCAAGCAGAATTTTCATGACAGCAGAACCAAGATTATTTTCCCTTAAAAATACACTTGCCAAGATGACATTTTTTACTTGATTATAAGCTGAGGAGGCTGAAGTTTGTCTCTCCTTGGGAGACCTTTAACCAATTAAAAAAGGGGAAGTGAGAAAGAAATGGCCTCATTGCGGATACACACACACAGAGAGAAAAAACTATATGTCCTTCCCAATAACAAGAGCTCCATGGCTGCAGCCTATTTTAGACATTACCAAATACCAATTGAGTCATTCTTGACCGAAAAAGAAAAAAGACATAAACAATTGAGTCATTCACATATACAGTGCCAAAAAGAACCAATCCCTCTCTCATTCAGCTCTTCTCTAAAAACACAACTCTCTCTCTCTCTCTCTCTCTCTCTCTCTCTCTCGTCAATGTTGTCATCAACATCAACTGGTAGAGGTAGTAGTGACCAAACCAACTACAACACAACCAGCAACAACAGTACTAATACCCCAAAGAGAGTAGCTTCTTCATCCACCAACTCATCCTGGTCCTCATCATCCCCTTCCCCTTTTTCACAGCAACCCTTTTCCCTCCAAACCCCCCAGAGAACCATGGAAGAGGTTTGGAAAGACATCAATCTTGCCTCTCTCTCTGAGACCACCCCAAACAGGAGATCATCACTCCTTCACCACATTAATCTCCCTCATGGAACCCACGACCCAAACTTCAGAAATCTTCAGGACTTCCTTGCTAGACCCTTTTCCCACAATGAACCTCCAGTCAGCTTGGTCTCCACACCCACTGAGCAGGCCACTCTCAACAGCCCCGCCTCTCCTCCTCTGCCTCCACCAGGCCCTCCCCCTATTCTCAGCTTGACCAATTCTGGCTCTGATCACTTTCAGCTTTTCTATGTCTCTGACCCTCTTATTAGGCCTCCCTCCTCTGAGTTTCGTCCTCATCACCATCAGTCTAACCCCAACAACATTTCTAGTAGTGTTTCTAATTCTTTCAGTGCTTCCCCATTTGAGAGCTTGGCTGCTTCCTCTTCTGGCTTGCCTTCTTTTGGGAAGAGAGCATTCCCTGACTCTGATCATAGCAACTCGGGAGGAGATCGAAGACATAATCGCATGATCAAGAACAGAGAATCTGCTGCTCGATCTAGAGCCAGGAAGCAGGAATGTATCTGTCTAATAATCCCAGTTTGTTATTTATATGAACTTTGTATCTGTTCTTTATTTTTTTAGCCTTGCTTTTTTTGTGTTTTGGACCGAGTCTTTTGCTTTTTGTGTTTTTATGATTTCTGGTTGGTACCAACAGGCTTACACAAATGAGTTGGAGCTAGAAGTCGCACATTTGATGGAAGAAAATACAAGACTCAAAAGGCAGCAAGAACAGGTAGGAAAGCAGTCTTAGTTTGTACTTATTACAAGCAAAACTACTGCTTCCAAAAAAAGTTATTTTCTTTGACTTGTTTATATATATGCAGTTATGTTTTGCAGCAGCTTCTCAACAACCCAAAAAGCACAATCTTCATCGATCCTCAACAGCTCCATTTTGAAAAACCTCAGTGCATTGCTTTTCTTTTTTTCTTCTTTTTTTTTCTTTTTCTTTTTCTTCCGAGGTCCTCCTTTTGATTTTGAGTTATAAGAGACGGACCAATGGGTGCTTCAATATTTTGTGGTGATATTTAGGTGGTGAAATGAATGTATCTTTTTCTACAAGTTTTAGGCTTAGAATATTATAACAATGGCTTTCAAATTTCAATGTATGTATGCAGAAAAAAAAGAAGAAAAAAAATTCCCAACAAGAAGGAACTTAATTTTGGTGGGTCTTGTTTATTTTGTTCGTATTCATCTCTTTTTACCTTCGCTTTCGTTGACATTAAATTATTTTCCCCTCATTTTCTTGAAACCAATTTTCCATATTCATAAATTATTTTCCCCTCATTTTCTTGAAACCAATTTTCCATATTCATGGAAAAAAAACCACCCCCCCCCCCCCCCCCCCCCCCCCCAACTGTGTTGAAGGGTAAGTGGGAATCATAGCAAGGACAATTTATAGGATGCCTAGAACATGTAGAGTTGAATAACTTTTCACCTGGCCAATTGCTTTCTGCATTTTCTTATCTCTTATCCCAAGTCTTTAGTCACCCCATGGGCGTAGCCACATGCAGAAGCTATACTTTTTCTTTTGCTATGGCAGGCAGCCATTAATGTCCTATGTTGTCGGCTATGAGGGCATATCTTGGTCATGGAGATGATTACTCGCCATGCCCCTATAGGACGGTTTAAAAGAAGCAATCATGATAATGTGGGGAAAAGTTACTGACCCTTAATTGCAACTTAGCAAGTTAATCAAGTGATTATGCCTGCGATTAACTTTTGGAAAGTGGGAAGTTTTGTTTTTAGCTTTTGTTTATAATGTTTTGGACTGATGTGGAGATTGATGTCGGCGGGTCAGGACAAAGACTCAGTTTTTTATCATCTTCCCACCTCCTTGCAAGACACTTGTCAGATTAGGAGTTCCAAGTTCTATTTATGGTTTGAGAAGGTTTCTAGTTCCAAATAGGGATAGGGGGGAAAACAGTGGATGAAGTGTAAACAATTGATAAGTTTTTTCCCTACGAAACATGTAGGACAAGTATTATGCCCATCATAAAGTTGTCTTTTAATTGTGTTTATTTAAATTGATTTTTTTTTTTCATTTTAAAAGTCATATTATTTTATTTTTATGTTATTTAATTATTTCAAAATATAAAATAACTAATTTGCCCTCATATTTAACGGTAAATTGAATTAAATATTGATATTTATATGGCAGGGGAAAAAAAAAACTTAATTTTCCCAAAAAAAAAAAAAAAAAAAAAATTGAGAGTGCAAATTGAAAGTAGCATACAAGTTCAGAGGGCAAATCAAAACTTAACTCTTAAATTTATAGTACAGTTTGGTAGATATTCGTTACGCACTTCTTTGTTTGTTTGCAAGGTGTGAGGGAGGCTCCACCTATATGTTTGTCTCTCCACTTCTTTGTTGGCTTGCAAGATGTAAAGTGTGATTGAACCTACTTGTCTGTTTGTGTTTGAAACTTTAAATATTCCAAGTCAATCTGTCTAAAGATATATTGATGGTACTTGGGGTAGTTTAAATAAAGAGACAAGTTTGGTCTCTCGTCGATGGTCAATGAAACAAGTTTGTGAGTATTAATCTACGAACAACAGAGAAAACTCAAAAGAAGAAATATCGTCTGAAAACACTTTTTATACAAAAAGCTTGAGCGGTGAATATAGATTTCCAATATTAACATGTTTGTGCTACAATTTAACATCAAATCCGTTGTCGTCCAGCGGTTAGGATATCTGGCTTTCACCCAGGAGACCCGGGTTCGATTCCCGGCAACGGAACTTTTTGCTTTTTAAGCACTCAGTTCATCTGGGCCTCTAATTGGGCCGCACCCATCTGATTGTTTGTGCGGAATGGATGGAAATTTCGACCAACCCAAGGTCTCATTCAAATGTTCACCGTTTTATTTTTGAAATTTTCTTTCCAAATGCAAGTAAATTAAAGAAAGAAATGTTGTGTATTTGATTCAAAAGACGCAGGCTTGAGTTGGATCTGTTGATAGAGTCTCCTTGATTGTTTTTAAAACATTTACACATCCACTCACAGTTGTGAGATTTTGGTTTCACTCAATGTTCCTGTGGTTTGCCATTGCCATGCAAACATCAAGTGGAATTCACAATTTAGAACCCAGATATATGAAAAGAAGAAAAATACAACATCATCTCCTCAGTCAGCAACTCCACCACCTGAGACTTGTTCCCTCCCACCGGAAACCGGCACAGCGGGCAGGTCGTCCGGCATGCGTCGAACCACTTATCAACACACACCTTGTGAAACTCATGCAGGCAAGGGAGACTTCTCACGTCCTCACCCTCCACCAATCTTGACAAACACACACAACAAACCTCCTCCTCAACTATCTTCCCACCCTCTGATTCAATCACCTCATAGCAACATGGGGCTGCCTTAAAACTTGTCTGTCCTAAAAGCGGACTGAAGAAATTGTAGATGAAGGAGGCTGCCCTATTGAGAACCATTTGGGTTTGTTAATGAAGGATTAGATTGGCATTTGAACAAGGTGAGTTTATAGTTGGAGAAAACAGAATGTGGTCAGCAGTTTTGCGTGGGTTGGAAGGGTTGATATGTTAAGGAACAATTTCTCGAAGGAACAGCACAAGGCAGTTACACCTAAAGAGAGTGTTACTCTTGACCTTTCTTAATTTTATTAATCACAGAGGTAGATTATTCTAAAACCTTAAATACTTTGGTTTTCTTGCTTCCCTATGTTGCTTCATTTTCTACTTATAACAAATGATACCTTAAAAATATTAAGGTAATGCTAATCAGCGTTGATGGCAAATAATTAGTATTATTTTATTTGTATTTTTTCTGGTGAGCCGGGGGATTTATGGCAGAGGGTAACATTGCGATGTAAACTTGCAACCGAACGAATGTCAGGGTCATACAAACTGCTTGCTTGTCAAGTCAGGAGGTAAATTGATGTCTCATACCAGACTACTTGGTCAAGTGGTAACCTTTGAAGACCAGAATGAATTGGATGACGTGTTTAAAAACAGAAGAGATGCCTCCTTCAACTTCAAACAATAATTCCAGAAAATCACAGCATTTCTTCCAAAAGAAAATAACAGTAATTCCAGGGCTAATTAGAATTTGGACTAGTTGCTTAGGTATCCTTGCAAAATGTAAGGTGTCTCAGGGCTTGGATTTCTAACCGGGCGATGGTACGGATGGTTTAAAGGGTAAGGTAGAGCTACTCTGTCGTGTAGGTCAAGGAGAGCTACTAATAAGATTTATATATGCAGGCACATAATAGGTCTCAAGTCTTTATCATTCTAATTAATGGATTTTCATCCAACAGCTTAAAACAAGCTGTGTTTTGACACAAACATATTAGAACCAGGAGAGACTCCGAGGAAGTAAAACATAACCGCGAGGGCAGGGAGAGTGAAGCTGAAGCAAGAGATGCGGGTGGTGACATAGAAGATAACCAGCTAACAATCTTAAATGTCTCCTAAGAAACAAATAGAAGTCTTAGTTCTAATTCCCACATCGAGCTGGTAGAACCTAGGCACCCAAACATAGCACAGGCAAATGCGAGCCTGTGAAGGCTCAACCGAAAGCAAAAGCCATTAAAAAAACATTTTAGACAACAGACAACCCTAACCTTTTAACACAAGCTAATAACAGGGAAAAAAAAAGACATAGCAGCCATGGAAATGAAAAATGAGTTTATTCAACCAAACAATGAAATTAATGAAAGCTCTTAGTATAATTTTTCATCTTGGAAAAAATTTCAAAGAACATCCCTAGCAGAATTCCTCTCAGATCATAAAGCACAGAATCATTTGAAAGGTATCGCGTAACAAGCCATTCATGAATTCCTCAGGCACTTCCTCACAAATGGAATAAGAATTCACTTTAAGAAAAGTTAGTGATGTGACCTTCCATCCATCTCCTAACAATGAAGAAACCAGTTCAACAAAAAGCTTGAAAAAGGAGACGCATTAGAATTTGCAGTGTACCCCACAATTGTAACTCACTTTGTGACAATACCATGAGTCTCAAAATTCAACCTAATGACTGCCTCCTTGATCTGCCTCACGTTCGACGGACGATTTCACAGCATCTTCAGGTTTTAATGTATCATCGGCCTCGAGGGTCTTCCCATCTGTTGGTACTAAGCAAGGAATCCCATCCTTTATCTATCAAATAATCAGTACAGGAAAGAATCATATAAGATATCAAGCTATACAGCACAAAAACATACAGAAAAGACGAATTTTTTTACAATCATTCATGTTCGGATCAACAGATAACCTCTATCAATCATTCATGTTCAGTGATGGATACTTCAGAGCAAACTAGGAGGAAAAAGAAAAGAAAAAAAAACTAAATTGCTGCTTCAAAATTGGACTTGGAACTCAAAGGAAAGGAGACACCAAGTGCATCACTGATTAGGGAATTCGTGTCCTCACAAAAACCTACCAAATAACCCACAAACAAGCCAATTTAACCAACTAACAATTACCCAAAAAAAAAAAACCACGTTCTAAATTTTATAAATAAAAAACGAGAATAATAGAAAATAGAGAGATGGGCATTTGACCTTAGAGGTTGTTTGGAAAGCGGGCAGACAAGTATCTAAGAGAGGGTCTTGCTGAGTCCAGACCCAGCAGCATCCTTGAGAAGTTTAATGCTTCCTCTCACCATTTCATTTCTCTAACTCCGGTTTCTGTTGGGTTTTCTTTTCTGAGCTGAACTCCCTTCTCGCCACGCACCGTTTTCCTGAAAGCACAAACAAAACCCACGAACCTGACGTCATGGTTTAGAACGCCGTCACTGCCTGCTTCCAACAGAAGCAGCAGCTCTCTGTGACTGTTGCCTGATATCCATGCTAAAGCAAAGAGAGGAATATCGATATGATCCCACCTTTTTTAAATATAATTTTCATGTGTAATTTGATGAGAACATAAATTAATCTTGTTTTTTCCTTTTTCGTTTTAGATAGATCAATATCAAACAGATAGCAAAAAACTGAATAATTAAACATGTAGTAAGAAATAAAATGGAATTTTATTACATACCAGACATATATTACAGACTCGAGTCTTCAAGACCAAAGGTACTAGCGCTGATACCAGCTTATGCACACACGCGTCTTATGGGGAATTATGTTTACAAGAGAGGGTTTACAAAAGGGAAACTAAATGCAGATGAGGTCGAAATCTATGAATGTAAAACCCTCAAGAGAATGATAACAAGTCAGTTGATTAACTATACTACATGATAGGGCATGGAACTGTTTTCAGTTCCAAGTTCCAACTAAAGAAACAACACCGCCAAGAACTTCATTCGAATGCCCACTGGTTCTCACGACGAACTTCCTCCTCCTCCTCTGGGGTGAACTGGTCCTTTAGATTGAAGGTCTTTCGGATCTCTGCCGGAGTCTTCCCCTTGATCATGTCTGCAATATGCTGGCATGTCAGGTCCAGCAGGCTCTTGATGTTCAAGAAGTTTGCAGCCTGTGAACCGAAATTGCAACATGTTAGAAAAACAACATATCAAATTACTGTAATTTCTGAACAAGAATAGACATAACATCCAATATCCATAATCCATTTATTCTGACCACATTATCACCACAAACTAGACAATAACGTTACGTAATAATCTAGTTAAGTATTATCAATACTAACACATCACAGATGTTACAGAAAGAGACACATTTTCATACTACCGAACTTTACAAGGCAACAAAATTTCAATATGAAGCTACTGTATCTTTATCTCAACTTCAACAGACGCACACACAAACTTGAAGTAGAAGCTATGCAGGCACAAAATTTCATCATCAAGACATCGCATTAGTAAAGAAAACACAGCATTAACCAACTCAAATTCGTAAAAACTCCCAAATCAAACATCTAACAAAAAGCTAAATCAATTTAATCGTAGCATCACCAATCAACCATCATAGAAAACATCTGATAGAGTAAAAACCTACCGTTAACAAAAGAAACATATCCAAAATTTAAACAAAATTGAACCAAATCCCTAATTCGGAAACAGCCAGCCCCAATTTTCGAAACCCTATACTATACTTAAAGTTTAAACAAAACAATCGCCCGCCACCAAGAAGAGAATCGCTATTAGGGTTAAGATAGGGTTTTAACGTACAAGAATGAGATCAAATATGGTTTCCTGGTTAACATCGTCGAGAAAGTCCTGATCCCAAGCCCTGAGATCGTACTCGGTGATCTTCGAATCAGGCTTAGCAGCGTCGGCGTGCTTCTTGCAGTACACGATGACCTTGGCCAAGATATTGCCCTTCACGTTGGGTACAGGAATGCATTCGTCGGCGCAATCGTCCTCGATCATATACTTGATGATCTGCGACTCGCGAGCCACCGTCTCGTCAACCTCGAAAAGTGCGGGATCAGAGCTCTTCAGGGTGATCCTCTTCGGCGACGACATTATGGTGATGACGGCTGATGGGTTTCCAAACGACACCGCTTTTCGATATCTCTAGAAAACTCGAAGGCGAAAGAGATAACGCTATGTTTCTGGTGTTTCTGGTTGGTCCGTAAGTGAATTTGCTTTCGCGCGCCATCAGTCTATTGTTGAGGATCTTTTAAGAGACATTAGGGTCTCATACGGAATATTTTTTAACATCCAAACCGTCCATTTTTCAGATTTTCATTTTTTTTCAGAGACATATCTTCATTCTAAACAAAATGTAAATTAAAAATTATTAAAATGTTTAATGGAAATCAACAAAATAGACCAACACAATATTTCAATAAAAACTATAATAATAACCATCTAACTGTGGACGAACTTTATCTTGAATTTCAATTGAGTTGAGTCTTGCAATATTTTTTTTTAGGCAATTACATCCGTTAACTGACAAGTAGATGGCACGTGATGTTGTCGTTAAGGGTATATTGGACTTTTAGGCAGGCATGATTGAATTTCTCTTCTTCCATACGGTGGGCACGAAGAGGTGGTTGTTCTTTGAGAGGATGAAGAAAGAGTCTGCATCTTTCGTTCAATGACGATGCGATCTTCAAGATAGCTTTGCTGCTCATCGTCTGTTTCTTCTACCTTCTTGTTGTTAAGGGTTTATACCTGAAATTTTCCACTTGGGCCTCACAACAAATGATGTGGCATTAGTGTATCTGACCACATTTTTGGCCCAAATGGTGAACCCGGAGCCCAAGACCAAGACGAGGATGGTCAAGCTTTGAAGCCCACCGTCGTGGTACAATGGACTCGGCCCAACAATCAGAGATCATGGGCCGTGAGCTCGGTTCGTGACAGCTTGGTTGTAACCTATTATAATTATGAATTGGAAGGAGGTGTGTGCCCAAATCCGACAGGTACAAGAAAATTTTACCTGCCCTAGGATACACACGATTCTGAACTAATGGTCATTGTCATGTGTTTTAACTTTTCGACATGATAATGTAATTTTTCAACATGACAAATATGTGATAAGTATGGAATACTGCCACGATGGCATCCTATTACATATAAGTTCTCCAAAGGTACACACCTCTTTCATTGAAGATTGCATAGTATAAAGAGCAAAACAAGGCTGCTGACTATCTAGCTAATTTGGGGCATGTTTTATCCTTTCATGAGTCATGAAGAGCCCAAGATAGGGCTATGCTTTGTTAGTTTTTACTTTTTTGGAGAAGAAGAATACTCTCTCTCTCTCTCTCTCTCCAAGAATCACTTTATTTTATAGTTGGCTTTTATCCAAAGGGCGCAAAAGCTTGCTCTGCGTGCGTACCAAGAGTTTCTTGGCGTTTCAGCAGTTGGACAACTCATAAATTGCGTAGAGAGTCAACTTGAGAGCAAAATTGGATAAGGGCAAACTAGATGAGGAAATTGAAGTTGAAGGAGTGAAAAATCATTCATTACATTTCAAAAATGTACACACTAAGTGTCAAACAAATGCTACTTTAACATTTGGACACGTTGCTTAGGTATTGTTAACTGGGCAACGGTACAGATAGTTTAGAGGGTAAGGGAGGAGGAGAGCTACGCTGTCATGTAGGCCAAGGAGAGCTACGTATGTAATGTGTCATGTATGTACTATATAGAATAGATTTCATGCATACAAGGCAGATTTAGGTTTTAAGTCAATCATGCTAAATCATTGGATTTTCATCCAACAGCTTAAAACATGATGTGTTTTGTTTGACACAAGCATAATAGAGCCAGGAGAGACTCTGATGAAGTAAAGTAGACATTTTCATAACCGCAAGGGCCGGGACTCGGGAGAGTGAAGCTGAAGCAAGCGAGGTGTGGGTGGGGTGACAGAAGATAACCAGCTACCATAGCAACCTTATATGTCTCTCAGAAACGAATACAAGTCTTATTAGTCTTAATTCCCACACGGAGCTGGTAAAACCTAGACACCAAAACATAGCACATAGAAATGCGAGTCTGTGAAAGATCAACCAAGAGCAAAAGCCATTGGAAAGCATTTTAGACAACAGATAAACCTTTCATCCTTTTAACAACAGCTAATAACAGAGATTAACACATGGCAGCCATGGAAATGATAAATGAATTATTCAGCCAAACAATAATATTCATGACAGGCAACTCTTAGTATAATTTTTCATCTTGGAAGAAATCTCCAAGAGCATCCCTAACAGAATTCCTCTCAGATAATAAAGCACAGAAATCATTCGTAAGTTATCGGGTCACAAGCCATACAAAATTCCTCAGGCAATTTCCTCACAAATGGAATAAGAATTCACTTTAAGAAAATTTAATCATGTGACCTTTCCATCTGCTTACTATTAATGAAGAACTCAGTTCAACAAAAAAGCTTAAAAAAAGAGACACATATGAGAATTTGCAATTGTAACTCACTTTGTGACAATACCACAAGTCTCAAAATTCAACCTAGTGACTGCCTCCTCGATCTGCCTCGTGTTGGACTGATGATGTCACAGCATCTTCGGGTTTTATTGTATCATCGGCCTCAAGGTCAAGGGCCTTGCCGTCTGTTGGTACTAAGCAAGGAATCCCATCCTTTATCTACCAAATGATCAGTACAAGAAAGAATCATACAGGACATCAGCTATAAAAGCAAAAACATAAATAAAATATGAAATGTTTGACGATCATTCACGCTCAACTCTGAAGATAACCTCTAGCAAAGTAAAAGAGCATTATCAATTCTCACAGAGACAATAGGATCTTTTAATGTAAATTATTCCCATGTTGCATGAACTGAACAGAAACCAAATACACAGAATTTCTGCAGCCCTGTGATTTTTACTTCAGAGAAAACTGGATTTACCAAAATTTTCAGCATAAAAGTAAAAAAAAAAAAAAAAACAAAAAAAAAAAAAAAAAAAAAAAAAAAAACTCATTTCAAAATTAGAATTGGAACTCACAGGAAAGGAGACACCAATTGAATCACTGACAAGGGAATTCGTTTCCTCACAAAACCTACACAAATAACCCACAAAACAAGCCAATTTAACCAACTAAAATTACCACACAAAAAACAAAATTATAAAAATGAGAAGAGTAGAAAATAGAGAGATGAGCATTTGACCTTAGAGGTTGTTTGGAAAGCGGGCAGACGAGGATCTCAGAGAGGGTCTTGCTGAGTCCAGACCCAGCATCCTTGAGAAGTTTAATGCTTCCTCTCACCATTTCATTTCTCTCAACTCCGATTTTCTTTCCTGAGCCAACCTCCCTCTCCAGTCTGGAGAGGCTCTCCCCAAAGACACAAATACCCCTCGTTGCTACGCACCGTTTTGGTGAAAGCACAAACAGAACCCGCGAACCTGACGTCATGGTTTAAAACGCCGCGTTTTGGTCCAATGAATCTCACTGCCCTCCTCCAAAAGAAGTAGCAGCCTGAAATCCAAGCTAAAGCAAAGAGAAGATTGCCAATGTGCGTTAATGGCGAAAACCCAGTGGAGTTCGAAACATTTCGTTCAACACCCTATCCCTATTGAATGGCAAGGATTTCAAGACGAGAATTTTTTCCCGTAAGGAGCTCCATTTTCGGACTTCTCACTTCTAACCCATCAAAACCCAATCTTTCTGTATCATCCTCCCCATTGTGCTCTTCTTCTTCTTCGTTCCAACCCTCTCTGAACCGCCATATTTTTTCGCTTCTCGATGCGTGTAAGAATTTGATCCAGATCACCCAAATCCATGCCCATTTGATCACGCGGGGTCTTTTCGATTCTTTTTGGGCCAGAAAGTTGCTTAAGAGCTATTCTGATTTCAGAGATTTCGATTATGTAATTTTGATCTTCAGGTACATTGATTTTCCTGGTAATTTTTGCGTCAATACGGTAATTAAAGCCTACTCAGTTAGTTCAGTGCCCGACCAAGCTTTGGTGGTCTATTTCGAATGGCTGAGAAATGGATTTGCTCCCACTAGCTATACTTTTGTGCCCCTTGTTGGGTCTTGTGCTAAAATGGGTTCTGTTGAATCTGGGAGAAAATGCCATGGGCAGGTGGTTAAGCATGGGCTTGACTCTGTGCTGCAAGTGCAGAACTCTTTGATTCACATGTATTGTAGTAGTGAGAAAGTTGAGCTTGCTAGAATGGTGTTCGATGAAATGTCCGAAAGGGACCTGGTATCCTGGAATACAATTCTCGACGGCTATGCTAGATTCGGTGATTTGGACGTTGCTCATAGATTGTTTGATGAAATGCCAGAGAGAAATGTGGTATCTTGGAATGTTATGCTTGGTGGGTATTGGAAGGGTGGGAAGCCGGGGTGTGCATTGAAGCTGTTTAGGAAAATGATGGGTATGGAATTGAAGGGGAACAGCACTACCATGGCGAATATGCTTGCGGCTTGTGGTCGGTCGGCTAGACTGAATGAAGGAAGATCAGTTCATGGATATTTAATTAGGAAATTATTTGAGTTTAACATAGTGGTCAGCACAGCTTTGATTGATATGTATTGTAAATGCAAAAGGGTGGAAGTGGCGTGCAGAGTATTTGAGAGCATGGCGAATAGGAACCTGGTTTGCTGGAATGCAATGATTTTGGGGCATTGCATCCATGGAAATCCTAAAGATGGACTTAACCTATATAGAGAAATGGTGGGGAGAATGAAATCAAAAGATGGTGAAACCATCCCTGCAAAGGGGAGTTCGAGGCCAGATGATGATGGAGGAGGAATTATCCCAGATGAAATTACATTCATAGGCGTTCTTTGTGCGTGTGCCCGTGCTGGACTTGTAAGAGAAGCCGCAGATTACTTCAGCCGAATGATTAATGTATTCTGCGTAAAGCCCAAGTTTGCACACTATTGGTGCATGGCTAATGCTTTTGCTGGTGCGGGGCTTATCCAGGAGGCAGAGGAAATAATTAAGAACATGCCAGAGATTGCTGAGGACTTGTCATCGGAATCCTTGGCATGGGCTAATTTGCTTGGTTCATGTCGTTTTCAAGGAGGTATCACAATGGGAGAAAAAATTGCAAAGTCCCTCATTGACAAGGAACCTGAAAACATTGCGTACTATCGCTTGCTGCTGAATGTCTATGCTGTGGCGTGTCGATGGGAGGATGTTGCTTGGGTGAAAGAGATGATGAAAGAAAAAAAGGTTGGAAGAATGCCTGGATGCAATCTTGTGGAGTTGAATGAAATTGTCCATAATTTCAGAGTTGGAAGACATTGGCAGGAGAATTGTGCATTATGATGAATGAAGTGGCTAAGAAGTTGAGCTTGTTTAATATTGAGTTTTAACAGCAATGACTACAGACACACAAGCGAATAAGAGGGTGAATGCTCGGCACGGCCTGAGCCAAAGCAGCCGTGTGATCCCTCCTTCTAACGAGATGGGGAATGCTCAGATGAAAATTGTGTTTCTGTAAGAGAGAGGTATCAATGAACAGCCCAGACAAGAAAAAACAAACGTTAATCAATGGATTCTTCTTTTGGGTACAGGGATATTAAGTGATTTTGTATTTGTGATGAAAGCGTTGCTTTCAATCATTTTCTTCTTTTTCGGGTCTCTAGTCAAATATTATTTTGGTTAAACGTGTAGTGTGGTCCTCTTTTTCTTTTAGGTTAGATTCTTTGTTCCTTGTTTCTATGGGGTTGACATTCTTTAAAAAGCAACGGAAATTTTTTCTAACTTTTTGTGGCATTCTGTCTGTCATCAAGTCACTGGTTTTGATAAGTTCCCAAAAATCCATGGGCAGCATACATAACAGTTGCGCTCTAATGAAAATCTCCCTTTTCAGCTAGAGAAACGACAGAAATCAACTTAATGGCAGCAAAATATTTGATTCATAATAGTAAACTGACAGTAGGATTGACAGCAGAACGAAACGAACCACTATCAATACCAGAATCCAAGTTTTATCTACAATTTAAAAGGGCTCACAACTTCCATAAAAAGTACTTAAAACCAGATAATGATAAGAAGTCAGTTGATTAACTAGAATACATGATAGGGTATGCCACTGTTTTAAGTTCCAACTAAAGAAACACCACCACCAATAACTTCATTCAAATGCCCACTGGTTCTCGCGACGAACTTCCTCCTCCTCCTCTGGGGTGAAGTCGTTCTTGATATTGAAGGTCTTTCGGATCTCCTCCGGTGTCTTCCCCTTGATCATGTCGGCAACAGTCTGGCATGTCAGGTCCAGCAGGCTCTTGATGTTCAAGTAGTTTGCAGCCTGTGAGCAGATATCGCAATATGTTAGAAAAATATTCAAGGTAAGCTTCAGCAATCAGCTATGTCAGACTTTCTAGCCACCCCCATTAACAATAAAAAAAATTACCAAATTACTGTAGTTTCAGAACATGCGTATACATAACATTCATAATCCAATTAGCTGAACCAGAACAATAACATTACAAAGAAAACTAGTTAATTGTTACTACCACAATCTACATACTAGCACCTCAAGAGATAGTTCTCATATTAGTGAACTTTATCTCAACTTCTATAGAAACACAAAATAAATATTAGTAGAGAAGAACAAAATTTATGAAGCTATCGCATCTTTATCTTAACTTCAACATATGCACAGTACATACTTGAAGAAGTTGCTGTACATGCACAAATTTTAATCATCAAGATATCGCATCAGTAAAGAATTCAAATTAACAAACACTCCCAAATCAAATCCCGAACAGAAAGCCAAATCAATTTAATCGCAGCATCACCAACCCAATCATCATGGAAAACATCTAATTGAGTAAAAACCTAATCTCTAAAGATAGAAACATATCCAAAATTCAAACAAGATTGAACCCAATCCCTAATTCGGAAACCCTAACCTAATCCACGCCCCAATTTCCGAAACCCTATACTCGAACAAAACAATCGCGACAAATAAGCAAATCAATATTAGGGTTAAGATAGGGTTTTAACGTACCAGAATGAGATCAAATAGGGTTGCCTGGTCAACTTTGACAAAGTCCTGATCCCAAGCCTTGAGATCATCCTCGGAGATCTTCTCATCAGGCTTGGCAGCGTCGACGTGCTTCTTGCAGTACTCGATGACCTTGGCCAAGATCTTGCTCGTCACGTTGGGCAGAGGAATGCCGTTGTCGGCGCAATCGTCCTCGATCATATGCTTGATGGTCTGCGACTCGAGAGCCACCGCCTCTTCAACCTCGAACGATTCGCCATCAGAGCTCTTCAGGGTGATCTTCTTCGACGACGACGACATGATGGTTATGACGATTGATGGGTTTCGAAACGGCACCGGTTTTCTATATCCCTAGAAAACTCGAAGGCGAGAGAGAGAGACCGCTTTGTGCTTCTGGTTAGTGAGTGATTTTGCCTTCGCAAGAAAATAACAAATAGAAGAAGAGTGAGATGGGCAAAAGAGAATACGGGGAATTTATCAAAAATAGCCAAAATTTACCCCTTACTTTTAAAAACGTTAGTTTTTATAAAATCCTTCAAATATAGTTAAAAACTCACCTAAATAGACACAAATATCCTTAAAAATTAAAATCCACATAAACTTAAAAAGAAAAATCATGCTAATGGAAAGAAAAAAAAAGCTCGAGAATCAACATCTACAAAGAGATCTAGTGCTGCCAAGGTCCACAATCTCTCCAGGAGGGTTTGTATTTTAGCTTGAACTATAGATTTGCTAATAAAACAAGTTGTTCACCTTCCTTCTCAGGTGACGTTATTTCTCTTGAAAATGACTAAGTATTGAATCTATGTGCAAAGACTTTGTTATCAAAGACTTATGGAATACACCCACTGTCTTTGTAAGAGCTGTCATTGATGTGTTTATCACAGCAACCTGAGAGGAAATATCCATATATCGGACCAAGAAACTTAAAAACTTATATTTGAGACACTAGTATTCAATAATTATGTTTTGAATATTAACTTATTGAAAAACTCTTTCTTTCGCATATAAAGGTCATATAATCAAATTTGTAGAAAGCGTCGTCATTGCATGAAATGAGGAGTGTCTCTATATGAGTTGATAAGGAGCTTAATAACCATACCAATGGGCAACACGTCTGTATAGCCTCAATACTCCCTAATTCAACTTACAATGATCCAGGCAGACCCAAATTGGAAATATTTTATTCATCCAAATCGAAAAAAAAATACAATTAATAAGTTCTTTATCTTCAAATCCAATCCAACAAACAAAATTAATAAGTTGAATAAACTATTTCAAGTGGCCAACAGAAAACCATGGAATTAAAACAAAGATGGAAGGAGAGAGAGAAAGAAAAGCAAACCTGAGATTCCATATTGGTAAGTTGAATTAGGGAGTGTTGGAATTGCTTCATACCAAGGCTACAAACATGGGTGCTCAACAGTAGTTCAACCAAAGACTACAAACGTGCATGCAAATCCAAATTTTGTGTGTAGTTTTGCTTTTCAGGTTTATGTTGGTTTTAATTTTAAGGGTATTTGTGTCTATTTATGTGAGTTTTTGGCTATATTTGAAAGATTTTATAAAAACTGACATTGTTGAAAGTGATGGGTAAATTTTGGTTTTGTTTGATAAATTCTCAGGGATATGAGACGCCTTCATTTATAGGGGAGGGTTTGGACACGTGGACTGAGGTGGCTACTGATTATTGGTTGAAGCATGTTCCCTTTTTGCTTTTTTTTTTGTTGGGAAACCCATTCCAATAGGAATTGGAGAGAGGTGCGTATCCAAATTGGAAAGGTATTACCAATTTCCCGCGGTCGGTGGCACCTATTGATTTATTTTTGCAAGTCATATTATTATTAAAAAAAAAAAAAAAAAAAAAAAAAAAAAAAAAAATGACACATTAAATAATTTTTTTTTTTAAGACACTTTATTAATAAAGTACTATAAATGTGTTTGTGAGTCCTTATTTAGTTACGATTTTGGTTCCTTATCTATTTATTTAGTCCTATTATACTTGATATTTATTTCTTACAGTAATTTAAATTTATTCCCTAATTTATTTAGAGTTAACACATTTTGTATCAAAGCGGGTTGATTAACTGGGTCTTTACCCTGACCCCTTACCCAATATGCGATGTTCACATGTTAGACTTGAATGTTTACCCTTACTCAATATTTGGTGTTCACGTGTTTGACTTGAATGTTTGACTCCGATGTGGATTTGGTTCCACGTACGATGGTCCCACATGAGGAGGTGTGTTGCAGAATATAAGTCGAACATCAGAAACTTGACTGAATAAAATATAACATATAATGAATTGTTCCATTACTAATGTCACCAAAGTCTTTTTTGATAAAACTTCGACGGGCTATGTAGATGGTTAAGTTGGAGACTATTAATATTGAAATTTAACAAAATATACAATAAATAGTATAAAAAATATATATATTCACAGTCCAAACATGAATATCATGAACAAAAGTAGAATCTTAGTTAAAAAATTCACAATATAAGAACAACCACGAAATACAAAAGAACAAAAATTCAAAGTAAACTTTAACTAATCCGTTTGTCACACATTCATATCTAAGTTCTCACCATGAACCAGATTTATTATGCGAGATTCACTATTATACTCAATATAGGGGCCCAAATTATAAAAATACCTCATATGACATAGACTTTAGAAACACACCCAAAACCCATTTACAACATAACAAAGAGGCTTTTAACTTCTTATAAATTACAAAACTGCCATCAATTTCTTAAAACAAGCCCAACCCCAAAATCTCATAAAAATACCCAAAACACTCAATAGAGCATCAAAGTAATTTAATAATCAATATTAAATTCAATAAGGTCAGCTGTTTTTATTTTTTTTTTTTTTTTTTTTTTTTTTTTTTTTTTAGTTGGTGATAAAGTTTAGTGTATAGTATTAGTGCTAAGAATGGGTTATCACTAAATATCTCATTTAGTATCTTAATTTTAAGATTTATAGTTATAATTGTCAAAATTGGTAAAGGTATACTGTTTTTTTTATATAAAATGTAACGATATATTAAACCAAAAAGATTTGGCACGCCTAACGCAAGTACGGCATGCATAAAATGGGGAAAAGGTTTTCTTGTGGTGCAAAATTCAACTCAATTATTTTGATTTGTGCTATAAAATTACTTTTTGCGCATGATTGGACTTGGTAGCTTTCTGGCGGAAAAGTAATTAGGCCATCGACACCTATAACGCAATAGGTTATTATTCTTCATCCTTTCCTTTAGAACCTTCAAAACAAAAGTAGTGAGACAGAAACCCACAACTTCGAAAAAGTGCGTACCAAAAAGAAACTTCAGAAATGTGGATTGGGCCGAGTAAGAAGTTTATGGGTAAATTTACGGGTAAACCTTGAACTAAAGTTCTGTTGGTAAGAACAACGAGTCGTTGATTTAGTTTCACTTGTATTTCTCTTCTCAACGGCGGGAGAAATCGTAAATTTTCCCTTCAATTGTGGAAGAAATTCTAAATTCGAATCACTTTGGCTAACGATAATATAAAGAAAATGTGATGCAGTACAATTTTTATAGTAAGAGAAATTATGTGAATCCCATTTATTTTATTTTGTTTTTTTTAGTACAAATAATAGTCCAAACTGAGAAGATGAGTTTCTTACACACACTACTATGATGTCATAAAAATTCGAACATAAAACCACTAATCTGCAAATCAATGACTTTTCTCACTATACTAGACCCGTTTGTATTTTTTTTATTTTGTTGGCAATTAGCAACAACCACTATTAAGTTTATATTTGATTGCCAGAATTGATAAGGATAATTGAATAAACAGAATTCCCGATTTATTTTCCAATGAAAATGAGATTGGTGGAGTTGCTCTCTCTAACACATGGCCGGGCCCTACTGACAAAGACGCTGTGATCGTTTTCTATGTATCTGGTTGCAAATGCATGCATAATATTCAGGTAATACTTAAAGAGGAGTTTTTGTGATAATTTTATGACCAACACCAAACCTCCTTTAAGCAACCCACAAATGTGGATCTATCAATCCTATTGGTTAAATGTGGAAAAAGCAAAGTCACAAAGCAAAAGAAAAGAAGGAAAAACAATCATATAAAACAAATTGGTAAAATCAAGCACTTCTATACTATTTTTCGAAAAAGTAAAGTAAAAGGCTATGATACACAATGTGCTGAATAAAATTTAAAATTTAAAAAGCGCTAATTTACATATGGGAAAATTAGTGCGACATAAACTCCCCCAAAGTAAGTTTTCCTGTAACAATGGCAACTAGCCATTACCTCTACATATGGCGTTCAAAGTGGATGAATCTCAAAATTCCATTATCAGTCAGGTTTCCATGTACTGTGAGGGTGGCGGGCTTATTTTTGTCTTTTCAGCACCTGCAAGTTGGTTGTATATCAAACACTTTGCATATTTGGTTTAGAAGCAGTGAACGGGATGAGATTAGAGATCATAATATTGTGTTTTATATACAAGATACCGATTACGTTTGAGCAAAGATACAAAGGCTCAAGCATGGAAGCACTTACCATAAGGAATCCCTCGTAGTTCAACTTCTCGCCATTCTTGAACAAGGGCACAGCAGCAACACATAAAATGTGAAAGGAAGTCATCAATGAAGCCTCCCTGCTCAAAAGAGAAGAAAGAGCAGAGCATAACAGAGGAGAATGATTAGAGTGGGTTCTTGTCATGTCATGATATGCAGTGGCGAAGATGAATTACAGTGGTATTGTAATTTCAGTGCGGAAACTGGGAGAGGAATTACCGAGATATTCAACGTCTTGCGAAGTTTCCTTCGAATGCAGCATGTATAGCAACAGCAAGACAATACTAACGAATAAGCCATCAATTCATTACATGCTTCTGCTGAAGCTGATAATCATAGAAAAGAATTTCTGTATGAGTTTCTAACAGTATACAAAAGCCATGTGCAGAATGTCAATATCCCAACGGCAAAAAAGAAAATCAATATTGCAGTGTTGCAACTTTGTTTAACAGTAAGTGTGGAAATAATGTGAAACATAGAGCACAGCTAAATTAAAGAAAAAATAGTTAGTTTCTACATATGTACTCGACAAGCCATAAAATATTGTATTCTCTAAATCAAATCATGGCACATTCAAACTTATGGCCCCGTCACAACTATAACGCCATCACAACTCAGTAGCACAAGAGAATCATGTAAACCTTAGATCCAAAGGATGGGTTTAGACATTCACTCGCATTAATGACAATACTCAGTATCAAAAGAAAAATGAGATTCCATTAAAACTACTATGTAATATTTTGTATAGGGATTGTTCAAAAATCATCTGGTTTTCTGCATCCTATGCAAACTAATAGCACACCAATCAGGCATCACTGCACTCCAGACTATACTACAAATTCAACATCAACGCACATTTGGCATTTATTCAGGGTCTAGATGTCATTTTAGCAGGGATTTATGATACCAACGATCGCAATTGCATAGTAAAGACCAGATCACAATTTGATCACCCCAATTTCAACAAAGTAATGTCAGAGATTCTATGAAAAATGTACTGGTGGTACCAAAGGCTAAGGCCACCAGTTACTTAATTTAGCTTAAACTCTATAACGTGAAAGTACAAGACTTGAACAAAATGCAAAAGAAGCATTCAGATATAGCTTAGTTAAATAGGCTCCAAATCTTTCCAGTACGCAACCCCGTCATGGTTACCTTGATATAGATTGTAGGCACATCTTCTCCTTAATGTGTTGGCCAAGTTAGTAGTCTAAACAATATTTGACCTTTGGTTCTAAGAGGTTTTGGGTTCAAAGCATCTCATTCCCCATTCCCCGGATACTTTCTAACTCACTGCAATGCAGAATGGGGCTGGACACCTATGTTTTCTCTCTACCAGACCACATGCAAATTGGAGCTGCATGTGAGCAAGGGCGGTAGCTGGATATACATTGTTTACCCATTCCTAAGATTTTGCGGTACATTAACAGTTTAACATGTAGTGCAGATAATCCAGATAAAACTTACACATATGCCTGTTGGTTGCCACAGAAGCAATTTTAGAAAACGTCCCACAAGGATAGAAGAATGTCTTTATACCTGCAAAGGAAAAAGTCTGCAAAATTTTAGCATATACAGAACAGTTTTCCCTTTAAACATTTGATATGGGACAATTTGTCAATTTTAGTGCTTAGTGTCTAATGATGCTCTTGATTGACCACCCAACCCTGATAATATTCTAGTGCATTTATATGAAATTAATACTATACATATCCCCATAACTTAATTTGAGATGCACAGGGAACATAAGGGAAAAATTAAAATAATGCTAATGCAATAAAACTTGTTGATTATGCAGTAAATCACCATTACACGAAAAGAATAAAGAACTTACACAGAGACGGTTCTGAGCAACATCCAAGTAGATCAGTATTCCATTCTTCATGGCGATGTGAACCTCTAGTTGACAGCAAATCATGTCCAGAAGAAACTGAAGATGTGTTTCTGCACAGATAAATGCAAAATCATATTTTCAAAGACCCCAAAAGTTCAGTGATGTGAGTGCATAAACAGATAGGGAAATCTGAATCCCTTGCACAACATATATAGCTCCTCTCATCAGAAAATTCTGATTGGGGAGATCATTCAATGTTGAGAAGTGCCAAGACTGAAATTAGCAAATGTACATCACCAAATGCAACAGTAATATTTTAACTGCACTATTTAGACTAAACATAAATGACAAATGTACTAAAATAAACAGAAAACTAACCTTGACATTTTGCGAGATTCACTTTTCTGATAGCTTTCATTAGATGAAGGTTCTTTCTCACTATTGGCATCTGAATAATTCCGCTCTATTTTCTTATTATTTTTTTCAGGGGAAGACTTTGAAGCGACAGTTTCTGTCACTTCTAGCAAACGCTGAATTACTTCGCATTGACTCACATCATAAATAGATTGGGACCGTTGTAGTTCAAGTTGAAGCTTTTCATTTTCCTTTTGGAGCGCCTCATTAAAACCCAAGTTTGGATAGGAGCAAGAAAGTGTTTTCTTCAGCACTACAGTGTCATTTTTTGAGGGGTCCGGTTTAAGGATCACATCCTGTACCTTTCTGTCCTCTTCATCCAATGTGTACTCACGTTGATCCTTTTCAATGTCTTCCAGTCTCTCCTGTAGTTCGAGAAGAACGAATGAACTTAAATCAGGTTAAACTGTTATAGAATAGCAGGAACAGCTCAAATTTAGCAATCTTAAGTAAATAATTTAGTCTAATTCTACATGTGGGGCATAATGTAGATAATAGATTGTGATCTGGAGACAAAGAAAAGATAAATGGAGAAGCACATGCATGTTAATGAAGAGATATAGTGCTAACTGTAATTCGTAATTACAAACAACAATGACAAATTCTTAGAATTTATTTCAAGCATGATTTGGTGATCCAATATGTCAGAAACTGCCAGTCGAGGTTCAGTGCCCAATCCATGTCAGTTTATACATCCTTGGAAAACAAAAGTCATAGCGAGTAAAATAAGCAATCTATGCCACATAACATCTAACGCTCTGACTAAAGCACTGACTAGACTAGACATCCCAGCTACTCAAAGTAAGCGATCTTTATCACTTCAACATTAGATAGCCTACCAAGTGAGTAAACTAGACATCCAACAATGAAGTAAAGCAAAATTCAGGAGTTCAAACTTCAACTAGCACCCAAAAGCACTTTTGATGAACAGTGGACCGAAAGAAGGAAAATCTAACTAAAAGGTCCAAATTCAATGAAGATCACAAATTCCTTGCAACCCAAACTCATGAATTTGTCCACAAAGCAAATGAGTAAAACAAAAACAATAATAAAAACAACAATAACATGAAAAACAAAACCAATTAACAAAGAATAAAAAGAAAAATTCAATACCCTGACTCGAGCATTGTCCACCAGAGTAATCAGAGGCACAAGCTTCAAGTATCTATCAATTTCATTCTGAGCCTTCCTGAACTGATACACAATGTTCCATCCCATTGCAAGCAAATACAGATAGCTCCGGTCTTGGCAGCTATTGACCAAAATGTATGACCTTCTCAGAGCTTCCTCAAGCTGCTCAAGGGGCTCGCGCGTCTCCGGGTACCTCTTAAGCTCCGAGATCTTGAGCTGCTCCAATAAGTTCCCGATCAGCTTCAGATGCAGCGCAAATTGCCTGCAATTTTTCTTGTGCATACGCGCCGTGCTCGCCGCCTTCACAATCATTCCGATCAGCCTCACGGCGTCGAGGCCGGTCAACTGAGCCACATTTGCAATTTCTCCGAAGTGGTCCCACGACGACGCCATTTTTTCCTCTCAAAATGGACCAAACTCGACTTGTGTAAACTAACACCTCACAGGCTCACAGCTACAGATTGCATTTCACCATAATCACTTCGGTTTGACTTTAATCAACGAGATATGAACCAAATTTGAAATTCTAAAGCAAGCAATTACTGGGTTTTCAGTGAAAATTCTGAAACTTGAAATCTCAGTGAAAATTACTGGGTTTTCAGAAACGAAAACGCATTTCCATTGGAGATCTTCAGGTTTCGGAGCTTTAGAACAATTGAAAGTGCATTTCAACTGCATCCAAAAGACGCAAAATATCAGATAACGAAATCTCCATTTTTAACCTTTACGCTCCTTGACTTGCTTTTCAACGCAAACAAAATAAACAAAAGCGAAAAATAGGTATAAAATCAAAACAAAAAATAGATTGTTTGCTTTATCTCTTTGACACGAAGAAACAAACTCAAAAATACTGAGGAAAAAAAAACAAATATATCGCCGTCAACTCACAGTTCTTCGCCGTCGTCTTGAAGAAGAAGCCGCTTGCCGAAAATAGAAAAAGAAAAAGCACCTGCAAAATCTCTAAAAGGTACAGAATCTGAGAATGCAAATATGAGAAAGAATAAAAAATGCAAATGAGTATGAGGCCATGAGAGCGCTTCACCTTCTCTGCAACAGGTGCTGTAATTTTGAGCAACTTTTAGGGCTTGGCTCGGCTTTTTCTTCTTTTCTTTTTTTTTCTTTTTTGCTGTATTTATAGCATGAAACTGAAAGAAACGTCAAAATTGAAGCATCGGATTTTGGGCATTGCAGGCATTGCTTTGCGGAACGAGTTTCTTCTTCTTCCTCCTCTTCCTCTTTCTCCTCAACCGGTGTGGAAAGATCTGAGCAGAGACAAAGAGAGACTCTGATGAAAACTCCCACTTACTCACACTATATCAGCCTATCTCTTTCTCTCTCTCCTCTCTCTCCTCATCCCAATTTTTTATCCTAAAAAATCTCTCTCACTGCTTCGGTGTTGTTTGTCCGTGCATTGTTTGCACCAAAGCCAAAGTCTCTCTCTCTCTCTTTTTCTCTTTGCCCTTGAGCGCACACGCCACGCCAGACGAGCTGGGATTTAGTGGTGTTGATGCAAAGACACATTTACCCATACTTCGCTTTCGATTTTACCACGCTGTCCGGAGGGTAACGGCGCTGTTCGCCAGGTGGCTGGATATATTATAAATAAATGAGTAAAATTTAAAAAATTTTTTTGTTTTTTTTTTTTTTTTTTTTTTGGGGTTTTAGGATTGTTTTCGGTAACTTTCTTTATATCTATATCTCTATATATAAAGGTAAAATGTAGTTAAACATTCAAAATCTCTAATTAACCTATGTTAATAAATCAGACCAAAAACAAAAACCTCTAAATGCATTAAGTAAAGCTCATATACAGTCTACAGAGTCTATTTGGAGTGAAAAATTCAAAATTAGTCATTTCTTATTTTCTAATTGGTTCTTATAAAATGTTAACATGCTAGAAAGCAATTATAAAATAACAAGTGGCTAGTTTGATTTTTTTTCTCCAAATAAACTCTATATATAAGCTTTTGTATAATATGTTACGCTAAAATGAGTTTTTGAATAAATATCTCTATATGATTTTTTAAAGCAACATTTAATATATAAAAGCAAAAGAAGAACAAGAAAACCCAATTCCAAGGGATGTAGTTATTATTTAGTGATTGACCAAAAAAAAAGTTATAATTTAGGGCCAGTTTGGCATTATTGTGCTGTGAAAATAATAGTTGTCAAATTTGTTGTAAGATAAAACAGTTTGAAGTTTAGTAAACTTTTTGTTAAAAATGTTGTTCGTACTAATTCCCACATAATTAGAAAATGATTTCTTACTGATTTCTGCATAATCAGAAAATAAAAACACCTCATTAGATGCTTTCCATTATAGTTTTATCTCACAACAATTTTTAACAATAACTGATTTTCTCATAGTTTACCAAATGGGTTAGGCTTTTTAAAAATTTTAAAAATTCACTTATCACTCCAAATAAACAATGCAAACACTTAGTCAAACGAAAAATAGGTAAATAATTGTTGTAAAAAAAATATATCGATGAAAACAAGGTGACAGCTGGGGAAGGCAGGGAATAATAATGAAGATCAACCGACAAGGTCATTGAGAAGGAGAAAAGGCTAAAAGCGTCATTTAAAGGCTCAACTATAAACAAGAAGACCGCATATTCTAATAGCTCAACATCCACTCTCTGGCAACTGCCATGTGGACCCAATGTTGTACGACGGTGACAAACTCCACATGACCTTAATGCTACGTGTAAACTTTAGCTTTTCCAGCACAAACCCCCGTTGATGGCTCTCTCTGTGTGTCCCTCAAATCCACGTTAACTTCATCACCTCAACGCAATAATGTTTTCAAAAGCAAAAGAAAAATATGGGAAATGGTATTTGTACCCTTAAACTAATCCACGTTAACTCCACTCCACCCCCACTCATAATTTAGGGTTTTTTTTCCTATCAATGCGACATTTTAACTTATTTGATATTACTCTAATCTATTTATGGGAGGATGGATCGAATGTGAGTGTAAAAGGCACATATAGTACTTTGTTCAACTGATTTAACTCACATATGTCGAATTAGAAAATATTTAATTAATTAGAATCAACTTCTGAATAGTCGTTCACATAGAATGTTCATTTTATTGCTTGGTTCACCAAATGTGGTTTTGAATGTTCACTCTAATATCTCCAAACATGGAACGAGCATTCTCAACTTAGAGGTAAGGAATATTAATTTCATTCTTGCATTTTTTGTATAGTTTAAAGATTTGTGCTCTACTTTATGTACATGGTAATTGAACATTGAACTTTGATCCAATTTATAACCAATAACCGAAGACCGGTAAATTGGGATTCGAGACCAACCGAAACATGACTCGAAAATTATACTACGAGCTAGCTCCAAGCCCAATACATAAGAGTATGAACTATGAGCATTAAATTCATCCTTAAATATTGAACTCTAACCACCTGGAATTTCATACTTAAAGTCTAAGATTTGATAATGAACTTGATCCTAAAATGGGACTCAAATTGTCAACTTTGATAATTGATTAAGATTCTAAATCGTAGTTTTAGGAAACTACAAGACGTGTAATGTTCATCGTGATGTTAGGTATCGTTTACAATTTTCCTAACCAATGTTGATTTTTAATGATGCAATTGTGGTAATTAAGAAACTTGTAGTGTAAGTGGTTAAGATATACGGTGTGTTTGAAACCTCTCTCAATATTACTTGTATCAAAAAATGATGTGAGGATGTGGTAGGATAGTACTTTCCTACAATAAACTCGACACATCGACATAGTTAAGGGAGAATTATATACCCAATGGTGGAGCTAAAAATTTAGTGTTGGTCGTTAAAAGTATTTGAATGAGTGTTTTATTTGCCCAAGCGTCTAGTCAAAAAAAAGATTGGTAGGAAGCGATTATCAGTTAGCCAAAAGCAAAAACAGAAACTACATTTAAAAGTTTTCATCGTCAGTATATAATTATATAGAGAAAGTTTCATTCGGTGGGTACTGATTGCCTGGCAATCCAATTAGACAAAATCGTGGGGACATAATGAAGGGGAATGTGGTGGGGACGACAAATAGGAAAAACCTTTGATCATGGGCTGACTGTTCTTGGACTTTGCTTCCTCGCTGCATTATCATCAGAATTTTGTCCGATAAAACATATTATTTTGTGCTAATTGTGTGTGTCTTATCTGTTCTTCATCCGAACGCATATATATAATATTTAGCAGGCACCTTCGATTCTTTGGTTCACGGGTTGTTATCGATACCTATGCACAACATGTGTATTCTAGAAGCGTACGCCGGCAACTTTAGAATTGGTTTGGGACTGTTTCTCTAATGACATGTGTTTTGCTTAGAAACATGTCAAATTTTATGGATATGTTTTGAGACTGCTTATAAAAGGGCTAAAACTACTCTCTAACAACAAAAAATGATGCGTATGAGCATAAATTGGGTGCCCGTGGGTTTTGACTGAGCATGCCTCATTGACTGTCACAAGCACTTTCAATGTTGCTTATTTTTCCAATTTTTCCAACAAGAAGGAAAGCACACTGGCCAGGCAATCATTTTTCATGCACAAACTTATTAAATTGGGAAAAACAATTAATTTATCATCTTTAAGTCTCATTTCCCACAAACCAAATAGGACTTCAAAATAAACAAATCCGTCTAACATGATTAAACTAGCTTAATTGAATATTTTAAACCTTGGAAGTTGAGTACCATTGTTAACCTTGGGAAGGCAATGACAAAATCACAGGCTTGCCTTACACATGTGTATAGTGTATTTTATTGATAGCGTGACGGTAAGCATGTGATATGGTGGGCTAAAATTAGGCAATATTAAAAAGGATAAAGACATGCCCACCACAAAGGCCTAGAGTGAGAAGTAGGTCACTTAAAACAGTAGCTAAGCAATTCATTCTCAATGGTTTGGGACAAAGTTTCCATTAAAATACAAGTTGGCTGCTGCGCTGCCCACTATATTTAAAAAAATACCTGAAAATTATGTACTATAACATTCATTAACATTGTATTTTTTAATATATAGGTGAACCTAAAATTAAATGTCTAGGCTTAAAAGAAGGTACAAAAGTTTGGCTGGCACAAATGTACAGGCTGTGTGTGACAACAACAATATCAGAATCATTATTATTATTTTTAAATTCTCCACCTTTTGCCATTTGGAGTATAAATTTCTGTGTAATGGTACAGAAAGTTTGAACCCTTTTTAAGTGCTGTGAATGTGACCCAATTTTCTTTCTTTATTCTATCTTCTAATTTTGTGGAGGAAGGAGGTTGCAATTGGCACATACATAGCTTCCATTGACCTACTACTCATTGTCCTTGTCAAGTGTTTGATCATATATATGCATGTAACACATTACAAAACAAATATCTGAATGCTGTTAATTGTGTTTTCTCTAAATTTCGGCCGGCCGAAAATAAAATAAGTAGTAATTAACTACTTATAGATGATTTTAACTATACATAAATCGTGATACGGTTAATAACAACATGTTAACTTATCATGTGACACTTTTTTGTTATTGTATTGCTTTCCAATCAGTTCACACTACAATTGAACAAAAAGAAAATCAATTTGGCTTCCATATTCAAAGAGATTCACAAGAAAAAAAGCTTCCTAATCTCTTCTTTTTGGGTGTTTAAAACTCCAGCTTTACACATATAATACAATATAGATGGGCGAATCTCTGTACTGTCTGTCTGTCTAATTGAATATTGAGGACAAGGGGGTAAAAGTCAAAAATAAAAATAATATAAAAAAAGGAATATGAAAAGAGGTGATTGTTGGTACTTGGTTGTCAACTTTTGCATTTACCCCATTTACCCGAGGATGTGACCCATTGGAAAATGAATGATTGAAGTAACATGGCCAAAATATTATGGCCTAATCAATTTCTGTTTAAGAAACCTAAGTGCTAAATTGGAAAATAAAATAAGAAAAGGTGACCAACTACCTTTCCATTTATAATTTTGGTGTCTTATATTTTCTGGCTGGCTGGTCAGAAACATTGACAATTACGTGCCCGAAAGGCAAGGAAGCCCAATGGCAAATTGACATCATTTGATAGAGCCCTTTGTTGGTGCGCACCTAAAAACGATAGCGTCAATGCCCCTACCCAATTTGTTTGTATTCATTCAAGCTATAAACCCACCTTCTCATAAGTGGTCCTTTCTCTTAGGCTAGAGCATGCCTTTCATTTTTGTTGGTGCATTGTCCTACAAGCAATGTTATCCCAATTAATTTGTAATAGCTTTAAGGAATCTCTTTCAATTTTTGTAATTTGTTTTTTCCTCTAACAAAAAGCACTTCGAAGCCAATATTCCCCCTTAAATTATAGAAAGTAACAAATTTAAAACGATGAGTCGCAACGAAAGAGACATTAAAAGTTCAAAATTACTACTACACAAACTTGTTTAAACTTCATTGTGTTGAAGGAGGGAATCAAAAAATTGAAGGGGCGGTCTATATTTTGTTTCGATTTATTACATGTGAATGATTAACTAGCTTTCTCTTCATAGTTGAGTTGGTGAGGTGACGTCGGCCAATTTTTATTGAAATGGAGTGAACTAATTTATACCAAATGGGTTAGCACGTACTAGAATGTAACACTCTTTATTTTATAGAGGAGGGGGGTTTTTTTAACACAACCACAGTGCATGGGGATTCAAATATGAGACTGTTAGTCAGCAAGTCAAAGCAATTTTTAACTGAGTTAGACCCCATAGCCAGATTTAACATTAAGAATTTTAAGAATTGTAAGTTAGATATTAAGACTTATACTCTTAGTCATCAATTCGATGTGTTAGGAGGTTTAATATATAAATAGAATATTTTAGAAGTATAGTTGTGTTTATATAATTTTTAAATATTTTGGAAAACACAAAAATGGAAGAAACACGTAATTGGAATATGGAAATAATTCTTAAACAATTTGTATATATTTAAAGAGTATAGTCGCGCGTTCGAGACTAGTTGTCTTGATCATCAATGGAAATTTCAGCTTTCTCTCTCACTCACTTTCTCTCTCTCTCTCTCTCTCTCTCTCTCTCTCTCTCTTGATGTAATTTTAGAACAAAAATTTTGGGAATGAAAAATTCTACATAGAAAGTGCTTTTGGTTTTGGATCCATACATGAAGCAACAACTCTAGTGAAAATACAAAAACTCTAGTGGACAAGAAATATGCATACTTCAAGGAGCCCACCTGTGGAGGTTCGCAACGCGGGGTTTAATCGTCAGCTCTGTTCATAATTTTATATTTTCTGACTCCGACATGTAGGGGAACTGGGGTTTTAATTGTGATTTTTCAAGAAAATTAAGAAGATATTTTTCTGTCTATAATTTGGTTTGGTGGTGGCAGTAAAGTACATTCTATAGTTTTTTGGGTTTATTGTTGGTGCAATTCAATGCTTGATATTATAAATTCTTAACATCCTTAATGGAGCAAGGGGCTTGTAGCTCGATTGGTTAAGAGTCCATGCACATGAGCTCTTAAGTTTGATTTCCTCCTCACTTGTTATCCCTTATATATATATATATATATATATAGAGAGAGAGAGAGAGAGCTTCCATTGAGTACTCTCAATAGAAGAATAATGTATATATATTATCCATAATCGAACATTTTCCTATTATTTTTATCTAATCAATTTAGAATGATCTTCAACATAAGTTTTTATATTATATTTTTGTAATCTTGTCGTACAATTCATTCCATCCTTCAAAGCTTTGCTTCCTAGAATCTTGTGATTGGTAGACCATATGTGCTTTATTGGCCTGCTCAGATTGATGCCGTGGTAGGAATTGAGGATAAAACGCATGCAAGGAAAATTTGGATTGGAGACCATCATGAGATCATTTTATGTGAAAATCATCATTGATAATCAATCATGGTGGCCAAAAGTTCCATCAATATTCAAATAACTGAGTTCTATAACATGGTTGGTTTTTCTATGCGTACAAATAAGTGCCACAGCGTTGGTTGATGCAAGACTACATACCTACTCCAAACTCCAATCCAAACCAAACCTAATGAAAAGATAATTTATTCTTACTGCAAGAGGTTCGTCATATAAACGATTGTTTAAACTAAATAAGGATTCAAATTGAGTGAAAGAAAGATGGTGTGCTCATTGCCTTGACCACCTAACCTAACCCACATTTGCAGGTTTTGCTGCCAGATGAGTGATGTGACGAGATTGTCATAAGATGAAGAAGTATACGTATGACTCAAAGAGGCTATAATGAGGGGTTATAATGAGGGTTATAATGAGGAGGTCCTTAATGGCCATCCAATCCAGTACAGAGTTATTATTGGACTATTGAACTGAACGCCCTCATTGTAACCCGTCAACATAGGGGAGCTTCTACAATGAGGAATTAAAGTGAGGAGGTTATTTGAGGAGACCGATCCGACCGTCAAAACATTTAAAATATTTAAGTCCCATGATTTCTTTACATTTGTTGATGGTGAGATTTCACCTCCTCAAATAACCTCCTCACTTTAAGCCCTCATGATAGCCTTTCCGTCAACATAGACCCTCATTATAGAACCTTCCCGTCTGACTACTTAGTAAGAATTTTTCGAAAGGCCGAATAAGTTATGAAGCCCGTTTTGGAAGTTTTCGAATCATCATGCACTGGGCCATTTTTAACAAGGTTGTACCCTAAAAAGAAAGTTAGCTGGGCCCAGGAGTATTTTGAAGAATTCAAACATGCTAAACGTAGCTGGGTCCAGCCCAAATAAGAAAACTTTGACCCTGGAAAATAAAATTGACTGTTCACCAGGTTACCATTTTACCATGGTTAGGCTATGGAAAATTTGAACTTGCATTGACTGCTATGCCCTCCAAGTCAAAACACAAAGAAGCGGCAGTCACGCGTGGTTAATGCTGCCATAAAGGGTCGATTATGTACATTCACCGAATTGAATCCATCATAAGATGGGCCTGATATGGGCCCACGTCCCCAGCTCTCACAAGAATCGAGGTTCCTAAAGCACCGCCTTTCACACAAACCGATATCCCCCAAAATACCCTCCTTTAAGCTAGAAGTTAAACCAAACAACGAGGGTAGATTAGTCATCGTAGAAATTATTTTTCTCTTTCCCTCTCAAACCTAATCACATTTTTTTATTTCCCTCCAAACATTATTTTCAAATTAAACAAAAACTCCACCCGATTAGGAAACAAGTCCAATATCCGTACCCATCACGCAATCTGCGCCGTCCGATGTGGCCCAGTGACCTAAGCACTAAAGACATCCACTGGCCCACTCCTCTCCGCAGTTAATCACCTCGCCATTCAGAGGCCGCCACGTGGTGGCCAGCTAGATTATTTATACAAATCACTTTCTATGGTTTTTGTTTTCTATAGCCTCAGCAACTGTTTGCTGGAAAAACTTTGGCGGGCATTTGTATCAATTTCAAATCAAGAGTAAACCCTAGCGGCCCCATCTCTCTCTCTCTCTCTCTCTCTCTCTCTCTCTCTCCTTCTCTGTCCTTCTGTTTGCACTGCTACCTATTTTTATTTATTTTTATTTTTGGATTTTCTCTGGAATTTCTGTCACTACGATGCTCGTGCTTCTCTGCCTTTCGCTTTCGTTTTGATTGAAGGTTTGAATTTTTGTATAATTTTCTGTGCTTTCGTTCTTGTTTCGGGCAGCTAGTAGCTATCTGTTAGTTCCAAGACTGGTAATCTAGGGTTTCTGATGAGTTTTCGGTTGTGATTTTTGTTACAGAGGGGAAAATTGAACGAGGAATCGAGACGATCTCTAACCCTAAAAAGGTAAAGCTCGCCACATATTAATGTATAGTAACCAATTTCTTCGCTGCTTTTGTTTTTGATTTTTTTAGATTATATTTATATTAGGGCTATAGCTAAGATTGAAATTGTCTGTTTCAGGTTTAATAGCTGCGGTTGCTAGGTTTTCTGATTGAACAAAGTAATTGAAGATTTATTTTATTTGGGAAAATTGAGGAATTGTTCGAAATAATTTGGGGCTGAATAAAAAGAGGGGAAAATGGGAAAAGTGTCTCCAAAAGAAAGGAATTCGAAGAAGGCCAAACAGAAAAAGCGACGAGGCTCAGGTAACAAGTATCTGAAGCCGGGTGCTCTTGCTCAGCTTAAGCATAGCAAGACCTCTTCAGCTAAGTCGTGCACCGATCTTGGGAGGAAGCGGGTGGCTGTCTTGGAGACCAAGAAGGTTAAGGGCGATATGGTGCTTGAGGATAGGGCTATTGATAAAAGCCCTTTGATGTTGTCGCCTGTGAATTTGGTTAGACAGAATAGTTTGTTGAAAACTCCAAAGACCCCTCGAACTGAAGATTGCGAGTCGGAGTCCCGGCTTGAATCTCTCCCCATGGATTTGCTGGTATTGTTTATATTATTTACCCTGTCTTCACAGTTTTCGTTTTACTATATGCTGATTTAGCATCACTTGTGTATGTAAGAAATGTTATGTATGCCGATGTAAATCTATTACTGGGATTTCTCTTTGTAAATATGATATTTTCTGAAAATCTGGCTGTCAGAGAGGATGGTTGTTTTGTGATTTATTTGTGTTTACTTGGATTTGCCAATTTCTTGTTTTGCCACTCTTCAATTTGTATATCTGATTGAGGCAAAACAATCAATAAGGGGAGACGATATAGGATAGTAGGTTGGAGCTTTTTCTTTTAGTACGTGGTTTCTCAATAGTTCTTTATAGTATGGTGTGATTGTTTTTTAGATGAGCTGAGATTTAGAGTGTTTGTGCTACTTTTTGCCTTTTATGTTGGTCTTGATTCTTTTTGCACACATAATTGGTTTGCTTTGGATACTGGTTAGTTATGCAAGGTTGCCTTGAAATGTCTAAAGATCCAATTTAAGGTTTTTGACGAGCGTTGTAAGAAGTCTAATAGAGATGTTAGGTCCTTTGATCTATGACTACGCTGTAAAGAACTAATTGCCTTCGTCTTTTGTTGCTTTTTAAGTAATAGATTTTACGTTTGTTTCCTTCGTTTGATGTATGTTTTGGAACCAAATTTGTGCAGTTTTTTCTGTGTCAACATAAAACTCGATGTTGGGGTTGATTTTTAATTCCCTCCTACAAACGTGGATTTGAATCTTTCCAATTTCACTGGGAACTTAACATTTTAACACTCTTATTAGAATCCGCCATATCATATATCAAACCAATTACTGATGAGATATAGCCAAATAATCATGTGTGTAAGAATTAAAGATATTACTGTTTTGGGGTATAAAAGTGCTGTTATCACTATTAATTTAGATGTATATGTGTATGAATTTTACTTCATGTTGTTATCACATGCCTCTGCTTGTATTGATTCCTCTATTTTTGTAATTGAAGGTTAAAGTATTGTGTCACTTGCACCATGACCAACTGAAGGCAGTTTTTCATGTCTCTCAACGAGTTAGAAAAGCTGTAAGCTCTCTCTCTCTCTCTCTCTCTCTCTCTCTCTCTCTCATGTGTTTGCCTTTAGTTTAATCTGAATAGAAATGACCTTCCATGTTTATACTATTGGAAACAGGTTTTACTTGCAAGGCAGTTCTATTTTAATTATACAACTCCAGATCGCTCTAGACAGGAGATGTTAAATACAATGACACCCCACCCGACAGAGCACTGGCCTTTTTTAAGGTTGGGATTCTAAACTGTGTTTTTATCACTGTTTACCCTGTCAGACAGGTTTCTTATTTTACTGAGTTTTGCATGATTTTTGCAGCAAGGGAGATGGGAAAGGCATATTCATTCGAAGCCCCCATACTCCAAAAGCACCAAGGCATGGCCCCCGACCACCATCTCGCCTCAAAGTCTCGGAAATGCGGCAGGTTGCAGCAGTTCTCTTCCAGGAGTCAAACTTCCCTTCAAGATGCATGGTCCCTTCTGTGTTACCAAAGCCCCTCTGCAAATCATTGGCTTCGAATCGAGTTTTGTTCTATGAGGACGAATTATGTCAGGCTGTTGCTCAGAATAAACTTCTTTAAGCTGGTTGCCTCATGTTTTCTACATGTATATAGTTCATCTCCCGTATCTATAGATTTCGTGGTCAGGTAGGAAGTAGCAGTTTTGTAGAGTTGCTTGGGGCAGTTTAGGAGATATGGAATGGAACCTCATATTTTGAATTAGGAGGTAAAAGAATTCAGATCACGGTTGTGGGATAGTTTTTAATTTTTAAAACTGGTTACTTGTATATTTCCTATATGTGTTTCGAAACAATGGCTGGTTGTTTTCTCAGCAATATCATTTCTATTTTCTACTATTTGACTATGCAAAATGCTTTGATAAATACTATTTTGTTTTATGAATTTCTGTATGATTTTCTTTGGATCCTCTCCATCCGCCCTTTCAAATCCTGAATCCATAATAGATCACAGCATCCGTGTAAACCAATATGCCTTCTTTCCTTACAACTTATGAGTATTTCACAAACCGAACTCATCGTTCGGAAACAAAGAAACAAAAAGGAAGAAAAAAGGCACTAATTGCAAAAATTGGTCATGCCTGGTCCTGCTGTGTTCTTTGCGGTTTGGTAGCATAGCGGACAAATACACCAACATAGGATTTATACCGTATACACGTTGACCTTTAATGACAAAGATGGCTACACAAGCTCCTCATATTCAACCAAAATACTTATCATTTACACAACAATGTTAGAAGCCACAAAGACTTGCAGTATCATAATACCTCCTTCTCAAGTTTCAACACAGCCATGAAGGCTTCTTGAGGCACGTCGACTTTCCCGATCGCCTTCATTCTTTTCTTTCCCTCAGCCTGTTTCTTAAGCAACTTCTTTTTCCTTGAAATGTCCCCACCATAGCATTTGGCTAAAACATCCTTTCTGATTGCTGATAAAGCTTCACTAGCGATCACTTTCGAACCTATGCATGCTTGAATAGGCACTTTAAACATCTGTCTTGGTATGAGCTCCTTCAGCTTCTGTGTTAAAGCCCTCCCTACAGCATATGCCTTGTCCTTGTGCACAATGGTTGCCAATGGTTCTACATGTTCACCATTAATTTGAATATCAAGTCTTATTAGGTCACTTTCTTTGTACCCAAGAAAAGTGTATTCCATGCTAGCATAGCCTTTACTTCTGGACTTGAGCTGGTCAAAAAAATCACCTACCATCTCAGCCAAGGGCAATTCATATGTGAGTGACGCTCTATTCTCAGCAATAAACTTCATTTCTTTAAACGCTGCTCTTCTGTCCTGTGCCAGCTCCATAAGGGGACCAATGTAGTCTTTTGGCGTAAGCATCTCAATCTTGACAACAGGCTCCTCAATTGACTTCCTTTTTCCAGGTTCAGGAAGTACAGATGGGTTTGAACATTCAACAATGTCACCGTTTACACAGTTCACTTTATATACGACACTCGGGGCAGTAGTTATCAGGCTCAGATTGTACTCTCTCTCCAACCTTTCCTGAACAATTTCCATGTGGAGAAGCCCCAAGAATCCACATCTAAATCCAAAACCCATAGCGCTCGAAGTCTCAGGCTCGAACTTCAGAGCAGCATCATTAAGCTGCAGTTTCTCAAGTGCATCCCTCAACTCAGGAAACTGATCAGCATCCACAGGAAACATGCCACAGAACACCATTGGAGTGGCTTCCTCATAACCAGGCAATGAACTTTCTGCCTTTCTACTGTAGTTTGTGATTGTGTCCCCAACTCTAGCGTCAGCCACTGATCTTATAGAAGCTGAAAGATAACCCACCTCACCAGCATAAAGTTCTCCAACCTGAAACTGAGTGGGAGACAAAACCCCAATCTCATCAGCAAAATAGTCCTTCCCACTAGCCATAAAATAAACCCTATCACCCTTCTTTATCTTCCCATCAATTACCCTAAAATACACAATTACACCCCTATATGGGTCATAGTAACTATCAAAAATCAAAGCTCTCAATGGTTTATCAGCGGTATCAGCTGGTGGAGGAACCCTCTCAACAATTGCATCAAGAATCTCAGATATCCCAATTCCCTCCTTGGCAGAACAGAGTATTGCATTGCTACAATCCAGCCCAATAACCTCTTCAATCTCCTTTATTACACTATCTGGGTCAGCTCCTGGAAGGTCTATTTTGTTCAAAACAGGGATGATCTCCAAGTTGTTTTCCAAGGCCAAGTAAACATTGGCCAAGGTTTGAGCTTCAACTCCCTGTGAAGCATCAACAACAAGAAGAGCACCTTCACAAGCAGCAAGAGACCTAGACACCTCATAAGAAAAATCGACATGCCCAGGAGTGTCAATGAGATTCAAACAATATGGCTCACCATTTTTGAAACTATAACGCATCCGAGCAATCTGTAGCTTGATGGTGATGCCTCTTTCTCTCTCCAAGTCCATGTTGTCAAGAAACTGCTCCTTCATTTCACGCTTCTGAACAGTCCCAGTCGTCTCCAGCAACTTGTCAGCCAAAGTCGACTTGCCATGGTCAATATGTGCAATTATGCAGAAGTTCCTGATACGGGAAATGGGTACCTTAGAAAGACGGTCATGGCCGAGCTGGGAAATGGGTTGGGTTCCAGTGGCTTGACAGAGCACTTGGAGTCTTTGCCGAGGCCTGGAGGAGGTTCTGGAGAGATGAAGGAGAGGTTTAGAGTGAGAGAGTGAGAAGAAGGGCAAGAAGGAGGTGGTTCTGGGATGTGAACGTTGGGGAGTGGTGGTGGTTGTGGATAGGAGGAGGGTCTGAGATTGAGCAGAGAGGTCTGCGGCCATGGCGAAGAACCAAACTTGGATTGAATCGTATGAATGGCTTGGGCTATAGTTGGTTTTGGATTGGATTTTTGACTTTGGTCTTCGTCTGATATCTATGGCCCATGTAAAACTAAAAATGAGCAACTTTTCTTAATTAAAAGAAAATTAGAAAACAAAAACAAAAAGAAGAAATCTTAAATAAAAAAAAGAGCTAACATATGTCTGTTCTTGATTATCTCATTTGCAATGAAAAATTTAAGTTATGTGGCGAGACGTAAATGAATTTGACTGTATAAAAAATAAAAATAAAAATAAATGACTCGTTTGGGACTGCTTCTCTAGAAGCATCTCTGCTCATAATCGCTTCAAAAATGCTTTTATTATAAAGAAGTTGAACTTTTCATAAGAAATTCAAGTGCTTTAGCATATGCTTCTTTAGAAAGTGCTTCCATGATCTAGAAGTACTTCTAACATTTTATGCCAAACGCAATCAGAAGTGCTTTTAGCTCCCTAGAAGCATTCCCAAACATACTCTAAATCTCTAAGTATACTTCTAGCTTAAAAGCCTACAACCCACTTTGAAACTATGGTTGTTTTTTATTTATTTTTAATTTGAAAAAAAAACTATGGTTTTTCTTTTGTGCCAAAGTTAGGAGGGGGGTGTTTTCTCACACACAATGTCAATGTATCAAGGCCCTTTTCTACGTTGAAATTATGATTCTATCCATGCTTTTTGCATATTAAATATACAACTTTAATTGGGGGGTTCCTCACACACACTGCCAATGTATCATAGGGTTCGAACCCGAGACCACTGATATCAATTGAAGGCCCTTTTCCACGTTCTATCCATGCATTTTTCATATTAAATATACAACTTCAATTGATCACTTTTGACAAGTAATATATGAAAGGTTAGGGCAAGCAAATGAGTCATGATATGTGAAAACATGTTAATAATGCATGCAATATCTTGAAGATACAAGAGAAGATGTACAAGGTAACCAACTAGGCATACGTTAAATTGCAAGCTTTCCCATAAATGGTTGATTAAATATCCAACTACACAGTTTACCATATGTCAAACGCACTATGGTTGACATAACCTTTCTGGTCTGTCACTTTCTTCAACCTCAAATGGCCAAAGCTCAATTATCTGAGCTATGTCGGTGACCCAACAGATCATATGCAGAACTTGTAGAAATGAATGGAATGGAAGGAGGCAACCCTGAGATCTATAAGGATTCAAACTGCGTGTCGTTTTTTAGATATTTTTACAAATTTACAACTCAGTGGATCCAGTCAATAACCTTTGCTTTGTTTTTCCTGGTCACATGTCCAAAGAACTTTCCAAGTATCTATAAAATCCAAAGACAATTCTGCCCTGCACTCTTCATCATGATGCATTGTTTTTGAAAACTAAAGAGTGCAGCTTAATTATTTAAGGTTACCAGAAAACAAGAACTGACGACAGCAGACTCAGTATTTAAGGGTTTTGAATGCTTTTTTTTTTTGGTAACAGAGGGGGCTAACGCCCAAAAACACAAGCCAGCTAACTAGAGCAGAGCAGACGAGGCCTGGAGTCACCCCTAGAATCAGCAGCCAGGATGTCAACAATGCAAGCTGGTATCTCATCAAAGATATGCAGGCCTGGACTAAAATGGTTTTGAATGCTTTTCAATGACATGACATGGCATTCAACTCCAACTAATATTCGAAGACAGGACCAGTCATCCAAACTTAAACAGGAAACGGGTTTAAGAAGAACCAACTTTGGCGGCATGCCTTAACAAAACTTAGGACACTATGCCACACGAAATTAGGATTGCATTATTATGGTTTTCTTTTATAAACCAAGGTAAATAACTAAATATGTACTTGGTTATTATAGGTTGTTGGTCTAGTCGTTATTATGATACGACACTTAGCTTTCTCGAAAAAATGAAATTGGAGCACATTGCTTCGGTACATGAATGAATTGTTCGAGTTACAAACCCCTTGTCAATTTTACAAAAATTAACAATTTATTCTCAATTGTACTAATTTAGTTATATTTACATTTATGTCACATTGGTGGGTGAAAATAGGTTAAAAGTTCTTGTTCATCCTCAACCAATGTTAGAGCAGAACATATTTAATGTAACAAAATCTACTTGGTCATGGTTTCAGAACAGAATGCATACAATTAAATAACAGTTCCTGCATTGCATGGAACACACAATATAATACTACATAAGTTTCTACCAAATTGGGTTCAGCTTACATGAAAAGCAAAACACCTGGGACGATAAAAAGGAAGAAAGAAGGGAACTGCAACAATTAATCTGGCTTCACAATTTATTGATTGTTGAGACTTGAGAGAGAGAGAGAGAGAGAGAGAGAGAGAGAGAGAGAGAGAAGCCTCAGAAGAATTTATGAACTTGCTTATCAAAAACCAGAGGGACAAGAACCTTATATGCCTTCTCTGTGGGATGGTAACTGTCCCAGAATAGATATTTTGATGGATCCTTGCAGGTACCTGGAGAGTGACGAGTACACAAAATGCTGACCTCAATATTTCCTGTTCCACAGCAGCCTTTGTTCACCACTTCCAATCCTGAACAAAAAAAAAAAAAAAAAAAAAAAAAAAAAAAAAAAAAATTCATCATAAAAATAACAATAATGTAAATTGTGGCAATCTTGGGCATGTGGGTTGAACATAATTTACCACTCTTTTGTACAGAATCATTTATCAGAAAGATCAGAAAGGATATAAAAATAAAAACACAGAAGTGAAGTCTGATTGTAATGGTGGGTCATGTTGTATTACTTAAGAATTTGAATGTTTTTTTTTTATGTTTTTTTTTTTTTTTTTTTTTTTTTTTTTTAGTGAATATTCTTAATTATTACGGGAAGGGAGTTCAAAACTCGGATGCAATGGGGCGGGCACACGCCTTGGCCAACTGACCTAACCTGCATTTGCGATCAGGTTGTGAAGGTTGGAATGAGCCAAAAATTTAGCAGCAAGATGATGATTTACCATATTGAGAAGGGTTTTGGATGAGAGAAAGCAATGTGTTGTAGATATCAAGGTAGACAAGCCTTGCTTCTGGAAGCCTCTTGTTGAAGGCATCTATTTGGGCAGTGAGTTTGGAGTTGAAGAGGCTTGCTGCTTGGTTGGCATTGTCTGAGCACCCCCTGTCTATGCCTCCATTTAGTGTTCTTTGTGATGGCACACACCCAATTGCTGGCAAGCTTAGTATGCCAATCCTTCTAGCTCCCAGGTCATATAGTTCCTGCAGTCCCATTTTATCTCCCCACATTAACATAAATAACAAAGTACTAGTTAATGTCACACTTTTTTTAAATGGATTTGTTCTTGATTTTAGGTTACTTGGGGAACCAGATTGCTTGTTTTTTACATGGGACAATAACATATGAGGCAGATTGGAAATTATTCCTCTTCTATAGTGGCTGGTTAGTTCTGAATCCTGCAGGCTTAATTTTATGTGTATCTCAGGATGCAGGCCATTGCAAATTTAGTCTCTGCCTACATAGTGGCAATGCATGAGCACCAAAACTATTTCTTTTCTAGTGCTCGCATTTGCAGTCGTTCGACTTTTACCTGAAAGAAACTTGAAGCTGATTTAATCATCAGATCTGTATATGCTGGAATGTCATATTGAGGTCTCCTCAGTGGTGTAGAATAATAAGTGTTTGCAATGTCATCGCTTCCTAAGCACACAATGTATATGCTTTTTGATAGTATAGTCGCGGTTCTCGCCTCCCCGACTGCTGCATTTATCTTGCTTAGGTATTTTTTGAACAGGTCTAGTTGATCTGATAATGATAAGACAGACTGATAGAAATAGAATTAAAAGAAATCAAGGATATATAAGAATGCTAAATAGAAAAGAGGGGAAGATAGAGATATATACCACTACTTGGGGAGTCAGAGGATCATATCCTGTACCCCCTGAGGCAAAACTTACACCAGTAAGTAGGTCTTGAACCTTCAGACTTGGATCCAGATAAGCTGGCAAAATGTTCTTCACTCCAACTGATTCAGCTGAAAATTTGCAAAGAGTTAACCTTTTTACAGTTGTTGATTGAGCTGAAAAATTCAGGTCAGACCTTTTGTTATTGTTGTTTACTAAAGACAACAATGATAATAGTAGCAACAGTAGTAGTGTGAATGCAGAAAAATCTTATAACCCTCAAAGAGTGTTGAGGTTACCTATCAAGTCTGAGGGGACTCTTCCATTGCTAAACCTTCCAGTAGGCTTTCTCCCTGTGAAGTCCCTCCCATATGGTGGGAAATTGCATTTGACTATAGTTTCTGATATTGTTGTTGTTGCCAGGATCCACAATTGAATCTCCAAAAACAATCACTGCTGGAATCGTTTCGTTTTCGGGTAGTATCACAGCAGCAGCATTATGGTACAAGAATAAAACTATGATGAATAAGAAAACTTTGACAGATGAATTAGATGAAGGAAGAAGTTTTTGGAACAGAGAACTCATTGCATTCAGTGGAGAAAATACACTGCTTTTCCAAGTTATCATAGGTCTTTTTAAGCATCTCCATATAAGTATAGTCAGCTTATTTATTGTCTCGAAAGGTGTAGTTTTTAGTAGTTGTTAGATAGAGTTGGTTTAATTTAATCTATAGTTTGATTTTTGCTTCACTGGCATGTTATGTTAATATAGTCAGTTATATATCAATTTCTGTCATTAGTATTTTCATCTGGATGCATCTTACAGCTGCAAAACACCTTTTCTTGAATTTAGTTTTTAGTCACAAAAGAAAAAGAAAAAAAATTTAGTCCCTCATTTGAAAGCTAACAGTCATATTTTTTTGACAAGGGGGAAAATGTTCCACTAGATCAAGAGCTGCTACTTGATTCAATAACTTTTTTGGTATCACAAAACGCGTGTGCTGTAAAAGTTCACATTGCAGAGTCAAGGCATTTCTTGTTCTAGGTGTGTACAAAATGACTAACAGAAGCACACCAATTACTGGTTTGCTTTGCAGTCAAAAACTTAAGACTTTGAAACCGAATTAAACTCTGAAATCATTTACCTTGGTTCTATATGTTTTGGCTGGTTTTCAACTTTTTAAAGTCATCTCCACAACCTAGAATCATTAATTAGTCCTTTGGGGCTCTTAAAAAGTCATGTATGAGGCTGTCCTTGTGATCTCTTCATATTATATTTGCCAGGAATATCCCAACTGCAAAAATTAAATATCCCAACTGCATTTTCTCCATCAACACATCGTCTCGCACTGTTTTGCATCCATCCATGATATGTCAGCCAAAAGCCAGAACATGCATTATTGCTTAGTATTATAATAAGGCACTTATTCGCATGGGGCTTGTAGTTCAAGTGATTAAGAGCATTTACCCACGCATTCGACGTCTTAAATCTGATTCCCCCCTCTTCATTATCGCTTGTATTAAAAAAAAAAAAACACTTATTTTATCTAAGGTCGAATGAAACTTGGTCGTTATAACTTAAAATGTATATATGTGATTTATTTACATATTTATAGGATCACTTGCTCTATGACAATGCCTTTGTATAATCTTTTCATGATTTACTTTTGATTTTAAATTATTTTTCGCAGGTATGACGTTTACTTTAGTTTGTTGATGAGAATGTGGCAGGCAGATCAAAGGTAGAGAGATTGTGAGTTAAACTGAAGGAGTTTATACACTACATTTTGAGTTATGGATTTGTATGGGGTTTCCAAACTAAGCACCTCAAGTTTGTGAAACAGCATAGTGGTTATGGTTAATAGCTTGATTGGTTTTGTGGGAAAAGGAACTATTGAACTTTGTTGATGTTTTGAGCCCAAATGAAAGTGAGCTTGGTCTTTTGACAGATTGATCATGCTGTACATGGTGAAATGCCATTAAATGGTAAGTTTTGCTGCACTGAAAGGTCTTCATATCTTTGAACAGTCTAGGCTTTGTCCAACAAAACTTGATGGTTATATGGTATATGTGATTTAGTTACATACTTTTTAAGCATTTCTAAGTGAAGCAAATATTCAATTGTTAAAAGCTAATACAAAAATTCGTTTAAGTGAATTGATTAAAAACGAGAGATTTGAACTTGAGACGTGATGATTAGAAATGAGAGATTCGAACTTGAGATGTGACGTCTTATTGAAAGATAAGGGCTTTTAATAAACTGACCTGAAGATTGAATTAATGCAGAAAAATCTTAGAACCCATAAAGAGTATTGAGGTTACCTATCAAGTCTGAGGGGACTTTTCCATTGCTAAACCTTCCAGTTGGCTTTCTTCCTATGAAGTCCCTCCCATATGGTGGGAAATTGCATTTGACTATAGTTTTGATATTGTTGTTGTTGCCAGGATCAACAATTGAATCTCCAGAAAAATCACTGCTGGACATCGTTTCGTTTTCAGGTAGTGTAGTGTCACAGCAGCAGCATAATGGTAGACGAATAAATCTATGATGATTGAGAAAATTTTGACAGGTGAATTAGATGAAGGAAGAATTTCTTGGAAGAGAAAACTAATTGCATTCATTTAAGAAAATACACTGTTTTTCCAAGTTATCATAGGTCTTTTTAAGCATCTCCATATAACTAAAGCCCTCAGCTTATTTATATTGTCTCAAGAGGTGTAGTTTGTAGTAGTTGTTAGATTAGATAGAGTTTGGTTTAATTTAATGTAGTTTCATTTTTGCCTAACTGGCATGTTATGTTATATTCAAGCATGTTAATATGGTCAGTTACATATCAATTTCATTCACTAATACTCTTACAGATGCAAAACTCCCCTTTTTGAATTGGCTTGTTGGCCACCAAAGAAGAAATAAAAAATTTGTTCATCATCTGACTGGTTTTGCCTCTGTGTTCTTTGCTGCTGTGTATTTCAATGAAGAAGTCTTATATGAGCATAAGAGTATTAATGTTTTTTAATTAACGGGGAAGAGGATTTGAACTTAGGACATCTTCTAACATTAGGAAGAGAAATATGTACGACTAGATCAAGAGCTAGTTGACATTAGCTTGTCGATTCAAAACTTTTTGGTATCACAAAATGCGTGTTCCGTCAAGCTCACATTGTAGAGTCAAGCTTATTGAGGGCCAAAGAAAGAAAAGAGAGTCCAGCCTCCTGTAGCTACATAACTCCTGTCCTCACTAAATCAGGAGAACACATGGTCCTGTTTGTTTTCTGTTTTCCTTCCTTTTCTTGTTCTAGATGCGTACACAAATGACTAAGGGCAACTAACAAAAGCACACCCAATTTACTGGTTTGCAGTCGAAGAAAACCAAATTTAACTCAGAAATCATTTGCCTTCATTCTAGTTTGTTTTGGGTGGTTTTTAACTTTTTACAGCCATCTTCACAACCCAGAAGCCAGAACCATTAATTAGTCCCTTGCGGCTGTTATAAGTCTATTCTGAGGCCGTCCATGTGATCTGCATTTTTGCCAGGATACCATTGAATTTCCAAACTTTTTTGCTAAATATTCTACTGCTTAGTGACTTTCTGACAAGTAATATCCAACTGCATTTTCTCCATCAGCACATAGTATTGCACTGTTTTGTATCCATCCATGATATGTCAGCCCAAAGCCAAAACATGCATTATTGTTTAGTATTATAATAAGTGTCATTTAAGTGGTTAAAAATATTCTCAAATTCGATTCTCCCTATTTGAGGTCTCAAATTCGATTCCCCATTCTTCAATATTGTTTGTATAAAGGACAAACACTTTATTCTATCTAAGGTGGAACAAAACTTGATGGTTATAAGGTATATTTGATTTTTTGGCGTACTTTAAGCATTTCTAGGTAAAACAACTATTTAACTGATAAAGCTGTTTATTATACAACCTACAATAGCTCAACCCATTTCAACACACGTAGGAGTTTTTTTTTTTTTTTTTTGTTTTTTTTTTTCGGACCAAAACTCTTAGGAGACATGTTATAGAGTATTGGACGAAAAACATCTTATCGGGCATAATATAAGTTGACTCTATATATGAATAATGTTACTCTTACCACATTTGTATAATGATAAGAAATTTTTTCATTTACTAATAGTGTGACATGCCAAATTACTATGGTATGACTTTGGAGTCGGACCTTTATTTAGGGTTTCTAAATGAAAACGACCTCAGGTCAGGACTGAATGGCAACATATTTTTTTATTTTTTATAATCAGAACCAAAAAACAGAACAAAAAAGAAATTAGCCATTAGCCCTCAGGACTAGAACTTCTGAGCTCCCTCCTATCAAAATAGTCTCTTCCTGGACGTGAACTACTGACTGCTGCAAAATTGAAGCCTCCCTGAGAGCAATTACATGAAAATGTAACTTCTTTTTATCTAAACCTACACTGTCGCCTCTCTTTCTTCTCTTTCAACTTCCTCAACCGCAACAAAGGCAATCCCTTTGGGCAATTTACCGAAAACAAAAAAAATCGACGGAGAAGATCAAGAGAAGAAATAGGCGTATCTCCAGCTCCTCTGCAGCAGCAGCTGCAAGTGGAAGGTAAGTGCTTTTCGTCTGTCTTCTTCTTTCTTCTCCCTTATTCTCAATCAAAGATTGTTGTGTTTTTGTATGAAATTTATTCATGTCAGTTGCGTGATATTGTGTCAAGTTAAGCACCAACTGAACCCGCTGAAATGTGTTCCAATTTCAATTTCTTCTTTTGTTTTTACTTATTTTGGATTAAAATTGTGGTTTTGTTCTATCTCTTCCTCTCTAATATTAGTGTAGTGTTTAGGTTGCTTGAACGTGGTTTCGTATTGTGAATGGATATTGGGTTTTTGGTGGTGATTAAAAAGGTGGCTGTTTTCTGGGGTTTGAGTTGGATTGTATATCCAATAAATATTGGTGATGTTGGTTGCTTGTAGTGACTAACAGTCTGACTGTCTGAGAGAAACCTTGAATTTTGTTGGTTGTTAACAGAGGAAGATGGGGGGTGGTATTAGTAGATAGTAGTCGGAAGCTCTAGCTAAGATCAGCCTGAAATTTTGAATTTTATCTTGTTAGACAAACTTATCAAATAGGAAAGAGAAACAGAGTTCGTGTTTGAGCAGTTGCGGTAGGTATTTTTTGAGTAATGGTGTTGGTGGGTTTATAGCTAAGTCCATTGACAATCATGTTTTCACAGTTTTATGTATTAAAAAAACTATCTTGATCTATTACAGAGCAAAAGGGCTTCAGATATTTAGGAAGTAGTGAAATGAGAACAGTTTTCGTTTTCACTTCTCTGGATCCTGAATACTGTTTCTGATTTCACAAAATAAGTGGAACCTCTAGGGATTCAGAAAGTTAGCCTCCTTTGTCTAACTGATTTCCACACTCTCTCTGATCTCTCTCTTTTGGTCTTTCCTTCCACTGCAAACTTTCCTTCAGTTCACGAAAAAACAGAATAAGCTTATAAGTTTCTCTCTGTTTCATATGCTAATAAAATTCCTCTGCTGGTCGATAATGCCTAGTTCACTTGTTTTCTATTTTAGTTTGTTAAATATCTGGGTTGTGTGAGTATTAAATTATACATTAGACTGCAAACAAATATGTTGGACTGTCTATTGTGTACTTTCTTCTACATAAATTCTAAGAGTTTTACGATGTGATGATTTAATTTCATGGAAGTACATCCAAAGTAAAATTCCAAGTTTAACAACCATGGAAGTATATTTGCAACTTCTTAATTTGACTGGTTTATGATATTCTTTTGTTAATGAGATTGTGTTTGCTGTATTTTGCAGATGTACTTCTAATTGTTAAGCTGGTTTGGTAGTATATATTACGGTAAGGATCTACAGCCCTATGGCTATTGTTGAATTTATAGGGGATCTTCCAGTTCAAGATCCACCAGAAGAGGAGTTCTCTGCTGCTGATTTGACTTGGACCAAATTTGGCACTGCTGAGCACCATGATGATGCAGCCCTCATTCCTTATGATCGAGTTGATGAATTTATAATTGGTGAAGGCTCAAATTTAGAGTGCCCAACAAGGTTTCATATTGAGAGAGGAAGAAAAAGAAAGATGGGCAGTTTAAAGGAATACAAGGATGATGAGTATTTGGAATATAGGATGTGAGTAAAAAACTTCTTAAACTTAACATATTGCTCTTATATTTCCTTCTGCTGATGAAAAAAAAAAACCCTTAATTTTCCATATATATCATTGAAATAGTATAATGATGTTCTGATATGGTGACCCTTTGATGATCTCAAACCTTTGAGTTTCCCAGCTTATCTAATCTCTGGTTTAGGATTCACCATTAATGAAGTTCTGAAGAACTAATTTGTGGGTGTGTGTGTGTGTTATTTTCTTTAATTTAATTTAGACCTATCTTGATTTGACTAATATAAATCAGGTGTAAGGACAACATTGGCATTTTTTTCTGCTCCAATTGCACCATTGTATTTGTGATGGTTATAACTGAAAGCTTAAACCTTGTTTTGGATATAAAAAAAATCGATCACAAGTATTAATATTGTGGTTTGACTAACAAATAAGCCATATGAGCAATGGATGTTTAGATAGACCCCCCTTCTTTTTCCTTAACTTAGGCGCTACAGTTATTAAGTTGATCATTCTTTCTCCTTGAAGGTATTGGTGTTCTTTTGGTCCTGAAAATTATGGGGAAGGAGGAAGTATATTGCCTAGCAGAAGATATCGCCTCAACACCCGCAATCGTGCTGCTAGACCTCAATCCATGCGGGGCTGTACATGCAATTTTGTAGTGAAACGTTTGTATGCCCGTCCATCACTTGCACTAATTATATATCATGAGAGGCGCCATGTGAACAAATCTGGTTTTGTTTGCCATGGCCCACTTGACAGAGATGCGATTGGCCCCGGAGCAAAGACAGTTCCATATATCTGTAATGAGATCCAACAACAAACAATGTCTATGATCTACCTGGGCATTCCAGAAGAAAATATACTAGAGAAACACATAGAGGGGATTCAGCGATATTGTGGTTCAAATGCAAAAGTCAATAGCCTTGCTTCCCAGTACGTCCACAAACTTGGGATGATTATTAAACGGTCTACCCATGAATTGGATCTTGATGATCAAGCTAGCATCCGCATGTGGGTTGAACGCAATAAAAAATCCATATTCATATATCAGGATACTTCAGAAAAAGATTCATTCATTCTGGGGATTCAAACAGAGTGGCAGCTGCAACAAATGATTCGTTTTGGCCATTGCAGTCTCATTGCAGCTGATTCAACATTCGGCATAAAGAGACTTAAGGTAACAAATCATTGATGCTGTTTGTACAAGCTTCCGAACTGACTAACCCTCTCACATGCGCTATGAGATTGCTTTCCTGATTTCTAGGTTTAGTAGGACCTGTTTCCAGGAAGTACATGGGTGGTAATAAATAAATCAAAACGTTTGTGGGTGGTTATCTTGTCATCACATTACATTTGGAATGGACTGGTTACTAAGTCATGAAATGGTTCATGAATGTTTAAGGGATTTTTTATTTTTTATAGATTAGACAATGTGCATGGTGATGTAGATGTTTATAAATGTGTGTTTTGAAATGGCAGTATCCTTTGTGCACACTTCTTGTCTTTGACTCAAGACAACATGCACTCCCTGTCGCATGGGTCATCACACGTAGCTTTGCAAAGCCAGATGTGTCTAAATGGATGAAAGCTCTGCTTGATCGAGCTCGTAGTGTTGAGCCTGGATGGAAGATCAATGGGTTTTTAATTGATGATGCAGCAGCTGAGACTGATCCCATCAGGCAGGATGTTCTTGCTCTGTAATTCTTCATGCATTAAATTTATCTGGTCATAGAATATAGTGCATTCTATTAACACATTTCTGTTCTTTCAGAGATATCTTTTGTTGTCCCATACTATTTTCCCTCTGGCGCGTTCGTAGATCATGGCTGAGGAATATTGTAAAGAAATGCAATAACATTGAAGTTCAGCGGGAAATTTTTAAACGTCTGGGTAACATTGTGTATGGCATTTGGGGTGGAAATGGTACCCTGGGTGCCTTAGAAGAACTAACCCAAGATTTTGTTGATCAGACGGCTTTTATGGAATATTTTAAGAGCTCTTGGGTACCTAAGATTGGTTAGATCTCTCTCTCTCTCTCTCTCTCTCTCTCTCTCTCTCTCATGCACACATCATGTCGAATGGTCTTTTTATTTTTTTTGGGTCAAAGATGTTGAATTGTATTATAAGTTTTGCATGAAACTATCGTATATTATTTCTTGTTAACAGAAATGTGGCTTTCGACTATGAGAAGTCTTCCGCTTGCAAGCCAGGAGGCATCTGGTGCTATTGAAGCGTATCATGTGAAGATGAAAGTGAAATTATTTGATGATTCACATCTTGGAGCACTCCAAAGAGTTGATTGGTTGGTGCACAAGCTGACAACTGAGCTGCATTCAAGCTACTGGCTTGACCGTTATGCAGATGAATGTGATTCTTTTCAAAATGTTAAGGAAGAATACATTGCTTCTACATCATGGCACAGGGCACTGCAAATTCCTGATTCTGCTGTTAGCTTGGATGACAAAGACCACCTCTATGCCAAGGTCTTAAGCCAGAAGGACAGTAGCACTGTGCATCTTGTGTGGAATCCTGGATCAGAATTCTCTTTCTGCGATTGTGCATGGTCAATGCAAGGAAACCTTTGCAAGCATATCATCAAAGTCAATATGACCTGTGAAAGTCGTCAGGGTTATCAACCTTCCATGTCTTTTCAGTCATTCAAAGAGTTGCTGATGAGCCTATTGAAAAAACCAATGGATGATTCAGTTGCACTCGATCAGTCGATGGCCTGGACTATGCAGATGTTCGATCAAATACGAAAGCTTGTAGAAGTGACAAGTTCTAATGACATTGGCACCGTGGTAAACAATCTGCCATTGCAGTGGGTTTCTAAGAAAGGCAGAACAGGTGTTGGAAAGCCATCAACTTCTCTGGCTCTTCCTTCTGGTTCCATTGATACAAACAGAGCTGCAGCAGCAAGGAAAAAGAACCGGAAGCGAAAAAGGTTGTCAAGATTGAGATAATTGTTTTAGGTTGGCAGATTAGATATATGATTCCCTACTTTCACAACTCTCTTTTGTTTCACATTCATTTTGAAAGAAATATAGAGAAAAAAATTCCTTTCAGTTGTGTCAAGTTTATGATCTCGATGTTCACAGGAAATTGTATATTTGAGTTACCATTGACATGATAATTTACAATACATGAAAATCTTGGCTTCCATTGCAGATTGATACTTCCTTTTTCTTCACAGATAACCCTTAAAATGTTATGTTATGTTTATACTTTCAACTTCAGAATTCTTATCAACATGTTTTTCTTTTCGGTATCTTTGATTAATTTGGTGTTTACTTTTATGAACTAATGAAATACCGATGGTTTGATACATAATAAATTTTCCATCACTTTTTATAGATAGACGAATTGGTTTAATAATCAAAATTCCCCTTTTAATAAATTCTGTAAGAGTTAAATCTTTCTGAATCATCAGAATATCCACTCATTTCGCCCCTTTGAATAGAGGATATAGTAAATTGCATGCAACTGGTCTTCTCAGCAAAGTCTATGAGGTTCGCAACTGTTCTCATGATGAATGTTCTCGATTGAGAAAATAAGCTTATATTCTAACATTAAGCAATGGTTTACCCAGACCCAGTCAATATAAAAATTTGAATTCATGACATTATATTTATCCCAGCACGTCCATGAGAGAATGTAACTTTGGCCCCAAGAAAAAAGAATAACAACAATGCCCAAAAACTTCAAAAATAAAAAAGGAAAGTAAATTTCCACTTTCTGCATGGAAAGAGGTTTCTGGTTTCGAACCCCAGAAACTTACCCTTTTTCTTTTCAACACTCTCCCATGATTGCAAGGAAAGGGATGACCAAACACTGTCATAACGGCTAAGAACAAGAGTTGCCCAAAATTAAAGTTACAATCACCCATTGAAACAAGGACTTCTTTCGTACTTGTATAAATATACCCCCTCCATGAACAAACAAAGAGAATACTTTGAAGCTCTCTAAGCCTGTAACTTCAGTTGAGTTCTGCAAACCCAACTTTTTCTTTCTTACTTTCCCGCCAAAGCCCGTTCTAAAGAATTAAGCGAAATTCAGAGGAAACAGAGACATGGGTGGCAAGGTCTCTAAGCAAAGTAAAAAAGACGATGTGGTTTTGCTTTGTCGGGAGAGAACGCAGCAGCTGAATTTGGCTGTGAAGAGAAGGCATGCGTTTGAAGAGGCGCAGTGCAATTATAACCTGTCGCTGTATGCAATGGCAGTTGCTATAGGGTCGTTTGTAAAAAGCCATTCCTCTCCATCTGATTCTGATTCTGAACCAACCAAAAACACCAATGCTTACCCTTCTTCTGATTCTGGAATTTCTAGAAGCTCTTCTTCAGAGATAGACAGAGAAAAAAAGCTACAAGAAAGCTCAGATGATAGAGAAGAAGCTGAAGAGAACAGGGATCATAATGCTGGGACTGATGGGGAAGAATTGGGGTTGGTTTTGCTGAATGATGAGGCTGTGAGAGAAGGGAGGGAATTGTTGGAAGCATTGAAAGAGGTTGAGGTCCAATTCATTAAGGCCTATAATTCCAGTTTGGATGTTTCCAGGATTCTAGGCACCAACATGGATCAAAAGCAATCTACCTTGGAGGAAACTGAAGGTGGGTTTTTCTCTTTTAAAGCCCTTTTTGTTATTTTGATTTGCTTGGTCATGGTGTATAATTCATGTTTATATGATTTTCGGTGCAGAGAACTCAAGTAAACTCAAAAAAAGCCGCTCCGTCTCATCGATATTATCTTCGTCTTCCTCCCGAAAAAGCCTCCTTAGATGTAGCACCAGAAGTTCTTCAACAATCACCCCTTTGAATGGTGGTCTCTTTGATGACAATGGAGCAATGGGATCCAAGCGCCATTCGTTAACACTAGGGACGCTACATGTTTGGGAGCAAAAACTCTATGAGGAGGTGAAGGTAAAATATGAATCTAAGAATTATTATTCAGTTTTATGAATTTCTCATAACTTGATCATTAATTTATAGGATTGTTTTAGCTTGTGTGTTCCCTCCTCCATATGGACAACCTAGATAATTTGAGAATAACTTGAATCAGCTTTAAATTTTTATGTGCAGGCTGGACAGGAAACCAGGAGATTATACGATCGAAAATGCTCCCAATATTCGAGAAACCAAGGACGTGGCCAAAAGACTGAACGCAAAATTGGAGTTGAAGTAGAGAAATTGCAGTCCAGAATTTTGGTTGCCAAAGAAAGTGCGGAATCAAGATTTAAAGCAATTCGAAAACTGAGAGATGAGGAGCTGCAACCACAACTAATTGAGTTGTTACAAGGGTAAGATAGATGTCAGAAATTTATTTGTAATACATGACGAGTCTGAATTTTTTTGAATTATTTTGTTATAACCTCTCTTTCCCACTTTCTGCAGGCTGATGAAAAATTGGAAGATCATGTCAGAAACTCATGAAACCCAACACAGAATCATGTCCGAAGTGAAGTATGTAAACTGTTCATCCTATGAAAAGTTGTGTAATGACTCACGCCAACTTGCAGATACTCGTAAGTTTGAAGCAGAACTTCAAAATTGGCGTGCTTGCTTTGCTTCATATGTTTCTTCACAAAAAGAATACATTGAAGCACTTGATGTTTGGCTACATAAGCCTGTTGCTCCTGAAAGTGAAGTCGACTCCGATATGTGGTCCTCCCTACGTTCGTGTAGAGTTGGCATGCTGCCATCCCGTGAAATTTGTGATAATTGGTTAGCTTCCATAAATAAGCTGCCACATGAAGCAGTGCCTAGTGCCATGGAAAACTTTGGCAAGGATGTCCAAGCATTGATGGTTCGACAAGCCAAGGATCATCAGCAAATGAAGGAGTTAGATGGGCTTGCTAAACAACTTCATGGGCAGGCTATGGTACTTGATTTGAAGGGATGGATTATGGAAAAGAATGGGGATGTGCGGTTGGTAAAGATGGAGAACACGGTGTCTGAGTTTAAGACAAAGCTAAACGACGAGAAGAAGAAACTTCATAAAAGCATGAAGGAGACACAAAATATTACTGTGAATGGATTCCAGACGGGGTTTTCGTCCGTGTTTAAACCCTTAACCGACTTTTCAAAGAGTGTTGTGGAAATGTATGATGGCCTTATAAGATTCAACGAGAATGGAATGATGGTAGATGACGAAAGTAGCCACCTACCAAGCATTCATGATGAAGCCGATGACCAAAGTAGCCGAGCACCAAGCATTCGCGTTGAAGCCGATGACCAAAGTAGCCGAGCACCAAGAGTTGATGTTGAAGCCGATGAGATAAAACAAATACCTAAAGCACGGAAAAAAATACATAGAGGACAGAAAAAATAAGCATAAAAGGTTTTTAGAATCTTAGGCAATTTTTATTATTATTTTTAATTGTTTATTATTTCTGTTTATTTTTAACTTTTAAGGATATATATAGAACATAGTTATTAAAGGGATTAGAATAATATCACATCAACAGGCAAACCCGTTTCTTTGCTTTCTTACATTTCTAATGTATTGAGAGCTAATATCATCATATGTCTATTCTAGTGAAAAATAGCATTGACTTGCAAATAAGAGCTTTCATGTTCAAATCACTATGGTCCATAACATCTTAGTTTTATGCGTGTGTGTGAGAAATCCCTCACTCTTATAATTTAGACTATCGCTTGTACTAAAAAAAAAGAGTATAAGAACTAATACAAGAGGAACAAGGGCACCCACAATGTAGAGACCCATCTTCGAAAACAAAAATGGCTTTTAAATTTTAAAAATAATAATAATAAAGATCATAACGAATGGGGCTTGTTCAATCTGGGTCTAAATGTTGTTGGGCCTGGGTTAGGACAGCCCTGAGCCCATAAAGATGGACTGGGTCAATTTACATGACCCAGTTAATTTTGTGCTGGGTTCGACCAGTATGCAAAAGGCAGAAACGTGGTCGTTTTAGGAGTTTGTGGCAGCCAGACAGAGCAATACCTACCTTACCTACTATCAGTATGCTGACATGTAGCAATAACTTGTAGTTTTATACTGTTGTACTGTAGATGGACATCAAACATGAACCAAATGTGATAAGCCCAAACATCCATCAACAACAACGTGTAGTTTCTAGACTCCTCCACATTTAGAGAGAAAATACACATGTCAACATCCTACACCCACACGCACAAACAGTTTGGCGGCTCATGCTGATGTTTTGTATATGGTGAAGCATCGCCTCCGAACAATTTTTTCTACTTTCAACTTTGCATGCAGCATGGGTCTTCTAAGTAAAGTCTATGAGCTTTGCGACTGCTCTCACAGTCATGAGAAGCTAAAGAAAAACAAGCAATTACAGGTATGTGTGTATGTATGTGCTACTAGATACCCTACCCTATGAGGAATGTTCTCGATTCCGAATCTCCGAATCTCTGAATCTAAATCATTGATCAATTTTATTTGTATAAGTTTGCAATTCAGATTCACAGTATGACTATTTAGATACTTAGAAATTTTTATTTTCTTTATTCACATCTCTTCATTTATTATATTTTTTTAAAGTATCTTTTGGTTAGTAAGAATTACTCTATTTCATAAAAAAGAAAAAAGAAAAGAATTACTCTGTATAATATATATAGGTGTGGAATTTTATTTTAATTATTTTTGTTTATTGGGTTATAACATTAGACGGTGGAGATCAAAGTGAGGATGGACTGTGAAGGGTGTGAGAGAATAGTGAAAAAATCAGTGCAAGGCATGAAGGGAGTCACTCAGGTTGAGGTGGACCGCAAGCTGAGCAAGCTCACCGTGATTGGCTATGTGGACCCCAACAAGGTCCTGTATCGTGTCAGGCATCGGACGGGGAAGAAGGCTGATTTATGGCCCTATGTACCGTACGATGTTGTTCCGCATCCGTATGCTCCGGAGGCTTATGACAAGAAGGCCCCACCTGGGTACGTGCGGAACGTCCTGGAGGATCCGGAGGCTTCGGCTATCGCACGTGCCAGCTCCACTGAAGTGAAGTATACGACGGCGTTTAGCGACGACAACCCAAATGCATGTGTGGTCTTGTAATTGTTTTGTTGGCAGTCGTGTAATTGTTATCTAAATATGTTCTAATTGCACTTGTAAATTTTGTAAGGCTTCAGTAGTAAGTAGCAGTAATACTAGCTGTAAAAATTTGTTTATGTCAATGGATTATTTTCTTTTACCAAGATTACAAAGAACCAAATCTTTTTATTGTTATTGATTTTCAAGTAATTTTGTATTTTCTTTTATATACGCGATAAAGAAGATCCATCGATTGTTTGGCATACTGATCGACACTATTTGGTCCAACAGACTTTTGTTGAAGAATGTCTTACAGATGGCAAATTATAGACTAATGCAACTATGAGGGCATTTAAAAAAAATAAAATAAAATAAAACAGTAGAGCTGCACAATTTAAAAAAAAATAGTATAGCCGTGCGGCTATACTTGCTCCTAGGCGGTATTATATTATAAATCGTATGGCCGTGCGGCTTTACTACGGTTATTTAAAAAAAAAATATTACAACCGATCGGCTATACTTTTTTTATTTATTTAAAAAGTATAGGCGCTAGGCCTGTTCCTTTTTTTTTCTTCTTATAAAGTGTATCGCCGTTCGCTATACTTGGGATTTTAAAAAAATAGTATAGCCGTTCGGATGCACTACGGTTAAAAAAAATATAGATTCGCGGCTATACTCATGCTTTTAAAATAATAATAATAATAATATAGCCACGCGGCTATACGCAGGTATTGTTTTTTTTAATTTTTTTCAAAATAGTATACTCGGTAGGCCATTACCTGAGTCTCTATTGTCCCCTTTTGAATTTTTTTTTTTTACTTTTCCATAGTTATTATCCGTATAAAGAATTTAACATTTTCACGTTTAATACTCGTATTATACACGTATGTACATATTTTTCAATAATAAATATGTCTTATGTACATGTCTTAAAAACTCAATAAAATACATGTTTAAAAAGAAGCAAACATGCAATACTCATATTGTACACATATGTACGTATTTTTCATGTATAATATTCGGTACTTTAAGAAAGTATTAAAATTTAAATAATTTAATTAAGTGGTCAAATTATATAGGATTCAAGTGATTTTTTGTAGAGATGATCTTTGAATGCATATCTACAAAATATACAGTTTGGATTAGTGAAATACAATATGAAATGAGCTCTACAAGGATGTCACTCAAATAACTTATTTGAGGACCCTCAACTAAAGCTAATTATATATATATATATATATATATATTAAAGAAAAGGGACAATAGTTGAAACTTAGACCTTGATGAATGGGTTTGTTCAATCTCGATCCAATTGTTGTTAGGCCTAGGTTAGGACAGCCCATAATGTTGGACTGGGCTAATTTACATGATACAATTAATATTATGTTAGGCTTGACAAGTATTAGTCCAACCCTAACACATATTTCTAGCCTTGCGTTGCTAAGTGCACAGACGACGTCGTTTTGGAGTGTGTGGTAGGTGTCCAAGCAGCGTTGGCAGGCAGACGCAATACCTACTATAAATACTGCTCTTCGGGGTCAAACTGCGCATTTTGGATCTGGGGCCTCTCTCGTCCCAAAATCCTTTCGGTCTCTATTGATTTCTCCCTATAAACCTTAACCCTAGAATTTGTTCCCTCCCTTTCTACTCAAACTGTCTGCGCGGGACATATATCAATCAGATTAACCGTTGAGACAAGGATCAAAACCCTAGCTGCAGTCTATTGCGATCTTTTTCGAGCTAGGGTTTGAGAAAATCTTTGTTCTCAGAGATCATGAATCAGTTTGTTTAAACTTGTATCGTTTATGATTCGGTTGCTGGTGTATCGTAATGTCTCGGTGTTTTCCGTATCCTTCTCCTGGATACGTGAAGAAGGGGATCAACGATGAGGCCCTAATCGAATCGATTAAGGTTTGTTGAGCATCGTTGCTTTGTGGGTCTTTGACTTTGTGCTCGACGTAGTGTGTTCGATTGGGTTCTTTTCGATATGTGTATATTCAGCTCTCTTATGATCATATTTTTGTACTTATAAGAACCCAACAAAGAGCAAAAACAAAAAATGAAAAGACAGTTTTACCAAAACTGTATGGTGGGTTTTACAATCGATAGCTCTTTTAAATCCCCTGGGAACCTAACATAAGCCAGTAATCATTATCAAACATGAGTTTTCTTAATGGACTTCTGTTGGATTGGACGAATTTGGATTTGGATGGGTCTCTAAGTAGCCAAACCTTAAACTGTTGGTTTACGGTTTGAGCTCCTCCTCCCAAGCATCATTGAATGGATGATTGCTCGTTTGTATAAATATATATATATATATATATCTCTCTCTCTCTAGCAATTGCCCCTTTCCCAAATTGTTGTCTTTGACATTGGACTCTTAATATATCAAAGTAGGGAGACCAATCTTTGTCCAAGTTGTAATTGTACTGCGGTATTTACATCTTGTGTTCATGCTTGTGGCACATTATTGTCTGCTGTCTTCCTTGTAGGAATTGAAAATGGTATTCTGAAACTTAGGTAGTAACTTGGTAACTTTTCGGTTGATGTGTGTCAATGGTAGTCATCTGTTTGCACGTGAAGTGTTCATGGTATTTGGAATCAAACAACCAGGCTTGATACCTCTTTGTATTCCTTGATGCTATGCTCTGGTTTCTAATTGTGTCGTTTGGCCTTCAACCATAGCTGAATAGGTTTTTGCTAATGCATGCGTTTGCCTGTGTTTATGATATCTTCTAGGCATTTCACATTGCCAAGTTGCTAAGCTTGGGATTGTATTATGTGGAAAATAAGCGGAGATGATTTGAGATGTATGAGATGGAAATGCATGACATTCTTGCGTTATTTATGAGATGAGATGTTTTGAGATGTATATGTGTATATATGTAAGCATGTCCTGGCTTGTTTGAAACTCATTATAGTTCTCGCTATGTTGAAAATAGTTTGAAAGTTTGAGATAACCAAGAATGAGTTTGCACTACAGTGGATTATGAAGTGATTGAGGTTAATTGTGTCCTTAGAGACTCATAATCAGTTTGGAGGTTGTTAAGTATCTTTATTTTTTGGGTGTTAATATAAGTTAAGTTTATTAGACTGGGTAGTTTATGCATCAAATAATGTTATAAAATTTTGCTTGGTGTACATGTAAAGAAGTACGCTTAGATATGTCAACTGGTGGGTTGGGGATGTGGCTTATGTTGTAGGGCTTGAGTTCTTCTTTTGTTGTTTGTTTGCCTAGGGGACGTGTATGGTTTAAGTTGTGTTTGAAGATGCCTTGGTGGTGGAAATGGTAGACACGCGAGACACAAAATTGTCTTGTGCTTAAGAGCGTGGAGGTTCGAGTCCTCTTCAAGGCATAAAATGAACATTCATGTCGTTTTTCGTTGGAGTTGCATTGATCATATTTAATTTATAGTTTCACCTTTAAATACCCTCTTGCCAGCTAAATGTTAATACTTATTCCATTTGAGTGGAGGATGTGCTATGGTTAGTGCTATCTCCATGCAGCAAAGTAAGAGTGAAGTATCTATGGTGCGTCTAAAGAAGTTGGTGTAGTTTCTATTCTAAATTCTGCATACTGATTGGTTTAGGTGCTTGTTGGAACAATGACACTGTTATTGATGCCACATACCAAAATTTGATACAGAAATTCTCATCATAGATCATGTGAAGCTGGTTCTGGCTTCAATTTTGATTGCATGAGTGCTATTGTTCTCTTACATCTCCTCCTGACCTCAAGCTTCCTCATACTTCTTAACTGAAAATTGATCTTAAAAGGATGTCATATACAAGAAATTGCTGTTTGCTTTTGCTTGTTTGTTTTTGTGACTTTCTGTTGAAATGTTCCTTAATGAGTTCAAAAATTGATGGTTACTCTTGTTATTTGAAGCTCCAAAGAGAAGATGGAAAGGCCAAGAAAGAAAAGAAGAGAGAGAAAAAACGAGAGAAGAAAGAAAAGAAGGCTAGAGAAAATGGGGAGCTTGAAAATAAGAAGCACAGTCATAAAAAAAGGCACAAAGATGAAAGGCACCAAGAAGATGAGAAAGGTAGAGACCATGGAAAGAAAAGAAAGCATGAAATAGAAAACCTTGACAAGAGTACCCTTACTGAAGAGCACGAACATCCAGTTGGTTCCCAGAACTCTTCTGATAGCACTGTTGACAGCAACAAAAGGCCGAAGCAGAAATCGTACCCTGATGGCATGCATAATTCTGGTGAGTGTGTTTATGTTTCTTCCTTACCTGGAAGAAGGTTGCTTGCCTGTTGGGTTTGTTAGCTTCTCATGGGCACTGATATTCTTTATTCCAAATGTTATTATGATGTGAAGCAAGCATTTTCCGGATCCGGTTGCCTCTCCAAAGGCACAAAGATCCTGAAGTGCTACCCAGAGAGGAACAACCTTGCCAGTTGCCTATTCAGAAGCACAAAGATCCACAAATGCTACCCAGCCAAGAACAACCTTCCCGGTTGTCAATTCAAAGGCACAAAGATCCGCAAGTGCTTCCCAGCCAAGAACAGCCTTCCCGTCTGTCTCTCCAAAGGCACAAAGATCCACCTGTGCTTCCAAGCCAAGAACAGCCTTCTCGGTTGTCTCTCCAAAGGCGTAAAGATCCACAAGTGCTTCCAAGCCAAGAACAGCCTTCCCGACTGTCTCTCCAAAGGCACAAAGATCCGCAAGTGCTACCCAGCCAAGAACAGCCTTGCTCTGCCTCGGGAAGGACTGATAATGCCTTTGTACAAGGAATGCATGAAGCTGCTCCTAGACAAGGCAGAGATGAGGGACAACATCCCTGCTCTACTTTTGGAAATTCTGGCAAAGAAGTCCCTGTCGGACTTGGTAAAGAAAAGCTCCGAGCAACTGGTAGTGCTTCACTTTCTATAACTTCAAAATACGTAGAGCTAATTGAAAACTGGGATCAACATCCTTTGTTGCAAAGCTTTCCCATGGATGTTGATGATCAGGAATGGTTGTTTGAGACAAAGCAGAACCGGAGCTGCAGGGCTGATGAACGAATATTTGTGAGTGACAGCTTGAGCTACGGAGACTCAGCGTCTTGGCCATGTGCTCGCCAGTTGCCCCAGTTGCCCAAGGCCGATATATACGCTTTGCCCTTTACAGTACCGTTCTAAACTGCCCTTGAAAAACTGCATTGGAAAGTGGAAGAAAGACAAGTGAGGTGCTCCAGTGAACTTTATTCTTCGTACGTGTTCTGGGTGCAGAAAGTGTGAAGAGTTTGTTTCCGGCTTTTGTGCTGTTGTTTGCCTCTTGTGCCTGGTTGGGTTGGGAAAAAAAAAAGAAACAAAAAAAACTTTGGGTGGTAGAGATTTGAGGAATTAAAGATTTCTTCTTTTTGTAGGTAGATGGCATCTTGATGTATCACAACTTTGCAATTCTTTGATCAATTATAATATCATATTCCGTTTCTCGTTCTCCCCTTGTTTTTGGTAGTTGGTTCTTTGGTCATCAGCTTTGTGTACTTCGTCTAATGACGTTCATTAGCTGCCGGTCCCTAATTAGTAATTGTACCTACTTATAAACAACTCAAATGCTACAACGGTCTGATTGGTTTAAGGTTTATTACTTGTTTAAGCAGAATAATTAATTAATTGTAAATCTTAATAATTGTATCCTCCTTTAAAAAAATTATAAAGGAATTCTCTGATCGGTCTCTTACGATCACTCTCTAAACATGTAAACATCTCGTATGATTACGAACACATTCCACCATTTTCTAAATATCTCATAGGACTACAAACACTATTAACATTTCTCTGAATATCTCATACAACTACAAACACTATGCACACTTGTCGTAGGTAGTATGGAAGGATTTCCTTTATAATTTTCAACAATCTCGCAATGATTAAGGAACTCTTAACTTTACCAAGTTTACTGTTGTAATTTTAGAAAAACTCGGAGAAATAAGATTTTTAGTTAGTGAATAGTGAGCCTTTTTCCTTTCCACAACCAAAGGGCCCAAATAAGGGATTGATAAAGAAAGAAATAACCTCTGGTAAAAAAAGAAAAAGAAAGAAATAACCCATGCAACCGGGTCAGGATCCAATTTCACAGACAGACCCAAGCTCGACCAAATAGAATTGGACGGGCAGTTGGGGCCAAAATCAGACTGGTCAAAACGCAACTTCACAGAGAGAGAGAGAGAGAGAGAGAGACCGAGACTGAGAGAGAGAAGATGATCTCGGACGGAGTGGAAGATGAAGAGAAATGGCTGGCAGCTGGAATCGCCGGCCTTCAACAAAACGCCTTCTATATGCATCGCGCTCTGGTAACTCCAATCAATCAAATCCTTAATTATTTGCTCTCTGATTCCAGACCTTGTTTGTTCTCCCTGAAAATTGAGTGAAGCCCTTTTTTTCCGTCAGGACTCGAACAATCTCAGAGATGCCCTCAAGTATTCAGCTCAGATGCTTTCGGAACTTCGAACCTCGAAGCTTTCCCCTCACAAATACTACGAACTCTGTAAGTACTTATTCTCGTTGATCCAGTGAGGTTGAGATATTGTCTTGGCTTCGTTTTTCAGTTTGGGAAATGCTGAATGTGTGCTTAGTTTTTGGCTTGGTGATTTTGTGGTTTGGATGCCCTCAGATATGCGAGCGTTTGACGAATTGAGGAAATTGGAGATGTTCTTCAAGGAGGAGGCTCGGCGCGGTTGCTCCATTATCGATCTCTATGAGCTTGTGCAGCATGCTGGCAACATATTGCCCAGATTGTAAGTCTTAATTGTGTTAAAAACTCTACCTAATTGTTAATCTTCAGTTGCACATGTATCACTTACTTACTTAGTTTTTGGCTTCGGTAGTTCATTAAGAGTGCCCAGGATATGACCCTGTTTGTGAACTATGCTGCACATACCATCTTATTCACCTAATTAGCATTGTGGTCTTATTTCTTCCTGTAGTGTAATTCTGTTAGTTTAAAATCAGTTAACATGCTACAATTTAAAAAATTCACTAATACAATACTAAACCTTATACAAAGACCCACAATTAGCCGAAACTGCAATTGATGATTTGATCTAGTATCGATGTCTTTGTAATGTAGTTTTATACAAATGTGAGTTGGTTGATTTTTCCTTTCAGTTTGTTCCTTTGAGTGTGTTGAATTCATCTAAAGTGAAGAATAAATCATAGCTATACCATTTGCATGGCTAATATGTGAGTTTCATGATCTCTATCAGGTATCTTCTCTGTACAGTAGGATCTGTGTACATCAAATCTAAGGAGGCTCCTGCCAAGGATGTCCTGAAAGATCTCGTGGAAATGTCCAGGGGCATTCAGAATCCTGTACGTGGGCTTTTCTTAAGGAGTTACCTTTCTCAAGTGAGTAGGGATAAATTGCCTGATATTGGTTCTGAATATGAAGGGTAAGGAAACCAGATATCATTCGTTCCTATATCATTTTTCTGTGTTAGGTAAACGTGCTTGCATTTGATTCAATTTGATTTGTCGGTATTCTTAACTTATGCAGAGATGCTGACACTGTCAAGGATGCTGTTGAGTTTGTCCTCCAAAATTTCACTGAGATGAACAAACTTTGGGTGCGGATGCAGCATCAGGTTGGTTGATACTTTTATAGAGCGCTGTCATGTTTAGACATGCATGGGTACCACAATGCTTGCATGTCATGAAGGTAAAAATATGTCATGAGGGCATGCTTTCTGGTCATGCAGGTGTTGTAGTGCTTGTGAATCATTCATACTCTTAGCTGATCCTGAGTTGAGGCTTGCTATCGGGCTTTCTGGTCTGCAGGGACCTGCCCGGGAAAAGGAGAAACGGGAGAAAGAAAGGAGCGAGCTACGTGATCTTGTAATCTCAGTAACTGATAGATGGTTGATTTCTCTCCTATAATGTTGTGCACGTATGCAGTGTACGCTTACAGAAGGCTTCTCTGTTGTTCCTTTAGGTTGGTAAAAACCTGCATGTCCTCAGTCAGATAGAAGGTGTCGATCTGGAGTTATACAAGGATACAGTACTTCCGAGAGTCTTGGAGCAGGTCTGGTTGATTTTGATTTATCTTATTGGTCAATTTTTTAAAGCTTATCATGCGTGACTCTCACCTGTTAACCATAAAAGGTGGCTTCATCACTTGAATTTTTTTTTTAACAGGTTGTCAATTGTAAAGATGAGCTTGCACAGTTTTATTTAATGGATTGCATAATTCAAGTCTTCCCGGATGAGTACCACTTGCAAACTCTTGATATATTATTGGGTGCTTGCCCCCAACTTCAGGTAGCTAACATCATGTGCACAAATTGTGTGCGATCCGTATTGTTTCTGATTCATGACACATTACCAACATAGTCAGTATTTTGTTTATACTGTACTATTTCATATCTTGCATTCATAGGGTTTTTTGCACTGATCTTTTGAAACTGAAGGTTCTTTTGTCATTTGTTGTCGTCTTGGATTTTATGCACCTTCTTCATTGTAAGAGGTTTTGACATTTTGTTATGACATGTTGCACTAATTTTTAGCTGCGTGGATAGATGCATATAATTTTTCATAGGAAGAGAAGTGGAGCGTCAACTCTCCAAGAATGGATGAATGGAATGTTACATTCACGTTCTGCTTTCATTTAATAAATCAGTTAATGATTGGGCTAATAGTTTATGGGCTTCATTTGGGTATACTCTTAATTTAGAATTTTTTTTGCCTGTGTTTGAAATTTGCTTGAGAATGTTGTCAAATTATGTATATTTTGTGGATTTACATTCATCATCGTTTTTTAAACTTATTTCTCCTCTGATTGTTGGACTTTCCTTTTTATAGCCATCTGTTGATATCAAGACAGTTCTATCCCAATTAATGGAAAGGCTCTCAAATTATGCTGCTTCAAGTACAGAAGTGTTGCCTGAGTTTTTACAAGTAGAAGCTTTTTCCAAACTGAGCAACGCTATTGGAAAGGTAAAGCTTGTGTGTAGGAAGTTGGCAATTAAATACAGGGCTTGTGTTATTCTTTAATTATATTTTTTTCTTATCTACTGTCACCAAGTGGTTGCACATGGACTCCGCAAGCTTTTGTGAACTTCTTGTTCTTCTGCAGGATAAGGCGTTCGTTTTACATATAAACTGTCTTGATATTTATGTTTACGAGCATCTCTTTGTGTATTTATTTGCAGTCGTATTGATACCTAAATAATATGCCAATGCAGGTGATTGAAGCACAAGTTGACATGCCTATCATAGGTGTTGTAACTTTATATTCATCTCTTCTTAAATTCACCCTCCATGTGCACCCTGATCGACTCGATTATGCTGATCAAGTGTTGGTATGTTCCCTTTACAAACTGTTTTAACATATGCATCCTTAGATCTATCTTCTGTGTATATCCTGCTGTTTTGTAAATTGATCAATGGGTTATTTATTATGAGCACTTGTTTAGATATTGTTGTATAAAGAGGTCAGCACATATGTAATTTGTTCCTTTTTTGTTTTCTTTTCAGGGATCATTTGTTAAGAAACTCTCTGGAAAAGGGAAAATTGAAGACAGCAGGGCTACAAAACAAGTGGTTGCTCTTTTAAGTGCTCCACTTGAGAAATACAATGATATTGTCACTGCTTTGAAGCTTTCAAATTATCCACGTGTCCTAGGATTCCTTGATAGCGGAACAAATAAAGTCATGGCTACTGTTATAATTCAAAGCATTATGAAAAATACGACTCATGTTTTAACTGCTGAGAAGGTATGCCTTTACATTGTTTGCCCTTCTCTCTGAGTTTAATTCTTAATGACATTGAAAGCTACGTTTTACAGGTTGAGGCATTGTTTGAATTGATAAAAGGACTTATTGAGGATTTGGATGGAACTCCTGATGATGAGGTGATTTCTATATATGTTATTGGTCATACATTTGTTGATGATACAAAAGCTCCTCTTTAGGCTTCTACAATATTCTCCTCTGATTTTAAGCCGAGATATCCAATTATTTCTTTTGTCAATCCACACGCTTTGGATGTGAACATATCTTTTCTCTCAATTCTAGGTTGATGAAGAGGATTTCAAGGAGGAGCAAAATTCAGTTGCACGACTTATTCAAATGTTCTCTAATGATGATTCTGAAGAGATGTTCAAGGTATTTGATTTGTTGAGCATAATATTCTTGTGCCTCTTTCATATGTCTGCATAGCTTCTGTTTTTTACTCTTATGATACATGATCATCTGTTGAGGTTATCCCAATGAAAGGGATGTGTATTAATTCTTGTAGTCTTCCTGAGTTATATCCTTCTCCTTATGTTTTAATAGTTTTCTCATCTTTCTGTGCTAGTATATGGAAAATGTTACAAGAGCTACCATTTTTACATTTTGAACTGATGTGACAGTTGAGTTGTCGTGCCTTGATTTCATGCCACCCCACTTCTGCTTGTGGGATATTTGTCTTATATTGATGGAAGACATCACATTATCACTCATGGGCAATTTAGTTGGTATATAGATTATAGAAATTGTAGTAGATGCAGATTACTCTGTGTGTTGATTCTTCTTTCAAGGGATCTTACATGAATTGGAGCACCATTCATCCCTGATGTTTGCCATAATCGTTGTACTGAATTGCAGATCATATGTACTGTGAAGAAGCACATCCTTACTGGAGGACCAAAGCGTCTACCTTTTACTGTCCCTCCCCTAGTTTTCTCTTCTCTAAAGGTATCCTTCTGTCTACCTTATCATGTAACAGTTGGATGTGCTATATTTTTATGCTAGTAAGCTTTTTGCTTTTTGAGTCTATTTGTTGAAATTTCAAGAATAGGTATGGTGCAATTATTGTTGTGGCATCATAGCTTGGTCTCAAATTCTGGTTTCTGTCATTATTTTGTGGATCAATCGTATAATTCTTTGACAAGTGAGAGGTGGCTGCCCTTTCTGCCCCTCCTTTCTACTCGAGAGTAGAGTTTTGAGTAACCTGTTCTTCGTGGAATTAATGATCTGTTTCTTTTGGCCACTCTCCATCTGCATTGTATATGATTTATCTGTCTGCAGTTGGTTAGGAAATTGCAAGCCCAGGATGAGAATCCTTTTGGAGATGAAGCATCAACCACACCAAAGAAACTTTTTCAGCTCTTGACTCAGGTAAATTGTTAGTGAAAGCTTTCAGAAGGCTCGCATTTTTGTATATCCAGAAACAGTTTGAGCTTAGACCTCTGATATTTCTAGCTATGGGATAACACTTCTGGTTTATTACTTCAGATTATTGAGGCTCTGTTGAATGTTCCAGCACCTGAACTGGCATTACGGTTATACTTGCAATGTGCGGAGGTACATTGAAATGTTTGGTTTATAAATAAAGTGGACGACCTAACTAATGTTATCCCTAATTGAAATGCCTCTTATTTTTCATCAATTAGGCTGCAAATGACTGTGATTTGGAACCTGTTGCATATGAATTCTTCACCCAAGCATATATTCTTTACGAAGAAGAAATTTCAGTAAGTTTCCCCCTTTTGCTTGGGAGCTAATCCTATTTGGCAGCGTTATACCTTGTTCCATTTGTTTTTCAATGGAACACTGGATTGTATCTTCTCTTTCCTTTTTGAACACTGAATTATATCTAATCTGTCTTGTTTGCAATTTTGCTTTAATAGGATTCAAAAGCACAGGTGACTGCAATTCATTTGATTATTGGGACTCTCCAGAGGATGCATGTATTTGGTGTTGAGAACAGGGATACTTTAACTCACAAAGCCACAGGGGTAATCCAAATTTCATTAGCTCTAGATCTGTCTGTCCTTTTCTTCCGAAAATCTATCTTAATGCGTCTTCTTTGATCAGTATTCGGCGAAGCTTTTAAAGAAGCCTGATCAGTGCCGAGCTGTTTATGCTTGCTCGCATCTCTTCTGGGTTGATGATCAAGAAAACATGAAGGATGGAGAAAGGTGTTTGTCTCTCTCTCTTCATTTCGACTGTTGGAGTGCTTTTTATCTCTTCCTTTTTTAAGCTTGAACACTTAAAAGATAATAAGTACTAGATTATCACTATCATTTATTTGGGTGTCTGAAGGACATTTAGGAGTTAAAATGGAAAAAGATGGGAAGTGAAGGGATGATTTCCAATTATAAAAATCTTACTGGAGCCATTCCTGGTTTATACTATGAAAATGCCCTTTCCCTTGTTTGGTTATAATTCATTTCGTCATCTCTTGTACAAAATTTCTATCCAGGGTACTGATTTGCCTAAAGCGAGCTTTAAGAATCGCAAATGCTGCCCAACAGATGTCCAATGCAACTCGGGGTAGCACCGGCTCAGTGGCGCTCTTTGTTGAAATACTGAACAAGTAATAGTTACTGAAGGGATTGTACCAAGCCTCATTTCTGTATCTTCTATTATACTAGTGAAAGAGAAGGCCTTACTTTATATTGTTTTCAGGTACCTTTATTTCTTGGAGAAGGGGAACCCACAGATAACTGTTGATTCAGTCCAAAGCCTGATTGAATTGATCACAACTGAACTGCATAGCGACTCGACCTCACCAGAGCCGGCTACAGATGCTTTCTTTGCCAGCACACTGCGGTACATCCAGTTCCAGAAGCAGAAAGGTGGCGCAGTTGGTGAAAGATACGAGTCCATCAAGGTGTGACCTGCTCAACGACCAGATGCCGAAGAATATTTGTTATTAATGTGAGAACTGCAGATAAGTAAACCCTTGGTGTGGAGGCTGCGAACTGATTTCCTTCTTTTTGACTGTTTTGTTTCGTTGAGACCCGAGAGAATCAGATTGTATGCTTTGTCCCTGATGTTGAATTGGCTCCCATGGCTACTAGACCAGTGGGGTCCACTCCAGTGGGTCCAATAGGATATTTACTCTGGTTCAATGGTCATTCGTCTAGGAAGTCTCTTTGTATACTGATTTCGTTACTACAATAGTACAATGTACAACATATATTTGATTAGCCAGCCCTACGTTATTTTTACTCGACTTAGATTAGAGCAGACCCAATCACATCTCTCTTTTATGTGTTCTATCTCTTACAATGAGTATACTTATTCACGACCTTTTTTTTCTTCTTCAATTTAAAGTTCGTTGGCCTTGTTTTTCCAGTATGATTCGTGCAGTTGTTTCTTGTAAAGATTGAACAACAAAGGTGATTTCTGATTGAGTGCCGAAGACGACTCCCTAAACTTTTTTTTCTTCCTTTTTTCTTATTTATAGTTTGGACTTTCAAACTCCTCCTCCTTCCTCTCCCACTTCGCTCTCTCCACTCATTAGATCAATGGTTGCAGCGTTGCCATGGAACCATGGTGGGAATGTTGCAGGGTCATGACCAATTGGACCATGGCTTTGGTTCATGAGGGTTGGGAGGTCTTATAAGTTATGCCATTCCCATCCCGGCCGAGTTCCTTGACATTGGGCAATGACATAATGGAAAGCTAATTTTGATGTTATGAGCTCGAATTTACTTGTTTTTAATTGCTCTTTTGGTGGTTTGTTCCTTCTTTTTTGTTTAATATTTGAAAGTATGAACTTTACCGCCTATCTTTTTTCCCTACTTGTTAATCTCCAAAATAATCACTTATATATATATATATATATATATTGTCTTACAATTGGTCCCCTAGAGTGAGGACACCCTGATGCATGCCTAAAGTCATCAGCTGCTCAAACTAGGTCATGGTGGTTTCAATAAAGAAGAAAAATCATATCTTATATTCCCATCCTAGCCGCCAATCTAGCACATGTTGCTTGTGTTAAAATCAGTTTACAATTATCCTATCTGATGAACAGATCCCTCTCTAGCATTGGTCCCTCCCCAACTCACCAATAAACTTATTAATCTATAATCTCATTCAGGACTATGTTTTGTATAAGAGGCAAACCACAAAAGTTAAAAAACCAAAACTGAAAAGACCCACAAGCCTTAAAGCACAAGAGATAGTAATAAATATAACTGTGTCCATGCAAAACAAGGTCGATTTCCTAACTGGGAGTCCAGTCTATTAATACATATAAGAAATCAAAACCGGAGTTGAGAAAAAGTTGCCAACCATACAATTCAACAGTAAGAGATCACAACAATTCCAAGAATGCAACACCAAAACCACCTGATGCTTCACAGAGAACCATAGGATTGTCAAACAGGACAACTTACTGACTCCAACTTCTTCGGGACAAAAGGGAAAAATATTAGGGGAGAAAGGGGTGGGAGGGAGGGAATACAGGCAGATTGGCTGGTCATTATCTCTTTACACATATTTCCAATCACAATATGGAGCATGCCTTCTGCCCTTTGCCTTTCTTTTTCTTCTGCTTCGGAGGTTGAAGGACAACCCTTATTGCTGCATCGAAGACCCCTTTCACATTCTGCAGTTTGCAAGCTCAAATTTATAAATGAAAGTCCAGGCATGAAAAAGACCCCCAAGCATTATGCAATAGATAATCTAAATACCTGCTGTGTTTTTGAACTGCATTCGATATATGCTGGTGCTCCAATTAGCTTCCTGAGCTCCTCTCCCTAGAAGGGTAAAGATATAAATCTCAAATATGAGAGTGAGAGAGAAAAAAAAAGTGCAACACTGGGCAATACACAAGACAAGAACATTACTTGAGCTGTAGTAATTGGCACAGCACCCGGATGGTCAATAAAGAACTGCTTATCGTCCCGAAGATCTGGCTCATTAAATTTTATGACAAAAAGAAAAGTAAGAAGTGTCCTCAATAAAGATAATCCACAGTTAGAACGACCATTAATTAGAAAACCCTCAATGTGGCCAATAGCCCATCCCAAGATTTATCTCAAGTTGAGGAAAAAAAAAGTATATTTCCAAAGTAACGGCAACTTTTTCTCCATAAGTACAGGGAATTCACATTAGAAAAGATAAACTTTTACCAAGCTTTGTTCCAACAAGAATGATCGGAACACCGGGTGCATAATGCTTCAATTCTGGGATCCACTGGAAGTGAAATCAATATATTTCAATTCGTCAACACATCATCAATTGTAAAGTCAAAAGACAATAATTATTAGCATATTATTATGTTACTCTTATGAAAGTGGTATCAGTGCTCAGACAAAAGCTGCCAGAATCTTAAATAGCATAATCTCACCTTCTTGGACACGTTTTCATAGCTCGCCTTGCTGATGAGAGAGAACGCCAGTATGAAAACATCAGCACCGCGATAACTCAAAGGTCTTAATCTATTATAGTCCTCCTGTCCTGTTGCACAGAAAACAAATTCAGACCCACAGAAAACAAATTCAGTCATACCATCCCTACTAAACAAAAACCAAAGTGATTATGCATATTTACCAGCTGTATCCCATAACCCCAGGTTAACAGTGCTTCCATTGACGACCACGTTTGCACTGAAATTGTCGAAAACAGTTGGCACGTAATCCTGTTTCCCACCACAGTGCAAGGAAAGTCATTAACCATACAACATTATGAATAATTCTCTCATTCAAACTTAACAGTATGAAATTACAAACATTACAAAAAAGTTTGCAAGTTAAGACACTCTAGGGAGAAAGAAATTGAAAATATAAGATCAAATAACATCTTAGAGGTGAAATGGCTGTTGCAAAATGCCAAAAATCTGAAAGAGCTCCTATCAAACACCTTCATTACAAATACATTACGGGCATGTGTGAAATTAAATTAACTGCAGAAAAGATCCAAAATGACATTAAAATCCACTAACTAATGAAATAAACCACTATTTTCCAACCCTTCTGAAGATTCAAAATGGAGATAGAACTCTCGAGCCTTTCTCCCTAAAAAAAAAAAAGGCAATTTGGACAAAAATTAATACAATTCCAAATATCTTTTCCCAATGTTTTCCTAAACCAATCCAGTCACGTCAATAAGATTGAGCTAAGGAAATAACATAAAGTCCACCAGCCTCCAATTGGTCCTAGCTAAGAGCAGAAACAAAAAGAACAATAAAGAAAACACATTCAATTTTCAAAGGAAGCTAATTTGAAAAAAATTCTTGCATCGAAAGGAAAAAGTCACCAATAATTCTTTGCATTTGACCTAAACTTCCCCAGGACCAAACAAAACCCAATTAAAAGCAATAAATGAATTACCAAATACACTCCACGTATCACAACAATAGAACCCTAAAATCAAATGCCAGATAAGGAAATTGAATTAAAGCACTGAGAAGGAAAAATAAAATCAAACAACGAATTGGGGGGTCTCCACTTACGGTGGGGAAGGTGTTGCTGGTGTAGGAGATAAGCAGACAAGTCTTGCCCACAGCCCCGTCCCCAACCGTGACGCACTTTATGAACCTGGACGCGCTCATTTTGCGATTTTCGCTCTCACTTTCTCAAACAGCAAAGAAAGAAAGAAAAACCCAAGCCCCAGATCTTCAACCTGAGGACCCGATCTTCTTCTTCTTCTCCTTCCTCCTCTTCAATCACACATCTGTAAGGATCGAAATCCGGACGAATCTCAGCGAAACCCTAACCCTAATTTGACCAAATGGGGGACGAGGGAAAATTGAGAGAGAAAGAGAGAAAGAGAAAAAGATTGGGGGATTTCGAAAGAGGGGAAAATGAAAAGAGAAAAATGGGCGAGGTGTGGTTGGGGTTTGGAGTTGGAGATCAAAGAAAGAGAAAAGAGGAGGCGAGAGAACAAAAATGGCTCCTTTTTTTTGGCCGCGAATTTTTTTTTGCCGTTGAAGCGTTCGTTGGGCAACAACCCAACAATTTGTGTGAGCCTCCCTCTCTTACTCTCTCACTCTACTTTTCTGTTTTTTTCTTTCAATTTTGAGTTTTTCTTTTTCTTTTTTAACGCGTTAATCGCGAGGAAGTTCGATCCGGTTTGTTTCTGGATATCGGATCTTGACTCTCTCGGGCCGGATTTTGGTGGTGCTGTTTCGGGGGTGGAGTGGAAGGGATAATATGCTATTTCAGTCTTGGTTGGTTGTTTGTGGTGTTTTCACTGGATGACAAAAATGGATTTTATTTCAACGTTAAATCTTCTGTGTGTGATTTAAATTTTTATCCTTTTTAATTCGAAATCGTCTCCCGATTTAAGGTAATATTGGAATGGTTGGTTCTGTCACGCGTAATTATCGGGCAATTTCTATTTATATTCAAAGTATTAGAGAGTTTGACGTGTTATGTTGTTTGTGAAGTGTTAGTATGAACCATTGATTAATAATTCTTATTTTAGTGTGTATTCTAAATACATACAGTATGACAATAATGTAACACGTCATATATCTACTAAGAAAACGTTACTTGTTTTATATTATTGATTAGCTTAGGAGGAACACTAGAGGTAGGTTGTAATGTGTGTGCTTTAAAACCTAATGCACTTAAAAGAGTTTTTAGAGTCTAATGATGTACTATAGTTTAGTATAAATCCTAAGGAGATAAGAGTGCTTTCCCAAGTAGTCCTTCGTTGTTGACCCAAACAAAATAAGGGAGTAGCCAAACCTAATAGCATGAGTTTGTAACTAAACAAGACATTAAAGTGATTAGTTGCTATGGAAACCTTTCCAAGTGAGGCATACAACGGTCCTGGATTGTTCACCTTGGCATTGGTGGGTGAAGTAGCATAAAGCACACCCCCTACCCTCGAGGTTGGTAGGGTTTCCCAACCACAAAGATTGGGTAGCAACCAAACAGAAAAAGAAAAGAAAAGGGAGTAGTCCTCTGCTTGTAGGAAAACACAACTCATTTTAGGGATGGGATGAAGTTTTTCTTTTTAAGCAAATTCGTCATGTACTAAATTGTATTAGTTGATATCTTAGGCAGTAATCAACTGCCTAATTGATGATTAATTAGTTTTTTTTAAAAGATAGGACATGGGGTACAATTACAATTAACTCATATTTCTGACCAGAGAATTGTTTTAAAAGTGGGGCAACTAGTCTTCCTACCATACCAACAACCTTTGCTTGCCAATCAATGGTGACAGCAGAGGTGGTTGGAACTTGAAGAGTATGTTTCACATGACAACAACAACAGCAGCAACAACAACCTCATCCAGTCTCAAATACAAGAGAATTCCACGACTATATATGATAATTTCTTCAAGTACAAGACAGGTAGCCTAAGATTATGGAGGGAAAAAAAAACCCTTATGCTTTTGGTAATTTTCTTTTTAATTTTTGTTAAATATATTTTACCCAAGTTTCATTTGCCAACTGATGCATTAACAAGAGCAGAAACAGTAAGTATAAGGGTAACTGAAGTTGACATCAAATCTAAGGACAGCTTGGCAGAAGATCTTTTTCCAAGCTGTGTCCTCCCCATTATGGAACAGTTGCATTCCCCCGCCTTGGAAAGTATATTGCAGAACTTTTTTTATTTGTGGAATAAAATTGCAAGGCTGGAGAGAGAGAACAAAAACTAATCATATATATGCTGGGAAGGAAGGAGGTATTAAAAAAATGCAATGCCCATGGCTAAAACCCACATTCACAATGAGCTGCTTTAAGCATCCAAGTGACTTGAGCTCTTAGGTAGAAATTAACTGGACAGCACACATGCGCTGGGCTCTTGAATAAAAGTTGCCCGGAGTCATCCACTGATCATGCCCACGCATGATTGTTCCTCCATCCGAGCAGCAAATGCGATGGGCTCACAAAAAAAATTTGGCATGGGCTAATCAAAATTTGGCCTCATTTTTTTTTGGGTCAATGACTAGAGTTGGTATCTAACTTTTTACTCATTTTAAGGGCTACATTTGGCCTATAGCCTATGACTAGAGATGGCCTAAGGTGAAAAAGGAAAAATTACAGCGTTAAGTGGAAAGAGAAACACCCGTCATTTTCAAATTTCAGTTAGCAACCTGGTCAGCTGAAGTAAAATAGATCATGAACACAATGACACACAAATTATACAACCAAAGATCCGAGATTTTCGACACCTAATTTGACACTTTCTTGCACATCATTTTCACTTATATTCAGCACATTAGCAGTACCGTGAAATACTCCGAAACATTTTCCAGTAAGTTTCCATCTTTCTCTAACCTTTGTCTTCAGGAACACTCATGAGGCAATGCAGGACCGGTGACTGCTGGAGAGAAGAGGAAGAATGCTTTATTTGCTTCTCAAGGTAGTTTCCCACAGGTTTCATTTTATCACAGGTTTGATGTGTTAGACAATGCTAGCTCCTTGTGTGTTTATGACTTATAAGCATGCGGATCGGAGGTTAAAAAGTAAAATCAAAACATGAAGGAATGAAAATTTGTTGGAACTAGAAAAGCATGTGCATATTTTATTCGAGATATCCACAATCGAATAAGCATTGAAACAACATGATTTCCCAGAATTGAATATATTGTAAATGCAACAATTTATAACATTACACCTCGCCAAAGGCTCTTGCCAATAAATTAAAGGGAAGCCTGGGGCCATCTAAAATACAAAATGCAGGTTCAGAACATGCGCGCATTTGGTACAACATCAACTACACGATGACGATTCAGGACTTGCAAAATGCGTTGAGTGTTTCGTCCAGGGCCTTTCTATCATAATCACCTGTGAAAACACAATTGCCCAAAGGACCTTTCAGAAGGATGAGCCTTAGTAACCCATCAGCTACCTTCTTATCAACCTGCCATACCAAAAGAAGACAGATACATTAAGAAATAAGCAAAGAAGTTATTCAGCTGCTTCAGTAATCTTACAGCCTCATCCTCTTACCGCCATTACAGATCTGAACATCTCCACCGTCACGGATTCAGGAGGGGCAATAGGTAGCTTGAACTGCTTGATAATGTTGTTAGCTCGCTTCACAAGTGATTCATCGATCCAACCAAGGCGGTATGACATGTCAACAGCCATAACCTAAACATATCACACAAGCTCTTTGAACATTGAGGAATGCTTTTGTGAGGGAGCCAACAACAAAGAAATGAAAAAGTAGAGGGTGATTACCGTGCCAGCTGCAACAGCTTCCCCATGGAGCCACTGCCCATAGCCGACCCCAGTTTCTATTGCCTGAATGGACATGGCAGAACATGCAAAAGATTTAATTAGATAGACCATGTAGCAGAGTATTCCAAAATATAACAAAAGGAGAAGATCACATAATAATACAAATGCTCGCAAAACTTTCACAAAATAAAAAGAAATTAGCCTGGACAATCAAGTGTTCAAAACCAAAACTCACATGGCCAAATGTATGACCCAAATTCAGTGTAGCCCTCAGTCCACTTTCCTTCTCATCCAAGGACACAACCTCAGCCTTGTTTTCACATGAGCGCTTTATAGCATAAGCCAATGCCCCTGGATCCCTGCAATGCACCAACTATACTCATCAACATAACTAATCTAAAATGCATCCTTTGCACGAACAATTAGTCATGAAACTTCAACAGACTAGAAAAGAAAAAATGGCTAGACTATACATATTGTTAAAGGCTTAAAGTCAAAAGCACTAGCTCTGACAAATTATTCTCTTGGTTTCATGTCCTGTGACATTTTTCATCTCAAATAGACCACAAATCATGAGAAATATGCAACACGGTACTGGGTCTGGAAACTTTTTCAGTGTTCCTTAGTGTGAATTTTATACCTCGACATTAAAGCCTGAATATTCCTCTCCTGCCATTCAAAGAATTCTGCATCCCTAATCAGCCCGTACTTGATGACCTCAGCAAACCCTGATGCCAGTTCCCTCTCTGGCAACGTGTTTAGTGTGTCTGTGTCTATAAGCACACATTGGGGTTGGTAAAAAGCACCAATCAAGTTCTTCCCAAGAGGGTGGTTTATACCAGTTTTCCCCCCAACAGAAGAATCAACCTGCAAGTCGACCAACATAAAAATTTGATGCATGAGAAATTCTGAGATAAGTGCATGATTCATAAAAAGGAAAGAAGTAGCTAGTGACAGACCTGTGCCATAACAGTTGTTGGAATCTGAATGAAATTAACACCCCGAAGGAAAGCAGCAGCAGCAAAGCCACACATGTCACCAATCACACCACCTCCAAGGGCAACAAATGTACATCTTCGGTCCAGTCTTGACTCAATAGCCTTGTCAAAAACTTTCATAAGAGTATCCTACCAGTTCAAAGAACACAGTTACTCATAATGCAACTGCCAAAAATACCACCTTATAGACTAAACTTCAAACAAGCATTTGGACACCTACCATGTTCTTATATTTCTCACCATCTGGTAAAATCACGCTCTCAACCGACACATTTGGGTTATCTCTTGTCAAAGCATCAACAACTTTATCCAAGTACAATGGCCCAACTGTGTTGTTAGTGACCACAAGAACCTTCTTTCCATGAACATGCCTATATTAAATTAATAATCAACTATAAGCACCTGGGTATCCACGAAACCAAAAGAATTAAAAACGCTTACTTTCAAAGAAAAACAAAAGCTTGCCCTTTTACTAAAGCCAATCACTCATGTAAAAATATTAAAAGTTCAAATCTTAATTTCTCACTTCGTATATATTTCTCTCAGCAAATTTAAAGCGTCAGCATTAAGGGATGATAGAACCAGCATTTCTCCGAAAACTTACCATCATAGAAAGCTGCAAGCTTGCCCTGTTACTAAATCCAATCACTCCAAGTACAATTTTTTAAATTCACTAGTTTGATTTTTCATTTTCTTATACATTTCTCTCAGAAACTGAAAACATTACGAGTTCACATAATCAATCTCAACAGAATTTTAATACACACGACCTACAAAATGTCAAATTATGAGCATTTAAAACTTTTAATAGCAAGCTAAGAATCGAAACCTCTGAAGAAGTTCGGGTTGATCGAGAAGTCCGGATCCGATGTAAATTGGGTAGCTCCGATTACCCAAATCGACGTCCACAATGGTGGGAACCACAGGACCCGTTTTACTCGGCGGTTGATCAACCACCTGCGCCGAACTCGCCATAATCCTCGACGTCGATCTCACTCGACTCGCTCTCAACGCCGAGTTCCCGCGCCGAGTGAACTCAACGGCGCTCTGCGAAACGAACGAAGACCGCAGAGAAGCGGCTTTAGAGCTCTGAACCCGAAGAGATAGCTCGGCCGAGTTGTTGGGCGTGAAGACAGTAGCTTTCAGGGTCGGCTTGGAAGAGATGGAGATAGAGAATGGGTTGGCCGTGGAAGCCATGGACTCGGGTGGGGGTTTGGGTTGGGTGGAGATAGAGGAGAGGGTGGTGATTTTGCGTCTGGTTCTGGTGTGATAAATAAGTGGGGCATTGTGCTGTGCTGAAGAAGGAAGCAGATGTATTGTGGCGGGGTAGGTGAGTGGGAGGGAGAGATTGATTGGAGGGCGCCACGAGATGGACCGACCAGTAGCAGTAGGTCCGATTCGAGGAGTTCGCGATATGGACACTACTTATCGTGAGAAATTAAAAAATTTCGTGATAAAAACAACTTTGGTCATTTTAAAAATAGTATTTTTGCACAATTGTAGATTACATCAATTGGTTAATATCTTGTAAATAAAAAATAAAAAAAATTTGCTTTTCATTTGATATAATTTTCTCTTTTATGACGTAATTTGATGTCTGTCGATTAAGAACAACTTTGATCAATTTTAGAATGTGAAATCACCAAAGAGTTAAAACCTGATACAATATCTAAACGAGAAACATGTGCCACTCTCAAACAAAATGAGAAGCAAAAATGTATCATCTATTAAAAATAAATAAATAAATAAAAAATATTATTGAATTTGGACCATTGCATTGCATCACCCTTTTTATCAAATGACATTTGGATGAAACAAAATGAAACCATAAGTTTGTTTGTTTGTTTTTTTTAGTATAAGCGATAGTCTAAATTACATGAGATGAGATTTTTCAAAAACACACAATTATGATATCGTGGGGATTTGAACTTCAAATCTTTAGCAAGTTAAGGCCCTTTTTCATTGGGATGGACCTCTTTGATAATTTTTATTTTATTTTTAGGGTTAACAATATAAAACCCCCTAAACTTTGGGAGTAATTTCAAATTCATACCCAAACTTTAAAATCTTGCAAAACAATACATGAAGTCACATAAAACATACAAATCCTCTGTTAGTAGGAGTGTTAGTAACTCTGTTAAATGTTGACGTGCAAAAATAAAGACCAATCTTTAGATGAAGTGGACTCCATTTTTATGTAAAACATTTACAACTCGAAAGTCGACGTGGCAAATTGAGGGTTTAGAAAATAACTAAATTAAGGTTCGTATTTGGGAGTTGGGCTTAGAAAAAGACCAACCTTTTACTTTTGCCGAGGCAATCGGCCCACTACGATGAGACAAAGAGTCCGAAAACCTCACAGGCCCACTATGATTATAAATTTCTAATCAATGAATCTAACGGCTCCGAGCGTAGACTTACGAATTTGCTACTAAAAGTCGATGCACCAGAGCATTACCCCATTGGCTTCTCCTCGACGCCTTACCATTCTCACAGTACAAAATGTGACAAAACCCCGCGAATTTTCGAACCCGCGAAACCAAACCTCTCTTCACTGCCAGTGCCACTCCACCCAAAATCTGGCATTTCAAGCTTTATTTTTGTTCACTCTGTTTCATTTCACATTCAAAACGCACCGTTTAGGCTCCGAAGTACTTCGAAATCTTCTTTCTTCAACGATTTAGGGTTGTGCATCTTCTCGAGCTATGGAGCTACGAGCTGGAGGGATCATCGTCTGCACAAAACCCTAGGAAATTGAGTTTTTTGTTGTCTTTGTGATGGCGAAGAGGAACACTGTGGTGGTCTTGTCATCGGACGAAGAAGATAGAGATCGTTCATCGAGCGCCAATCGGAGATATACACCGACCAAATTGACCTCTACGGTTCCGCGCACAAACCCTAGGCGATCCAAAAGGGCTCGTGTTTCGAGTTCTCGCGCTAGATTGGGCACAGTACCAAGTAATTGGGATGAGGTAATTTGTAAATTTCTTGGTTGTTTAGTATCTATAAACTTAATCGAATATGCAGCCTACCACAGTAGAGATAAGTTTTATGCAATTTAAGCGAAATGGTTTTTTTATGCAGGTCAAGCTGTTCTGTGAAGATTTTGACGAAGTGTTTAGTGGGTTCAAAGGTATCTGCTGGTACGCCATTGATGTAACTATGGTTATTGTTCTTCATGTGCTGGTTTCCTTTTTGTTTACACTCAACACTGGTTTCATTGCTTCCATTTGCCTCTGTACTGACAAATTTTGATTTCTGTTGGTATTTTATCGTGTGCTATTATGGTTACAATTTACAACTGATACAATAAAATTGGCCACAGCTAATATTACTGATTCTTGAAGTGGGTAATACCTATAATAATTGTGGAAGCATGAATCAGGTTCTGGAAGAAGCAACGTGAAGGAGTTATGGGTCGATAAATACAAACCCCGTTCTTTTGAGGAGCTCGCTGTTCACAAGAAGAAGGTTGAGTTTATTGGCTTCGTTTTGTAAATAATGAATATCTGATTACCAGATTGATCCTCTTTCTTATTCCATCTTTGTCTTTGTAATTGCAGGTGGAAGAAGTTAAGTTGTGGTTTGAAGAAAGATTAACAAGTTCAAAGGTTATTATATTTTTCATTGATCCTTTCCTTCAAAAGACTATCAGCAAGTCCAATTTTACTTGAAAAATGATTCCTTTAATTAGTAGACATCTTTGATTACTTTTCCAATATTGATTACAACTATGGAGTTTTATTTCTTCCTGTTCTTGATTCATTTTTCACAATTTCTGTTCTTTTCTGTTTTAATTGGATTTCATTATTGTGGATCTCAATTTTTTTTTTCTCTCATAATGTACAGGGTTCATCTAGTAATCATGTCCTTGTCATCACTGGGCAAGCTGGTGTTGGAAAATCCGTATGTGTCATAGTTTCATTCATTTATTTATTCTTGAGATCTTTTGTTCAGTTGCTTTGTTAGTTTCATGGATTTCCGTTCTTCAAAGTATGCAAAAGAATTCTTGTGTCATCCTTTCCAACATTTAAGTTTAAAACAAAACTTCCCCAAGAATTTGATTAATAGGCTTATGAGCTGCATGATTAATATTATTTTTCTCAAGTGATTGACTTGCTGCTTCAGATAATTTATGTGATGGGCTATTTATTATATTTTTAAAAATTTGCTTCTTGAATGAACTCTGCTAATAGAATCAAACATTTGACTAAAAGTTCTGCTTCTTCTCATCTTGTAGGCAACTATTCATGCAATTGCATCTCACCTTGGAGCCACATTGTGTGAATGGAACACACCAACTCCTGTAGTTTGGCAAGAACATTTATACAACTCCAGTGCAGGTACTTTGAGTAATTCTTAATCATGCAGCCAAGGGTTTGTTAAATAGAGTGGAGTTTAAATTTCATGACTTTGCAGTTGAGTATTCTCAAATTGAAATCTAACTTTACCATCAGTATTTTTGCAAAAAATAAAAGATAAAATGAAAACAAATTGAAATGTAAGGCAAGAGGAAAAACCTAGCTTCAAAATTACAATACATAAAATCTCCATAAAGGATTTGAATTTGAATTGATCTAATGGAGACTATGCTGTTGTTGGCATATACCAATCTGCTACTAGGAATACGCTACATGTCAAAGTTGGATGAATTTGAAAATTTTGTGGAGAGAATAAGGAAGTATGGATTGATCCCATCATCCCTTAATGAGGGTTCAAAATCATCAATCATACTCTTAATTGATGACCTTCCGGTGACAAATGGTAGAGTTGCTTTTGGAAGACTTCAAAATTGTTTGCATCTTCTTGTGCAATCTACTCGGATACCAACTGCTATATTGATCACCAACTATGGTAAAGCCGATTCAGCAGATCACTCCACTGGATACTTAGAAGAACTTCAGTTGTCTCTTGAAAATGTTGGGGCTTGTAAGGTTACCTTTCTTGGACAATTTCTTTTTCTTTTTTTAATTTTTAAGGTTATTATTGAATGCTTACTTTTTATAATGATTTTGGAAACTGTCAGGTCTCCTTCAATCCTATAACAGATAATTCCATCAAGAAAGTACTTTCTAGAATATGTAAAGAAGAGCAGTGTAATGTGACTACTGAACAAGTCAGTCTAATAGCAAAAGCAAGTGGAGGTGACATTAGACATGCAATTACATCTCTGCAGTTTTTCTTTCTGAAACCAAATCCGAGGCATTTGTTGTCTTCATCAAGTCCTGCTACCACATCTGCTAAAGAGAAACCATATGAGGTAAATGCTTTGGACGATGGGTTTTCCTTCCAATTTGGCAGAGATGATACACTTTCTCTATTCCATGCCCTTGGGAAGTTTCTGCATAACAAAAGAGAGACGGAAAATGTCATGGCATTGGGTATGTTCTGATGAAAGTAGTATGCTGCTTTGACTTTTTATTTTAGTCAGTTTTTTGGTGCATGCATATTGTTAAATGTTTTTCCCCGTTTAAATTCTCAAGAATATATCACTCGAAAGTTGGGAACAACATAATCCCTTATATATATATATATATATATGTATTATACATACACACATATATACAATCGTTCAAGTGTGGATACCAACCTGAGGGTTTAATTTCACTTGAGATGTTCACATCTGTGCTCATGTTCTTGTTTTGTAGACGGAGATGCATTTCATGTGCGGGAAGGATTGTCTAGACTACCACTAAAAATGGACGCTCCAGAAAAGATTCTATGCCAAGCACATGGACAAGCTAGGCCTGTTGCCGACTTTCTACATGAAAATGGTGACCTTTTTTACCTATAAATTGTGACTTCCTGAATGTAATCACAATTACTCTTTCTCATACATGGATGCAAAGTGCATGCACACACGCATACACATGTGAGACAGAGAGCAAAATGGTAGCATATTGATGCTGCTGATTTCTGACTCTTCCACCCAATTTTCTTGCAGTTTTAGATTTTCTGAGTGAGGAGGCCATAGATGATGCGTGGGCAGTTGCTTCATATTTAGGTGATGCTGACTTGCTTCTTGCTACTTTCCGTGGAATGCTAAGTAGACAGTATGAGGCAGAGAACATTCTACAATCAGCTGGTGCTTCAGTTGCTGCTCGGGGTGTGCTATTTGGAAATTTTCATCCATTGCCTTCCAGGTATTCTCTATATACTTGAATTAATCCTAATGTGTGAGCAACGACTCATGTAATTTCAGATAATATCACCAATTGTTGCAAGTACACAGGTGGCATGCCGTTCGCCGGCCAAAGGTCTGGCAGGTTGAGCAATCATCATTGCGTAACAAGGTTGGTTTTGAATTTAAATTGCATAATTTTCCATTGCGTGCTGGTCTATGTCATATTTCGAACTTAATGAAATAAATGATATGGTTGGTAGTACTAGGTCTTTATAGATGATTGATGTGGTTATGTATAATATTCATGTCAGTCACTTTATTGGCTTAAACCACCATAGTACTTACTCTGCTGTTTGTGACGTTTCTTTTTGATGTGCCATTGCAGAAGGAGATGGTAAAACGGAGATTTGGCGCTTATAGTGGAATGTGTGCATCCGATTTGACAGTTATTGCTACTGAGTACACACCTGTGTTGAAATGGCTTGGATTTAGGGCAGTGCAAGGCTACAAGGAAGAAGACAATGTTGAAACGATAAGTTTTGACGGTCAAGAAACTGAAATTTCTGATGATGAAATAGAAGAATGGTAAGACATAGGGAGTACTTGAGAAGCAAAACTTAGTTTAGATTGGCGTGTTCCTGTAAACTAGTTCCTAGAAAGTAATCATTAATTTTTTATTTTTTTTTGTGGGTAATGTTAAAAAAAAATTCTGGTACCGAATGAAAGTTGTACAACCTTTTGTGGTCAATGCCAGATTTGGAAATCCGAGTTCTTTGTACAGTTGCTAGTGGAAGTTTTGTCATATAAAGAGCTAGCTCTAGCCTTCTTAGGAGCTGATTAAGTGCTTATAAAAACCACTATCTTGAGAATTGTTTTTCGTTTTTGTTTTTTGATTCTCTTGAGAAATTTCTTGTTATCAGAAGAACAAATGAAACTTAAAAATATACTTGAGAAATAATAAAAATGCAAATTTTATCTCCAACATAATAATATGATCTGGTGTAAGAAAATATAAATTCAAATATAACTACGGACTGAAAAGTCAATGTCAAAACTTGAAATTATAAATTTTATCTCCTAATTCTCTTTATTGTTACTATGGACTGTATGTAACGTCAATGGTAATTGAATAAATTTTTATTTACCCCTTACTCAAGATGACTAAAAAGTAAATATGATCACTATTAAAAAAATGTAAATAAATATGATTGAACAAAAAAAAGTAACACAGAAAAATCTTCGCTAAAAAGACAAAAGCAAACAAAAAAAAGTCTTTGACATCTAATTCCGACTTATAGCAAAATTACTCTTCTCTCCTGAACACACGAAGGCAAAGCGAGAAATTTTTTAACTTTTTTTTTTTTTGGGACTGAGAGAGAGCCTTGTTTGGGAGCACGAAATTGTTCGCCGGAAAAACGCAGTTCTTAAACTCCGAGGAAATCGGCGATTCTTCCGCTTTTTTTTGTCTTCAGACTCTCCCTCTACTTTCTCCTCCTCCGCCTCATCATCATTATTGGGTATATATTGTTCGCCGGAAAAACGCAGTTCTTAAACTCGGAGGAAATCGGCGATTCTTCCGCTTTTTTTTGTCTTCAGACTCTCCCTCTACTTTCTCCTCCTCCGCCTCATCATCATTATTGGGTATATAGACTCCTTAATAATATAGCAGCAGTTCATTCCTCAACGGAGAGTTGGGGCTTCTTCAAAGGTACCTCTCTCTCTCTCTCTCCACTCATTTAGGGTTTATTCTTGGTTCAGCTTATTTTAACACTTTCAATATTTTAATTTTGAAGTATGAATAATTTGAAATTATTTTTGCACTTAATTTTTCAGTTAATATGTATTTTATTTGGTGAAAATTGCATCAGGGAAAACTATTGTCTTAATTGTAGAAGTTTTATCAATTGAGGTTGTATTGTATTTTGCATGTTGTTTGTCACCCGTACTCAAAGTCAAGCGGATGCATGATTATCCCAGGTGGGTCTGCATTTTGATGTAAAAATTGTAATGGGAATGTTCTGAAATGACTTCTTGAATAGAAGTGGGGTTATAAGAAGAAATGGGTTGCCATCAGAATCTGTGCCACTGAGATTTGTCATCAGTCATCCCCTGGAAATGTAGAATTTGTTCTCATAAAAAGGTGGTTCATTTAAGTCAGTTCAGACTTCAGAACATGATAATTTTGACTTCTTTGAGCTTGTTAGTCAACTCATTTGTTGCTTTTTTGTCTATGTAAAGTTGACACAATTGCAAAATGTAGGGCAATATTCATTCTTTGGCATTAGTTGTTTGGGCTTATACCTGCCTTCTAGTTGAATCATGTTTTGTGATTTCAGATGGCAAACCGTCCTACTCGGACGCGGGGACTAACACTTCAGCATCAGCAGCAACAGTCAAGGGCTAGGTGGACAACACCTCTTACTGAAATACTTGTAAACTTAATGGTGGATCAAGTACACAAAGGGAACAGAAAAAATCATAATTTTGGCAAGAAAGCATGGAAGTATATGTGTGATGAGTTCCATAAGAGAACAGGTCTGAAATGGGACAAGGAGCAACTGAAGAACCGAGGTGCAGTTTTGAGGAGGATCTATGTTACAGTTACTTCACTTCTTGATCAAAGTGACTTCAGTTGGGACGAATCCACAGGGGCTATTGTAGCCAGTGATGAAGTGTGGGCTGAATATGTCAGGGTATGTTCCTCGTCATATATGTTGCTTGTACAACACAATTCTAAACCTACCTGATATGTAGGATTCTTCTTTAAGCAGGAACATCCTGATGCCGAGACCTTAAAAGTCAGTGGCTGCCCAATTTATAAAGAGCTGTGCACCATATTTTCAGAACCACCAACAAACGGGAAACATGACCATCCAGCTGAACACGAGGGTGGGGATCCAAATTCTTGTCCACCGGAGCAAGAAGTGTCCTCATCAGATTCTGAGGAAGCAAATGATGCCGTCAATGATCAAGAAACAATTCAACCTAGTACACCTAGCACTACTGGCATCCGTAAAAGAGGGCGCAAGGGTATTGATGATGCTATTGCAGGAGCTATATTGGAGATGGCAGCTGCATCAAAGCTGAGGACAGCTGCTACACAGCAACATAATGCTAGATACACCATAGCTAATTGTATTGCAGAATTGGATAAGATGCAAGGTGTTGATGAGCAAGTCTATTTTGCTGCGCTTGATCTGTTCAACAAACCCATTGCAAGGGAGGTGTTCTTGTCTCTCAAAGGTGAAAAACGCTTGATTTGGTTGCTTAGGAAGTGCACATCAGATCCCGTTCTCTAGATTGATTGATAAAAAAACTTTAATGTAGTTTTGATCTTTATCTAATCTGCATTGTGTGAGTATTGGCTTTGTATATATTCAGCAGCCTGGTTTTACTTTTAACCCATTTCATCAAACTTCTGGTTCGTAAGTGCGTTTACATTCCGAATCTCAGGAATGCAAATTTTTTTCCGTAATACACAAGAACTGTAAAGAAACATGAGGTCCAAATATAATCCCTTGAATTCTAGACTTATATTATGCCAACATGAACAATATCTTGGCTTTAGCCCAAAACACAGAATATGGGCAAAGATGCTATGGAAAGCAATCTGTTGTGCCTCCTCTTCCTGATATGAAAATCTAGTTTTAATGAATCTGAATATTGCAATCAAGCTTAATGTAATGTGTGAACGCTAAGAAGAAAAGGTAACCTACAAAGCCTTATCTTTCTCCGAACTTGAATTTTGCTTGTGGTTCATAACAACTGCCATGGTACTTTAAACAAACGAATTAGAAAACAAACCAAAAAACACCTTCATTAAGAATAATTAAATAAAACTAAACAGTCAACCCACAAGAAGAAAAGGGAAACTATCAAACTAAACAAGGGAAGAGTAAATAGCATTCCGGACGCCTTTCATGTGAGAAAACAGAACAAACATTTGAAAAGTTGAAAACTAACTAGAATATCCTTACTCTGTTGCATTCCAAATATTCAACCACTTCTGTTTCCGGGTCGGTGTTTCCCTAATCTGCATAATTGTGTCAAGGTTATCTTAAAAAGGGGAATCCTGTCACCGATAGTCTCCTCCACTATGGTTAATGATAACTGAAAGGATGTGCATTTATCTATACACGAAAACTGATTACAATGCTGTCATTCCTCCAGAACTTTTAAGTCTTTTCATCGATTTAGTAACCCCTCAACATCAAGCTTACTGAAAGGATGCGCGATATACACAGAAAACTGATTACAGTGCTGCCAATCTTCCTGAAATTTGAATATTCTCCTTACTGTAGTAACCTCTTAACGTCAAGCTCCTGATTAGCACTTTTGGCTTGGTTATATAGTGACTCGAATGCCTGCATACACACACTTGAAAATCCCACCATCGCCTCAAAGACATGAGGAAACCCCATCTGCAAGTTATTTAGTGTCATGGCTCTTGTCACACTCACTGACTTTTCATGCTTGCTCTTCTCCTCTTCTGCTTTTGCCCTCAACACCTCCACCTTTGCCCGCTTCTCAGCAACTGGGTTCTTTGTAGAAGTGCTAGCGGAATCAGGCATTGAATATGGGCCATACTTGGACTCCAGCGATCTAAGCACAGTTGCCTTCTTCTCAAGCTCTTTAAATGTCGATTCTGACTTCTTTTTTTGCTTATATTCCTCTGCTTGTTGAACTACAATAGCATGAACTACGGTTAAAAAGCTCTTGATTCCTTCAGATGCTACTTTGTCCGGAATCCGGTCAATTGCATGGTGCCATTCTTCACAGAGCATGTAAATTCTTGATTCTTGACTTGTCTTTGATATTGGATGTCTCCTAAACTGGAAGAGGCTAAGCCGGAGCCATCCTGTTAGGGACTGGATGTAGTCCAATTGAGCCTTGACCAGGTTGCAAAATGACTGGTGCCATTGCTGGACTTGAAGCTCAAGCTGGAGTGTTGCTTGTCTGTGAATCTCAGATGTAGGTTCAGTAGATGGTATTGTGTTCAGGTATTTGAGCTGCTGAACAATGTGCTTTTGGACCTGGTGGCACTCATACATGCTTCTCCACATGCACATCAATCTGTAAAAGCAAGCAAAATATGGTATTGTGTTAAGGTATTTTCAAAGTTTACATGGCTGTACGAATCAGTAAATCTTTCTAAGGAAAAGCAAACAAAGGACACAAAACAACCAGTCAAAAGCAGTCAAACGAATTTTTTTACTGCTACCCAAAAATATCAGACCTTTGACTTTCACTCTGTTAAGCCAGATATTCAATATCTGTGGCATTAATTTGAGATGATATATTTACCAAAAAGAAGATAAAGAAAATGAAAACTCTTGTATGCTCAAGACTAACCCTTTGAGTATTGACCAAAGAAAAGACTAACCCCTTGACAAGCTCAATGAGTTGAGGGTACAGCTCTGTCTCCCTGAGTTTGATGATTTCAGCAGAAGTTGTGTCAATGGCCTGTGAAGCAACCATCATTTGTGACTCCAGCTTTTCCACATCATTCTTGGTCTTCTCAGTCTTCACATAGTCTGCCCTCTTCATCTCTAGCTTCTTCAAGGTAGCCACCCTCTTCTCATGCTCTATCTTTATTGTCTCAGCATCCTAAAACCATCCCCAAAACGAAAACATAAATCTAAACTAAATGAAAAAAAACACACACACACACATGGATGTGCATGATCTCATTGAATAACTTTAAAACTCCAAAGTTCATATGTCATGATTGGGCCCCAAAAGTAAAATAAAAATAAAAAAACAATATGATTGTGTATGGGCAAAAGCTCCACCAGGAGCCCACAAAAGATATGGGAACCAAAGTTTACCTTGACTTCCTGGTATAGTTTCTTTTCCCAAGCATAAAGCCTTTCCACAGTAGAGCAATGGCTGCCACTCACAACACCCTCCTCTCCAACCCCACTACCTAAATGGCTAAGCACCATCTCATCACAACCCATCTTTCCAAACCCACCAAACTTGGGACTTGAACCTCCCCATGTCCACAGTGAGGGGCTCAAATTACACCCATGGTTATAAACTTTACCTGCCCAAGAAAAAAAACAAAACCATTCATTACATCAATATAAAACAGTAAAAATTAAAATTGTTCTCTTTCCTCTCATTTTCCCCCAGTTTTCTCAGCAAACAAACAGAGCTAGAACCCAAAAAGAAAATCACTTCAAACATAAAAAAAAACATTAAAACTTTACCCCCTTTATTTTGACAAGAAGAAAATCCAGGGGTGGGAACTTCCAAGAGCAAGGAGAGAAGTCCGCCAGCATCAGCAGCCTTGAGGAAATACTCATCAAGCTCCTTTATAATCTCAACCAGATCTTTAGCATTTCTCGAAACCACCATGGCAAGCTCACTCGTAGGCGCCCCACTCTCTTTAGAAAACCCACTGACGACAGAAGGCGGCGCCGCCGTGCTCACCGCCGTGACAGTGATCACCGCCTCGGAGGCAGTCGTGTTGTCCTCCCACTCTTCTTCAGTCACTGGCCTCGAAGAAGAAGCCACAAATGGGTCCCAGAAATCCCATGTGGACGACGGAGGCGGCGGCGGCGGAGGCGGGAGAGCTGTCGAGACTGTGGTTGATGTCGTCCATGTGTCAGAGCTTGAGCTGAGTGGCGGCGGCGGCGGCGGCGGTTGTGGGGTGAGAGGGGTTTGTGGGGTTTGCGGTTGTGGTGGCGAGTGGTGGTTGTTGTGGTGGCTGTAGTGGTTGTTGTGGTGATGGACGGTAGTTTCGGCATTTGAAAATTGGAGCAGAGCAGCACCAGTGCTGCGAAGAGAACGAAGATACATGGTGTGAGCTGCAGACCAAGCTTGTCTTGCTTTCACGAGCTGCTTCATGTACCTCTTCCTTGATTTGCATCTCGAAACCATCTCTTCTCTATCTATTCTCGAATAGCAACACCCCATTTTGCTCTTGATCAGCTTGATTTGCTGCTAAAAACCAGAGACAAAAAGAACAAGAAAGAAAAATGAGAAGGGTTTTTTGGAAAAAAAATAAAAGAAAAAAAGAGGGTTCTTTTAGCTACATATTAACAGATGAAGCTTGCAGTGCCTCATCAATGGAGGGTCTTTCATGTTATTGGGGTCATGGGTTCTGCTAAAGGTGGTCTAAACTCTAAAAGCGCTTGTATTTTGTGCACATTTTAAAGGCGAAGTTGGCTGCTTTTTTGGCTCTGAAACTCTTTCCCAGATGGGCACAGACAGAGAAGACAGAGAAGCACACACTTACCTCCAAAAACCACACAGTTTTAGTAGCTGCAATGTTCTTCTTGTAGGATTTTCTGGGTTGGCAAAACAACATTTGCCCAGTTTGATTTGATCTCAACTCAGGAGCTTTCGATCTATCTTTCTCTCTCTCTGAAGTGAAGATGTAGGTTTGGGACTTATCTAGGATGTGGTGGAGGTACAAGGGACAGGGCTTGAGCTGGAGCAGAGACACTGAGCTTTGGGAAGCGAGCCAGAGAGCATTGTATATATTTGAATTTACTGACCAAATTACCCCAACCATGTGTCTGTATTTACCATGAGCTGGTGTGTCAGTCCGGAACTCAAAACAGTCAGCATCCAAAGTTTGAGTTATGGCTTCAACTCTTCAAGCTTCTTTTCTATTTCTGTTTTTACCACCATTTATTAAGTTTTTGGATTGCCACAACTGACTCAAGTGCTGGAGAGCTTTTTGTGGCAAAAATAAATTCAAATTCTAACCTCAACATTTTACTCATAACGTTAAGTTTCCTTTTTCTCATAACCTCAAACTCTAACTAACTCTAACATTTGGATTTTGGGACATTGATGATTTGAATCCCAAGTGAACAAGTGGTGTGTAAACAAATTGCACGTTTATATTGACGGATTTTAAAGAGAAAAGCATATATATATATATATCAGGTTTCATACATCGATGTGTATGAAACATATTACATATAAGTTGTTCTTTTCATTAACGGTTGAGTCAATTCACTATCAAACGGTGCGATGATGTCTCGGAAGACACATAAAAGGAGAGTGACTCAAAATAACAATTCAAATAGATTAATGTTAATCTGATCAAGGAAACCTTAGATTAATACTAAAAAAGACAGCATTATTCTTCTCAAAATAAAAAACTGTACTTTAAGTATATTCTATTACCATATGATATAAACAAAAATTTTGTTTGATACGGATATCAGATGGGTATCAAATTGGAAGTTAAAATTTGTTTGTTTTCTATCTCTTTGGTTCTTTTTGGGAACCGTGGTGGATTCCACAGAGAGAGAGAGAGAGAGAGAGAGAGAGAGAGAGAGCATTTCATTTCAGGGTTAAAATGGCAACAACGTTGCCTTTCAGCTTTCTCAAATTTTAAATTATGCGTTCTTCGGTCACCTCATACATACATACATATATATATATATATATAATGTTAGACACAGTCTTTAACGTGTGCATCAACAATTATAGGCCCTTGATTAAAGTGAATGTAGACTTGTTTGGGCAACTATAAACCGTTGATTTCAAGTGACCAATGCATGTGTGGACCATTGTCGTTAACAGAAACTCATGTTTAGTTATAATATTATGTGATGGTTTTACTTTACAAACTGAAGCCTCCTGACTTATCTCAGCAATGCAACTATACATCCTCTGTTTTCTTTGACGGAAAATTATTAACTGATGAAGAAAGCAGAGAGCTTTTGAGCTTGTTACCATCTAGGGTTCTTAATTTGGCCTGCACCACGTATATCACAAACTTGAAGCTAGAGATGGAGACCATGTGCATCAAGAATTGTACGGACATATGCTAGCCTTCGTTTAAAAAATATTGTTCAGTGTTTAGACTTACTCGTATAATACCGCACCACATGCACCTAAACCACCATGCACTTGAAATTCAACAATAAGTCAACAAAAAGAAATGCGTATACCAACGTTGTGGCAACATAAGTGAGCAAATTTGAAGTACACATACAAGTACGAAAGGATAAATATTTTCCTGTCAGATAGTCGGGTACGTTATGTTGTTCACTTAACATCTATATCGTGCTAAATTCTAACAACCAACATAAAATACAAACTTTTTAAATAGGAAAACTTGAAACACTAGCTAATTATACGAAAACACCTTTTACAATATAACCTAATTGCTAATTTTTCTCACAAGAACATTCCTTCTAGTCAAGGTAAGAGAGAATGAGTGCAACATACAAATCAGTTTCCAAAAGGATAATATCATAGAAAGAAAGAGTTAAAAATCAACTTCCACAAGCGTTGTTGGGAGGAGAAAAACTTTCGTGAGACGGTTCGATATTCTGTGTCTATGTCTCATATCACCTAGGGTCTAGACACAGAATTGTTATAGAAGCGCCTCATGAAAGTTTTTCTCGGATTGCGGTCATTGGCAAGGCTTGGAAATGATTGGGCTACAAGAATCACAGTACTTTCACCAAAAACTCCGATATTTCTTAAAGCCTTTTAGGCCCTACTGGGCCAGACCAAAACTGCGGGCGCAACGTAACGATAATCGTCCTTTCGTAGACCCCAAGGTTTTCGTCAAAATAGTTCGTTAATCCGTTCCACGACCGCACTGGAAGGTCCGAAGCCCAAGAAAGATAAGGAGCTTCTCCCCCACACGCGCTCCCAAATCATTTTAAATCCCACGCTCCACCAACACCTCCCAATAGTTCACTTTATCGTGCTCTTCAAGCCCGGTGCTCCGCACGCGCTCTAATTACGCTGCACCATAATCACCTTCAATAATAAAATAATAACGAAAAGTAAAAATAAAAATAAAAATAAAAAAACGCTCAAGCTTCTCTCCCGCTAATCCAATCCAGTATATCCATCCACACACAGAGCGAGACAAAGCAAAGCAAACCAATCGTTGCCTTCAATTCAATCGTTGTGTTCGTTGCCTTCTTCGCTTTTGATTTTGCTTCTATTCCGCGTAGCCTGCGATTTCGTCGGCCGATTCTCTCATGGCGGAACCAGTAGTGGACGCGCAGTACCTCAAGGAAGTCGAGAAGGCTCGTCGGGACCTTCGCGCTCTCATCTCCGTCAGGAACTGCGCTCCTATCATGGTTCGATTGGCGTAAGTGCTCTCTTTTCACTTTCGTCTTTGCTGTTTCCACGTTCCGTTTGGCTCCCGAGAAAAACTAGGAGAAGGAAGGGGAAATGAAATTTATATCTAGTGTCTAGTTCTAGTTTTGAGTAAGGATGAGTTTACTGTTTCGGTTTTGAGTTTCTTTTTTTCTTTCTTGCATTTTCCGTTTGACCAAACAGCTCATAGTCTGTTACCGTTCAATCACCAAAGTCAATGAATAAAAGAAGAAGAAAGTTTTAATTTTTCTCTCTTTTTAAAATTTTAAGTTCTTACTAATCAGAAGTTACATTCAATCAATTGAGGCAGGTGGCATGATGCTGGGACATACAATGCTGAAACGAAAACCGGTGGCGCTACTGGCTCCATCAGGAATGAGCATGAGCTAAACCATGGCGCAAATAGTGGTTTGAAAATTGCTGTTAATTTTTGTGGTGAGAATTTTCGGGAACTTTTATCTGTACTGAAGTTCTTAAGCAATTCATTGATAGTTTATACTGATATTTTTCATATTAAAAAAGCAAATTTTTTTTACTGATTTTGATGAGGTCAACTCATAAGCAGAGCTTGTCTATTGGATTCTACTGTTTTTGAAGTATCCTAGAGTTAATTCCAATTCTGAGTTGCTGTACTCTTTGAAACGACTGAAATTGGAAACCATTCGGGCTCCCAAGAAATTTAATTGTAGATGCCAAACAGTTGAATTTTCCCCTAATTCTTTTTGTTGTTCTGTTTTGATAACAGAGGAAGTGAAAGCCAAGTATCAGAAGATCACATATGCTGACCTCTACCAGGTGACTGTAGTTTTTTAATCTCTCTTTGTTTTGTTGTGAACCTTTGGCCTTATGCTGTACTTGTTGTTTGGTCCTTGCTATATGCTATTTCATAAGGAAAATGTTTGTGTAACATAATACACTGCAAAGCTCAATGGACTCTGGTAGATTTTAAGGGCCATTGTTTTATGAATTATGGTTCCGATGTGATTTTTTGGGGAGGATCTCATCTTTATGGAAACTTTCTAACTCATCTACCAATGTAGGTATAGTTTTTATTTATTTATTTTGTTTTATGAATGGTGCAAGTTTTATTTTGATCAGATAAAAAACGTCACACACATTCACTAGTTAGGGGATTTTATTTTTTTCTGTAAATATTGGATGAGCTAGTTACCTAGCTCCATGTGAGAACCAGATTTGAGTAACTCGTAATTTTTCTGTCTTATGATCTTAGCTTGCTGGGGTTGTTGCTGTGGAGGTCACTGGTGGCCCTACTATTGAGTTTGTTCCTGGTAGAAAGGTATGTTCATTCATGGCAGTTGTTAATAACATATTTATCAAGTATGTTCCTTGCAGTTGTTGAACTTTCTTTCTATCTCTGAATCCAGGATTCACTGGAGTCTCCGGAAGAAGGACGGCTTCCGGATGCCAAACAAGGTATGCATGCCTATAAAGTTTCAGCTGCTTTAATACAGAAACTTAGGTTCTCTCTCTTCTTCTTGGGTTATTTTTTGTTAGTGTGCTAAAGGAAGATGAACAAATCATTATTCTGACTTCCTTCAATGTCGTAATGGTTTGTTGTTTCGATTTTGCTGCAGGTGCATCACATTTGAAGGACATCTTTTATCGCATGGGTCTGTCTGATAAAGACATTGTGGCACTGTCAGGAGCCCACACATTGGTAGCTTTTTAATGGACTCAACAATGTGCAAAATACTTTTCAGTTATATATAATATACATATATTGAATACTTCTTTGTTTCTGTAGGGTAGAGCACATCCAGAAAGGTCAGGCTTTGATGGCCCTTGGACGAATGAGCCTTTGAAGTTCGACAATTCATACTTTGTGTAAGAAATCAATATTATACTTGACACAATTGATTTTTAAAACTTTCAATTGGTAGGACCAAATGCAGCACACATTGACAATTGTTTATGTTGTAATTAAATTTTTATCAGTGAGCTACTTAAGGGGGAATCAGAGGGGCTGTTGAAACTTCCCACAGACAAGGCTTTATTGGACGATCCTGAGTTCCGCCGCTATGTTGAGCTTTATGCAAAGGTAACTAATTTGATTTATCTTCGGTAAATCAGTAAATAAATTGCAAGGAAATTAAGAGCTTGGGTGAAATCAAGGCTTTACCTTTTGGCTCTATTACCTTGCAGGATGAGGATGCATTCTTCAAAGACTACGCAGTGTCACACAAGAAACTATCAGAGCTAGGCTTTACTCCATCGTCCAGTGTCAAGGAAGCTGTAAAGACAAGTACTTTGGTGGCACAAAGTGCTGTGGGAGTTGCCGTTGCTGCAGCTGTTGTGATCCTGAGTTACTTATACGAAGTTCGTAAAAAAGTCTAGTAAAAATGTAAATATTTTTAATAATATCATGAGAAGCCAGTGAAGCATATTCCATCAGGGGAACATATGTTATTAGTACTTAATTGTCTTACTGTTCTGTAATAAGTTCTGAAATTCTAGAACTGAACTTATAAAGGACATGTTTCCTATAGATATGGCCCATATATTGCTTGCTTTTCGTAACTTCACCAAGAAATTTGAAAGCACAAGGAAGAAGGTGCAAGATGATGCTTCCCTGGCCTTCGAAACATGGAACCAATGCTTTTCTTGTTCGCTTGCAAAACCCTCCTGCCAGTCATTCCTTTATTCCGATTCTTCTTTTAGACCTCCCCATATAAACTGGAACAAAATCGTCTTCTTTGTAAAGTGTGACTAAAATAAGCCCTTTGCTCTCGAGTCATGGCCGCGCCAGTAGTAAACAAAGAGTACCTCAAGGAAATCGAGAAGGCTCGCCGAGACCTGCGTGCTCTTATCTACAGCAAGAGCTGCGCCCCTATCATGCTTCGTTTAGCGTAAATGTTCATTCTTAATTTTCCCTTAAACTTGGTCCTCCCATGACCTTACATTTGGTTGCTCAAGAAAACTGGTGAAAAGGAAATGCCCTTTTGAATGTGATGTCTTGTTGTCGCTATTTTCATCATTTTCTCAGCAACCAAACACGATCATTAGCTGTTTTCGTGGGGGTACCCTATTGTTGCTGTTAACAATTTGGTCCCTTCTTAGGCCTTAAAGATGCCATTTTAAAAATCTAGTCCCTAACTTTTTTATCGAAATGGTAACTAATTTATGATGGTTCAGGTGATCTTAAATCAATCTCTAAGTATATAACCATTATTTTGATAGGTGGCATGATGCAGCAACATACGACGCTAAACCAAAGAATGGAGTAGCTGGAGGGCCTAATGGCTCAATCAGGAACGAGGAAGAGTTAAACCGTAGTGCAAATTATGGACTGGATATTGCGGTTAATTTATGTGGTAAGCTTTTGCTTTTTTACTTATTCTCAATTCACTTTCTCTACGTGTTTCTGATTGTGCTTTGATTTTCAGAAGAAGTGAAGGCCAAACACCCCAAAATTACATATGCTGACCTCTACCAGGTTGTTATGCAATGCATAATAGCTATTATTGATGAAACCCTCAATTTGGCTAACTTCAAAGGTTTGTCTTCCAGCTTGCTGGGGTTGTTGCAGTAGAGATCACTGGAGGTCCATCCATTAACTTTGTTCCAGGCAGAAAGGTATGCATGTCGGTTTCCAAACACCTACTTAAAAGCTGTTCTTCTTTCTTTAAAAAATTTATACCTTTCTTTATCTCTCAATCAGGACTCAACTCAATCTCCAGCTGACGGGCGCGTTCCCGATGCCAAACTTGGTATGTCATCAATCATGTTCATCAAGTTTTTCATTTGCAAATTCAGCTTGTAGCACAAGAAATATGTTTGTTTGTTTCATTTTGTTAATAGGTGCATCCCATTTGAGGGAAGTTTTCTATCGTATGGGCCTGTCTGACAAGGACATTGTGGTATTGTCTGGAGGCCATACACTGGTAACTTTCTCCATCCATATACTAAAAGTAGACAACGTTTTCGTTGTACGTAGAGTTCATCTCTTCTTTTCTTTTGGTTCTGTAGGGAAGGGCACATCAGAACAGATCTGGCTTTGATGGCCCCTGGACAAAGGAGCCTGAAAAGTTTGATAACTCATATTTTGTGTAAGACATTCATGAAAGTTGTCTACTTTTATATGCAATAATGAATGTTCCCTCTGGTTATAGATATAAATTCTGTGATCAGGGAACTGCTGAAAGGGGAATCAGAGGGACTGTTGAAACTTCCCACGGACAAGGTTTTAGTGGAGGATCCTGTGTTCCGTCGATATGTTGAGCTATATGCAAAGGTAAATAAAGTTTCCAAGCCAAAAATTAAACCAAAAACAAATGAAGTTAGGAGAATGCAAGGATTTTCCACACGGTTAGTCAATACCATTGACTGTTGTGGTTACGAAACTTATCTATTTTCTGCAATTCCTTGTAGTGTTCCATGCTTACAAGAAGAAAAAAGATTGGTATCACATCACAGGCTGTGGTAGTTGATAATTTTACCATATTCACATCTGGCAATTAACATGAATATTTTGTATATGAGCAGAATAATGAAGCATTCTTCAGAGATTATGCAGTTTCACACAAGAAACTATCAGAACTTGGCTTTACCCCACCTTCTCTGGGTCCGAAACTGGTAGTTACTCTTAGCATTGCTGCTGCAATAGTTGCAGCGCTAGTGTACGACAAATGCCAAGGTTTCATCCAAGACATGAAGACCCTCAATTAGAGTGGAAACTACAGTTCACTGGGAACCTGAGACAACTCAATCACCAATATTTCCAAAGTATCCCTCCTTTAAACCCTTATGACGGGCGGCTTTGCTCACGAGTTAGCGATCAAGCGGAAAAGGACCTGCTGGCTTCTTTTCTTTCCGGAGCAGAGCTGCCTTGCTCGTAGCTCCATGTTTTCTTTTAAATTTTATTGTTGTCCAGATTTTATGTAAATTGTCATGAATAAATATGATGGTGTGACAGTTGATTTTAAACTAGCCAGAACAAAAATGATTTCACACTTGACAGTATTGAGAGTTGTAGAAAAAGAGCCGTTATTATTATTATTGTTCTGTTAAAGATTGGCCCTGTTTACAATTTGCAAGGCATACATAGAATAACTCTACCCGTACAACTTCAACTACATACTCTATTCTCTCCCAGAAGATAAGATAAAGAAAGGAGAACAAGTTCATCTCCAGCCTAAAAAAACTATGCAATTCTTCAAATTAAATGAGTTTAAAGGTAAATGATTAATATAGAAGACTAATTAGATTAAATTAGTTCAGGCCCTTGGACTCAAAGAGAGAGTAATATCTTGAAAAACCCTCAGCCTCTTTTCAATCTTCTTCGGAAAGATCCCGGAACTGTTGCTGGTACCAGTCACCTTCCCAGTTTCATTAGTTGGGTCAATAACCGCAGAGATGATAGCTTCTTCAAAGTCCTTGTTGTCGGGCAACAAATTTGTTAACTCGTCCCCTGTTTCTTCAGATGTAAGAGAGAGCCTTCTTCTGGTCTTGTTCTCTGGTACACCCAATTCCACAGTAGGCTTTGTGATCTCAGCCGTATCGGTCACTCTCATTGAATTGGCAGCATTTCCAGACCTTGTTCTCTTAAGGGTCTCAGCAATTTGATTGTTAGTTGGGGCTGGCATGAACTTTGCGTAGTAGGGCTGTGCAGCAACATTTAGTGAGTTTCCAAAAGGAGGAGGGGCTTGAGGAACTTGCTTTATACTTTTATGCTGAGGAAGCCCCATCTGGTTTGTGAATATGTTTATGTTTGAATTGATATTCTCATCAGCAAACTCATCTTGGTGAGTTTTAACAGAATCTGTTGTTCCTGGCAAGCTGCTATGGTGGTGGTCTCTGCAAGGCTGCGGCTGCCAAATCGATGAAGACCCAAGGAAGGCATCGAAAAGCCTGCTTTGCTCAACCCGGTCCCCGCCCTTGTTCATCATCTCAGACTCAAGATCCTTGAGCATCTGCTGAGCCCTTTCGTAGGCTTTGAGATGGGAATCAGTTCCTCTTGGACCATCTGCAACTGCGGGTTTAACACGGCGAAGATTTTCTTTAGCCTCAGAAATTCTTCCTTGCTTCATTAGACAAATCCCAAGGTTGCACATCTTGTTATTATCTGGTGCAATTGTTAGAGCACGCCTATAAGCATCTTCAGCTTCAATGTAGTTGTTCTGCTGCATTAAAGCCCACCCCAAGTTCCCCTGAAAACACAAACACAGAATTAGTCTCACTGTTGTCACTAATTTTGAAGTGAAATAACAAATATTTGGTTTTCGTTTGCATCAAAATCTTACCAGTAATCTAGTGGCTTCTTGTTCCACAGAGACTTGAAATTTCTTCCCCTGAGATCTGGCAGTTTTGGTGCGCTTTCCATTGAAGGCCATCCCTTGCTGAATCAAGTACAACTTGTGCCTCAAAAGTGCTATTTGGTCATCCAATCTCCCACATCTCTATAGAAAAAAAAAAATCGCCCAAATTATCAGTAACTGCTTGTTAGTCTCATATCATCATTAGAATTTACGAATATTTTGGGGGGTTTTCATACCTTGTAAAGATCCAAAAGAATGTTGTCAAGAGATTCTTGGGCTTGATCCGAACACCGGTGTCTCAGTGACTTGATGGCTTCAATGGCTTCTTCAGCCCGGTTCTGTTGCTTCATCACAATAGCCATGTCTTTCAAAGCACTGTCCACTCTGTCCCCAGAATTAATGGCAGCCCAAAATAGTGGGATCGCCTTTTCTGGATCCTTATCCACCAGCTATTGGAAAACAAAAAGCACCCATCAATTAGAACATGAACCAAAACAAGAAAAAAGAACAATTTCCAGATTTCTGATCCAAATTTTAAAAAGAACCCAGAAGATTTACCTGAACATTCTTGGCTCTAACATAAGGAGTGTCGCCTACTGGGACTTTGTGAGTCACATGAAACGACTCAGACCGGGTCCTCGAAACTCCAAGAGGCTTGGCTGGTGAGGAAGGGGCAGACTTGGTGGGTCTGAAACCAGGCGGAGCATTCCACATATCTTGCAACATCTTTGAATTTGAATGATATATAATCTTATAGCAGAAGTGAGATCTAAAGATGAAGAAGATATACGGAAGGCTTTTTAGATGAAGAAGAGGAGTCTCAGAGGAGAGAGAAGAAGAATGGGGAAGGAGGGTGAGAGAGAATGAAAGAAACGGTGTGGTTTCGTGGGGGGTAATATGAGAAATTATAGAGATTTGAATTTTTTGACCGTTGGGGTGTTACCGTTCGACAAACTAGCCGTTGCGGGTGTTTTTCTATATGGTAGCGGAAAATGAAGTATGCGCGTATCTGCGCCGTTGTCCAAGTTTTGCTAATTATTATTAATTTCCAATTTCTATATTCGATGCTACATACCATACATACAAGATTTACATAAAAAAAATTATTGACATTTTTGAACGAATATCCCCTTTTAATTACAAATTCAAATTCAAGAACATATGTGATTATTTTTAAATTAAATTCTACCCTAGGTTCAAAATGCCCAAGGAGATATAAACGTCCAATTATACGGATGGAGAAATATTAAGTTAAAATTTCATTTCTTATACAAGGAAGTGTTATATGGTCTGACAATAGATAATATATCTATTATGTTATAAAGATGTTAAGTTGTATTAATAATGCTCAAGCGCTAACTCATTAGTAATTTAATAAGTTCAATTGAATTATCAGTGTCGTACTATTTCGCTAACCGATTATCACTTAAGTGCTTTTGTAGATCATTAATTGAGTATATTCTTATTTGATTATGCAGTGTAATAGTCCCGCTCACCTAAAGACCTAAAAATAAGGTCTTGTGAGAGCCTCTTTAATACATGCCATTGGATTAATCAAATGACACATATGATATAGTAATTTAAACCCTCACTCATGCTCCTTACCTTACCCAAACTCTTTTAATTATTTATTTTAATTAGTCTAACCCAATAAATAAATAAAAATTAGGGTTACACGTTCAAACCCAGGCCCTTCTTCCCCTCAGCCATCTTCATCCTCTTACTCTCTCGTTATTCTCCCTCAGCCATCTCCGTACCATCATCCTCTTTGCAGGAATGATTGTAGATAGAGGTCTTGGATTGATTGAAAACTACCAAGAACTTATGACAGCGTGGCAATTGTCTTCATTTGTGGCAAAACGAGAAGCACTAGCAGGAAAAAAAAACTGAAGAATCAAGTTGAGAGGTTAAAGAACTCCCTTGGTGCATTGATGACATGTTAATGCCATATATCCATCTTTGGACTTGAGGCCATCATATTTATTTGCAAAATATTTAAGAAATTTATTGAATTTAAATATTCTGACTCGCGAAGATATTTTGGTTGTCAAAGGAATGAGAAGAAGCCAGGGAATCGCTTGTATGAATTTCTTCATCTTTCCTAAACTTAGAACGACACAAGGAAGAGAGAGAGGGAGAAAGGGGATAATGAGAAGATAGTTGGGATGAATGAAGACAAATGAATGTGTATCCCTAGGTTAGATAGAAAGGGAATGAAGATGCTGAGAGGAAGAGCGAGAGAATGGATGAGGGAAGAAGATGGCTGGGGTGGAAGACAAATTGAACGTTTATCCTGATTTTTATTTTATTTATTGGGTTAGAATAAACTACTAATTATATGCGTCATCGGATTAATCCAACGACCAGTATTAAAGAGGGACGTCACAGGACTCATTTTCAGGTCATTAGATGAACGAGACTATAATTTGGATTAACAAAACTTTGCATAATGGGCCCACCCAAAAAATCACACTAAGGTGATGGGCCATAATATTGGTCCGATAGATGGGTTGTCTGAGTTGCCCCAGACCTTTGCCCGATCAATTTTTACCAAACAAACGCATAAATTTGTGTCCAAAAATTCAAGTAATCATAGAGACAACAACATTTAGCGAACAGAGAAAGAGAGAAGCAAGATCTACCCCAAGTTATGATCACAAGCATAGGTAAAATTCTGCTATATCACAAAGTAAAATGAGAACATTACATACATGAAGGGAATGGGAAACCAGGGTGAGGCGAGGTGAGGCGAGGCAGCCATACAAGACAGATAACCTTGAATATCAAATAAATAACCGCCACTACCTCAAACTACAGCGCCCGATCCCGAAAACTGTCTGTTTTATCAAGTCTAGCTGTACCCGAGCTTGATGATTCGCCCATTGCATCAGGAGAAGCTGCTCTCTGGGCTGAATCTTTCTTCAGAGAAGTTGGTATACCTGAAATCTCCTGAAGAATGAAAGGAGTAATCACCAGAGGCAAATATAAGTTAACATGTCTATACACAAGGCAAGAATCCTACAGGCTACATCTATTCTCTCATCAGATAGAACAATATAAAACAATCAATTCCTGATTACCTTCATTAGATGCAACCTCAAGTCACAAGGTCGAACTTGATTTCCAATGCACGCCATCACAAATTTTGAATAGTTAAACAATACATCAGCAGCAGCTTGCTTTTTCTCATCAATCTATATATAAATAAAGCCAGAAAAAAACAAATTAAAGTCGTTTCGGCAATTAAGAAGCATTTCATCAAACTTGCAACACCAAACACCAGCTGATCCAAAACATACACGAAAGACATTTAAGTACTAAATAAACCTCTATCCGCCTGAAGCACACAAATGATTTAAGTCATATGAACTTGGGAAGGTAACAAGGGTTCAGTCACCTAATTTAGTATCTCTATCAGCAAAACCAACGAGAAGTGAAACGTATCATAGAACAAAACACCTGTTCATGGAGCTCCAAAACACGATCATAAGCATAATCTGATGTTAACATCAACAAATTTCTTCTGCCATTCACTTTATCTGTGCATGATGATAATGGAGTACCATCACTCCCCATTGGAACAAGGGGCACACAGTTAACACTAGACTGACAAACAAAGGAAAAGCTATCACTTCCTATTTTCGTTTTGCCTTTTGCTTTCTACAATTGTTACCCACAACAATTCAATCATGCATTATTATTATTATTATTATTATTATTATTATTATTTGCTTTTTACAGAACATAACATATGCAAACGTGATTTATCGTCCAAAATCCACAGATCACTGGAACATGAATTTTAAAACCTTATGTGCCCAGAAAATTCCAATTGGGGACATCCTCTATTCTTAATCTTCCAATACGCAAATTCTAACACAGAGTTCATAAAATTGATTGACCATCTAAACAAACATACCAAAACTTCCAATTTCTGAAATCCAGCTACAAGTTTTCACTACACAAAGGTCGCAATGATTCAAAATCTGACACCAACCACGCCTACAATCCATAAAATTTCCAAAAGCCAACGTAAAACAAAAACTAAATAGATTAAGAACATGTAAACTTGCGAAAAATCAAATTTTGATGAGGTAGTTGTGGTTGGATTTGGGTGTTGTTTCGAGGGTTAGCCAAAGAGAGAACAGATGAAGGTCGTGTTTTGGTTTTGGTTTAGAGACGGTGCAGGTGTCGATGGTATCAGAATTGAAACGAAATTTAATTTCTTCTAAATTAAGGAAAAAAGAAGAAGAATTGAAGTTCAAGTTTTGAAAACTGTACCTCGTAATCTTCTTTCATGGCGGAAACTCTGCGTCTATGTTTTTTTTTCCAATATCGGGGAAGAGAAAAGAGAGGAGAAGTAAGAAGAACCGCCACGGAAGGCATGAACAGAGTTAGATAAATAAAATACGATTGAAATAAAAAAATAACGAACTAAAGAGCAAATCGGCCTATTAGCTCAGCTGGTTAGAGCGTCGTGCTAATAACGCGAAGGTCGCAGGTTCGAGACCTGCATGGGCCAATTTATGTTTTTGAGTAAATTTTCTTTTTGGCTTTTGTTATATTATATTGTTGAGTACTTGTGGGGCCTAAGTTCGCGGGTCAACTAAAACTAAACCTAATAAAATTTTTCGGCCTGATCTGAGATTGGAAACCATTTATAGAAGGAACATCTAATGGGGATGATACTTTTTGTTATCTCGACCAATGATGCACTGACACGTAAGATAACTTTTTCGCGTGTCATTGTGTTATTAACCAGAGATAACAAAACATTGCTATCCCCATTATAAGTTTGTTTTTCTGCATTTATAGTGGGTAAGTTGTAAATTTTGGTCTTACAAAGAGAGATCAAACGCAAAGGTGAAAATAGGATTTACCAACTTGGAGAATAAGGCACTATAGACAAGATCAAATCTGGATCTGATCACTCTTTACAGAACCATTTCCTCCAAGTGAGTTTTAAGCCATTAATTGGAGGAAAGCTGCCAAATTTGGAGGACACCCAAATTAAGTTGGGTGTAGCAATTGAATCTCCATAAAATCCCCGAATTAATCATCACAAATTAAAAGACAATGATTCTAACAGTCTCAATTAAAACTTAATTAAGCAAATCCCAATCCATTTGAAAATATAAGCAGTAATAACTAGCAGTTTTGAAGCTCATGAGCATACTAAATGCTGATGACAGTGATCAGTTTAAGCCACAGCAAGTGCAAAGTACAACTCCGAAAGAACAGCAAGGTGGAGGACATGAACCAAAGCTAGTAAAATAAACTTGCAAAATGAAAATAGGATGATACAAGATCATGTTTCCCTAGGAGGGCCCTTCTTTGCCGCCTCAGCAGCCGCTTTCTCTGCTTCTATCTCAGCAACAATAGCATCAATTTCAGCTTCTTCAAGTTGCCGCAGACCATGATCCTTAGTCATCACAGCCACCTCTATGTTTTTTCCCCCACTTTCAACAACCTACAAATGAAATTTTACACAACTTGAAAGTTTGGCTTCTAAAGAACAATATGTAAATGTTCAGCATGCAATAACGCAAGAACAAATGAGATGCTAAGGCCTCAAGCAAAACATCTAAACTCACAAGCACAAACAACATACCTCAAGCAAAGCACGGATTGCAAGCTTTATGGTTTCTTGCCCAGAAGTTTCCTTGAAGTTCTTCTCCAGAAATTCCCTTATCGAATTGGAGTTTCTTCCAGTTGCATTAGCTTTCCATGCCGAAAAAGTCCCAGAAGGATCTGTCTGGTATAGTGATGGTGAACCCGTGTATGGATCAAAACCAACAATCAAAGTTGAAAGACCAAATGGTCTCACACCACCACTTTGTGTGTACTTTTGCTGAAGACCAGCAATGTAGCGTGTTATATACTCAACTGTTACTGGATCCTCAACAGTAAGCCTGTGGCTTTGACATTCAATCCTCGCCTTGTTTATCAGAACACGAGCATCTGCTTTGAGCCCAGCACAGGCTAGAGCAATGTGATTATCCAGGTTCACGATCTTCCTCACTGATCTGCACAGCAGAAGCAACAAAATGGTTAGAAGACAGTCAAAAGCAGGACCTCTCTTTCTGTTCCCTGAGAAGCACTAGATTCTATTATGAATTATAAGGAGAAGAAAAACTTATCAAGTTAAAAGGCTATTGATTTAAGACTTGAATTGCATCCTAATTCCTAAATGAGTAACTGATATGTGGTTGGGAGTCCTGTCAAAGATAAAAGCTTGGAATACTTGAAAAGTGTTATTATACGCTCGTCTCAAGGCCAATGTAACAAAAATATAAGGTCTATCATAATTCATATCTTAGAGGATGCAGAGTGCACAATCATAATACAGTCTTCTGAAAAATTCTTCACCATTTTCATAATAGTTTTCATTTGATCAGGACTTCACAGTCTGATTACCAAAATTCTGAATAAAAGGGCGATACAAGACTTCAGAAAAGAATAAATAAACTATCTATTTTTTACACTGGGATTTCCAAGGTAAAATAACATCATGTTTGTTTAAAATAACAAGGACCCAATTAACATCTTACATTTCCTTATTTCAATTTCGTTACAAATGCAGAAGCATCAATCAACCGATTGCAGAAATCGAAAGCAAAATTAGAAATCGATGTCATATAAAAACCCTAACCCTAAACCCAACCTCATTTTCAATCTGTTAGATCAAAGCACAGAAAATCATTGTTTGAGAGAGAGAGAGAGAGAGAGAGATGGACCTGGAGTCCTGGAGCTTGGCAGTGGACTTCTTTTCGACGCCGAGAACGATGGTGTCGGTGCCACGTACGCCGACGGCGGCGTTACCCTTGCGCACAGCTTCGAGTGCGTATTCGACTTGAAAGAGATGACCATCTGGAGAAAACACCGTTATGGCTCTGTCGTACCTCGCCATCGTTCCACTGTCTTCTTCCTCTTTCTCTTCTGCTTCTTCTGATCTAGTAGTATTTGTGCGAGCAGGTCTTTTTGCTTTTACAACTTTGCAGTGACAAATTATATTTTGCAATTCTCAACTTAGGCAACAAGTCACTTCTTAATTTTCTTTTCGCACTATGGGCAAAATGGTCATATAAGATTTTTGCTCTTGCTTATTTGGCTTATATTGTATTTATTTTTGGGGCTAAGTAAAAGCCTCTTTCAAATTAAGGGTTCGTTTGATAGTGATTGAATATCAAAGGTCGAGGAGAAGAAAATATAGATCGAAAGGACGAAATCAGAGAGTTCTAGGAAAAGGTTTACTCAACATTCAAATATAAATTTTAAAGAATTACATGGGAGTATTTATAGCAAACTAAAACCTAGGCATAATAGGATAAAAATCTCTTGCTTAAACAGAAATCCTAACCCAAATAAAATAGGAAGCTTAAAACTAGAAATTTGGAAATTTGGAAAAGTAGAAATCCTACTAGAATTTGGAAAACTAGAAAATCTAGGAAACTAACAAATACATTAGGAAACTAATAAATTTAGGTCTTACGTGTCCTGCATCATTCTTGGTCATTTTTCAGTTGATTATTATTTGTTTTTTATACAAGATATTGTTAAAATTATTCTAAATTATAGAGAAGATGATTGTGCTCGCCATAACCACAAATAGTACGCAAGTCTATTTTGTCTTTATTGGGGGTAATTTTTATAGTATTGTACAAGTTTTTATAGGATTAGAAGTTCTGTTTTTCTAATTTTATCCTTTATAACATCCGTTCATGAGGATTGGCAGCCTATCTCATGTCTATGCAGAAAGGAACTTTGCTTGGCCAGACTTGGGTTATTATCTTCGGACTAATTAGGCTGCACAATGTTCTTTGCTCCCCTCCTCAAGGTCAGGATGTTCTCTTTGAAAGACATGATTGGGGCTTCTAGGCCTTGGTTGATTTGTTTGTAGTTTCTTTCCTTTCTTGTGGGATTTAGAAAAAATAAAATAAAAAACACCTTTGCTTTCCACACATCAGAGCCAACCTTTATATTTCTTCCCATAAGAACCGCATCAAGGAACCAAGAAAGCAAAACACAAGAAGAAATTGGGAAAATTGGAAAATTGGATCATGTGACCTTTTGGTCTGCACAACTTAAGAGGAAAATTGGATATACATATCTAATGTACAGGTTATGTTGTATTTTCCGAAGCACCATTAATTTCACATTAGGAAGCTCTCTAAGCAATTTGCTTGCTTACATCTGATTTGCCTGAAATTGAGCTTGAAAGTTAGGCTGTCACTTTAGTGAGTGAAAGAATGGTAGACACCATCAACTTGTAGTCAATAGGCTTTGTTAGATAAGCATCCATGCCCACCTCCAAGCATTTGGCTTCATCTGATGACATTGCATGGGCTGTTAGAGCAACAATTGGAATGTGTAAACCAGTCCCTTCTTCTGATTTCCTGATTGCTTTTGTTGCCTCATAACCATCCATCTTTGGCATCTGATTCAAGCAAACACACAAGTTCAAACAGGCCGGATTTGTATCTCGCAATTTATACTTATCCAAGGTCAATCTGAACTCTAAATCCTAGATATTCTGTTTGACACTAATCCAGTTAAGCTCAATCCACAAGTTTGGATTAAACAAATTGAGTTCCAGACAAGTTCATTGCAATTGACAGTCATAGGGGTTTCATTAGTTTTAAGTAAGTTTTATATCCTTCAACATGAATAATTTAATGATCAAAGACAGATTTAAAAGCTTCAGAAAAATATGAACTATCTTCTGAGCTATGATTCTTACCTGACAATCCATTAGAACCAAGTCAAACGGACGGGGGACCCAACTTTTGTTTTCTGCATTTGTATCTCTATCCTTCAAGCGAAGCTCCCTTCCACAGTCTTCTGCAGTGAGCATACAGTTTAGAGCATCAACTGCCTGCAGTCCATCAGCCACAGCAATTACTGTAGCCCCCATTTTTTCTAGCATTATAGTTGCAACTCTCTGCAGCACTGGTGTGTCTTCTGCGAGCAGTATGCGTAGGCCTTCGAGAGATTTCTGTTGATTCACAGCTCTATGTGAGTTACCATGCTCTTTACGTCCGTTGGCAATCAAATGCTGTTCTTCAAATCTGGAATTTCCACATTGAGATTTATGTTCTGCATCTTCCAGGTCACATAAGTTGGACCTTATCTGATATGACTCTTCTTTCCTTGAATTTTTTTCTTCTGAGCATACATTTGTCAGTTCAACTAAGCAGCTGTTAACCGTCTGGTATTGTGAGGAACTAGGTTTTGTGTTCCTGTCTCTTTGGTTTTCTTCAATATGAAGTGCATTTTTGGAATTGGTGTTATTCTTTTCACATATATCAGAATCATCAGAGCTGGCAACATCAAACTGAGTAGAATCAATCTCAAGGCATTCATGCAATTCACCTTCTTTTGTGGTACTTCTCAAACCATTTGCAGTTCTCCTCTCTGTTTCAAGGTTTCTGTCTTTTATGACAACTTCCAAAATATGAACCATCTTTGCCTTGTATAGAGGTTTGTTAACCATCAACACGTACCCTTTTCTCCGGAGCTCCATCTTTATGGCGTTGGAGGTATCATGATTCAGCATCCATGCAAACTTTGCTTTCCCGGAGTACTTGTCAAGGAAGTTAAGCTGTTCCTTCCATATATCTGTGCTCAAGTCCAGCAGCCCTATATCGACAACCATGATGAAAGTTGGGTTCCTTATGTCATATACGCTTCGAATTTCACCTCTCAAAGAGTCACTTAGTGAATACTGTGTTTCAAAGCTGTTACTATGACCTGAATTCCTGCTTTGAAAGAGTTCTCGAAGAATTTGTGTCAGTTCATTCCACTCAGATGTTGCCAAAGTGAACACTCCATTTTTACGCAACCACTGGGACGTAATCAATCTACCCATGCTGCCATGTAGTGCAAGTAGCACCTGCATTCACATTCAAAAATCGTAAGCAGATAAGAAACCAAATACAAGAAACTTACCAGTTTCTACTTTCTAATAACCTGAAACCCCAATGAAAGCAACTTAACTTACCACTACATTGTGCTTTGCTAAATCTACTTGACAAAGTTGCTCTGTGCCATCTGCAGGCGTATTGATAACCAAGTATAATTGCATTAAAGTTCCAGGTCCATCCTTCTTTACAACCTTGATTTCTCCACCCATCTTGTTAACCTGTCACCACCAGTACAATTGTTCAAGTGTAAAAAAGGAGATTCAACAAGAAGGAGATTTTCTTTGACAAGCATGACTATTCAATATACTTGAGAAACTGAACTCACCAACGTCCGTACGATGCACAATCCAAGTCCAGTGCCACCATGCCTGAAAAAGATAACACACTTAAACATGCCTGCAAATAAATGATTCTAATCTAAACCACAGAAGGTAGGCCTAGTCCGAAATGATTAAGCTCTTTCTTGAGCAAACCAGAGTCAAGCATATGCTACGTTGGTATGCATATGGTCTGGTGGGTGAAATTGTTCACAGTCTGAGTTGCACTGCTTTCTGAAACATCTGTCATCTCAAAATTTAATAAAACTCATCACCTAATTGTGGTCAGTGGAAATTGTTTGATTTACTTACGTTCGAGTTGTTGAGGGATCAGCTTGCTCAAAGCTTTCAAAGACAGACTCCCATTTACCAGGATCAATTCCTGCATAATATTGGAAAAAGATAAATGGTACAAGTTATCATGGATTAAAACAGTTTTTTGTGTGATTGTGTGCTTGAAATGAGCTAACTTTTCATAGGTGCGTACCACAGCCAGTGTCATCAACTTCAAACCAAAGAATCATTTTGTCATCTTTCTTTGGGGCCTTCTTTACATGGTTCCCTTGCTTCAGCTTTGCCTTATGAGAAGGCCGCAAATTTTTCTGATCGAAAGGGATTCTCCTGATATCACCAGAAGTGTTCTCACATGAACCTCTGAGTATAACATGCCCCGCTGGAAACATTTGCCAAATTTAACAAATCAAATATAACACAAAATTGTTTTTTAAACAGATCTTGTCAAGTCATCAGTATGGAAGTTGTACTTACATGTAGTGAACTTGATTGAATTGCTGATTAGATTAGCAAATATTTGAACAACTCTTGCAGAATCTCCTCGAACTAATTTTGGCATGTCATCTGAAAAACAGATTGATCAAAAAATATTTGCTTCAAGTTAATTAGTTCCTTTCCACAATGAAATTAAAGTCATACCAGAGAGATCTAAAACAGTCTCCACATTGTGGTTAATGCACTGCACAGAGAACATATCGAAGAGCCCCTCAAGTTCTCTTCCCAAGTCAAACTCGGCTTCTTCCAACACCAGTTTTCCAGATTCAACCTGTAATTCATATTTCAAAATTGATTTTCTGAGTCAGAAATGTTCATAACATTTTTTGTCAAAAATGGAAAATTAAACAGGAACGTATTTTCTTTCATGTTCACTAGTCAATAAATTTCTTTTGGCTGAATGGCTCAAAATAAGATAATCAACCTCTTTATATCTCACCTTGCTGAGATCCAATATGTTGTTAAGAAGCCGAAGTAGAGCCGTCGAGCATTTCCTAATCTGAGTGACTGTAGAATATTGTTCATTTGTAAGACAATCATCACTGATAAGAATGTCCAGCAGCCCAATCACTGCAGCCATTGGTGTCCTCAGTTCATGGCTGCAATGCAACAAAGTAAAACACAATAAAGGGTTAATTTTAAGTCTCTCATGGGTTAGTTGTGGAGAGATTTAAACATGATTATGTCATATTAATATACAATTAGTAGCTCCAAATTATGATAACCTACCTCATATTTGCTAGAAATTGGCTTTTGTAGTTGCTAGAGGCCTCTGCCCTTCTTCTTGCATCAAGATGACTTATCAGCTCTGCCCTGAGTTTCATTTCCTTTGATACTCCATTTGTCAGTATGAAAATGCAAATACATCCAGTAACCAAGATACAAAATGATGCAGAAATCAGTATAACCAATGTTTTGAAGGCTCTCTCATCTACCTTCCCCATTATATATTTTCTTGGGATGATAATAACCCCTACCTGCACAAAGCTTAGCTCAATTTAGTTTTTTGTTAGGTGCTAATTTGATTAGTTTAGTTTCTTTCTGTCAAATAATATATGTTCAAGATCAAGACTTACCAGAGGGAGTCTCTTCAATTTTAGAAAAAACGAGTCGATGTAGTATTGCTGGTGTCCAAGCCTGGCATTCTCAACATGAACCTCATGACTAGGAGGGAACTCATTGCCATAGGCTCTCTGTAACCACTCCGCTCCAGTTCGAATGATGTGATCCTCGGAATCGACCGCCATCATAAGCTTAGGCCCTTCTGTTGAATTCCTTAAAAGAGGAGCATTTGTAGATGTAGCAAGCAAGTAACCTTCTTGAGACGTTAAGTAAATATGTCCACTGTGAAACTCAACCAGTTCTTTCATCAGCTGCCCAACACTATATAGAGCTGTAGTAACACCCACAACAGCCACTATGCTTTTATTTGAAGGGTCAGAAACTGCCAGTGCTGCTGAGAGCAGTGGTGAATCTGAGTACTTGCTCACCGCCACGTGCCACGTGGCCACACCATCTGGTACTTGTGAAAGCCCTGCTATATTGATCAGATCATCTGGCTGGATTTGGCTTGCTTTTCCTATCTTCTCACCCGTGACAGGATTGAGGGGTTCGCGGTACCATTTTGCAGAAATGTTGCCGTGTATGGTTTGATCACTCCACCCCTGATGTGTTGACATCATATTAGCATCGTAAGCTCCACTGGCACCGATTGAATAGTTTGCAAGATCAGAGTAGATGTAGTATGTGTTGTTGCTCCTGTGATCTCTATGAAATGCCTGGACAAAACCATTTCTGTAGTTGATAGTAATTGCATTGAGAGCTTTACGACTCGCAAACATTGCCCATGTCACAGCCCTCATCGATTCGTATAGCTGCTAAGAGTAGAAAAGTATCAAATAAAGAAAATTGCAAAATGGTCTCAACTCAATCATATATGACATTACAAGAACAGGACAATGGCATAACAATCAACCTCAACTTGTTCTGCTTGAGTAGTAGGCTTGCTGTACCGTTTGATTACATACTCCGACAGCTTAACCTGGGCTGCTGTTATTTCGGCGGTAGAATTCAAGATGTTCCACATCCGTAAAACAGGACGCTGCAGAAGTTCATAACGTAGCCCGTATGCTAAGTTGCTCAGTGATTTTGCTGTGTAGATCCTTGTGAAATGCCAAGTCAGTATGGTCAATAGCCCAATTAAAATGGCTAGCATAACCTGCACACAAAAACCATCAATACAAGGCAATGCATGAATTAGCAAAAGTGATATCTTTTTTTATTTTTTTATTTTTACAAATACACATGTTAATATTCACTTTGAAGAACAGGGTTTTTTCAATGACTGAGACAAGAGATAACACCAAGCTTACTATTTTAAGTACATATTCTGACAGCCCAATTCAACCTTTATATCTTCATCGACATGGTGAAATTCTACAAAAAAATTCTACTAACCATGATAGCAAGCCGGGCCACGAAGACGCTGTAGTATGAGGAGAGGCAATGAGCATTTGCATACTGAAACTGGTCTCTTTCAACATCCCTATGAAAGATTCTTCTACCCTGAGGAATTGTACAGTTTTTTCTCCAAGGTGTAGCAAAACCTGAAATCTTATCAAACACCTTTCTTAAAGGAGTTCCCATTGGTGTGCTTCTACTTGGCGAACATTCAGAACTATCAAAAAGGCCTTCCTCTGCTTGCTTTGCCATAACAAGCCTTGTAACTAAAAACTATGCATTAGCAACAATAGAAAACTTGTGTTTATGTTTGAGAGAGAGAGAGAGAGAGAGAGGGTTGTTGGGTGGAGGTGTGTTTATAATATACTGCTTTCTGGTGTCATTTCCCACTTTTTGAAGGCAAGAGGCACATCTGGTTATTGCAATGGCTGTGAGTGGGGGGTTGTGGTGTTTTTATTCCTCATCATCCACAGCATCAATTCAATGCCACATCTCTAAACTCCTTTTCCAAATTCCACATCTGTGTCTCTGGTGTGGTTTTGGATTTTATACACAGTTGTTTAAGGCACTAGTACTACCGGACATAGAAGTGTATATTGGTACGGCCATTACAGCTATTTGAGAATTACATGAGGTGGGTTAGCCAGGGCCCACACCCCTCATGCCCTTGTAAAGCAACCTTATCAATTGGTACTTAAAACTCATTAATTTGAGTTTTAATCTGCTAATCTCCATAAAGCAAATCAAGTTTGTGTGAAAATACATGATCTATGGCGCTACCAATAAACTTCGTTAAATTTAATCAAAATCCAAGTGAGTAAAAGGCGCAAGTGGCTTGTAGTTCAATCTATATCTTCAGTGTTTGTTTTTCCTCTCCTATTATCGCTCGTAAAAAGGAAAAAGAAAAAAAATGAAAGGTACATAGAGGTGGCTTCCCTAACTCACTCACCCTAGGATGTATGCCAATGGGTGAAAGTTGGAAACTGAGGACATTTTACTGAAGATGGAAGTGGTCCTAGAATGAGCCTCTTCTAGAATTTCATAAGGAGATTCTCGGATGAATGATCTTTCTATTTTGTCAACTGTCATGATGTGTTTTTATTTAGTCGGTAGGTTGAAATGATACTGAATAAAAAGCCTATGGACCATATGCTGCAAGAGTCAAAGTCCTAAATTAACTCCTTTTTCTTTTTGCTTTTCTTCATTTTGTTCATAAAACGATAATTAATCACTCCCTACACCTTGGACTCAAATTTTCACTAAATAAGTCAATCATCATTTGGTTTTTTTTTTAAAATATATATTTTTAAAAATTTAAATAATAGAGAATTAGACAAAATACAACTACCGAATGACACAAAACGGACTCGAACCTGACTTGCCTACTAAAATAAAGGCACTAAATAATCATCATTTGGTTTAGCGATATTTAGTTTCTATTTCGATGACTGTAACCACATCAACATGGCAAACCCCGTTTGATTCGCTAAAAGGATTTCACATTGTAATCTAGTGATTATAATTCTGATTATTAGGTGAGATTAAGACGTTTGTAACCCAACTTTTTAGGGGATAAGTTAAGAACAATATCTCAGCAGTCGTAAGTTTTTGGGGCAAGTTGGGGTAGCTGCTGAGTGCTGATAACATTCCTTTTTTAATTACGATAAGACTAAGATGATGAAGGCGGCTTAATTAACTAATTAATTAATTAATTAATTAATTAATTTATTGGAACTAATTAATACAAACATAATATGGGCGTGCAAATGGATTTTGACTTGGCATGGTTCATCCTCTAGAACACTGGTTTTGTGATCCACCTCACTACCCATGATGATCTTTTGCTAATATCTGACAAATTAACATTATTTTTATGTTATAAACTAACACACACACACACACATATATATATATATAGCAAAAGGCAAAGAATGGTGAAACATTCAAAATACCAGAAAATGCCCTTGGTTAATTCAAACATTAAGAATTGAAATTATTAATTAAATGAGGATAACATGGTAACTTCACATTTTTTCATATTAAAAAAAATTAAAATTAAAAACAAAATAAGATAATAGGTCATGCTTTTATGGAACATAACTACCCATATTTTTTCTTAATTCTAAAATAAAAAATAAAATCAATTGGCACATGCGTGACAAACGACTAGTTATTCTTAAGAATCAAGATCTTAGATTTACCTTCAAAATTTACACTTTTACACCAACCCTATATTTGATTGGCTAAAAGGATAACCTACTCAAAAAAGTAAGAAACGATATCATTATCTATTTTTCATTTGTAGTTTGTTCACACTAAAAAAAACTATATAGCGCAAAGGACCTACTAATATAGTAGTTTGGAGTAATTGTTCCCTCCAAGGTTTTGAATTCGAGTCTTAACATCAGTGTAATGTATGAGAGTTTAATATATTATTATCGCTCCTCTCAATAGAAAAAATCCTTATAAAAAATACCAGATAGTGGCTCATCCTCTTTCTCTAGAGATATTGATAAATGATTTGTTTTTTCATACTTGGAGTTACAGCTGTTTCCTTTTGTGCATGACAAGTGAAAGATAGCAATTAATCTATATTTTCTCTTCATTTACTTACTTTGTTGATTTTTACCTTTACACAAAAGAAAAGGTATAGATTTTGGAGTATACACAAGTGAATGGCCTGCTGACCGATTTAGAGTTACGTTATGGCATCCAGCTCGAAGGTCATTTGATATATATGTTTCCTACTTGGAAAAACATGCAGGTAAAAAGTTGAAAAGATTAGAATTAACCAATTTCTACCATGATTTGAATCTCAATGAAATCTACTGCGAGTCATGGCATTTGATATCACAGCAAGTTTTGCACCAAAATGAGCTAAAGTTGCATATATGGACAACTTATAGGTCGGATTTAAATATGTTGGTTAGCTCAATACAATCGTCGTTTAAGTGGTTAAGAGTATATGATGTCTTATTTTTAAATTGTAATACTGAGTTATTAGGTATATAGGATTCATGAAATTTGTCTATTTTTCTTTAAGTTTTTTTGAGTCATAATGATGAAAGAATCTTAGGTAAGATTGTTAATGTCAACAAGTGGAATTCTATAGATGGGAAAAAGAAAAATATTGGATATGATTGTGATGCCGATTACAATATATTTCTTTCTTAATTTGGAGAGATAAAAACAATCACTCAAAATAATAATAAAAGTTAGGGTGAGGATATATAATTGATATCTAGAATCAGACAAACAAATCAAGTGGAGACACTTTGATGTAGGAGTTGGCTTTGGAGAAGAATATCATCTGTGAAAGGATTTACACTAAAGAGGGATTTGATTCGTTACTTATGACTTGGAAAAGTCCATGAGACCAAGAATAGCTAGTGGCCTAGAATTAAAGGAAATCAAACAACACATTTGTACCTCTCAATCCATTTAATTCAATGTACACAGAAATGCATAATCTTTGTTTGTTTGTTTTTAGCCATAAAGGACGGAAAAGTGGAGTACACATGGCAACCTCCGAGAGCTGTTTGGGTCCACCATTCACTCTCTTTTGAGCAATTCTTCGATGTCACAGTCACATGATCACACCGTTATTTATACACTTCGCTTCACGTATAAACCACATCATCCAACCATATCATAACACTCTAATAATACCAGAATTTCTCATTTTGTAAATCATATAAGTTATATAATTGGACACTAAAATATGGGGTACTATAGGATGGGGTCCACAGGTTGTTTGGCGGGTGCAATGGTGCTAACTGCACCATAATTTGAATCTTGAAGAGGGTGGGTGCCACTCGAAGTCCATGAGCATGATGACCTAGGTAGTTAAGGAGAAAGCTTGCGCTTAAAGCACATACTATAACCTCCGTGGGTGGACTGGTGCCATGTTAGTTGAATCTTGAAGGGGGTGGATGCCAGTCAAAGTCCATGAGCAAAATGATAGTGAGGAAAAGGATCAAAAACCCTTTCATTTCACAAAATCGGACTAGAATCGAACTCACATGTGTTTTCTAGAATCAAACTCAACATGTTGTGTTTTCGCTTCACAATAGGCATGACAATGAGAATCTCACTAATACATTCATGCACGCTCGTCGCTAATTAGGTGAAGATGCATTTAACACTAGTTTGAGAATCTCGCTAATACATTCATGCACGCTCGTTGCTAATTAGGTGAAGATGCATTTAACACTAGTTAACTCCACTCATCCGACAAATAGTTAATGTCGTGTGGGATGAATATTTTATTCTCTCTACTTTTATGGACGAATATTTTTAGCGATAGTCTTGTGATGTTCGAATTTGAGTGATACAAATAATGCGATGACAAAAATGGTGTTCCATACTCTCTACCAAACAGATAATCCTACCTACGAGAGTACTGGTGAAAAATTCCAAATATGAACATCAATTGGTATGGGAAAGAGAGAAGAAGAAAAGAAAAGAACCAAAGACAGCTTTGTGTTTTGTGCTACTAAGGCAACAAATATGAACATCAAATTTATAAATACAAGAATTATGTTACAAAGATAAACATATTTTCATGGTTCACCTTACCTGTAGTACAGCAACAATATCAACAACAGCAACAAAGGCCTTGACGTTCCACGCAAGTGTGTAACCTTTCGGGAAAAAATGAGGGATGAAACATTTGGGGGGCTGCTAAGTCCTTCAAATGAAGAATTTCCCACAACCAGTTATTTGGATTTCTTAGTCCTTACTTCCTCAGCTGCTGACTTAGCAGCAGTCTTGGCTAGGGTGGAGGATTTGAAAACACTTTTTGGGTTGAGTGCCTTGCGGATCTTAAAAACAGTCCACGCAGTTCCTATGGCATGTCCAGCTGCATCAAGCCCGTCGTTCGCAGCCTTACCAGCTTGTTCACCATACCTGCAGGACAGACATACTCCAAAATTTACACACTATTACAGAATCATAAACACCATTCATCTATAGAGTTTCTAACATCGCAAATTCTTAGACGGTCAACTATTGCTTCATAAAGATGTGGACAGAGTACCCCTTTTATTGATTCCAGCCACAAACATAAGTTGGGTATGAAACTGGGGTTAACTTGTTAATAAATATAAATCAACACAAATGTCAATAGCTCCTGGTCAATGCATCTTTATTTAAAGTGAGCCAAATAGTAGGTCTACATGAATCATGTTTATCTTTTAGTCTTACTTCATTTAATTTACTGCTACTTTACTCTAGCCTTATTTCATTTACTGCTGCATCTGGTGAAGCTTACCTGTGGGAGACGAGCTCGGTTGTTACTGTAGATGACGTTGACATGACATTTTTTCCAGCTACTTCGACCGCATCACACACCTTGCCTAGTTACAAGAATATATAAACAGTTAAAAATACTATAAAAATAAAACACAACATATTAATGGACAACTGGGCTCAGACCCAGTAAAGAAACATATCTAAGAAGGCATGTTGCAACCCTGTGGACTAAAGTTCTACCATCTGATTGGAATACGGTCATATAGTGATTGCAGAAACAGAAAAGATGAAGACATTTAATAGATCATTTATGATGGCATGTTTGCATCTTAATCTACAGTCTACTCAAAATACATGGTAATTTGCAGCAGATAATGGTAAAAAAAAAATCTCTTTAGCTGCAAGAGTATCCCACCCTTCTACAGTGGGTTAAAAAGAAAACTTATGTTCTGAACCTATACTAAGAAATAGATTATCTTCACCACTCTTATGGTTTATAAACCAGCTCACTAACCCTGGCATGCATTTAGACAATCTACATATGATTCAGAGTGGAAGCATTAATGAAATTAAGATAAAAAACTGCAAGATAGAGTTACAAACAAAAGATTTAGTATTATCTGTTATTAAATAAGCATCAAAATAAAGAAAAAGGGACGATCAACATACAAAATCCATCCAGTGATGCTAGCAAAATTTCCCCAGGCAGAAGACGGAAGAATTTCTTTCCTACTTTGGAATTTACCACCGAACTTGTGAAGTATCCAGAAACTTTCAAAACCCCAGAAAGAACACCAGCTGCAACTTTCTGCGTCGTTTTGCTCACACTCTTAACCCTACATAAAAAGTAAAGATTAGGTTTTTACTCAAAATATTATCCTAACTGAAAAGAGAAAATTGCAAGGACCCAAACACTCAACTAGAAAATAAGATCCTTGTTGCAAAATGTTCCTAGACACACAGATGTGGTAGAACCATAAGGGCATGTCAAAACATTTGCAACTAATATCTACCCTGCATCCTACAATAACATATGAAGATAAAAGACCAAGCTCCAAAAAGGGATATTGGGTCTAAGGGCATGGCCGTAAGATCTAACGAATTCTTAATTTTCCCATAAGTAGCCTCAAAATCTAACCAGTTTCAGTGGAAATATGCATTGTAACTTACAACACAAATCTTTTTATTTCAATGGAATATTTCACTTGCCCTTATTATCCCTCAGAAAAACAACAACCAGAACAAGACATGTAACATTTATTAATCAGAAATAGACAACCAGGATCAAAGAACCGAACAACATGAGAGACAAACTACATATCAAACTCAAAAGTAACAATAAAAATAATCACAAGCACAAGCAATAACACAAGTCATTGTACCTTTTAATCCTCCTCATGGTTTGGGGACTGACTTCCTTATTCGAAAGCGGGTCCATCTTCTTCTTCATAACCTCATTTCCCCATTTCAACCTCTCCACTGTCACATCACCACACCACAAAATCCCCTTGATCAGCTGGCCTGACCCAGCCGCAATCAACTTAGCTGCCCTCCCATTGTAGTCCTCCACATTCGGAGCCAATGTGGTCCAATACGCAGCGCTCCTCTCCTCCAACTCCTTTTTCTTCTCCGAACTCAACTCTGCCGGCGACGTCTCCAGCGCCATTGTATCGTCCAACGCCTCCCCCTTCTTCTTCGCCTTATCGGAAACTTTCTGCTCCGAAAAACTGCAGTAACTCTTCAAAATCTCATCCAATTGCTTCACCAATCCCCCTTGTCCTTTCGACGCAATCGTCAATCCGTAGTTCAAAAAATTGTCCGGATCGTTCGTGGTCGTTTTGGATTTGGAGTCCGACCCGGACTCGGAATCCGGCGGGGCGTAGAGCGAGAAGAAATAATGCGAGTCGTTGAGCTTCACGGAGGCTTCCTCCTTCGCCAGAGGCCATTGGATCTCGTCTCCGACTCGGGCGAGGACGGCGACGATGTCGTCGCCTTGGACGAGGCGTATGATCGTGAAATCGCCGGAGGCGAGCTCGACACTGTAGTGCTTGTCGATAAGGTTGACAATGGCGCCGGGGATTTTGATGAGGACCTCTTCGGTGGCCACGGCCGGAGCGGACGGCTGAGATGACGGCCGATCTGAGGGCTGAGATGAGGGCGGAGCAGAGGGCTGAGATGGTGGGGGAACCGAGGGCTGAGATGGTCGGGGAACCGAGGGCTGAGATGGTAGGGGAACCGAGGGCTGAGATGACGGTGGAGCTGAGGGCTGAGCCCAGTATTGGTAATGGGAGGTAGGGTTAATGTTAGAGTTTTCAGGGAAAAGATTGTCGACGAGGTCTTTCATGTCGAGGGAAGGGTAGAGATTTCGGGATGAGGAGGTAGGGTTAGGGATTGATGGGGCTTCTGGGTTCGACTGCATGACCTCCGGGTACAGGGGATGTTTGGGAGTAGGGTTAGGGTTAGCCATCGCTTTTCCTCTGTTTGGCTCCGATGGAGAAAATGAGAGAGAATTTAATGGCGATTAGGGTTTCCTTTCAGGTGAAGCGAAATGACGAAGAAGAAGAAGATGGGGCCTCGGCGCTCGCGCTGATTTTTCTCTATCTTCGAGTTGGTGACCGGAGTTGACGTGGACACGTGGCATTTGGACGGTGATTCCACGTAGGACCAGCAGGAGACAAGGCTTAAAAAAAGATTAACTGTCTCGAGGCCTTCCCGCGCATATATACCGGTTAACGATTTTTCGTTTTTATTTTTCTATTTTTAGAGAAAAAAATAAAATGAACTGATGGTTGAAGAGAAGAGACTGGATGAGTTTTACATCTGCTTTCTATTCAGATTCAAGATTGTGATGATCTCTAAGGCATTATTTTTGCTGCTTCTCAACACCAAGGACCAGCTTGTTTGTACACATCTAAGTGATTTTCTTTTTTCTGCCCATGATTAAGATGATGTTCTAAATACAATCTTCAAGATTGCAAAGTGCTTATAGTGAAGTGGTAAAAATATTTACGGTTACATCCAAAGTCTTATGTTCGGAGTAATTTTTCGCCACGTTCGCAGTTACGTGTTGTTGCTATGTGCCGTTTAAATCTGGTGGTGTTTCGTTTGCAAGTAGAGAAAAAAAGAAGATCAAAGAATTTATTTATTTATTTTCCATTTTTAGGCCCTTAATACTTATAAGTTAAAAGAACGTTTCTTTTCATTTTATTTTTCATAGTCTTGATTGATCCCCTGAATTTTCAAGCAATCATGCCTCATAATAAATATATAACACAAATTTTCAAGATAAATATTGTGAGATGTAAAATCTCGACATAAGAAAGAATAACATCTGAATAGAAAGTACAATTCTAAATCATTTGATAGAATTTATTCCAACTCATAATTAATGCAACATCCACTCATATTTCTCCATTTTTGGTAGCCAGCTCTACTACAATCCAATGGTAATTGAATTATATGTTATTTGCAGTTCAGACATTTTATGCAATACCTATACTATATGCTTGCGCAGCAAACTATAACAAGTTGACCAAAACACTATCTAAAATTTCAACAAGAAAGTGCGTATCTCCATGGGTCCAAGCTCAACAACAAGAGTTGAACTACTGACAGCGCCCCCTCTAATTGGTGTAGGTTCGTCGCCATTGTCACCCTCAACTTTCCATGTCATCTTCTTCATCTCTGACTTCTCTTGGTTTGCTGACAAGCTCACTTCCTTCACTTCCTTAATCTGAAAGTTCGAACATCAACAATCACATTAGTACTAATTAATCACCAACATCGCCAGTTAATCTTATCATCCTCAGGATTCTAAGTGTCAAATTCAGACAAAACATTGTCCCATAAAGCATAGGTTGGGCAAAATGAAATGTACTAAGTCTGGACTAAAAAGATGATGTGCATACCATTTTTCCAGTAAACATCTTCTTCAGTTCAACTTTGGCCAATGTTGAATATTGAGGATCTTCAGCTGCCTATTCAAATCAACAGCATAAAAGCAGTGAATGCAAACTAAATTATTTTGCTTAAATTATGTTAATATAGGGTCTATAGTGTTTTCACGTATCTTGTTACCTCATATAGATGTGCTAGACGAAGGAGCACACTTCCGTCATCCAACTCCTGAAAAACTAGGGTATGAGAGAGAGAGAGAGAGAGAGAGAGAGAGAGAGAGAGAGAGAGAGAGAGAGAGAGAAGCACTTATTTCATTCTACAGTGATTTACAGTCACCTGAAGAGTAATCAAAGCAACATTGAGAGGCAAGCTGTAATTCAGATCCATGGTAGATGCTTTTGTCAAATGAGATGCAGTCCAATCCTCCAATTTCTGAACAATCAAAATCATCCTTTAAAATCAAGAGCTATGATGTACAGAATCTGGAATTATGGTGAAGTCATACCTCATGAGTGAAAGCTAGAAGAAGTGGTGAGTAAACTTCCTGGCCAGTTGTCCTGCGCCAGGGGGCACCAGCCCCTACCTGGTTTACGTACATATAATAGTTTCCTCGAACCTGCAAAAAAAAATATAACAGGATTACAAGAAATGAAGTCGGTGAAAACCATAAAGCAGTAAGATTAAAAGCTATGTCTAAGTACAGAAATAGAAACTACTCTTGTAATGTAACATGATACCGTTAGTCCTTCACAAGTTCCTCCCGCGCACACTCTTTCATCAAGCGCTTCACCCACCCCTCTGGAATCGTCATAGAGTGTACGCCTTGGGTTTCAAAAGAGTAGTATTATATTAACATATCCACAGCCACAATAAAGCAATTACTTGACTTCAATGCTGAAAATCAGTGTATCAAAATCAAACCTATGAAGCATCAGCTCTACTTCACCATCTTCAATGCTAGATCCTCCAGTGGCACGATCAACCAGGACTGAGAACTCTGATTTCTTATCGAGAGTATAGATTCCAAGATTTAGCTGAAAAGGAAGATGACGCCAGTTTAAAAATGAAAATAGTTAGTTCTGATGTATATTTGTGTTTGTGTATATAATATATATACAGACACAATAAAGGCCATGTGACTAGTGTTACGAAAATTACTGGATAATAGTTTCCTGCTACAGGTTGATTAACCGAAAGGGGCCAGTCTGGCCTATAATCTCGTACCTGCAAAACCATGATGTAAGCATTACTTTCTTTTTCAATTTAAGAATCCACATGATAGATCAATATCATTGAGGGTGTAGGAAATATACGAATACTATTAAGTGAAGTAAAAGTACAGGCCAGAGGAAGACTCGTGTAAAAAGAAGTGATACCATCTAACGTTGATATTGAGGGGGTATTACAATATGAAATAATTGTCAGCCTGCATCCTAACAGTTAAATTGTTGGAACACTGGTAAACCAGCAAGCTTCATAATACTAATTTGCGCGAGAAACTGATATATGGAGTTACCCGTTTAATGAAATCCCTTCCATTGGAATCGGTGTAGAACACCTTGTTTGTTTCCATGTTTGCTGTCATTCTAGTGATGACCTCTTTTCCAACACCATCTTCCGTGGGAATTGGACCAATCTTCAAAATAAAAATATGTCAGAACTACATGATTTGAGTCTAGGGAGATAAAAATTTATTGCTTCCCAGCCAGTAAAGAAAGCATTCGCCAGCCAAGATGAACACGGCTGACTTCAAAGTAAGGGGAATATGTTTCATTCATCAAAATAAAATGGTAGGTAAATCACTCACAGTATATTCGACTTCGGCATGCTCTTTGTCTTTGTAAAGTCTAGTGACCTGATAACAAATGCAATTTTTCATTTAGCAAAATGTGGTTGGTTACAACATAAAACAATGTGGTGATTCTAACACCAAATATACAATGGTGATGAAACAGTCATTCTATGTTCACAAATTATAAGGCATTTTCACTTCTGTGTTATGTTTAATATGGGTACAAATGATGTTTATAGCTTCCTAATTGATGTAGAAACTCACATAAACAAATTAAATAAGCTATTTAAGGATTTCAGAAACAAAACCAGTTCTGACCAGAGAAAGCAATTTGAAAATATGCCAATAACCTGATAGATCCATGAACTGAACTGTTGGTGAATCTCATCAACTAGTGGTCCACGAAAAACCTTCAGGGGTACCTGTAGAATGAATAAAACATTTAAAAATTTATAGTGAAGAAAATCGTATTTGTGTTATGTGTAAGCCTGAATCTTGATACTGTTGGACCAACCTTGCACCCTAAAGGTTAAATTGTTAAGAAATATGTCGAATGATGTATGGCTAAAACACGCTACTGGCCAAAACATTGAAAAGCTAAAGCAGGTTAACACCAAAATTAATGTACAAACAAATCTTTGTTCTAAATTTGGGAATTTTAGTAAGCTGTGTGTACACGGTGATGAACACCAAATGAGAAAATGCAGAATAAATAAATAAATAGAAGGATACAGTAGTGGACACACCAAATATTCTCTCTCTATTTTTGTGTCACATATTGAAATTACATGTAATTTGAGGCTTGGAAAGTACATAATAATAAGCAAAAATAAGGCTTACCGATCTTGATACAATAGTTGCAGGGGAGCCATTAGGCCGGAATATGTATGCACCAGAAGCTTGCTGGAGAGATCATATTACTGAATGTTAGTTCAGCAGGAACTTCATTGACTTGAATTACATACTTAAGTAAATCAAAATCCTAGCACAGAGATTGGACACCTGAGAATCGGTATCACCTTTGCTTGAACCATACCAGAGGTAGCTCTGCTGTATTGGTACATCAACCTGGTGATATATGATTATTAATTAAAATTGATGTAAACTTCCATCACATTCTTATGAAATAAAGAAGTAAACCAGTCCTTCTTTTGTCTGGGGTGTGTGTCACTTGCACGGGAGTTCTCTGATTTTTAGTTATGAAGCTGCTATGGGAGAAAAGGCTTTATGCAATACCAAGGAAAAAGGAAAATGAAAAATAAAAAGAACCTTCTGAAACATGTACAGTAAAGCACACCATGCAAGCACCTAACAGTCTGAGGAATAATTTGTGCAAGGCTACTGTTTGAAACTGTGAAAGAACTTACTCCTGTTTTAGAATTATACATCCGTTTGAGTTGTCCGGAAGCAAAAGAGAAGGACATCTTCAGATCTCCAGGTCCAACTTCAATGGTCTCGTTTTGTGGACTGTCCATCACAGAGAGAAATCCATTTCCATTTTTCCCTACAAAAGTTAGGGGCAAATAATAAGTATAAATCTTAGATGTATCGGTACATTATTTATTTTATTCCACTTTTAGCAGATAAGCTTCATAAGAATTTAAAACCTGTTTTACTAGTGTACGTAGACAGTAGAGATAGATAGGAAATAAAATTAAAATGAATTCAAATAACATTTAAGAATTTCCAAGGCCCAAAAGGAGAGAGCAAAGAGGTGTACATCTACCTTTGGTAGCTCCCCTTGAAATGAAGTAGGTGTTCCAACCAAGTGGTGGCACAGAGACTTGAAAGATTAGCCAGTACTTAGGAACTTGTTTTGATGACTGTCCCAAGTAGGCTTTTGTATAGAAGTTTCTTAGATCTGCTGTAACATTATCCAAATTTACATATTGTACCTCAAGAATATTTCCAGAGGAATCTTGAACAGAAAGAGTGGCATCGTTAACCTGGTTGAAATTGTCACTTTCAGATCACATGGAACAAGAAGTCAAGTTAATTATCAAATAAGAACCAAAACTTGCTAACTTAAGCTAGACTCATTTGTGGACATACGGATACTGATGTCAAGCATGTAACATATAGCTCAACACAATGATCAGAGAATTAACATATGCATGGACACAATGATCAGAGAATGTTAAAAAAAAATTTAAAAATTTTAAAAATTGAGCAAACCTACACTATGATAGCATAAACTAAACACAAAGCACATACTCACAGGTATCCTAACAATCTCGGTCCGATTCCATCCAAGAGGATTATATGCTACAACAACCTGGAATTTGCATTTAAAGAGAATGAATGAAACAAAATATTTCATAAGCGTATTATCCATAAGTAAATTAGAAGAAAAAAGAAAGAGATTAATTACCAAGCTTTTCCCTTCTGGAATATCTTTTTCTGTTGGAGGGCAGTAACTGATATTGAGTAATTGACACTGTTTAAGAATTAAAAAAGGGAGGGAGAAGGAAAAGCAGCATTAGGCCAGGATGAGCAACTAGATTGCTTATTGCCATTTTCTTAAAGGCTGCAATCTTAGAAAAATATTAGTTTATCCAGAAAAAGGGGCACCAACTGATCCAAAAGCAAGGAGCCACACCGAAATGAAGTGTCACCTGGCTAAAAGTCGATGTTGGCTCTTTACATTGGTCTCCTGATTTACTTTTAGTTAGGCACGATAGAGCAGAACTGACAACAGCTTCTGCCTATAAAATGTCATTACGTTATATAAGATATGTAATACATAGTTTAGCCTACAAGAAGAATAAAAGTGTCAGAGGCAAATGCAAAACAGAAGGAACAATTTGCGGAGATACTAGGTGGAGACCTCAAAGGCGCCAATGGACAGGCGCTTTGCATAGTCATTGGTTGTATGTTGTTTAGCAGTGCCGGTGACAGCATCATGGTGCTGTACAATTCCTAAAGCATCTCCAAGGGCATAGGTATTGGAACCATTTGCTCTCTTTCCAATCAGAAATTCCAGTTCTCGTGCTGCCTATTTTACAGAAGTAGAAGTTAACACCAACACACCACTCAGTTCATGAAAGGAAGAGTAGATCCTCTCCAAAAGAAGTGATTTAAAGCATGGCCATTCTCAGTAGATGTTCAAGTTGACAAATTCTTGTGACAGCAGCAAGCTAAAGATAAATAAACTATCTTAAAGACTATTCCTATGGGATATGGTGACTAAAATACCAATATATTCAACGCAAAATCACATGGCACAGGACTATCTATTCTGGCTATGTATAATTACTATTGTGGACTGATTTGATGTCATACCAAATAATATCCACTCAGCGACCGGACATATCCCTTCAAACCATAGCGACTAGTAAAAAATCCAGTCCAATAAGCATCTACCCTATCTGCATACCTGTTGGAAATCATTGGGAAAACAATGTATGCAAAAGATTACGTCAGTAAGTCCTGTTTTGTCAACAAAAGAGGGAAAAGGGAGAGAAAAATATACTCACGGAAAATAATCATCAGTTTTCAGTGGCCACGACTGGTTTGCTGCATTTTTAGCATCAGTATAGATAGATGGTGTAGAATACAAGGCATTAACTCGACCGTCCTGAAACAAAAGGGAAAAAGAGAAAAAAAATATGATGGAAGGCTCTTAATTATACATTAAAATGAGAGAGAAAAATTAACAATTAGCTCAACGATGAAACTTCATAATTGTAACCCCACCTTATTAACATAGTGAATTAATTTGTCCATTTGTTTGAACCAAGACTCAGCATATTGGTACTGGAAATCATCACCCATTGTCCACATAATGTGATTCGTCCTCGTCACATTTGCCTGTGCATTAAGATGATTCATTCATTTATCAAATGGATATTTCAGCCTTCACCATTAGTTAAATGAATAGTTAAAAAGAAAATTAAGAAGACCCCTTTAGGTCAAAGATAATAATCTAAAAATATACATTCAAGAAGATAAGAGATTACTTGGATAATTGAAGCATTGATAAAATCACTAACACGCTTTTCAACATTGTAGTCAAAAAGAAGAGGGTTATCCTGCAGTTTTACCATTTAACAGATTAGATGATACATCCACTTTGAAAAAAAACATGTAATTTTTTATGGTAGAAGTTACTCTTGTTAAAATTAGAACCTGGACAGGGATGAAGTCATCGTTTACTTCAAAATTGAAACCTGGTGGTGGACTATAGTGAACCGGAAACGCATTGGCAAAAATCTACAAAAGGCCCGGGACATTGTACTGTAAGCACAATATTACATTATTGAATGAAGAAAAAAGAGTTGCAGTTCTAAACCTGAGATGATGAACCAAAAGTTCTGGATCCACGCCATATAACTTCAAGAGACTTATCCCCCTTGCGCTTTGCTCTGTCCTGATAATCAATCCTTGCAAAATGTACAGAATCAAACCCAAGCTGCAAGAAACATTGTAAGAATCAACTCTGTCAGAATTATACAATACAAACCGCTTCATTAACATTATAACTAATGCAAGTGATGTTGGTATGAGTCTGAATTCAAAAAATCGGTGACAAAGTTAGAGATTCTGAACAAATATGCAGAGCAGATTAGAAACTTGACTTGAAACAAACATGTATGGAAACAAAACCAACACGGTAAAACAATGGAGCATTCAATTGCAGAATAAAATTAACAGAGTGCCTACCTCAGCTCCAAGTAAGTAAGCTTGCACTGCAGAGTGTCCGAATGGATCAATTTGCCATCCGGCACGAGGCGTCTTGTTGAACTGCTGCTTTATTGCACGGTGACCAAGAGTTGTTTGGTCAATCATGTCTATGTAATGGACTGTTGCTTCATCGTGCATACACCAACCACCATTTCTATACATATACGTATACAAATGCTTATAACAGATTTAAAGATACAAACACAAATAAAACTACACAAGTCAAAGATACAAATTGATTGGTAGCAACATACACAAACTCTAGCTGCCCAGCATCTACTAGTTTTCGCACTATTTCTTGAATTCCCGCTCTTTGTGTTGACCACCATCTTTGAAAGAATGCCTAAAATTCACACCAACTTTAAATCAGAAAATAAAAATCAAATACAAAGTTGAAAACTTTAACTACTTGTAAAGCTGAGCAGCCTACCATCTCAGCAAACACAAATTTCCTATTCGGATCACGAACCAACGATTCGATAACAGAGTCCAAAGTATTCTCGACACAAGCACCCTAAACAAGTTCACAAACTCATTAATTAATTAATGACTCAAGTAATTACTAATTAACCCACTAATCACCACTCAATTGTATGACCTGAATGCTATTGTTTGATCCAACATAGTACTGATCAATAGTTTTCAACCATCCAACGTCGTCGTGCGAATGCGCAACCAAATGAACATTCAACTTGCCTTCCACCACACCACCCCCTGTCTTGTACCTCACAGAACCGCTACCAACGGCCTCCTTGCACAAACAAACAGCAACAAAAACAAGCACAAACTGAAAACCCGAGGCTAAAGTTTCCACCTTTCTCATCTTGAGACCCTAGAAACTGCTTTTCCTCGCTCTGCTCCGATAAATAGAAACAGTGGCTGTGGCTTGCTTCCACGGCTGTGAATCTTGCGATTGCGATTTTTGGGCAAGCGAGGACAAAGGAGAAAAGCCTCGGTTTGTCCTTTGGAGCATATGAGAGATGGCAATTGGCCGGCCTAATTTTATAAAGATGGGGAAGAAGGAGGACCACTCTGTACAAGTTAAGTTACTGTGTATGGGGCTCCATCTTGCGAACTTGACAAGGCTCGCGTCTTTGATATATGATTTTAATGGCGGGATCTGGGGACTGGGAGCCGTTATTAAATTCAATGACGCGGGTATAGTTGAACGCGAATTTTATTGGCCGTTGGATGTGGATTTGTGTTGGCATTTGGAGAAATGGATGGCTAGATTCGCATCAATTATTGGGGTTTAAAAAGTCTGTAAGCATATAATCACGTGCAAGTTTTTCTCTGTTTTTATAAAAATATATTAAGTTAATCTTATACTGTTACATATAATCTCAATACTTTAACCACTAATAGAATTTAAAATTAGGGATCATATAGTTAAGTTTTAGTAATTCTCTCTCTTTCAACATAGGGTGCTTCCTTTGTAACCTCTTTTCGATGCACAATTTTAAAATTAGTATCATATAATAGTGGGATCATCTATATATATATATAAAACAAAAGGACAGAGAATGGTAAAACATTCAAAATACCAGTAAATGTCCTTGGTTAATTCAAATATTAAGAATTGAAATTATTAATTAAATGAGGATAATATGGTAAATTAACACTTTTTCATATTAAAAAAAAATAAAATAAACAGAAAAATCAAATAATGGATCATATTTTTATGAAACACAACTACTCATTATCTTTTTTAATTCTAGAATAAATTTAAAACTTTTTAAAGAAAGCCCATCGCAAGCGGGGAAGCGCGTGCGAAGAGACTAGTATAGTAATTATAGTAATTCTCTTTTTTTCCATACACAACATACACGACACATAACATGTGACATGTAGTTCATATTATTATCCCTCACTTCTTACTTACACAACTTTCAATTGTTCTTTTTTAAGTATAAGAACAACTAAAGGACAATTGGAGAAGTTACATAAAACTTTAGAAACAAAAAAACCATATTTTTTTTAATTCTTTTTTTATAAATTTGTTCTTTTATAATTGCATAAAAGGACAAACATTTAAAACATAAACAAAAGTCTCTTAGTTAAAACGGGAATAGCACTATTTTGCAATCTTCGCCCCATAACGCTTTGTCATGTGAAAGTGTTATCATGCGTGTCATAGCGTTATTGACTAGAGATAGCAAAATAGTGAGGCTATCTCCGTTTCATGGAAGTCTTTCTCCTATTATTGGGTGTTACATTCATGAAGCAGCATGGTAGCATCTCCCTTTGAGTCAGCACCTTTTAAAATTAACAAAAATAAAATATAAACTAAAAAGTTTTTTTTTAAAAAAATTATAAACTTTGAAGGGTATTTTAAGAATTATAGGTAGTTGAGATGAGTAGTTTGAGAGGGACAACCTTCAGTAATAAAACACATAAATTATTTTGGTACTTGTTCATTTTTCTCAGAGGGCAGAGGATTGGTAAACGTGTAACTCTCATACTTATGTACGGCTAATGCAACTGATACTAGCATATAACTCTCTCGCTCCCATCTTATTCTTTACAATCTAAACCATATATTATACTAATGCTCAAGACGTGGCAACAATGAAAGTAATTAATATGAAATCAGCGCAACTATATCTAAATCTCAAAATTTAATATGAGACCAGCTAGTATGAATATAATAGAAGAAAGAATGATAAATTGATGAACAAAAGAATGGAATGGAATTTTGTTCCTTTTTCCAGGAATGGGAAACCACTATGCTTCTGATTGAATCAATCTCGAGGCTTTGGACTGATGGAGATTCAATCTACTCTTAGCCCCTTGTACCAATGTGAGCATTGTTTCATCTTTGGACATATAAGATTGCTCGGTTTCCCATTCAAGCATCGGGAGCACCCCAGCCTGGGCAAGTTCTTCCATTTCTGGTACACGTACTGGAATGTTGCACAGTTTCCCATTCAAGCATCGGGAGCACCCCAGCCTGGGCAAGTTCTTCCATTTCTGGTACACGTACTGGAATGTTGCACAACAATCTGTCCACTTCTTCATATTTGGTCATATAAGATAGCTTGGATGCCCACGTAAGCGCGGCAAGCACCTCAGCCTGGGCAAGCTCTTCGCTGTCCGGTACATGCAGTACAATGTAGCAGATGAGAACCAACGCATATTCAGCTTTCTTATCATACAAAATCTGGATTAAGTGCTTAACACCTCCAGCACTTATTATTGCCTTGGAATGGTCAGTGTGGAAATAGTTGCCCGTACAAGAAAATTTTGTGAGGGCAATGCAAGCCTCCGTGGTAACATCAAATTCGCTTCCATTGAGAAGCTGCACCAATCGGTTGATCATCCTTGTCTCTCTTGACCCAAATGTCTTTGCCAAATTCCCAATAGCTTTTATGCAAAAGACTTGGAAGTTTGAGTTTTCAACATTCTCAGTGATCTTCAGTAATAATTGATCAGCAATATATTTCCAAGTGGGAGAATTAGGACTGAAGGCACATCTTCTCAAATCAGCATCTTCCTCTGCCACTTTCATGATCACCATTAATGCAAGGACAGAATAAAGTTGAGCATTTTCGGAACCCTTTTCCAGGAGCACACCGAAACTATATAGTGATGTTGATTCTGCAAGGCTACGGCAAATGGCTGAGTTCCCCTCCGCTAGTCTGCAAAGGGCTTTGGCTGCCATTGCTTTCATTTTTTCCTTGGTGGCTGGGTCTTCATTAGCATTGGCATTGTCATTGTCATTGTCGTTTTGCTGCTATGCACTTCAACAGTTTCGAATGCAAGATGGCCGATGAGCAAGCGGACAACATCGTGCTGCGCAAAAACATCTTGCAATTCGGGGTGCTGATATGAGAGCAATGACACCGCCTCGGCCATTGCAACCTGAACTTTCAAGGAGCCTTCTCTGAGGATTTTCGCAAACACTTTACATACATCCACATGAAGGTGTTCGACGATTTCGCAGGAACGTCCCAGCCACCCAAGGGTCCTGGCAGCGTTCTCTTGGCCTTCCATTGGACCCTCCTCCATCAATTTCAACAAGGCTTCCACTCCACCCTCCCGGATGATCAACGTCATGTACCTCTCGTGGTCCCTGGCAAGCTGACCGAGTGAAGCTGCAGCACTACATCGAGCTTGGACGGATACAGCCGGGTGATGAAGACTTGCAATCTCTTCCCAAACAAGCCACAGAGTGGGTTCCTTTAATAACATTGGAGGCCGTCCCAAGTCCTCGTCCGGGGGCTCGGCCCTCCAGAAACGGATCAGCCAAGACACATCCCCGATTGAAGCGTCTAGATGCGCCGAGATTTCGAGGAAACAAGTAACGGGGATGAAGGTGGAGAACCGCTTCTTGATGATCTTGATAATGATGCATTTGGGATGCTTGAGCAGCCGGAACAGACACCTGTCGAGGGTTTCTTCGATTTGGTTGATGATCGCACGTGCGGGGCGATCATAGGTGCCGAGGTTGGAGCAGCTGAGTTGGCGGAGAAGTCCTGCCAGCTCTTTAGACTTGGATTTAAGCTGGTGGGGGATGAAGCTGTGGTCCCTGGATGTCACAACGGCCCTGTCCAAAACCCTTGTGAATTGGTCAGTCAGTAGGATGAGCCTACCCAATATTTGCTTCACCATCTCTGGCCTGGTTTTGTGCTTCGCCGCGAACAAGCTAGAAACCGTTTTATCCTTTGTTGATATAATATATAAGTTCGGGCATTTCTTTCCTAAGTTATCCTCCTTTTGCGGCATTTGAAAATTTCATGCTTTTCTTAGACTTGAATTTGATTGTGTTGTGATCATCAGTTTGCACGCACGTCATATCCTAGTATGCGGTCAAAGACATGACCCAAACAAACCACACCCGCCAGTATCGTATACAGAATACATACATACACACTTGTATGATTTTGCAACAGTAGCCCGTGTGTGGGGCCACAAACACGAAGGTCTACACAACAGCTGAGCTAGCTTCATGGACGCATGCATCCACTAGCGACTGAACTGATGCTATCCTAGCACATGATGTTTATGCATCCCCAAGCCCCTTGATTCAAGCGGGCGGACGACCGAATGGATAGTTGAGCAAAACTTATTGCAACAGGCAATTATTATCTTATCGCAACCAAAAAATTTAACTTGCATGTAGATTTATAAGTTAGAGGAGGATACACTCTGGAAAAACGCGGATCAATCAATGGACATAAAGTGACAGCAAAACTGAGACCAACAGCTACTATTCAAAGACTGAAAAATGACAAGGGCAGTTCAGGCATGGCCAAAATAATCACATTGACAACTAAAAACGGAGAGTAAAAATGTCGCCGTACATAACGTAACAATATGTAATATAAAATTCAATGCAGAGATACATTTCAATGTTGCACATTGTTTTTGCTAGAAAGCCGTCCGTTTTTATCAGAAGCCCTCTCAAGCAGATGATAAAGATCAATGTACTGGTACGAAAACAGAGCCTTATGACCTGCCGGACAAACATTGATCCAAAAGTCAATCTAGAAGCTTAAAGGTCACAACCAGAGTAGAGAGAGATAAGCACTACTAGTGGTTGGAGAGAGATTGCATCTTCCAACACAAGTTGGCAACGGACATGAACTGGGTGTATTCAGCAAATGAAACTGCCATTGAAAGACGACTCAGGATATGCATCATTTCTCCTCCTCTTTCGATGCTTTGTCTTCATTCTTCTTCTGGTCAGGCTTAAAAAGACAACATAAATAAAACCTAATCAGAAAATATTGTGGAGCTCACACTCTGGCACTATTGGTTGGTACCACTAAAATGTTTATCAGATGCCACTGCTATGCATGCCAAACTGTTAGTTCAAATTTCAATCGCACGAGAAAAAATTTCATGTTATTCTAAGAAATTCCTTTCAGGATAAAGAGCATGAGGTCAAATTTCTGTTACACATTAACCCATGATTATGTTTGGTAGTGCAGCTAAAGCATCCATGGTTTTTTCCAAGTGAGAAAAGTGTTATCATGTGTAATTGGTGCAAGTCTGTATATGGTCAAGCCAGTAGCTAATATAACTGGTCCACAGATTAATTAAAGCATACCGAGCGCTGCTCAGTAGGAAACACAGCAAAAAGTGTTCTCATGAGTAATTGGTGCAACTCTGTATATGGTCAAGCCAGTAGCTAATATAAATGGTCCACAAATTACACTAAAGCATACCGAGTGCTGCTCAGTTGCAAACACAGATAAAATGCTTATAAAAATACTGCTCGTATTAATGTTCCTAGAGATAGGGATGGCCTAGTAACTTAAATGAGCATTCATTTTAGAATTTATTCTGGCCGGAGTAACAGAGTAACTTAAATAACAAGGTAACTTAAGACCTAGATAACTTACTATATGCTGCCTATAATTATTTTCTTCTATTCATAAATCATAATCAGAACTTCAGAAGTTTGATAATCTCACCTCTGACTGGTTTTGCATGGAAGCAAGCAAATCTTTAACTGAAGGATCATTTGGGTCAACCCCTGGAAGCTGCAGAAGCATTTAAATATTATGTCATTAGTTCACTAAAGGAGATACTTTTATGCTGCATTTCTGCTTAGAAGGGAAGTAAAAAAGAAAAAAGAGGGGGGGTGGGGAGGAATACCGAGGCAAGGATGGAAGACACAAAAGATTGGTCAGCCAAAAGTTTACTCATATCTTTCTGGCTACCAGAATCTTTTGCACTCTCCTGCACAGACAACTGAAGAGCTGCAAGCACCAAATATTAGGAATTAAAGCCAAATACCTACTTAGAGAAGAGTCATATTGTCAGTGGTAAATTTTAGAATATATAAGCAAGGAGTACTATATAAATTGAATTCAAGAAAGAACTTCCATCCATAATGTGCTTAGAATTTCAGACTTTCTGGCAATTATTAAATGATCAGAGCGAAATGATAAGCAAGGTGAATTCACATAACATTTCTGAAATGAAATGACTCAAATTGAGGCACCATGTGCTTAACAATGGTCAAAGCTTGCATTTTTCACAATAGCACCTTAAATTTATTTCCTATTCCCAATGAAAAATTGCCACCAACTAACGTTGTTATTCAACCTGCCCACCCATAGATGAATGAAGTTTGGTCAAATGACCAGAAGAACTCACCTAGAGCCAACTCTGGATCCTCTCCAGTTGCCTCAGACATATCTGCATCTCGCATCTCATGGCTGGAAGTGGGTTCATCCATCGACATTGCAAGGGCCTGTTGTAGCAGAGCATTCTCATCATCCTGTTGTAAAAAATATGGTCAGTTTACATCGCACGTTGGTTTTCTATCTAGCTAAGGACAAAAGATAAAGCACAAGAACGAAAGGCATTTAAAACATTATATATATATATATATATATCAACAAGAATTCATGGGTAGAGCGAACTGCATGGAGGACATATTTTATTTGTAATGCTACACCCACCCTCCAACTCCTTATTTACAAAATAAAGAAGAAAAAGAAACGAAAGAACGAAAGAAATGACACTGACCATGAAATCATTACTCTTATTATCAGCTTCAGACGTTCCAGCACGGGCACGCTCCGTCATAGTTGCATCTTGTGAGCTGGATTGTGCTTCCCCTCCTTTTTCCTGTTTGGAAGCATCCTCAGAAGCCTTTTTAGCAGCTGCTTCTTGTCTGGCCCTCTCTTCTTCCATTGAAACTCTAAGAGCAAGGGCAAGCTCAGGATCCAGGTTTGGATCTACACCAAAATCAAAACCAGAGACACCACCAGCGGCAGCTGCTGCTGCTGCTGCCGCAAAACCACTCCCACCTTCCCCATCTCCGGTAAAGATGGGTGTACTGCCACAGGAGAAGGGAAAAATATAAGTTATACAAAATATCTAAAATGGGTAAATTTCATTAATGTTCCATCAATTGTATTCTGTATCCTATATTAGTCTTTAAACTTTAAAATTGGCGCTTAACCCCTTAAATGACAATGGTGTTTTGGTTGGTTCAAATCCTAACTTTTGACCAATGTGGCCTATAACTAAGAATTGTGATGTCGCACTCACATGACCACTTTTGTTTAAAAAAATATACACAAAAATAAAGATTTGAACCAACTAAAGACCCTTTTTTACTCAGGGGATTAAGTCACTTCTTAATTTTTTTTTTTTTTTTTTTTTTTTTTTTTTTCTTTTCATATAAAAAAAGTGCAAGATTTAAAGCTCAGGTCGGTAATATGAAATGCAAGTTAAAGGGCAGAGGTATTATCCCAATTTTTAGTAATTAAAACATCAAATACTAAATTGAGGAATCAAACCAAACACTGACCTTATAAGTACATCAGAAAGAGCACTTGGACCAGGTGGAACATGAACAATGTGGCTGGTGTCGTTATTGTTCACAGTCTTAAACAGGGCTTCTAGCTTCTCTGACTTCTCCTCATCTTCTTCACCAAAATTGACGATATCGAGAGCTACACTGTTCTTCTTTAATCTCCTTCCGATTATCTCCAAAAACTTTTTGTCATGTTTGACAGTACTGACAACACATAAGTCAAAGTTATTAACATGTAAGAACTAGCAAATAATAAAACGAAAAGACAAGCATGACGAGGTATTATGAACCTTCCAGCAAACACAATAATCCTTTGTTGCTGTTTCTTGTTCTGGCGATGTTTGAGGGCCAATTGAGCCACCTGAATGCCAGCTGCCAGGTTCATCTCACCACCTATTTCTAAACCTAAATTTCCAAAAGGAGAAGAAATATCAATGAGGAAATCTATTATACACAACAAGCAGGAGTTAGTAACAAGGGGAATGAGAACTAGTAACAAAGGAAATGAGAAAATTGACAAAGATAGTTTAGTCCTACTTTCAGGATCATTAGTTTATTTTATCTTGTAAGTTTCAACTCACTTCTCCTATAAAAATAAATAAATAAAATATTGCGCTGAAATGCTGGATAATAGAGGCGCAAAATAAATGAAGATGAATAAAACACTTCAACTTCTTTCCTGAGACCAACATTCTTATCACTTTTGTGAAGAGATTTGCATATAGTTGCTATTTTCTTAGTTACTTCACTGTTTCAAAGTTCTGTCAAGCATGAATTGACAAAGACACTAATAAATCCATTAACCTTGCGTTGACTCTCAAGCAGTAGTGTTTCATTGTTAAAAGAAGGTTACTGGGTTGAACATTGTGTGCGTCAAAACATGCTAAAATCTTGCCCATGTGAAGAGATCACAGATACGCATATTGGCAAGCTGAATACCAAGTACCAGAACCTCTGGAAACAAGAAAGATACTGAAACACCAAATTCTTGGAACAAAGGCAGCAATAAGAAAAATATGACTGCACTGCACTTGGTGCATCTACTGACCTCCTTCAGCCACAAAGACTTCAAGCTATTTCAGAATATAATTATTTCCAGCCATACTTCCTTAATTTATTGAATTATTCAATGCATCTAAAACCAAAGCTATTTCCGTCTGTAAACAATAAATCCTAGTTCCACAACTTACTTAAATTAGTTCACACATAACAGAAAAAACTCTTTTTTCTTCAGAAAGTTCTGGTATTAGAGAAAGTGCCAATATTGACAACAAAATCATTATAAGGAGTTGAATACTTCCATCAAATTGAAAAATAATAAACTTCAATAACACTACAACTTATGTGTTTGCTTGTTTGTTGGATATAAAAGAAAAAAGCAAGTACATGAACTGACCATGCATGCATGCCAGAATCTTGCCAAGATCACTAGTAGGAGTGACCAAAACGCGAACACCTTTCCCTGCCATGGTGAGAACTCCTACTGTATTCTCTGGATTAGACTGCATACCGGGAAAAAAAAATGAATTCACTTTAAATTACAAAACATAAGCAACCCATTATGATCTTATATCCGAAGCAACAACCGAAACCCAACCACAAACAACTGCTCTCTCCCCTCTACACGCCCACAACACAATCAAATAACAATCTAAAACATTATCCAAAACCATAAAACGAAAATCAAATCTCCAAAAGTATATGATTTCAATGAAGAAATATTGAGTAAAATATATTGGATGATCAAATAATGCAAAAGTTACGCTAAGCTCAACCAGATATGACATGCGAGGTTTTCCTAACTTACGCGGACTTCACCAACAACCAAACAAGAAATAACATAACAAATAAGAGTACACCTTTAAAAATACCTGGGTTTTAGCTCCACAAATCAGATTGACAGCATCGGCCTGAGCTTGAAACCTCGAAGGAGCATAATCACCGTTTCGCATCCATTCCGAATTATCAATGCATATCATTGTCGCCTGGGGAGAAAAACAAAAATGAACCATCGCACGAAAAATAGCTAACGGAAATTTAAACCCTAATTTGCGAGATGGACGAAGAATTTGGGGAATTTCAGTAAGGAAAGCCAGGAAGTTTATGTGCAATTAGGGTTTGGATTTTTACCTCGAGCACCATAGTTGAAGATTGCGAAGAGACAAGAAAGATCGGGAGAGATTGATGTGCTTCGTGAGGAGAAAGAAAAATATAAAAACTGAGGTATACTTTACTTGCAGAGGAGGCTGCTGCTGTGTGCTAATTATAAGTTGGATTTGTGGTCATCAGGTGCCGCCAGGGTACCGAGTAAAAGCTGTACCAAAAACTGAACCAATGAGTTTCTGCCACGTCAGGTCTCAAACCTTGGGCTAGCCAGACAGGCCTATGATAGAGCCCAAGCCCATTTATGTCCAATCGTGTACTTTGTTGGACCTATCAAAATACAAGCCAGGCTAATGTTGCAAGAGGGGTGGGGTTCTATTAACACCCAACAGTTGTCTTCAGACACCCAGTTTTCTTTTTTTTTTTTTTTTTTTTTTTTTTTTTTTTTTTAAATAACTAATTGTATTTTTATTGTTTTTTTTGTTTTTATGCAACTACCAATAATATGACACTATGTATGAGCCATTCAGCTCACCACAATTCGAGTTTCTAAGTTAAATCCCTCATTTTTCAATATCGCTTATATTAAAAAAAATACATGTTATTACAAGGCTCATTCTAAAACTTCTTACTCGATGAAAGAGTGAATCAATGAATTTTGCACAAATTAAAGTTCATGTATGGCAGAGGAGCTATAAAATTCTTTGGTTATAATATGAAGCAAAAGGGTCACTAGCCAAATCAATCTAGGGAGAAATTATTAGTATAGTATAGTGGAGTGGGTACATGTCGGGGTTGTATACAAGCCATGGATCTGAGTATGGGTAGGCATAATCTCACATGTGAAGAGTACCACAATAAGCTACAAGTTAAAAGTGAATGATTCACTACTAATTGCGTCGAGACCTTATGTGAAGAGTACCACAATAAGCTACAAGTTAAAAGTGAATGATTCACTACTAATTACGTCGAGACCTTATTAAAGGTACGCTTATGCATTTGGTATTCGACATCTTCTAATCTTACTTAAAAGAACAACTAAGGGTACGTTTATACATGTGGTTTTCGACATCTTCTAATCTTACTTAAAAGAACATCTTCTAATCTTCTAATCTTACTAACCATATGTATCATATAAAATAGTCGTTAAATGAAGATAACTAAGCTCAAAAGTGTATACAATCTAGTCTCTAGTGATATATGCTCCAAGAAAAGCTTATGATGGAAGGAGACACAATTCATCTTTTACATCACTATTATCATGATCGTCACTACGGTAATCAACCTTCTTGTCATCACTGTAACTGTCATAAACTGGACCAACACACAGCGGAAATTCCAACTTCTCATCTTCACCCTGCATCACATTGCCCTGCAGATGCCGGAAAGATGTATTTTGTTTCTTGAAGGAGCTTCTCTCCGAAGAGTTTGACGAAAAGCTATCGATTTTGTGCATTTCATCCACTATAGAATCTGAGGATGTTGAGGTTCTCAAGAGTGCAGCAGTACTAGATGAAGTGCTTTGTTTGGCCTTCACCCTCCTTTTCCATACAGATAGTGATTTTCTCACATTTTCGGAAACTACATATTTCTTGAACCTCGCTCCCATCTGCAGCCGCATAAAACAATCAGAGACAAAGAGAGGGACTAAAGAGAGATGAAAATTAAGAAACCAGACCTGTGTGATGATGACATAGAGTGGGAATGTAATGAAGCTACACCAGAATTGGGTGACAACCCTGCAATGATATAAAAAAATAAAAATAAAGTCATCAGATTTTTTATATCTTTGAATCGCACTTGACGTGAATGTAAGATAGCCAATAGACCTGACAAACTTAAGTTGCTAGAGAATAGGCCAACAATGTACGGTAAATACCCAAATGTCAAGCGAATCACAAGGAAAGTATTGTTGTCCATGAAGCATGAAGGTTCCTTAATTTCCCACTGAAAACAAAAAAGTTGAAACAAGCATCATAACTAAAGTTGCCTATTTACAAAATGAGGTAGCTATTCTTTTATGCAGGCATCGATTTCTTTCTGAACAAGTCATGAAGTCCATACCAGAGACCAGATAAAAGTTGCCATCTCAAGGGCATTCTGAAAAACAAATGCCAGCAAAAGATAAGGACAGTTGAAAAACAGAATTTAAATTACAAAACGGATTGTTAGTGTTAGTGTTAGTGATTCTCACCTGGAAGGATATTAGTTGTATTAAACGTAAAAGAAGCCAGGGCTTCTTAAACCAAAAGAGCTCATCTCTTAGCTTAAACTGTTGATTTTCCATATATGGACTTTCTTCCGTGATTTCAACAGCCAAATTTACCACCACTCGATGCAGTTTCGTCCCGATAAGCAGGATCAACTGATGTGCAAGTCAAGAAATAATTTAATTATGTAGTGTGAGTGTGACTTCAAAAGATGATGAACTCGGAGAAGCTCAAGGAGATGGAGAACATGGATGGCTTACTATGGCTGGAAGGAAGGAAAGCCAGAAGTAAATGTGGCTTCCTGAATGGTAGAAACAACAATTGATGCTGTAAGATTAAATTTTCCAGGAATTTTCAGGCATAAAATTAAAATTTTGGCACTAACAGAAAATTACCATGAAAGTCTAGAATAGTGCAACATATGGTGTATATCCAGAGAGGTAAACTGCAAAAGCATCGCAAATAATATAACAATGTTAATAATGTAAAAGCAATCCAAAAGTTCACTAAAGCCTCTAGGAATAAACTAGAAAGGTTCATCATAGAAATCAACTTTTTACACGTAACGTAATACCTGATGCCAACAATATCTCGAAATTCTTCCTCCATGCTCCGAATCATATAATTGTGGAAATCATATGACAAAGGAAGTTGATGAGTCTACATTAAGGAGGGGAAACACAGCAGAGTCAGCAATGCAAAGCTAGCCCCATGATCTTTACTGCCACATTCTTTTGCACTGTGAATGACTAAATAAGATGGAAACAAATAAGAACCTAATATGACTTACTTTTTGCAAACATATCTAATCATACAAAACTTAGAATCCAGATGTAACAGTAAAGCCAACTTTTCTACTATAATCGGACTCCGGAAAGAAAAATAAATAGTAGATCTCAGATCTCCTTGAAAAGTTAAAATGTAAAAGAGAAAAAAAAAAAAGAGGTACTAGAAGAAACATACAGTGATGAAGCCAAAGCGCAAAGCCATGTAATCAGACCGGTTTATAGAACTCCAGAACTGGCGGGTGAAACAAAGCTGCAAATTGGGGTGAACAAAGTTGACGGTAAATAAAACCATTACAGCAGATAAAGCAACTCTGAGAGATAAAAGTGCTGTGAGAGTGCAGCAAACATAGGACCAGCAAATTTTGTAAGAAGCTGAGCAGAATGACATCAATTGATTTGATTGTCTTAAGTCTAAATGAAGGGCTGGTTAGTTTTCATTTCAGCAATATTGTAGCATAGATAGCATCCAATATGCAACCTCAGGCCCTCTTATCTTCCCTTTCTTTCTGTAAATTTAGTTCTCCTCATAAATCATTACAACAAGAAGCACAAATTTTATTTTAGCAGGTAGAGTTAACCAGAAGAAGTTCAAGTTCTACATTGGCTTATTGCTCTGAATCAGATGTGATTAAATTATGCTGGTATCTGTTTAAGAAATACTGGAAGTACATAATTTAGATTTCGAGCATACAATTATGGCCAAATAAAATAAAATAAAAAGGAAGTGAGAATACCAGCCAAACAAGAGCTCTGTGCTGGCTCCATGGATGGGATGCATGATGAAAAATGAAAGTAGACAATCTCCTTATTCTCTGAATACTTGGTTCAGCTAGTGGGGTATCTGGATACAGAAAATTTAAAAATGATAAGGCATGCATGACATCTACAATTTCTATGGCATCTAAAGTCACTCATGAGTGACTCATACCAACAATTTTGCACCTTGTAAGGCGTGAATTGCCAAAGCTTTGGCTTCATTTTCCCATACTCTCCAGCTATAAATCTGCTTGAACTTAGAACAGGAACTTAGTTTTTTGTACATTGGACGCCGCAGAGCATTAGAGAACTTCGATTGGTGACAAAATATATTTACCTTGATCATGGCCAGGACAATTGCAACAAAGCTGTAAGAAACATGTGTGACACCAAGCACAAACATCAAACGATGAAGCTGTTCGAGACTTTCTTTTGAAGCAAAGGATTCATGACCCTGATTAACATATAGTCTTTGTTAATCACACAGACTAACAAGCGATTGTTGTCACATGCGACAGAATCATACTTCTAACATCAAAATTTCCAAAGGAATGGAAATTTGTATTAGACAATCAAGTTTTATTATTGGCTTATGCATCAATAATAGCTAACATCTGATCTCTAAACATGAGCAAGCAAACTTACCTCGGGACAATAGTCATGAGAACCAGCCTTCACCTGCATCTTCGAAACCGACTTATTCAAATAATTTGAACTTGAAACGAGTACATGTTCAACTGAATGTAAGTCACTCTCCAATGCACATGGAAAGAATTTGCTGCTCAAGAGCGATGATTTAACACAAATCTTGGCCACAATAAAAATCCAGTGACCCATCAACAATGACATGACCCCAAAAAGCATGAGCTCTGCTTGAAGAATATCAAAGACGAAAAAATGAAATCCTCTGAACAAAAGAACAAATGAAGCAAAAACATACATCTCAAGAAACCCAATCCCTTAATTAATTACCTTCTTTGATCTTATCCAAAGCAGCAAATAGAGACTTCCTTTTCGTCTTATCCAACCACTACCAAAAGAAGATGCATAAGATAAGAGGAAAGTTAATGAACACCAAAACAATATCAAACAATGAAGATTTGAAGATCAAAGTGAAGACACTGCTAATTGTAATGTGTACCTTTCCAAACCGTTCCAAAGATCCATTGAAAAAGAACCCAAAAACAACCATGAAAGTGATTACAGAAGCAACTGTCCATGTTGGGGTTTCAGCCAAGGATCTTCCTTCCCTCTCCTCCATTTCTCTGATACAAAAAACACAAGA